GGGAAGTGCATCCTATAGAGGGAAAAATACGGTACATTCTCCTTCCTCCAGCAGGCGGTGAGGAAGACGTCATCAAAAAGGCTAGTGCAGAACTCCTCTTGAGTGAACTCATCGCTGAGGAGAGTGAGGGTGCAGGTGAGCAGGTGCAGGAAGATGTCACCGAAGGCCAGATCCCTGAATGTCTCCCTAAGGGTGGGGAGCAGCCGGAGAAGAGCGTTCTTGTTCCTCTGCTTAGTGATGTGAAGCACGTAGTAGAGCCCAACCTGGCAGGCGATCCAGTGCTCTTGCAGAAATTTGGGGAATATATCTAGGATTGTGGTGGGGTAAGGTGCTGGGCCCTTGTCTTCCAAACACAGCTTCTGATTGACGGTAAATGTGTGGTCATCCACCACGAAGGTCATCAACAGCGGCAGGAACTTGGTAATCAAGTCTACTTCCATTCTGGGTTCCTTAATCATGTCAATCATGTCCCAGGCTCCCTGTCCCAGTGTCAACATCCTCAAGAGAAGCAGAAGACTGGGGCTTCCCCTAGGTAACATATCCTGCCCAATCAGTTCTTGCAGGTGGCGGATGGTGCTCAGAGCCAAGATGTTGATGGCAAATGGATCACACAATATCATGGCTAAATCCCCCAGGACTTGCTCTTGCCCTTTCTTCGCTCCGTCGAGGAGGCCTTGCAGCTCTTGCGCCCACTTGTTGTCCACAAACCTCTCTCTAAGGCAGGAATCCAGGCACCAGGTAAACTTGTGGCAGGGGTCAACCAAGCAGATCTCGCTGATATCTAGGTCATGCAGTGACATGAGGAGCTCTGCCCGCAATGTGCAGTAATGGACATTGCGTGTCCGAAGGAACAAGGTCCGCAGGAACTGCAGCACCACGTCATAGAGTTTCATGTTCTTCCCGATCATTTGGGTGAGCTTCTGCACCACCTCTCCTTGGCGCTGTTGTAAACAAAAATTGCCCTTTTCCCTTATGGGGTATCCAAGAGCCCATTTAGAATCCTTACATAGGTTCCCTATTGGTAGGAGAGAATAACAGAGGCCAACCAGAGAATATTGAGAAGCAAAGCAGCTAGTAAGCTTGATCTTTATTGATCTGTTGCAACAGGGTGCTCCTCTCACACGCAGAGGAGAGGAGGGACCCAGAAAAATGGCGCGCAAGGCCTTATAAAGACTTTTGAAATTGCCACCCTGTAGATCAAGACCACCCCCAGAAACATCATACATACATCACAGAAGGGGTGTAACCTAAGACCACCCCTCAGATACATCACACCTACATCACAGAAAAGGCGGTCTAAAACAGAAATTTGAATATTGTTTTTCTCCTGTTGTTGTTTATCTCCTGTCTGGCAGGTTACTTGATTGAATTTCCTGGGTAGCCTGGCCATTCTTTTGTAGTGATAAATACTTAGTTCCTGGGCCAGGTCACAGGCTCACACCCTATTCAAACACAGGCATACCCTTATGACAGGATTTGTGAAGGAAAAGACAATGGGGAGGCTTTTCCATTTTCCTTTGACGTTGCAGAGAAAACATTTGGTCAGTTTGGGACAGTTTGGGAATCAAAATGGTTCCAGGTTGGTCTTCCTGTGCTGATCTATGTATGTGCTTGGTTGGTACACTTATGAACATTTAAGATATGTCTAAGAACATAAAATTCCTATCACAGCACCTCATTTTGGGAGGAGGGCTGAAGAAGTTGTGCAGGACAGAGAGGTCGCTGCAAAACAAGGCCTTCTCCTTCTCCAGGATGTACCGCTTCAGCAGAGGGGACACCTCATCACCAAACAGGGCCTGGTTATCCTGCCAAATCTGACGCTTCACCTCCACGGCACACGCTTTGTACAGGTCCTTGTCAGTCATCACCAACTTCGGCTTCTTTTCTGGCAGCTTGGGCAGGTGTCGCATGACACACATCACCACAGGCTGGATTGATGGCACCTTGACCAAGGGAGAGCTCTTCTCCAGGAGGTCTTCCAGCTGCTTGGACCTTTCTTCAGCCTTTCCTTCAGAGGCAACGGCGAGACCCTCTCCAGCAGTTTCTCCCTCAGCTCGTCCAAGACAGACTAGTGGAACTCCAGCCTGGGGGTGCCGTGGAGGTCCAGGAACGGCAAGGCGGACTGAAGAGGGGGCAGGAGGATGCCATTTTCCGTCTAGAACTGCTCGATGGCTCCACACAGCTGCTCAGTGTCTCCTTCAGGTCTTCCCCGTTTGCCACACTGAGCTCCTGCAGCCCGGCAAACATGGCGCAGCGCCCTAAACCTCCAAGGCGGCTGCTGCTTTAGAGATTAGACTGCTTTGTTAATCATATAATACGACTCAGGCTGGAATTGTCATGTTCAGCTTATTTTGTTCCCAGCATTCCGTAGCTTGTTTTACTGATAATTTGTTAATTGTTTTGTATGATTTAGGCTGTATTGGTGATTCTCTGCTTAAATTACGCTGTGACTCCTTTAATTTAAGACTCCTCTTAAATTTTACCTTTAAATGGCGCTTTGTGGGTTGCATGTATTGTCCCAAGGTCAAACAGTCTACGTCAGCCTCACGTAATACTATAAAAATTAAACGTATTATCTAGTGAATGGCAGAAATATAATATAGCATTGTTTAATCTTCCAAACCTCACTGGTGCCTATTTTTAAGCAGCGCATTTAAGAGAGCAGATAAAGTATGTTTGTTGAAACTGCTAGTTTTAACTCCCTAAATGAAGAAGAAAAAAACCATAGCAAAAGTTTAAGAAAGAGACCCAAAATGAAAACTCTTTTCAATCTCCAATCAGCTTGCCCCATATGTGAACTCCTCTTCAATTAAGATTCCTCTTAAATTTAAATTAATTTAAGACCTTTCTCTTAAATTTAATTTAAGACTCCTCTTAAATTACTCCTCTTAAATTAATTTCAGACTCCTCTTAAATGACGCTCGCAAGCCGCTTCGCAATCCATTTGAATGGCAATTCAAGCAGCCAAATTCCCTTTCTGCGAGCAGCCGCGGCCTCCGCAGTCCTAGAGCGGCACTTCCGGGTCTCCGAGGCCGCGCCGGGACCATAGAGCTATAACGGAGCGAGTCTATGGGCCGAAGAAGGAGAGCGGCGTCGGTGAAGAGCGCGCCGGAAGAGGCGGGGCGCAGAATCCGGCGCCGGAAGCTGCGCCAAAGGGCGCGCTGGGCGCGTGCGCAGGGTCGGCCTTTCGCAGCCGGCTTCGCGGCGCAGAGGAGGGAGAGGCGCCGGCGCGCGCGCGCCTCGGGCCCAGGCAGCGGGAGAGGGAGGACGCGGGGCCGCCGGGCCGCCCCACTGGCAGGTACCCGGGAGGGGGGGGGGAGGAGGGGGCGGCCTTTTCTGAGGGGAGGCGCCATTCCGAGGGGCCTTGGGGGGTGGGGGCGTCAACCCCCGGGGTCCTCTGACAGGGGCGCGTGCGTGTGAGAGCGCGGGGGAGACGCGGGTCGGAAGTGGCCGTGGGAAAGGGCGCGGGGCGTGTGTATATGACCCTCGTGTGGCCCCTTTTCCCCCACACCCCCCGTCAAAAAAGGCCCTTCGCTTCGACAGGCAGGCAAGCAAGACGTACACACACACACACACACACACACACACGTGTGTGTGTGTACACGCCTATATATGTATGTATATGTATATGCACGCCTTGCCTGTCGAAGCGAAGGGCCTTTTTTGACGGGAGACGCGGGTCATCAACCCCGAGGGTCTTCTGAAAGGGGCGTGTGGGTTTGACAGCGGTGGGGAGACGCGGGTCGGAAGTGGCTGTGGGAAAGGACACGGGACGTGTATATATGACCCTCGTGTGGTCCCTTCCCCCCCCCCCCATATACACACACACACACCCCGTCAAAAAGGCCCTTCACTTTGACAGGCAGGCAGGCACACACATATATATTTATGTACGCATATACATACACACACACACACATATATATATATATATATATATATATATATATATGTCTATATAGATATATTTATTTATTTATTTATGTACGCATATATATATATATATATATATGTTTGTATATATGGGGTCTGGGTTAAAGGCGGATCTACACGGATCCTCATGGATCCTCCACTTTTTAAAAAATAACTCCAACAAATCCAGTGTCAAATCACACCTGGAAGGCACACCTACAAACTGGACTATAAAAAACATGGATCCAACACTTTGCCACGCAAAGTGTGTGTGTGTATGTGTACGTACTCCTTGCCTGCCCGCCTGCCTGCCTGCCTGTGGAAGCGAAGGGTCTTTTCTGAGGGGAGACGCAGGTCGTCAACCCCGAGGGTCTTCTGAAAGGGGCGTGTGTGTTTGACAGCGGTGGGGAGACACAGGTCCGAAGTGGCTGTGGGAAAGGGCACTGGGCCGGGCAGGCAGGCAGGGCAAGTGTCACAGGGAGCTGCTGCTTCCACTTCGCCCCATTCTGAGGGGTCTTTTGGGGGGGTACGTTGCCCTTGCTTGGGCCACAAGGGTGTTTTGGAAGCGCTCGCCCAGAGATGCTTTTTTTAAGCTGCCAGGTCTGACCATTGGTCTACCCAGCCCTTCATAAATGTGGGGCTTCTTAGAATGGTAGAGTGGGGAAAGGGACCGCACGAGGGTCATCTAGTCCAACCCCCTCCAAGGCAGGAACCTTTGGCCCAGTGTGGGGCTCAAACTCAGGATCCTGAGTCTCATCCTGTGCCCGCTGAGCCATTCTGATCATTGCTGAATCCAGCCAGCAGCCCATCAAGCCTCTGAAGAAATAGCCAGTTGGATGCTTCTGGAAGCTCACAAGAGGCCATGAAAATTATGGCCATCTCTTTAAAAAGTACTTTCCGGTTCCATCTCTCTGAGCACCATAATTAGGAAGATTCTGCTCAAACCCGCAACCCTGAGATTAATGCTCTGCCTCAACTGAGCTATCCCAGATTTGTTTTGTTACTGTTTTTTATTAGGTGTTTTATTTTCTTGTGGGTTGTTTTTTGTGTGTGTGTGGACCGCCTTGAGATCTTTGGATGAGGGGTGGTATACAGATTTAATAAACAATAGTGATGATCAAGACATTAGTGGTGCTTTTCTGCGACTGGTGGTGAGAGTCTGTCTTCAGGGCTTCTGGGGGAACGGGGCAAAGGCCCTTTCCCAGCACCCCAACTGCATGGGAATCATTTAGGTTGTAAAGGGAGAGGATCTCCTGTAAGAAAACCGCTTCTGCTGAGCTCTTCAGACAGTCTCCCGAACTTCTCAGGCTCCATGCTAGTGGGCTCAGATTCAGGCTAGTGGGCTCAGTCCAAGGCAGAGAGGCTATGTTAGTGAAGCCCTTTGATTTGGAGATTGAACCTGTGCGTTTAAAGTGTATGTTCTACCTGTTGGAATAGTTCAGACTCCATTTTTCTTTTCTTATTTTGGGTAGATTTGCCCCAGTTTCTAATTGGTAGTGGAGACACACCCTTTTCTAGTAGTACTGCCTCTCCCGGTCTGCCCCACAGAGAGCCTCAAGGTCCATATATAGTAACACCCTAGAGATCCCGGGCCCTAAGGAAGTTAGATTAGCTTCAACCAGAGCAGGGCCTTTTCAACACTGGCCCCGGCCTGGTGGAACGCTCTGCCTCATGAGACCAGGGCCCTGCAGGATCTGATTTCTTTCCGCAGGGCCTGTAAGACAGAGTTGTTCTGCCTGGCCTTTGGCTTGGAGCCAATTTGATTCCCTCCCCCTCTTTCTTTTTTCTTTTCCTTTCTCCTCCTGTGATGAGGCTGCATTTTAATATTTTAATGTTTCAGTATTTTAATTGTTGTATTTTAATCTTGTTTTTAAGTTGTATTCATTCAGCTTGTTTTTATTATTGCTTATTAGCCGCCCTGAGCCCAGCCTTGGCTGGGGAGGGCGGGGTATAAACAAAAAAAATTAGTAGTAGTAGTACCCTCCTCCGCCCCCTTATATAGTGCCAGGGCCCAAAGCATAGAAAACAAGTCATGGGAAGGGATCGAACCATAGATCTTGTGACTTTAGGATAGGTCAGAGGTATCTCCTCTACATTTTTATATTTATTTTTTGCATTGACAGTGGAACCTTAGGCACAAGCCGTAGGGGAGGAGTCAATAATACAGCAGCCCCAAAATGGGGCAGATAAACCAGAAAATCCTCTTGTTTGCAGATGGTAGAATTCTTGTGACAAACCCACAATCTTCTTTGCTAGCACATCAGAGGGTAACGTCACAATGTAATTAAGGTTCAGGTGTTAAAAGTGCACTGTCCAAAGGTTGAGATGCTGGCAGTACATATTTAAAGGGAGGTTCAGGAGGCCTTACCTGGAAGTAAGTCCCATTTAAGTCTATGGGGGCTGAGTATTTATTTCTATTATTATTATTATTATTATTATTTATTCAATTTACTGTCCTCTATCAAAACATCCCAGGGTGGTTTACTACATTAAAAGCATATTTTACAGAGCAAAATAATAAAAACATAAAGTAGACATAGAACTGCATTGTTAATATCACATTTCTAATACAAATGGGAAGGAATGGTAAATACTTAGAAACATTTTGGGGTTGTAATTGCATAGGGACTTGATTAAACATATTATATTGATGTGCTCAGTTTAAATGGATATGACAGACTGGGGAAAGCCAAATGTGTCATAGTTGATGAGGGTGTAACCAGGGAAAATTAGTATTTTGTCCAAATTTATATATTTATTCCCTAAGCAGTAGTTATAATGAATCATTGAGTGACTGGCAGAAGCTATTAGTGAGGGTGAAGAAAAGCTCAGGATATGAGTGCCACATGTTTTATATCCTGATGTCTTCCACATAAAGGGGGGGGGGGAGGTTGTACAGGAGTAAGGCTCTAACAAATTGTTCTCTATAGAGTGATGGGTTTTCTCTGGAAAAGAAGCACAAAAGTAGGTGCCAAGCAATTCAAGCTATGCTTACATGGTCTAAGCCTTGACAATCTGACTGAGGTAGCTAGTATAAAATTCTGGAATCTTACCAGTTTCCACCTTTTTGGGATAAGCCTATTTTAGACCTGTTTGGCTTGTAGATTCTTTAAATTATCGGGGGGAAATAGTTGCAAGGTTTTAAAAAACTGATGGACGGGCATCTTTTAAAGAGGGAGGCCAAGATTTAATTAAAATATGTTGTCAGTATATACAACTACATCACTTGGCTAATGTCTGTAGAGCCTTACTGAGTTTGCAAACTTCTTGACAAACAATTTGGCCAATCGAAAAGAACTATCTTGGTCATATAACCTGTTAGGGTCCCACCCCATCCTATGTAGTTTGATTGTTTCAGGACATAGAAACACAAATTGAGGTGGAGGTAGATAGTCTTCAGATCCAAAGGTTTCTTCCTCAAACAACTTTAGGTAAATCTTTTTTTTTTCAGGATTATAGCAAGGTGGTACAGTATATCCCAGGCATAATATAAATCAGTGTGTCAGACAACTACTGGTAGGATTAGACAAATCTTTGATAGCTATGTCCAAAGGCTAAATGATATCAGGCATGTATATTCCAATGTATTAATGGGATCACTAGCTGTTTTATATCAGTTGAACCACACATTCTGTTAGGGTGTTCAGACACAAACTGTGGCAGAAATTAGAAGGGAATTGAATTATATTGTTACTGATTGCTGCCAAAAGTTAGCTAACTTAAAGATAAAAGTGCATAAGTTCACCTGCAAAATGTGGGAGCTCTTAATCACGAACAAGAGCTCAATACAAAGGAACAACCAATTGTTTGGGGGCTTTTTAGAAAAGTGCTTTCAGTTTCTTAACTGTGTTGAGTCCACCAAAACAGTGCACAAACAATCATTTTGCTTTAACTCAGTGACACTGAAGAAGGAATGTTCAGGGTCTACAATTTGTGATTGGTTTTGGACCTCGGTTTGTACATTAAAAAATATTTTCCTAAATATTTAAAGTAGCTACTGGCCTTTTTCGGTGAATTTTAAGGAAAAGCTTCAAAATAAGTATGATGAAAGCAAGTAATGGATTTCTGATTTGAAGACTGTCTATAGTTTGTAGTGCTGTATATGAACTAAGTTCACTTATTCCTGAGTTATCCCATGAGCGTAGCCATAACACCCAGCATGTCTTAGCTTCACAAGGCCATTGCAGAGCAGAAAAGAAGTTGCTGGCCATGAATTTGCACAACACTGGTGGATGAATATTGCCAGTAGCTTATCGCTATGTTTTATCATTTAAAACATTGTCCATTGTGTGTTTGTGTATGTGTCTTTGTCTTGTGGATAACTTAAGTTATTCACACATGCAAGTCTTCCTAGCCACAGCATGAAATATCATAGAATTGTAGTGATGGAAGGGACCACAAGGGTCATCTAGTCCAACCCCCTTCCCAGTGTGGGGCTCAAACCAATGACCCTGAGATTAAGAGTCTCATCCTGTACCCACTGAGCCATTCTGATCATTGCTGGATCCTGCCAGCAGCCCATCAAGCCTCTAAAAAAAATAGCCTGTTGGATGCTTCTGGAAGCTCAGAAGAGGGCATGAAAACAAGTACTTTCCAGTACCATCCCTCTGAGCACAATAATTCAATTTAATTATTCTAGCTGATAGCCACTGCTAGACCATGAATTAGTCTAAATCTTTTAAAAAACACAATCAAAGCTAGAGACCGTTGTCACACCATGCAGGTATGGAATTTCCTTTTAGACCAGAGCAGGTTAAACACCAGTATTTGAAACAAAGAAATTTCATATTCATAGTGTGTTTTATCTTGCCTGAAATGAATTTCAGTAGTGAAGTGCATTTTCTTGAGACTTTTCCTGGGAAAATATCCCTATGCAAATTACTCTAATTTGCATAACATTTTTCAGTTTGCATCGCAACATTTTCTGATACCCTAGAGAGTTATCTAATTAGCATGTTTATTTTTCTTTTATTTAGTAAATGAAACTAAAAACTTTGAAGCTGCCAATTATTGCCTAATGTGTTGTACTGTATTTGCAATTGGCATCCATTCATTATTATGAATGAACATAGGAAATTATTCCCCCCCCCCAACTACACTTCACTGAGTTTCACTTTATTGGCTATCATTCAGGCCATTCTCAAGAACTGATTCAGCATACCGATTGCTACATGCCTGATGACAATGCACTGCAAAACCATGGAAGGCTTCACTTCATATCAATGGCAGCGTGGGTGATAAGATAAAACCTGATTCTATGCTGCAAATTCCTTGGAATCAAACAGAAATCCACCTGCACCACCTTCTGTTCTGGCCAGCCCAGGTATAAGCAGAAACCATTCCAGTTCATTTCCTTCCAACCCTACAGCCATTCCAGAAGTATACTATGGTTGATGGTATTGAAAGCTGCTTAGAGATTGAGGATCAACATCAGGCTTCCTCAGCCTCGGCCCTCCAGATGTTTTTTTGAGACTACAATTCCCAGCATCCCTGACCACTAGTCCTGCTAGCTAGGGATCATGGGAGTTGTAGGCCAAAAACAAGCCTAATCAACATGGAGACATTTCCCCTATTTCTCACCTGACAGCTAGGTCATCCCACAGAGCAGCCAAAATAGTTTCTTTGTCAAAGCCAGGCCTGAACCCCAACTGTAATGGACCCAGAAAATCAAATTCATCCAAGACTGCTGGGTCTGGTTGACAGCCACACACTCCAGCACTTTGCACAGGAAAGGGACATTAGCTAGTCGTCTATATTTGTTAAAGTATTCTAAGTCCAAGGATTCTTTCTTCAAGAATGGACACACTGCCACCTGTTCACCCTCTCTAGGTGAAATTTATTATCTTCAGGACCTGACCACTCCCTTTGCTGCTAGAAGCAGTAAGCCAGGAAGGGCAAGGGGTCAAGCAAACTCATAATTGTGTACACCCAACCAAGTTACCTTGTCCACATCCCCTACCATCTGAAACTGGCCATCAGGGCTAGACTAGACAGTACGCTGGGTATTTCCACAGATGGGCCAGCAACAGCTAAGTCGTGGTGGTTGCAAGTGTTTTTATCCTTAAAATGTTTTGCAAACAAGTAACGACATACCACCAAGGCTTCTACTATTTCATCTATAGAGCCAGAGTTTAAAAGGTCTTGAACCACTTGGAAAAACCCTGCTGGGTTACACTGAGGGGCAATGGAGCTGGTGAAGAATCACAACACCTTTTCCTTACCCTCGGTGGCTTAATACTGAGTTTATACTAGTGTTGGATTGGATTCTTCTTTAGCTTTCCTCCACTTGTGTTCTGGTTATCTCCCAGCTTGTTTCATTGCCCTCAGCTCAAGTATGTACCATGGAAAATCCTTGGCTCTGTTAAGCAGGAGAGGAGGACACATGGAACCAATTGTGTTAATTATTCAGTTCATTTTGGCATTTCACAGATCAGCCAGAAATTTGGCAGGAGCAGCAGTCATAGCCACAAAAGCACCCCCGCTCCCAAAAAACCTCCTTAGGATCCATTGGTCCCTGGGGTGGACCATCCTAATAGACCCCCATACATGCCCGCAAATCTAATTCGCAACAGGAGGGAGAATTTGCAGCCCAATATAGGTAAGGGGATGGTTAACAGATTCCTGGTTCAAGTCTCAAAGGCTAGATGTAATTACAAGACTGCCAAAAGAAATTGTGGACGTTATTTCAGAGCCACTGTAAATTTTGAGGATTCATGGTGAGCAGTTGAGGTGCCAGAAGGTTGGAGACAGACAAGTGCCCCGTCTTCAGAAAGTGAGGAACAAGCTAGGCTGGGAAACTGAAGATCGGTCAGCTTGACATTGTTACCGGGCAAATTTCTGTTATAGCTTATTAAGTTTGTGAGCATTGATAAAAGAATGCATTGATTCCTAGGAGCCAGCATGGGTTTATCAAGCATAAGTCACGTCAGACCAACTTCATCTCCTTTTTTGACAGTTACTAATTTGGTAGACCATGGAAACGTTCTGGGCATAACATTATCATTATTTCAGCAAAGGATTTAACAGAGTTTCCCGTGGTACGCTTGCTGACAAGATGATAAAATGTGAGCTGGATGATACTACTGTTAGGTGGCTCCACAGCTGTACCCAACAAGTGCTTATAAGCACGACTCTGTTCTTGCTTTTGTGCTGTTGAACATTTTTATAAATGTCTAGGATGAGGGCATTGAGGGGATGTTTATCCCATTTGCAGATGACACAAAGCTTGGAAGGATAACTGACACCATAGAAGACAGAATCAAGGGTCTTGACAGATTGGAATACTGGGCCAAAGCCAACCTTGTGAAATTCAACAGAGACAAATGTGTGAAGTCTTGCATTTAGGGGCAAAAGTGGTGAGCTTGACAGCAGTGCATGTGAAAAGGATCTAGGTATCTTAGTTGATCGCAAAGTGAACATGAGCTAGCAGTGTGATGTGGCTGTTGTGAAAGCTAATGCATTTGTCATATGCATTAACAGAAACCTAGCATGGCTCTGCATCCACTTTCAATGAAGCTGAATATCAAACCAAAGGAGGCAGCTATAGAGGTATTTCAACCTCCTTCAAAGTGAAGCAGGCCTTATCTGAAATGGACCTAAGTACAGTGGACTGATCCCAAAGCTTTGGTCCTGCTTTGGGGTTTTGTAGGGTGTAAAAGCAGCTGTCAACAGGGTGGATAAAAATCAATTATTTTAAAAAATGGATTTTTTTATTTTAAAAAATGGATTTTTTTTATTTAAATTGGATTTTTAAAATAAAATGCTTTTGGAGGGAAAATATTTCTAAAGATATTTTTCTATTTACGTTACATTACACTGGTCAACAACAAATTTGTTGTCTGCGTTTTTTCAGTTGATTTAGGACGAATCTGATGCGCTGAATCAAAAAACCACATTGGTTTTGCTCAATCAGGTCAAGTTTTTGAGCTATGGCCACATGTCTTTTTTTACGTTTTTGTTCACATGTACGCTTGTGTGGAGCATTTTAGAAGAAGTTGGTGGGGTAAAATGCCATGTCAAATAATTGTTTTGATTGGAAATGATTATTTTAATGACAAGAAGTATTCAGGTCCGATAGTTCTGGGTGATTATGTCGAAAAGGGATCAGTTTGAAGTCATAAAACCTCAAAATCTTCCATAAATTGGTGCGGCAAAGCATAAAGTTGGGGGTTCAAAACTAAGTTAATGGGGCAGCCGCCCCACGAAGTATCCTGATCTTCAATCAGCACGTTGTCCTGTAGCTCATTGTAATGAAATTCCAGTGCCTATCTTCGGAGAACTTCCTGACATTAGTGACAAAGATGCCTCCAGTGTTGAAGGACATGAAGAAGAAGAAGTGGTTCTTGAAGATGATGCTCCACATCCATTTTCCCAAAAGGAGTAGAATGATCTAGTTCGCGACCTCAGCTTGTCAAAGGACTCTGCCGAACTGTTGGCATCCAGATTGAAGGGAAAAAACCTCTTCTCTGACAGTGCTCACATCAGCTTCTTCTGCAACAGGCATCAAGAGTACCTCCGTTTTTTCTCGGAAGAGAAGGACTTGGTGTACTGTGCAGATATTGCACAGCTTCTGCTCAAGCTTGGAGTGCCACAGTACGAACCCAAAGATTGGAGACTGTTCATTGACAGCAGCAAGTGATCACTGAAATGTGTTCTGCTACACAACAGCAACCAGTTTGCCTCTATACCCCTGGCTCACTTGAGTACACTGAAGGAGAACTATGAAGGGGTGAAGTATGTGCTGAAGAAAATTGGTTATGATCAGCATAAGTGGTTTATTTGGGTTGACCTGAAGATGGTGAACTTTTTGTTGGGACAACAGTCTGGCTTCACCAAGTACCCATGTTTTCTGTGCATGTGGGATAGTAGGGACCGTGCTCAGCATTACACGAAGAAGGACTGGCCTGTGCGGGAGGAATTGGTGCCTTGCAAAGAAAGGAACGTCATCAGCGACCCTCTGGTGGACAGAGACAGAATACTCTTCCCACCGTTGCACATCAAGCTCGGCTTAATCAAGCAGTTCACCAAGGCTCTGGACAAGGATGGTGACTGCTTCACTTACTTGTGCCAGGTTTTTCCAGGATTGACCATGGAGAAGTTGAAAGCTGGCATCTTTGACGGTCCTCGGATCCGTCAGCTCATCAGAGATCCAGAATTCGGAAACTCAATAAACGAAGTGGAACTGGAAGCGTGGAAGGCATTTGTTCTAGTAGTGAAGAACTTTCTTGGCAACAATACGGCCAGAAACTATGCAGAACTTGTCAACAACATGCTGACTGCTTTCAGAAACCTGGGCTGCAACATGAGCGTCAAGATGCACTACCTATTTTCACATATGGACGGGTTTCCTGAGAACCTGGGTTCAATGAGTGATGAGCAGGGGGAGAGATTTCATCAGGACATGAAAGAGATGGAGACCAGGTATCAGGGTCTCTGGGACACAGTCATGATGGCTGACTACTATTGGACTCTGAAGAGAGACCTCCCTACCGCTGAGCATTCCTGGAGTTCCAAGAAATGGAAGTTCAAGCCCTGAAGTTTGAAAAATGGTGAAGCAACATGCAATTTACATGTACTTACCTTTATCAATGCCCACCATTCAGTTTACAGTAAACCTGACCTGATGGAGAGAAACGGATGCCATTTCCTGATTCAGCAGTGCAAAAATACCCTAAATCAGTTGTAGAAATCTAGACAACATTCAAAAAGTAAAAAATTGTTGCCCAGTGTTATAGTCCGAAGGCTATTCATTAGGAAATAAGGATTTGTTTTAAGTTTTCCATGTGTTCTAAAACTCAGTCTAAGTTTGTGGTTTTTTAAAATCATTTAACCACATCAGTTAACAAACATGGAAACATATGATATAATGTTACTGTTTCAGTTAAATAAATTGTTTAAATTGTTATTAAGGAAATGATTATTTTTCTCCTTCCAATAAAGTACAGCAGAAAAGTTGTCCAAATATAAACAGTTAACATTAAACCTCACAATAATTTCATAATTATTTGTCTATGTATTTCTAATAGTATAACCAAATCAGTAATTTTTGATATAACTGTAAAAACTACGCTGAAAATTTATTATTCCAAAAATGAAACTTTCATCTGGTTGTAAAAATTAAGATTATACCAGCAAGAATGACTCTTTCTGTAAAAAAAAAAGAAAAAAGATTTAGATAAAGTCTTACTGACTAGTGATTTAAATCATGATTTAAATCGATTTGATTTAAATCAAATCCACCCTGGCTGTCAACCAGTGAATGTGTCCCCGTCTCCCCAAAGCAGTCCCTGCTCTTGATCACAAAGTTGCCCACTAAGACCATAACATTTCTTTCCTTGGTAGTAACAACCAATTTGGACCCCTGTCGCATCAGGTTATATGTGAAATTAATTTTTTTTTGCCCTAGTTTGCATTACTTTGTAAACTTGCATTGGATTCAAGCTGCCATTTTGTTGCTCATTCACCCAGCTTGGAAGATTGTTGTGGTGTTCTTCTCAATGGCTGCTGGGCTTTTGATCATCCTGAATAATTTGGTATCAGTAAAGTTCTTATTGCCCACCCCTGACACCAATTCATTTATTAAAGTTGGATGGCACGTGCTCCAACACAGGGCTTTGGGGGAAAAGATGGCTTGTTTCCATGAATGTAAAAACTGACCATTGTCGTCTTTGCTTCTAATAAGCATTTGATTTTTTTTGCCTATAGAGCCAAAACTGTAGTACCCAGTGAGTGGTGTCCCGAGACTCAGGGTAACCCCAAGATATGCAGAATATCTGGAGGGAGGGCAGAAACCACAATGGGGGAGACACACACACCACCCTCCAAAACAGCCTGTAATAACTCAGAGTCACAGAAGGCTAAGAGGGGGAAACTGCTAGCAGGCTGGGCGTAGGGAATGGAGCAGTGCAGCTGGGGCAGGAGGACAGGAACATAGATAGATACAAAGGGAATAAATAAATAAGTGTCTGGATAGGTCCCTTCCAGGTTCACACAGAGAAGCTATTTTTGAGGAGAGCTGCCCATATACATCAGTGGAGAAATCCAAGATTGTAAAGTAGCTGGGATTGATTGAATGTGTCCAACAGCACACACATGCTCGGGGGCGGGGGGAGTTCTTACTGTTTCCAAATTCTTGGTGTGAAACATGCTTTAAAAATACTGTATTTTTTGCTCTATAAGACTCACTTTTTCCCTCCTAAAAAGTAAGGGGAAATTTGTGTGCGTCTTATGGAGCGAATGCAGGCTGTGCAGCTATCCCAGAAGCCAGAAGAGCAAGAGGGATTGCTGCTTTCGCTGCGCAGCGATCGCTCTTGCTCTTCTGGCTTCTGAGATTCAGAATATTTTTTTCTTGTTTTCCTCCTCCAAAAACTAGGTGCGTCTTGTGGTCTGGTGCGTCTTATAGAGCGAAAAATACGGTGCCCACTAATGCCAATGCAGAATTCAAAGGAGATGCAATCCATTGCCCCCAAATTGCAAGGGCTGTTGCTAGAAGAGAGTGGCTCGTGATAGACCTGCAGTGTGGCTCACACTGAATACTGCAGCTCAGGCTACAAGTGGTTTGCAGCAGTGCTGCAGTGTTGTCCAGACGTTATTAAACCCCTTATTGAAGTTTGGGCTGAAGCTGAAATAGTAATTTAAAGCTGTGCTGCAGTGTTATCCATTGCCTTTCCCCCCACGTTGCAGGTTAGGGTTGGAGAGCAGGACCCAAAAACCCTGCAGTGTAGCTCACGGTTATACACCTATCAAGGGATGGAGAACTGTGCTGAGGCAGGGTAGCTTATAGCAGCTCTCTACACTATATTCATTGTTAATACGCTACGGCATTTTGTTGTGAGGTCCTGCTTCTATGTACTAATACCAAACTGTCCCCTTGATGCTGGTCCTTATGTAAGCAAAATCCACACACAAGGGGAAAGGTTTCAGCAGGTTCAGGGGAACCCGAATTTTGCTGAAGGACTGAAAAAAAAATTAGGAAGAAGAAATCATGGGGAAGCCCCTGGCAAGGAGCCCAATGAAGACTCAGCATTCACAGCAGCCATGAAAAGCTGATTGATTGTTGTGGGCTGGGGGGGAGATAATAATAAGAATACTCCTTATTAATGATTGCTCTTTTTTCTCTTCTGAGAGGAGGAATAATAGGAAGGGGCGTTATTCCTTTTGTTTGTTACTATGTTATGTATTTTTTCTGTTTTTATATTGTAGACTGCCTTATGACCCTCAGATGAAGGGTGGTATGGAAATTTATTAAATATAAACAAGCAGGACAGCTTCCGCTAAATTCATGTAGTTTGTCTGCTTTGACTGTATAGGTATATTTATATCTCCCATTTCTCCCATCATGGGACTCAATGTGATGGGTGTATGTAGAATTCCCGGGTGGTCTTTTATTCAGGCATTACCAGAATGATGCAGCCTCATTGATTTTAAGTTGTCAATTAGTTCTTCTTTTCCTTTCCTTTCTTGTCAATTAGTTCTGAAGCTCATCCTTTATCACCTCTGTTTGAGAAGATTCACTGCTTCTGACCAGTGACTCAGGTGTGAGAATCTGTCCCAATATTTTCTGCAGTGAATTCACTTCATTTCTTTGTCCTCCTTCAGTAATAGTTTGGTTCCTTTGTCACTTAATGTTCCTTTTCACTCTTGCTAGCCTCCTTCTCAGTTATTTTAAGAAAAGTTTATTATCTGTTCTTACCAGCTTTATAACAACTTGCACAAATTCCTCCTGTGCCTTATCGGTTTATATTGGTTTTTCCAGAATCTCTGCTTTTCTTTTTAAATTCCCATTTGGACAAGACTTCTGCATTTTTAAAGGAAGCATTCTGGCCTTTAAAGACAAAAGTTTCCCTCGTGGTGCTATTGAAACATGTTGGTATCGTCTTAGACTTGGCTATATAATCAACTCCTAAGATAATGTTTTAGACAACCTCTAGATTTTCTGAACATGTTTTACCCTTTTGACTCCGCCTTTTAGTTTCCTTATTTTAAATCTCCTTGCATTTTTGAAATCATATTTTTTGAAACTAATTTTGATGGTTTTCGACTTCCCTGGCAATTATTTGAGCATGTTTCTCTTGAACTTGATAATGTCTCAGTCTGTTCAACTAAGAGATATAGCAGCAAATGTAACATTGCCATTTTATGGAACGGGTATGTAGGAAAAGCATTGGAATGTACAGTACATCTTCCCTTTTGTACCCGCCTGCTTCAGCTGAGGGTACCACATGCCACGTAGCCTGACATCTAGAGATTTTTTCAACTGGGTTTGCATGGTGAAGGGGAGGATAAGAGCAGCTGCATTGATGATGGATCAGAACACATTTGAATCCAGCATGTTTGTATCTTTTGAGCTATCTCAAAATGACTTGTCTCCAAAGCTGAGCCCCTTAGATGTGGATGAAGGACTTTTGCACGCCACAAATACACATGGACAACTTGTGACACAGTTGTAACTTGTGTTGCTTTCATATTAAGGGCAGCTTGGAGCTTTATGGAATTTTTAAAGTGTGTGATTTATTTCTGCCTCTGCTTTTTGGTTTTATATAATTCTTTGATAATACCTTCAATATATATATATATGAATAAGGGTTGACTCTCACATTGCCTGGTTACCTGTGGGCTGCAAGCCATGTGTAATCCTTAACCAGGTTTCTTGTGACCCTGATTCATGCCTCATGCAGAGATGGTATGGCATCAACTAAGTTTTACTCAGTGTAGAACCATTTAAACAAATGAACGTGGCTAATTACAGTGGTGCCCCGCAAGACGAATGCCTCGCAAGACGGAAAACCCGCTAGACGAAAGGGTTTTCTGTTTTGGAGGTGCTTCGCAAAACGAATTTCCTATGTGCTTGCTTCGCAAGACGAAAATGTCTTGCGAGTTCCTGCGGGGTTTTTTTCCTCCCCCCCCCCTTTTCCCAAGCCGCTAAACCGCTTATCAGCTGATGGCTAAACCGCTTATCAGCTGATCGTTAAGCCGCTTAACAGCTGATCGTTAAGCCGCTTATCAGCTGATCTTTAAGCCGCTTAACAGCTGATCGCTAAGCCGCTTATCAGCTGATCCGCTAAGCCGCTAATACTGTAGCGCTAATCCGCTAAACCGCTAATGGGCTTGCTTCGCAAGACGAAAAAACCCGCAAGACGAAGAGACTCGCGGAATGGATTCTTTTCGTCTTGCGAGGTACCACTGTAATTTAACTGGGTCTACTCTGAGTAAAAGAGTACCCAGAGTGTGTGGGGGAGAGGAGTGGGGTGGCACAGAGAAAGGATAAAGTATTTAGTCCTGAAGTGCTGCAAGCTCTGCCCTCTTCCCATGAGTCAAAAGCCCTTCATTGGAAAAAGAGTCCCCATAGTGTTGCACACACTATTGAGGTTGTTTAGGTCTACAGAAAGCAAACCATGTGGCTGATCTAAATGGGTGGTATGCTTTTTTTCCCTTGTAACCCAAAGTTCACACACATACCTTGTGTGTTCCGTTCCCTTGATGCCACAAACTGTGTGTGTGTGGATGAATATTGCAACAGTGAGAATATTTAGCTCTCATTTGAAACTGGCGTCTGCTTCTCCTGGAAATGAAATTTCCCCCTTGCTGCCTGCAGAGCATGTTCCTCTGAGAATGGAATGATGCATTGCAGTGCGCATTGGGGCAGGCAGGGGTGGAGTCGAAAAGAGATGATTGCCAGGAAAGGCAAGATCTGCCTCCTTCCTTTGCAGCTGATTGACTGCTCTCCATGTCTGGGTCACACTGCTCTGTGAGTGGTGGTAGGAGTGACTTACAAGAACGCTCTATAAATGAAATTCATGATGTGGGAAAAGCCTGTTAATCTACCATCTTAATCACAATAACATGATCTCAGTTTAACTTAATTCCATTTACATGTCTCATGTTTGCTCATAACTGGGTGTAAAAATAATTTCAATCAGGGTTATTAAATCAGTGGGACCAGAAGTACTGGACTTAAGTGACTACACAAATTAGGGCAAATATGAGCTAAAATACTGCACAGAATTTTTGCTGTCTTGTTTGTTATTTGGGGATAAGTTCTATATCAGTAGAGCAAAGACTTTCTGCTGAAGCCACGTGGACTTCAAGGGGAGCCAGAACTGACACTTAATCTGACATCTATATTCACTCTTACTCCTACAAAAGCTATAAAGTTGTTTTTCTCCACTGCTTGCTACCTTCAAACGCTTGGAAGCACTTGCATAGGAACAAACACTTTTTCCAACCTTCCCTCTACATACTTATTCAAATAAATGTTGCAGGAAGAATATTAAATTTTTGCCTCTTTGAGGTTACTCTGGCCAGGAATTAGGAAATTCCCTAAAAACACTGTTGGGGTACTTAAGGGGGCTTAATAAAGAGTTCCGCAGAAGAACCCAAGTGCAGATCTTCTGCCTTTATCCCTGTATGTTTGACACCACACTTCGAGAGTATATCTTCATCAGAATTATTATTTTAATCTGCTGTTCGTCTTAGCCAAGTGAACTTGCTGGGCTAGGGGTAGAGTTACTCTCTTGATACCTGCCTTTAACATGTTATACCTCTTGTAGGGTTGGAAAGAAATCTATGGGCATTGCTAAAGTCAATAAAAAATTCAATTGAACAAAAGAACAGAACAGAAAATGCTCCTTTGACCCATATTTTCTTTCTAATTACATTGCTGTTTAGAAATCATGACAACTTCAGGAAAAGAGAACTTCCGACTGAAGAGCTATAAAAACAAGTCTCTGAATCCTGATGAAATGCGCCGCCGGCGGGAGGAAGAGGGCCTCCAGCTACGGAAGCAGAAACGAGAGGAGCAGGTACGCTCCTCCATAGGCAATGAAAATGAGAAATCCCATATTCAATTGCAGGATCTCTTGGCTTGGGTGTTACCCAACTTTGGATGGGCGGGGGAGTAGGGCATACCATTTTAGAGCGTGAAACATAATTTTTGCAAATTTACTTTTGCAAATTTATTCAGTGAGGGGTCTTAAAAATACGTTTTTGTGTGTGAGGAATTCAAACCTGCTGTTATTTTTGTGATTGGACAACATTTAGCTTGATAAACCTACGTTTGAATAAAAAGCACATGTTTCCCTGGATAAAACATACCCTACTAAGCATACAGCATTACTTTGTAATCATAAAACAACAATAGAAAGTAATGACATCAATTAATAATAAATTTAAACAGCAAGTTTCATCAAGTCTTGCTTTGATTCATTCTTGGACACCAGCCACCAACTTGCTTCTGCCTCTGATGTAGCCTTCAGGATTCTCATGTTTATACTCCCTGCCTCCTGCCTCTGTGCCTTGTTTCACACATTTCTGTATAGACGGAGCATGGCAAGGCCACTGTGGAACCTGCATGGGTTCATTGATGAACTGACTGATTCTGCTGTAGTAAGACTATTCCAAAGGAGTCTACCCTGTCAGACCAGTCTAGCAGCTCCAACAGAGACGAAACACAGAGGCTGATGGAAGCTGTCTTCCTTGGATGTACATAAAGATCTCCCAGTGTGTCATCATCTCCGCTCCTCAAGTCAGCGATATTTTGGGCGCCAGCTCTCCTTTGCTCACTATTATCTGAGCACAAGAGTGTCTAGACTATTATTTCTCTGAATTCATACCATGCTGAACGCTGTGTGGTTGGCAAAACAGCATCTACTACAGCCTTATTTTGCAACCTAACTCGCCACAGCTGAAAGAAGGTGATGTGTGGACCTTCCCCACAAGAGTGTTTTACTTTGATGTTGTGTGGTGTAGTGTGTCAGATTAGGACATGGGAGACCAGGAATTCACTGATCTGTGGCCCCACTTTATGATTTCTATATAGTGTTTAATAAATCATTATCTTTGGTTATATTCTCTCAGTGTATAAACAGTGTTAGTTGTAACTCTGTAATTTCTCTGCATATCTCTCTCCAGTTGTTTAAACGCAGAAATGTTGCTACAGCTGATGAAGAAGCGGAAGAGGAAGTTATGTCAGATGGCGGCTTCCATGAAACCCAAATGAATAACATGGAAATGACTTCTGTAAGTGGAGCAAAGACTTGACAACTCCATTCAGTTTGCTTTTCCAATAGTGCCAACTGTGATTTCTAAGGCTGCAATCTCAAAAAACACTTCTCTGGAAAGTGGTTCATCTACGATCACTTGGACATGCCTAACTTGTGTATATTTTGCAGCGGTTGCTACACTCTGCCACTGAAAGTGCCCTGTAAAAGACTTGTTAAGGGAGCAATCTAGACTTTGCCCCTGCCTGTGGGACTTTACAGAGCACTGGGGCCATTGCCACATACACAGCCTTGTTGCTCATGAGGGCCAGGGTAGAAAGTGAATCTTGTGCAGTTTTCAGGCCCAGGTTGGGCACCACGCCATCACATGATGGCATTGGAACCAGCTTAGGATCCAATGTTTCAGGGCTCTCTGTTCACCCCTGTTGGCAGGGATCCTGCCAGTTTCCTCCTGGCATATTTGGCAGGCAGAAGCAGGAGGTCAGCACTGGTGACTCTTGGGAGGCCAGCTTAGCCAGGAAAGCTGGGCTGACAGTCACTTCCACTCATTCTAGCCCCTGGTCTGGAGTAAGGGGTATTTGAATTGTTCAGCCCGTCCAGTAACAAATGGTGCTATCTTAATTATATACCTCTTTTCCACTTCCTTCAAGCAGTTTGCAGACCAGTAGGTATGAAAAAAAAGTCAGTTCTTAGGGCTTTTTAGTGCCAGCCAGACTCAGTTTCTTACTTTGCAATGTGAATACATAGATACCTTTGATAAATTTGGAACTGGGCTAGGTATATGACATAATTAGGGATTACAAAGGTGGTTTTTGTTAAATAGCTGATGTGGGGGGGATCAAATCAGGACCTCGCCATGGGGGGAGCTGCTTTAACCTTTTGCCACTGCCACACTATCTCCTGCTCCTATTTTCAGTGGTAGTTTTGAGAAGGAACTTTTCTGGCTGGGTTTTAGACAGGAAATTACCGGTATATTTTAGATACTCTTACTCCCTTCTGCATTTGCACTTGCAGTTGCCTTCATTGCATTTCTTCTTTATAGTAACACATTGAGAAGTATTTGCCCTTAAATTTGAGGCAAAAGTAACAATATTTTTCCTTTGTCACTGCAGAGTGCAGTGATCACATCTGATATGACTGAGATGATTTTCTCCAATAGTCCAGAACAGCAGCTCTCAGCTACCCAGAAATTCCGAAAACTACTCTCAAAAGGTGAGTGCTAGAGGTAGTTATGAAAAAGCTCAGCTTCTGTTCCTGTTTGTATCCCAATATACATGATTGCCACTAACTTTTCTGTAACCCCCTGAATCCCCTGTTGGTGCTTTCCTCACCAGTTCCATTCACAACCAGCCAATGCCCCCCAAGCGCTGGGGTCAGGGGGACGAGTGGATCCAGGGCATGGTTGGGAGATCTGGAACCGCTTTGACTATTGGCAGTTGGCTATTTTATTCTGTGTTGTTGTTGTTTACCTGCTTGTTTTATGTACCCTTTTGTGTTATATGTCATATTTCGTCTTGTTCATTGTTTGGGCATCACTGTGCGCAAAGGTGGAATAGGTGGGGTTATATACAAATAATCAACCCACCACTGCCTTCCTGCTGACTTCAGCATGGAGACTGCAGCCACTGAGCAGCTGCCCTCCTCTCCCTGTGCAGTCTTGGATCCAGGATGTTATTAGAAGAGGGATGTTATGGTGGAGCCACTCAAAACTGATGTTAGACAGGCAGTGCCTGTGCTACAACCTCATTCCCCAGTTCTCCTTTGTTATGTAAGGGTTTTAGGGATAGAGGTGCTTCTAATCTTGTCATTAGGCAGCAGGTGGCGCTGTGGTTTCACTGAGCCCATTGGGCTTGCCAATCAGAAGGTCGGTGGTTCGAATCCCCGCAACGGGGTGAGCTCCCATTGCTCCGTCCCAGCTCCTGCCAACCTAGCAGTTTGAAAACATGCCAGTGCAAGTAAATAAATAGGTACTGCTTCGACGGGAAGGTAAACGGCGTTTCCGTGTGCTCTGGTTTCCGTCACGGTGTTCCATTGTGCCAGAAGCAGTTTCGTCATGACCCGGGAAGCTGTCTGTGGACAAAGGCTGGCTCCCTCGGCCTGAAAGCAAGATGAGCGCCACAACCCCATAGTCGCCTTTGACTGGACTTAACCGTCCAGGGGTTCTTTACCTTTACCTAATCTTGTCATTAAACTTTGGGACCTGTGGCTTTGGAACTCTTAAGTGGGGCAGCAGTTCTTATGGGACAGGTCATAGGGTATCAGTTAAATTAATAAAACAATAAATGGCTGTTACCTGTTTCTAAATGGGAAATGTCACATTGTAGGCATGAAAGACCCAAGTATAAGAATGGAGGGTGTAGAAGATTGCATGTAAAGTAATAAACTGAATGCCTTGGACAACTGATATTATCTGTTTCTTGTGTAAGCACATAGCTTCACTTAAAAGGGTGGAAAAACCTACTCTGGTATCTTTGTGCTTTCAATAGAACCGAATCCTCCTATAGATGAGGTCATCAGTACACCAGGAGTGGTGCCCAGGTTTGTAGAGTTCCTCAAACGGAAAGAAAACTGCACTTTACAGGTATGTGTGTTCTGTTCCTCAATTTTATAGAATAGACTTTGATAATTAAAGGGAAAAAAAGAGGTGGTATTTTCTTAAGTAAAGGCCTGTGGGCTCTTGCAATAAATGCTGTCTATCCTAAAGGACTCATTCGATTTGGAGTTAATTAGAAAATATCCTTGAAATTCCATCGAGGAGAAGATGGCCTGCTATAGACTTATCTTCAGCCTTTATAGGTCAGAGTGCCAGCAGTGCCTCCTTCCATGATATTTTTTGACTGTAAGAAGGTCAAGAAAGTCAATTCACTCCTTCTCCCAACTCCTGGTTTTCCATTTCTCTTTTCCGGTGGACACTCCTGGGGCTCCTGCAGGCCACTGAGCATCCCCTGCCCTCACTGGGCTGCATTTTGTTTGTTTTTAGGGGGGTGCTCTCTTTGGGCTCCGTTGTCTCAGAGTTGACCATTGGAGTGAACAAGTGGGAATAATAACATCTGCTCAGGGACCTGTTTCCTCTGTGCAAGACTTTTTGCTTCCCCCACAAAAAAATCCAACATTCTTTGGCTACTGGCCACACTCTGCCTTCATTGGGTTGTTACACATTGGGGTTTTTTGCCCTAGGTTTGTATTTTTTAAAAGAGCTTTTTGTACGTCTGTGAACTTCAGGAGTTTCCCGGTCTGTGCTAATACCTCCCTCTCGTTTCTGAGTGGATCCAGTTTGCCCCATTTCTGTTGGCACTCTCTACCTTGAGGTCACAGTTAGAGGGAGTGGTGATGATATTACAAATGGCTGAGAGTGACTTGCCTAAGGCTTAAACAGTGAGCTCATGAAAGAGGCAAGAATCAAATTCCAGGTCTCTCTTAGCCATCATTTTACATCAGTTTGAGTTGCCTTTATAAAATGTGCCCAGTGAAAGTAAATTTAAGTGTCTTCAAGGTTAGCTGTCGTGTTTCTTTGCATTTAGTTAACTTAAAAAAAAAAAAAGTCCAGGGAATTTATTTATTTTTTATGTTGAAGCAATTTGGGATATGATCCCTTCAAATTATGTCCCAACAAAGCTCTTCAGTTTGTGATATCAGGAGAAAAATAGGTACACATTTGACTCTGCTGTTACCTATACACCCTGTATTAAGAACATAGGCCACTAGTCCAGCATTCTGTTCTCACAGTAGCCTTCCTGTTAGAGGCATACACTTTTCTTCTGCACACACTTTTTAATGAATGCCAATTGCAGCATATCTGTCTGATAATGCAATATTATTTGCAGAATTGTGTATTACATAGAAAGCAGATGAGCAGGGTGTTAGTGGGAGAAAAGCTGATTAAAGTGTCTGCTAGATGGCTTGTGCTTGTTGCCACCTCTGACCAAGCGCATGGCATGGCAACTACCCCAAGTTAGTGTAGATTTCTGGTTCAAGCATCGTGTCGTAGACAAACCGCTGCTGAAGAATGGCTTCCTCTCTCTCTCCTGTTCCAGTTTGAAGCTGCCTGGGTGCTGACTAACATTGCCTCCGGAAATTCCCTTCAGACTCGGATTGTGATCCAAGCAGGAGCTGTTCCTATCTTCATAGAGCTACTCAGCTCAGAATTTGAAGATGTGCAAGAACAGGTTAGTGTCTCAAAAGGCAAGATAGCATAGAGGCTGCTGGGTACACGCCACTGAGTTTCCTCCTGTTCTTAGTTTCAAGTCCTCCAGCTGCTGATGCTCATCTGGTTTAAAAAGATGGCAAACAAAAGTCTTACTCATGAGATGCAGAACCTTTGGCCCATGGACTTAATCCGGGCAACAGGGATGAGTTCTTTTCCTCCTCTTCAGAAAATGCTGGGTGTATTCTGAGTTTTTCCACGTGCACTGCAATCAGGAAGAAGATTGCTTGCCACTTTCCAGCTGATCTGTGTTTGCGTGCTCATCCTTCTGATCACAGCGCAGCAGGAGGGGAGGTGTAAACCTCTCTGCCTAGAGCAACGTCTTGGGGAGTTCAGATCAGCCCTCCTGGCTGATCAGCGTGGATCAGGGGAGGCGTATGGAGGGCCTGGCTTTCATCCCTGTGGAGCATGCGGAGTGGAGAAGTTTTAAGCATTGCTGTGATTGGGGTTAAAATAATGCCTCCACTCCTTAACTGATTTGCATTGATCCCAAGGGAAGGGGGAGCTGAGCAGAAGGCAGTGTGTTGGTATTACGGGAGTAATTTTTTGTGGGTCCACTCTTCTGATTCTAGTATATAAATGTTTAAATACATAAATAAGGGGAAACAGTAACTCTTTAGAACCTCAATGATTCCTATTGCCTCATGTTCAAACAACTCAACTTATCTAGCAAGCTGTGACTTGGCTCAATACTGATAGGTGGGAGCAGTCAGGCTGGCTCATATATGAATATGACGTTAAGACAATTATTGGTGCTGAGATACAGGACAAGGGAGGGTTGCACTCTCAGAAAAGTTGATCTAACAGTATCCTGTCTTCTTTCTCAGGCTGTTTGGGCCCTCGGCAATATTGCAGGGGACAGTACTATGTGTAGAGATTACGTGCTGGACTGCAACATCTTACCCCCTCTATTGCAGTAAGTTTTCTAGATGGTGTTCAGGTTTATTTGCCAGCAGTGTCCAGTAGAACAACCCTGACTGGAGTGGTTTTTTGTGTGTGTCTGTGTGCATGTGCTCATACAGATGAGCACTGCTGCATTAGCGCAGAAGAATTTGGTGTAATGTGCAAACTATTAGAGACACTTATTGTCTGACTCTACCTAGATAACTTTGTAGTTGATATTTATTGCTTTAATGTAGTCTGTTGGGAAGGATGCATAGAGAGGAGAAAATATTTCATCATTTGGCCAGCCCTACAAGCAAAAGGTAAGCTTAGGCTGGAATCCTAATTCCACTAACATAGGAGTAAGCCCAACTGAATTTTAGGGACTTACTTCTGAGTAAACATAGTTAGGATTGTGCGCATAGGGGGTGTCCCTATACTTGCCCCCCCCCCATGTCATTCTGTGAAAGCATGACATTTCCTCCTGAACTTCTTGGGAATAAAAAATACAGTAGTACCTCGGTTTTTGAACATAATCCGTTCCGGAAGACCGTTTGAGTTTCAAAAAGTTCGAAAACTCAAAACAGAAATCTCAGTACGGAAAACTCAATACGGAAGCTGCGTTTCCAGTTCGACTTTCGAGGCACGTTCGAAAACTGAAGCATTTACTTCTGAGGTTTACAGCACTCGAATTCCGAAAGATTTGTCAGCGGAGACATTCGAAAACCGAGGTACCACTGTAACTATGGGAATTTAACAGGGTTTTCTTTTATAAGCATGATTTCAAGTTAGAAAGCAGATACCTGGTAGTTTGTGTTCAGTGTCCTCTTCTTCTCGTAAGCTTTCTGTTGCAATACTTTTTTCTCTTTTTTTTGTATTTTCAGATTGCTTTCCAAACAGAATCGTCTCACCATGACTCGGAATGCTGTGTGGGCACTCTCTAATCTTTGCAGAGGAAAGAATCCTCCCCCGGACTTTGCTAAGGTAGGAAATAAAGTCTGAAAAGCGTTGCCTTTTGTGGATAAGAAAAGGAGTTCACAACATTCCTTTCTGGAGCAGCCTTCTTAAATATCTGGAGGCTTTTAAGGAAACAAAGTTCTCATCAAGCCGCTCTGAGCCCGGCCTTGGCTGGGGAGGGCGGGGTATAAATAAAAAATATTATTATTATTATTATTATTATTATTATTTATTATCTCTTTAAAAAAAATTGTTTGCTGTCATGTATGCTTCCAGATGGGGTGATGGGAGTTGTAGTCCAACAACAGCTGGGGGACCAAGTTTGAGAAACACTGGTTTAGGTCCTTTGTTGAAAAAGATCTGCGCACAGTAGTAATTGTGATGACAGGCATGCTTAGTCCATTGATTCTTCACCCCTCTCATTTCTTTGTAGGTCTCACCCTGTCTGAGTGTGCTGTCATGGCTGCTCTTTGTCAACGACACAGATGTCCTAGCAGATGCATGCTGGGCACTCTCATACTTGTCTGATGGACCCAATGATAAAATCCAGGCTGTGATTGATGCAGGAGTATGTAGGAGACTTGTGGAACTCCTGATGTAAGGACTTTAGATCAAGCAAATTTATTTAATCAAGCAAGTCTATTAAACGTTGTCCTTTTACTTGCCGTCGTGTCAGGCTGGCCTTGGCTTTTATTTCTTGCTGAAAGTGCAGGTGTGAATACATTATTTGGGGCCCAAAGCCACCCGTTTTGAACCACATTGCAGGAACAGTGGTTATTATGTCCATATTACCGTATTTTTCGCTCTATAGGACGCACTTTTTCCCCTCCAAAAATGAAGGGGAAATGTGTGTGCGTCCTATGGAGCGAATGCAGGCTTTCCCGGGCTTCCTGCAGCTCCGCGCCACCCTCCCGATCCCGGCGTGAAGCCGCGTGGGGCTCGGGAGGGTGGCGCGGAGCTGCCTGCATTCCAAAGCCTGGTGCGCACTGAAGAGCGCGCCCGGGCTTTGCGCACCTCTCCACAAGCCTGGGGAGACCAGCTCGGTTCCCTAGGCTTGCGGATAGCAGGCTGTTCTGGGGGCTGGGGTCGGGGGAAGCTCGGGCTTCCCCCGCGCCTGCCCCGTGCCTGGGGAGGGAATTTTTTTTTCTTTATTTCCCCCCCCCCCAAAAAAAAAAATAGGTACCTTGAATGCACCTTGTTTTAGAGGGAGAGAACAAGAAAAAAATTTTTTTCCCTGTTCTCCCCCTCCTATGATCCGGTGCGTCCTATGGTCCGGTGCGTCCAATGGTGCGAAAAATACGGTACTTAAAGAAACAAAGGAATAAATAGAACACAGTGGCCTTGCATCCTGGCAGCCAGACACAACAGTTGAAGACGTGACTATGAAACAAATAACATTTGACTCTGTTAAACTGAAGCCTTTCTTTTTTCCCTTTTTTAGGCATAATGACTACAAAGTGGTATCTCCTGCTTTGCGAGCCGTTGGGAACATTGTTACAGGGGATGATATCCAGACCCAGGTATAAACACTGCTCACTGCAACAACATTTACTGATTCCAGTTTTCACAGTAACTGAATAGAAGTAAATCTCTTTCTTTCAGTCCTCAGCCTCAAGAGGCTTCATAGAGTTGAACATGTATTGTGGGTTATATCCAATGAAAATGTTGCACAAGCAGAACAACTTCTGCTCATACAATGGAACTTTTCCTTCCTCTCCACCCTCTGTGCACCCCACACATTCCCCTCCAAATCTTTTCTGGGGGTTCTCTCTGTCAGCATCGCCCTTGAGCCAGTGCCACCGACTGGACTCATCCACTTCAGCCACTCTCTGGGCCAGGCGAGCTGGGGTAGCACTTCCAGAGACCACCTTCTGCACAGGAACAGGTCAAAGTGCTGTGGACTCACAACTCAGAGTTGTGAGCATCAGATTCACTTCCGAAGATAGTCGTTGCACAGCAGAGTACAGCAGAGCATAAACCACTCGGAGAACAGCTCTGTAGAATAACTACTTTTATTCTATCTACAACTATCATACAAACTATATACAGAGCTAAATGAAGAAGCTGAACTGCACTGAGTGTCTGCAGCTGCTCTTAGCAGCAACCTTATCTATACAGAGATAACTCTCTCTCTCTCTAACACTCAGTCTCTCTCTTTGATGTGAGGCTGGAGCAGAATAAGTAGTGAGCAGAAACTGCCCCCTCCTCTCTGGAGAATCAGCAGAGAACATCAGCAGATTCTTGGAATGGGAGGGGTGAAATCTCCTCACTCCCAACACTCTGGAGCAGGTATGGGGGTTGGAGGAGGAGAAGTTCTATTGTGCAGATAGAACTCTTTCTGCCCATGCAATGACTTCGTTGGATTCAACCCTTTCCCCCCCTTAAACCTCCTTGAGGTTTTGTGCCTTGAAATCCTGTGTTCAGAAAGCCACATTGGCCTTACTCCTGGTGTCCTTGGCCTGCGCTTTCCTTGAAATACTCATGCCTGTGGTTGCTAGTTCCAACTCTCTAGGATACGGCTAAATCTTTAAGGCATACATAATGGCTCGTGGCATTCTTTAGTATCATGCTTCTCAAAATGTTTGAAGTCAGAGCCAACTATATGCTAACTCCACTTTTTTGAGCCTGACCTTCCTTCTCTACAACAGAAACGTGAGCATATCAATATAGTGAGTAAGCTGATGATGATGATGATGATGATGATGATTCTAATATAGGTGTATGAATAGGCACTATGTAGCCGGATAGAAATTCAGCATGACAGGAAGGGAAGGAGTGCGTCTCTTCAGTGATGCTCCCAGGGATAGTGTGCTGTTCACCTAGTTGTGGCAGGGAGACTTTCTTTCTGGAATCTGCTCAGGAAAAGTGCCAGGACCCACAGTTTGAGAAACACTGTTTGAGCTTGTTGGCTATAGGGTATCTGTGCATATCCTTTTCCCTGATTTTTTTTAGTGCCTAGGAACCAAGCACTATTTGTGCTACTCAACTTCCTTATTTCAGTTCAGCATCTTGGAGTTTTCCAGTCAAGTTTGAGCATGCACCCTTGCTCAGTGTTAGATTGTAAACCTGCCTTTTGAGCATGGTGGTCTCTGATATTTTGAGTAGACTTTCTTTGCATCTCTTGCATGGTGAGCATCTGCATTTGTAAACACATCTTTGTAATGTTCTCCAGAATCCTTTCTTCCTGTCCTTTGCTTACAGTTCTCCAGTCAGTTGTGCACCTGCTGTACAGTGGCAAAACCCACCCTTTGTATCCTTAATGGGCTGCAAGAGCAAGTCTTGTGAGACTTGTTAAATAAAGTCTAATGATAAACAACCCCTGCTTGCTCTTCTTTGGCAAAGCCTGCCACTTCATTGCGGGAGAAATTTAAGCTTTCAAAATAATATTTTCCAATCTTTCACATTTACTTTCTTGCTCACCTTATATTTACAGGGTTAGTGTATGAGACATCTAGGCTCATTGGTTAGATTTGTTAATATGAAAATGCCTACCTATGCAGTCTTTAACATTATTAACATTTACATTACTTAGAATATCTGCCTCCTCATCAGTGACAGCTTACTTTCCACTAAATCTGAGACGAGAAAGGTATTAAGTGCACCTGTCTTCTCCGTCAAGTTCTTCAAACTCTCATGCCCTGCTCTGCTCCTGTCATTGACAGTGCTTTCTGTGCATGGAAAAGGCCTTTATGTTGCCTTTTCTGCCTCTTGCGTTCTTTTCGTTTCTTCCCACTTGATTTTATCTTCAGGCAGACCTACTGCTATCTTATTCTCCCCTTTACTTCCTTGAGCTTTCTGCTTTTTCTCAGCTATTCTTTCGATTTTAGATAAGGAAAAAATCTCTTTATTATGCCTTCCTCATGTTTGCTTAAGGTAAGTGTGCATGGAATTTTTAGATCCATCTTTTGGATGCAGTCTAAAATCAATCTCTTTCTTTCCGTTTCCCAGGTAATATTGAATTGTTCGGCTCTGCAGAGTTTACTACACTTGCTTAGCAGTCCTAAAGAATCAATCAAAAAGGAAGCATGTTGGACAATATCAAACATCACAGCTGGAAACAGAGCGCAGATTCAGGTAATGAAGCTGGCTGGCTCAGAGGTTCACTTGCCAACACAAAATCAGATTCTTAGATCTATTGCTGTCCATGCAGACTTTGGCAGAATATTACACGCTCTTGCTTGTATCTCATTTGGCATTTTCAGCAGACTTTTATAAATTCAAGATCAAAACTGGAAAATGTCAGGAGAACAGGAGAATAACTCTACTCCTCCCCCCACAAAATATTAGACTAGTTGGAGATAGATGCTCAATACTGTTGAATACAAAACAAAGCAAGCAAACAAAAACCACTGTTGAATCCAGCTTTCCTTGATTAGAGTAACCTGCGCCATCCCCCTTTCTGCTGAACTCAAGCTGGTTATTTGGTCTAAACAACAATGAACAAACCTATGGTAACATAAAGCATCCTCAATAAACACACGAGACATAACCGGCTGTCTTCTCAGATAAATTTAGCAGGGGATCAAATACTTTCCCCCCTCACTGTAGCACTCTGTGTCACATTACTATGTTGAAGCAAATAATCCCGATTTTTAAATCTGCTATTAAGACCTTGTTTATTTTTCAGACTGTCATAGATGCCAACATTTTCCCAGCTCTGATAAGTATATTGCAAACTGCCGAGTTTCGGACAAGAAAAGAAGCAGCTTGGGCTATTACTAATGCAACATCTGGTGGCTCTGCGGAGCAGATCAAGTAAGTGCCAGCAAGGTTTCCAAACAAAGATCTTCAGGGTGGAAGGGTTGTGCTGAGAGCTGGTGCTGCAAAGTTTCTCTTTTCTCCTGCACTCCTCATCCCCCTTGACCAAAAGATGCCTGCTCTATTCACACAAGTTTTATCATATCTCTGTCAGGAGTGGGGAACCTCTGGTCAGCATAGCTAATGGCCAGAGTTTATGCAGTTGTAGTCCAGCAATATCCGGAGATTTCCCCACTCCAGGCTACACTATTTTGGTCAGCCTCTTCTAAGGCTTCACTTTCTAGAAGAACTGCCCAGATTCTTCATACCACTGAGTGTTATCCACTGGACATGCGTGAGCGGAACACTGTTCCTCTCTCTCGAGAACACTTCGTGCTTTTGAGGGTGACTTAACCAAGATGCCAGAAGTGGTGCTGCCACTTTGCCAAACCGGATCCTCTCGTTGTCTTGATTCTCAATCCATTGTGCTTTTCAGGTACCTGGTAGAACTTGGCTGCATCAAACCACTCTGTGACCTCCTTACGGTAATGGACTCGAAGATTGTGCAGGTGGCTCTTAATGGGCTGGAAAACATCCTGAGACTGGGCGAACAAGAAGCCAGGCGAAGTGGAACTGGCATTAACCCATACTGTGCACTCATTGAGGAAGCCTACGGTAAGGGGATGTGCTGGTGGGTGACATCCGTATTAGACTATCCAGCTTTTGCCTCGTTTCTCATGGTTCATTATGACCTCAAAGTAAATGGAAGACTTTCCAAGCAAAATTGTACTCTTTCAGTGTCGGGGGGGGGGGGGAGGACCTACTGTACATTTTCTTGCCCATAATTTTCTTTCTAGTACTCTTCCTTTGTAACAACTTCTGATACTTCCTCAGTTGCCTTTAATTTTCCAGTTCAAGTAGCATTTAGGGACATAAGAATAGTCTGCTGGATCAGGCCAGTTGTCCATCTTGTCTACAAGAGCACTCTCCCCTCTCATGGTTTCCAACTGTGGAGGAAATAGCCACAGATAGCCCTCTCCTCCTTGAATTTGTCTAATCGTCTTCCAAAATCATCCAGATTGTTGGCTATCACTGCCTCCTGAGGAAGCAAGTTCCATAGTTTGACTATATACTGCATGAAGAAGTACCGTATTTTTTGCTCTACAAGACTCACTTTTTCCCTCCTAAAAAGTAAGGAGAAATGTGTGTGTGTCTTATGGAGCGAATGCAGGCTGCGCAGCTATCCCAGAAGCCAGAACAGCAAGAGGGATCGCTGCTTTCACTGCACAGTGATCCCTCTTGCTGTTCTGGCTTCTGAGATTCAGATTTTTTTTTTTTCTTGTTTTCCTCCTCCAAAAACTAGGTACGTCTTGTGGTCTGGTGCGTCTTATAGAGCGAAAAATATGGTACTTTCTTATATTTGTCCTAAATATTCCAACATGCAGTTTCATGGGATGTTCATGAATTCTAGTGTTACAAGGGGGGTGGGGACTTCTCTATGTCTTTCTGCATGCCATGCATAATTTTATAGGCGTCTATCAGGTCACCTCTTATTTGCCTTTTCTCTAAACTAAAAAGTCCCAAATGCTGCAACCATTCTTCATATGGGAGCATCTCCACCCCCTTGATCATTTTGGTGCCTTTTTCGGAACCTTTTCCAACTTGGTTCATTTCTGCAGAAAATGCTGGATACAAAGATAATGGCAGTGCCTCTTTTCAAAATAAAAGCAGAATTTTGGAAATACCTCTTCATATTTGTGGTTGCTTACAGTCTGCAGCACAGGCGGCGCTGTGGTCTAAACTACTGGCCTCTTGGGCTTGCCGATCAGAAGGTTGGTCGTTCGAATCCCTGCAATGGACTGAGCTCCTGTTGCTCTGTCCCAGCTCCTGCCAACCTTGCAGTTTGAAAGCACACCAGTGGAAGTAGATAAATAGGTTACAGCTGTGGCGGGAAGGTTTCCGTGCGCTCTGGTTTCCGTCACAGTGTGCCATTGCGCCGGAAGCGGTTTAGTCATGCTGGCCACATGACCCAGAAAGATGTCTGTGGACAAACTCCGGCTCCCTTGGCCTGAAACTGAAATGAGCGCCACAACCCCATAGTCGCCTTTGGCTGGACTTAACCGTCCAGGGGTCCTTTACAAATGCCGAAATATAAATATAACCAAAATCTTGCAGTTAGGCTGTAGGCTTAGCTGCTGCACTGGGCACAACATAAAGATCCTCTTAAGTGCATTTTTGTGGATTATAACACCAGAGGGTTTTGCAGAGCATTTTAATATTTCTATACCACATCATTACCTAAGCAGCACCTGCAAAGTCTGAAGTAACGAAGAGGCAGTTGTGGGATGGGATAGCTCCAATAGCAATGGAAACTTCTGCCTTTAGAATCTTTGTGGGGTCTCAATGGAGTCTCCTGGTTTTTAATTGAAGCTACAGTTCAGATAGCCTGGTCTGTGTATCTCGCTCCGTCTTTGCCCCACCCCCTTCTCAGCAACATGCTGAGCTATCCAGGTGTCCACCTGGCCATCTAGGTGTTTGGGGACTCTAGCTACTGTCAGCCCCAACCAGCATGGCAAATGATATGGCGTAATGAGGAATCCACTAATATCTGGAGAGCCAGAGGTTCTCCACCGTTGATAAAGATGAAACAGTGCAGGTATACCTGCCTCTTCAAGAACTGAGGGGCTCTGTGTATTTTTCTTGCAGGCCTGGATAAGATTGAATTCCTGCAGAGTCACGAGAACCAAGAAATCTACCAGAAGGCCTTTGATCTGATTGAGCACTACTTTGGGACAGAGGAGGAAGATAGCAGCATTGCCCCCCAAGTCGATCTTGGCCAGCAGCAGTACATCTTCCAGCAGTGCGAGGCTCCCATGGAAGGTTTCCAGCTGTGAGGCGCTCCTGTGCGCTGCGTTGCACTTGCCCATCCAGCCCTATTGTAGAGCTCTGAGTTGCCCACAGAGTGGTCCTGTTTTCCATAAACCTGTGTGAGCTCATTTGCTTGCTTTGCACACACGCTTCCTTACAAACACAACTGGAAAACATTTGGCTCTTTGTTGTAGGACGCCACTTTGGTAAGGGCTTACCCTAGCTGCTGTGCCCATCTCTCCAGAGCTTGGGCACTTCTGCCAAGATGTCAGTTTTCCCCAATGAAGTACACACTAAAGTGGTGTAATCCTAGATTCTAAAACAAGGGTGGAGTTTCCTTTGTGTGTCTGTGTGTGTGTTGCAGTGTTCTTGCTATCGACAAAGAGGATTCGAGAGACTCTTCCTTTCCGGGCGCTCCTGGAGTGCCTGTCTCATTGGAGGCTCACGCAGAATTTGGAATGGTGGTGGTTCTGTGTGTGGCAGCTTGGGCTTCTGTTAATATATATATATGTATGTATAATATATATATACATATATGATACACAGAGATACAGGAAGGAGCTCTCTGTTCCCTGCACTTACAGCCGCCAGTGAATAAGCTGCTCCAGGTTCTTGAAACAATGAACAGTTGACAGCAGGCAGGATTCCTATGCTGCCCTTTCGACTGCATGGGGTTTGTTCTCTTCTGTCTGCATGAGGAACGGAGCCCATCTCTCTGTACCTCCCATGGGGCAGCCAGGGCTCTTTTGAAGATGTCCGAAATCACGTCAGGGATAGAGGAACTGTTCCTGTTCATCTGCCACAGCATCAATTGGCTCCCTCTACATTCAGACTGAAATCTCTTTCAAGTTTTGAAAGTGGTCCTCATTAACATGGTTCCTGCTGAGAAATCCACGCTTGAGTTTTTGTAAACGTCTTGGTTGAACAGGGCTGCCTGTAAATCACATTCTGTTGTAAATTCCTGATATGCTAAAATATTGAAGCAAAGAAGATAACTGGCTCCCTGGGCCACCTCTGCTTACGTGGACTGTAGCTTCTAAGTCAGGCCAGAAAGGGACATCTGGATTCTATAAACTTCACTTAAAGGCACATAGAACGCTCTTATGACTAATGAAATCCAAGTTCTGAAATCATCGGCCTAATATTCTTGACTGACACCGCTCATTTAATCCTTAGTACAGCTGATCTCTGGCCAAACGCCATCATGTCAGCTTCCTGCAACAACTAGGGGTGTCGTTCCGTCTCCGTGTCTGTAGAATGCTCTCTTGACTAGCACCAAGATGGTGGCTCTCCGATATGCTCGGACTGAAGACATTGGATATGAATGCCAATTGTTTTGAACCTCTTCACCTAGTCCAAGGCCAGCCGACTCCGACAGCATAGTCTTAATTTAACTTGGCATCAGCCATGATCAGCAGTGTTGTTCACTCTTTGTGAATGCATGGATCTTGCAGGAGGCTTGCACCCTGTTCCCTGACCGGGCAGCACCTTGAGTCAGTTTGACTTTCCAGGACTTGACCTTCCATTACAAACATTGTGAATACATAATAAATTCTGTTGTCAGAATTGTTTGACAAGATTCTTCATGTTATAATTAACGGAAGAAAACTGACATCGCCTGCAACGAAATATACTTTGTCAACCTGTTAGGAGGTATGGTCTCATCAGTGTTCTTCTGTGTGGCTGACCCTTCTCCTGAACACTTTGTATCTATGTCTGTGCTTTTAGGATGGAAGCTCTCGCAGCTGCCAGTTCTGTCCATTCTTCATCAGCCTCCACCCTCTTAACTTCCTTTAGTTTTGTGCTGCTTTATGAAGAAGCATCTTTAGGTTACCATTTCAACTTCAGTTGTTTGTAACTTTAAAATTAGGGCTGGGCTGAGATGGGGGGGGCGGGCATGTGTTTTGCAATAAACTTATTTCCCATTTTGGTTATTGTTCTGGGGGAATTTAAAACCAGGCAAAAACAGTTGGCCCCCTACTATGAGAGAAGGAATCTATGGCCTCTCTCTGATTTGGCATAGTGGGATCATCACGTAACCAAATCCAGCAGGATTGGCTGGATTGATGTTTAAAAGGGGGGGGGGAAAGGCACCAAAACCGCAGATGGGAGAAAGAATCCACAGTGAACAGGAAGCAAACAATGTACAAGAAAGGTAAGCGAGGTGTGAGAAGAGTAGTTTCATGGGGTGTATTGTGGGCAAAAAATGAAGTGCAGTCTGGTTGGTTTGTTCTTTAAATTAGGTGGCTAATCTTCATAACAACCTCAATGTTGCCTTTATATCCCATAGTAAACCATGTTTCTTTAAGGGTGGTAGCAGCACTGATGAATAGCAATCTTGTTTCAGCTTCCAGATTTTTTTTGTGGCTGAGTTTTTTAAAGTGTAAATTACTGATGACATGTCATTTCTATAAGATTTGTTTCAAATCATGTACTTTAATTGATAGTTTTTCGGGGGGGCAGCAAGCTGCATATTTTGTAAGCCAATTTCAGTGAAGGGTGCATGTGGTACAGAAATGTCTCACATGCACAAACACTGACAGTGTGTATATGTGTGTGCTTACCTAGAGTATATATGCACAGGCACACTCCTCCAACGTGTGTGCTAATGTGTATGTATATATGTATATTTACACACATCCTATATCTTTCTCACACCGAAAGTTTTTCTCCCAAGCTAGTGAGAACGTGGTGCATTGGTGTTCCCGCTAGGAAATAATGAATTCTCTCTTTAAAGGAGTGAATTAAACCATAAATACATAGAAGTGAAATGGAGTATTGTCTTTTTCTTTCATTTTTAAAAGTACGGCTAATGTGGTGCTTCTTTCTGTTAGCTGGTGTGGTGATGTACATACGCAAATCAGAATATCCTGTACAATCCAAAGTTGAGAGACGGCAGGTATGTGGAAGTTGGGTCAACTCTGCGAGGTGGAGGTGGCTGCGTAAAAGTTCTGGACAATGAGTTGAAGCATCAAACCACACTTCCTAAACCTTTGAAGGCTTGCACTATCACATAAATATTATTTCAGTGTTGGACCTGCTGCTGACCTGGACGAGCAGAACACTGCCTGCATTTTTTGCTGGGGAGATCAAGGGCAGGAAGGAAATGGATATGAACCTGGCAGAGTTTGTGCCTTCTGTCCCTACTAGCCCAAAACTGGTGTACTGAATGCCTCTGGCAGAGAGACCCCCATTGTTGCATATTGGGTTTAAGGGAGACAGCACCCTCGTTCAAATGTGATTTGATTGAAGGAAGCATTTAGGGTCCATACCATAATCTATAAATCATTTCCCAAAGCTATAGAGTGTATAATAATAGCATGAGAGGATTACTTCCTGTTTACTGGGGGGGGGCAGGCCACAAAAGGTAGGGGGAGGAATATACCACATTATTTAAAGATACATATTTTGAAATACGTACATTTAGCCCTGTGCTTTGGGTAGTAATTCTGTATACATGTAGCCCAGGACACCTGAATTAGAATGAAAACTATTTCTAGGCTCTATCAAGAACTGAATTTGTATATTCAGAGATCGTGGCTCTCTTCTTTATTAGAGAAGTTAAAAGTCTCAATAGAAATGCGTAGTATGACATACCCCGCAGTGTTCAAGGAACTTCTTGGTACCCAGAAAAATGTGATATGGTATACATTATGCCCAAGCCAAACTACTGTACTATGAAAGGCTACAGATGATATAATTTTGTAACCCCAAAAGTGGACTGTTTGCCTTGTAACAAAAGCTAGTGATACGTTTTAGACTAAGCAAATGGATCTCTATATGAGCATGTTCCCAAAATGCCACTGAGTTCTACAGGACAAAGTCAATGGGTTGGAGCTGGAGGTTCAGTTGAGAAAAACCTGCCCTTGCTTGCCAGAGGCTTCAATTAGCAGGAGCCCCCATAACACCCCTGAGTGTATGCCAGGCATGGCCAGACTTGGCCCTCCAGCTGTTTTGGGACTACAATTCCCATCATCCCTGACCACTGGGCCTGCTAGGGAAGATGGGAGTTGTAGTCCCAAAACAGCTGGAGGGCCAAGTTTGGCCATGCCTGGACTGTATGCCGTTACTTTCTCGTATATAAACCAGGCGAGTTCAGATATATTGCCCTTGAAAATAACAGGCTACTACTGAGAGTAACATCCTCTGCCCTAGGAAGTGGGCCTTTTTTATTTTTAATTCTATGCATCTTACATGGTTATTCAATGCATGGAGTTCTCCTCTGCCATTTTTATCTTCAGAAGAACTCTATATCAAGTGGGTTAATGAGCAATTAGTGGCTCAAGGCTTTTCTTTAAAATATTCCTGTAGTGGCAATAGTGCACCCCAGAGTTGAAGTTGGTGTCTAGTCCTGATCCACCAGTGGAATAACATAGATCTCTTGAAAAAAGGTTGTATTCAATGTAACACTAAGGTAAATATTACACAGGTGTGATGGAACATTCTCCCCTCCTCCCCCTTTTTATTTTACATTTTTATAAATTATTGATTCAGATTATTTATAAATCACAAGCCATCAGAGCAGTGTGCAAGATAAAATGAGACCAAAAATGCACAATAAAAAACATTTCTACAATGCACAATTAATATTTCATAAAGTATCTGGATTACCTACACTTCAGGAAAAACATTTGTGTGCTATTTTAGCCTATCCTGTGATGGGGACAAGGGAGGGGGGTACATTTGTGTTGCTGGATGAGCACTTTTAAGAATCTTTGTGTATTATGTTTCTTTTCTCAATGTGGTTTCTAATTAATTTTACCTGTTTCTGTTTTATCATTTTAAGTTGCTTGGAGACACCCCCCTTTTTTTTTGCATGAAACAGCAAACAAATGCTAAGAACAATAATAATCATTGGGAAAATGGAATAAGGCTCATGTTGTCTGCATAAGGCATCAGTAGATTTTTTTGACAACCAGTAGGTGGGGGATGGGGTGGGAGGAGAGATAAGAGACCTCCTGAATTACGTAATTTATTCCATTATTTTTAAAAACCTGGCTGGTTAAAGGTCATCTCATGTTGGCTCAAGCTCCACAAAGCTAGTAAATTACAGACCAAGGCATGCCTTGTGATCAGCAGTGATGGGCAACATAACAAATTGTGCTTTTTACAACCTGCACTCCATACAACCCCACTTTTACTTGGCCTTAATCTCAAGATTGTGGATTCACACCCTACATTGGGCAAACGTTTCCTGCATTGCAGGGGGTTGGACTAGATGACCTTTGTGGCCCCTTCCAACTCTACAGTTCTATGTTTCTATGCTGTGTGTGCTTCTATGCACAGTGCTTTATGGGGAAAAGACGGGTGAGGGGCCACTAATGATCCATAACCCCTTCCCTTGGCGTCTCTGTTTTTGCCAAATCATATCACAACTTTTCAACAACAGAAAGCCTGTGTCATTTGAGCACTAGTATGCAAGGGACGCGGGTGGCGCTGTGGGTTAAACTACAGAGCCTAGGACTTGCCGATCAGAAGGCCGGAGGTTCGAATCCTCGCGACGGGGTGAGCTCCCATTGCTCGATCCCTGCTCCTGCCAACCTAGCAGTTTGAAAGCATGTCCAAGTGCAAGTAGATAAATAGGTACCGCTCCGGCGGGAAGGTCAACGGTGTTTCTGTGCGCTGCTCTGGTTCGCCAGAAGCGGCTTAGTCATGCTGGCCACATGACCCGGAAGCTGTACGCCAGCTCCCTCGGCCAGTAAAGCGAGATGAGCGCCACAACCCCAGAGTCGGCCACGACTGGACCTAACGGTCAGGGGTCCCTTTACCTATGCATGGTGGCAAGGCTAAGTAGACCCAAACTGAAAGAGTGGTTTGTGCTACATCTTTGCTGTAGCTGTTTCTTACCTACATGGGATTATTTACCTAAACTGCTACAGTCATACCTCGGGATAAATATGTTTCAGGATAAGTATTTTCGGGTTGCACTCCGCGGCGACCTGGAAGTAACGGAGTGTGTTACTTCTGGGTTTCACCACTCGCGCATGCACAGATGGTCAAAATTACATCATGTGCATGCGCGGAAGCGGCAAAACGCAACCCGCGCAGATGCGTTTTATGTTCTGTTCAGGATGTGAACGGGGCTCCAGAACGGATCCCGTTTGCATCCCGAGGTACCACTGTATAATGAACACTGGTTTGAGTGCATAATTGCACCTACCATGTGGTGGTGAGCACTGCAAGGTCATACTGCACTGCCTCCACTGCATCAAGTAGCCATATGGCCGCTGCTGACCCTGGAGGTCATGCTACTGGATCTATCCAAGTCCCACTTTGACATGTTTGGGCAGCACTTTCGAGGATGAAGACACTTGTCTTTGGAATGATCTTAATGCAACGGTTGTGGCATCTTATGCCTAGCACTGTTTTGTGGACTCTGTTGCTCTTAGAGAGAGGCATGATTAGTGCACCCATTTCTTAAAGAAGTCAAACCTGGACCCAATGGTGACTGACAAGTTGCAAATGCCCCATTATTAGTCAAGAGGGTAACAGCTTGAGCAACTGGAGGTAATCGTGGAGGACGATTATGTTGGCCCATTTCAATGTGGGTCCAAGCCTGGTTTTTGGAAATGGCCTTATTCAGACTAAGGCCAGGGAAGAGTGACTTTGAATACAGTTGTACCTTGGTTCTCGAACTTCTTGGTACTCATACGTTTTGGCTCCCAAACGCTGCAACCCCGGAAGTGAGTGTTCCAGTTTGTGAATGTCTTTTGGAAGCTGAACATCCCAACGCTGCTTCCAACTGAGCGCAGGAAGCTCCTGCAGCCAACTGGAAGCCACACCTTGGTTTTCGAATGTTTTCAGAAGTCGAACGGAATTCTGGAACCAATTACATTTGAGAATCAAGGTATGACCGTATAAGCAATTTTCTGCAGCTTTTGATGCCAGTTTTAAGGAGATTGCTAGGTACCAGGAACACACTTTTATTGTGTTTCTGTTCCTACGTCAGCAACTGATCCCAGAGAGTAGTGTTAGGAAAGTGTTCCAAGGACCCTTGCCAATTTTCCTGTGGGTTCCACACACCACCATTTTATCCCCAAAATTGTGAATACTTCCTTGAAGCCATTAGGGTATCACGCCCATGTAAGTGGGTATAGGATTGAAGTCCTGAAGAGTACCTCCTTTTAGTGCTATCCTCTGTGTTGGATTTAGAGTGCATGATCCTCAGGGCAAAGGCTTGTCTATTCATGCATAGCCAGACTTTCTGACCTCCGAACTTCCCTGTGTTTACCAAAGACTTTTGAATTGGGCGCCATGTCAACTTCGATGTATGAGTTTTGTGTTCTGAGCACTTGTTCTGCACTGGAGCTGAATGACATATGCCAGTTATATCCTGAAATAATGAAGATGCCAGAAATTATGAAGTTTAGAATCAAAGGTTTTAGGATGATATCAACAGAACAGAAAACCAGAATTATTACAGATATTAGCATCCCAAAACATTCACGGCTGGTAGATGATATGAGAGCAAGCGGTAGCGTCTACATTCCATTACTGCTGTTTCAAAGCGTTAGGTCACATACCATTAAGCTATCTGTGCTACCACCGTGTATGTGTGTGTGGAGAGAGAGAGAGAGAGAGAGATTCCTATGTATGCTATTAGTCACTCAAGGTGAATTCAATACCTTGCTTCAACAAGCCTATCGACCAATACAGAAGGTGCAATGAATATTTTAATACATACAGTAACTGAACGGAATTGGATACTGTATTTAGCTTTCTTTGAAACTGGATAGTTACTGGATACTAGCAAAATATGAAATCTTCATAGGATTACCACAAAATAATTTTATTTTCTGGAAGCTCGGAAGCAACCCTTGACTAATGAATATGCCTTCCCTCCAGCCCCTCCTCCTCCTCTATAATTAAAAGATATATATCTTGTGCCTTCTGAAGTATTGTCCTTCCTCTTGACTATGGTTTGGCAGAGACACTCTGAGCAGCCTCCTCTCTCCAGCGAGCTTTTTTCTCCAGATTCTGGCTCGTCAGGGATTCGTGCCTCTCCACAGCCTGCAGCAAAGAAGAGACCACAGAAGCATGCAAGGAAAGTAACCATGTGACTATACATTATTTTGGCTTTAGGTGTGATTCCTGGAATGTAACCCATAAGTAAGTTGCGGGTTTGCTGTATGAAGACTTGAAAGGCTTTTTAGACTCCAGGACTTGTGAAATGACCACTCAATGGAAGACTGCGCACTACTTGAAAGACTACAAGACTTGAACCCAGACTGTTTGGTTCTATGTCAGACAGGTTAATTTCTTTATTTCAGGAAACAAGTAATGATAACAGGACGAAGAGCCCCTATATATATCCTCTCCTGCTCACCTTAAGAGCCTAACAGATAATAGCAGAGCTTTCAAGAAAAGGCAGAAAAGAGTAACTAAGCATCAAGAAATGGAGGTGCCAAACATGATGCTATAATCCTGTCTGCCAGTGGGGGGCCATTTCAATCCCTCTCCATATTGCAGTTTCCAGCTAACATTACAGTACCGTATTTTTCGCTCCATAAGGCGCACCTAGTTTTTAGGGGGGGAATCAAGAAAAAAAATCTTATTCCCCTCCCCCAGCCCCAAAGAGCAAAGAAGCCAAGACAGCGAGCGGGATCCATCCCGCTGGCTGTCTTGGCTTCCTCTTTAGCCGCGCGCAACCACTCCAGCGCAAGGTCCCGCTGTGCTCCAAAGGCTTCAGGCAGCTATCCCTGAAGGCTGGAGAGCGAGAGGGGTCGGTACTCACTGACCCCTCTTGCTCTCCAGGCTTCAGGGAAAGCAATGCGTAGCCTCCGGAGCGCGGAGGGAGTGCTCCCTCTGCGCTTTGGAGGCTTCGCGTTGCTATCGCTGAAGCCAAGGAGCCTGCATAGGATGCACACACATTTCCCCTTTATTTTTGGAGGGGGAAAAGTGCGTCCGATAGAGTGAAAAATACGGTATATTTTTTATGAAAACTATAAGCAATCTCCCACAGAGCTATTGACATAAACTGTTGATAATGCACTGAATTCCACATTTGGGGAAATTCCCATTCTCGTGCCTATCCTACCCTGACTTTGATTCTAATTCCCTCTTTCTTCCTCTCTCCCTCCCCCCATCTCTTAGGTAAACTATAGTTTATCCTTCCATTTACTTTATTAAGAATACAACCACCCACATTTTCCCTGCTGCTGTATTCCCACAATTTAATTGCTTTTCCTGAGAGATTAGGCTGGTCCTTTAGCTCTTTCCCCCCACGCTGTTGCCAACCTCTTCGCTCTTTTGTACTCACCCGCTTCCCCAGAACGACCATCAATATGCAGCCCATGATTGTCAAGGCAATCATTACGTAGCTGATCTTCACACGCATCTTGTTCCTCGCCGCGTCAACCATCTCAAACCTTTAAAGAATGAATTATCCTAAATTAATTGTCGTGGATTAGCATTGTCAAGCCATAGCTGCTTCCACTGCCTTGACCATCTTGTTAATGGGGGGAAATCAAAGGAAGAATCTAGTTAAAGGCTGCTAAGCCATAAGGCCTGTTGTGTTTGTCCATGGAGTTTTGTACGCAAGTCCATAGAGTGATGTATGGAAGTGAGAGCTGGACCATAAAGAAGGCTGATCGCCGAAGAATTGATGCTTTTGAATTCTGGTGCTGGAGGAGTCTCTTGAGAGTCCCATGGACTGCAAGAAGATCAAACCTATCCATTCTGAGTGCTCACTGGAAGGACAGATCCTGAAGCTGAGGCTCCACTACTTTGGCCACCTCAGGAGAAGAGAAGACTCCCTGGAAAAGACCCTGATGTTGGGAAAGATGGAGGGCACAAGGAGAAGGGGATGACAGAGGATGAGATGGTTGGACAGTGTTCTCAAAGCTACCAGGATGAGTCTGACCAAACTGCGGGAGGCAGTGGAAGGCAGGAGGAGTGCCTGGCGTGCTCTGGTCCAGGGGGTCACGAAGAGGCGGACATGACTAAACGACTAAACAACAACAACAAGCCATAAGGCAAAACCCATTATTGTACCATTCTGGGGACTACATAACCCCTAGAGCAGGGGCCGGCAAGGTTTACCTTGCCTGGGCTGGTTCACTCCCACGGAGATGGCTCCATGGGCCAGATCGCATCTGTGCAGACGCGATTTTTGGCGTCTGCGCATGAGCAAACATGATTTCTAGCACTGCGGAAGCAAGTCCCCGCTCCGCGCTGCACCGGTTTAGCACAGTGCGCAGGGGCTCACCGTGAAGGCAGCTTGGTTCAGGGGCGGCTCTGGAGCCGTTTAAATGACCCCCGAGGGCCACCTGTGGCCCATGGGCCGCAAGTTGCCAACCCCTGCCCTAGAGCTTGGGTTAAAAGTGTCCGGATTTTTTTCTTATTCAGGCAGAACCGCTGGCTTGGCCCAGTCCTGCTTGGCTGCTTTTGAAGTCCTTAGACCAGGAGACCAGAATTAGGAGGCATGCAGGTAGGGCACAACTCTGACCTTCAAAAGGACCAACAGGTCCCTTCTCTTCTGAGGGAGGGAGAAAAACTAGCAGGCACTAGGAGCAGGGGGAGCCAAGTGCTCAGGAGCTTAATCTTCACACAGATGCTGCAAAGCAAGGTAAGGAGAAGGGGAAAGGAATACTTGCATGATGCAGACCACTCCTAAAATCAACCCTTGAATGGACCTGACCAGGCAGAGAGAAAGACAGTGTGGGACTTCTGAAGAAAAGAGATCTTCTGACAGTGAAGAAATGTCAGTATGGTCCCCTCCTGATGGATGTGTCTCTCTTCCATGGCTTATTCCATATTAAAGACAGTGTCGTCACTCGGCAGCCATAATAGAAAGGCCAACACAACCCGATTCCCGGTGTGCAAGGATGTCCCCATATGATCTATCAACAACTAATGACACAGAGGAGCTTGAGAAGGTCTGAGTGAAGGGGCAAATGAAAAATGCCATACAATGTAAGCAAGTGAAAAGTGATTTATACTGGGGCGAAACAACAGCAGCAGCCCTCACCTTCACCAGAGGGATCTATCTAACTGACAGGATCTAAGCTGGCAGTCACTACAAAAAGGTTCTTGGGTCATGGCAGATAACCCAATTTGTGGCAGCTGTGAGGAAGGTGAATTCCATGCTAGGAGTCATGAGAAAAGGAGCTGAAAATAAAACAGCCAGTACCATTGTACAAATCAATGGTGTGACTGAACTGTCTACATTTCTGGTCTCCTCACCCCACAAAAGGATCTTGTAAAGCTGGAAAAGGTTGAGAAGATGGCAATCAAAATGAGCAAAGGTTACAACATTTGGGGCTTTTTAGTTTGGAAAAAAAAGTAAAAGGGAACACCACGCTATGTAAAATGATGCACAGAAAGAAAAACGTGGGTACAGAGATACTTTTCTCTCTAGAACCCAGAGTTCTAGACTCTTACCTGGGTTCTAGAGAGAAGGGTCCTCCAGGGTTCTAGAGCTCGGAGTCATCCAATGAAGCTGGACGGTGAAATATTTTGGCCAAACCTCTTCACACAGCACATAGTTAAACTGTGGAACTTGCTACCACAATTAAGTCAAAGCTGGAAAGAACCTATGAGAGGAAACATTTCTAATGTTGCCTTTCCAAGCCAACATGTAGTCATCACCTCTGTCAACAGTGTGAAAAAATGTTCAATAAGATAATAAGCAAACAGCTGACAAAATCTCAGAATATTTGGGTTAGTGCTTCAGCACCCTCACTATAAACCTAACAGGGTTCCCACAAAATCTGCTTCGCAGCTTTTTAAGAACTCAACACTAAAAGCCCATCTGCGAAATAATTCTTGCTCCAGAACTGTATCAAGGAAGAGCTAACACAAAAGCCTGGGAAGCTTTGTGCAATCTACAGTGGTACCTCGGGTTAAGTACTTAATTCGTTCCAGAGGTCCGTACTTAACCTGAAACTGTTCTTAACCTGAAGCACCACTTTAGCTAAAGGGGCCTCCCACTGCTGCCACGCCACCAGAGCACGATTTCTGTTCTCATCCTGAAGCAAAGTTCTGAACCCGAGGTAGTATTTCTGGGTTGGCGGAGTCTGTAACGTGACGTGTGTGTAACCTGAAGCGTATGTAACCCGAGGTGCCACTGTATTCTGCCCGAATCTGTCGTTGTGCCTGTTTCTACAATTTCATTAAGAGTTTGCCGTTTGAGTAGTTAATTGGTGGAATCAGTAACATGCATGACAGAGTCAGTAACTTCTGGAAACAGAACTGATAATGTAATCACAGTTCAAAGTCAGTTGCTTCTGGCAGCTGCTGCCGATTGCTTTGCTCTTCGACACAGCTGAAAACAAGCAGCAAGCTTTGAGTGTCTGGATCCCTTGATCAGCCTTGCAGAGGCCCTACGCTACTATTTTTCACACTGGGTGACTACTACTACAAAGAACATATGATAGGAAGCTACAAAAGCACTCTGCAAGCTCAATAATATTCTTTGCTGATAGGATTTCCTTGAGACATGTAGTCAAATAGCACACAGACCCAAGCAGCACAGGACGGTGAGGCTCTCTGAAATGCTTCACTGCTTCATGTAAAACTAACATAGTCTTCATAAGGCTGGAAAAGGCTTTGATACAGGTCAGATGAACACCAATTTTATCCAGCCTGTATCTACTGAAAGCTCAGAACCCCAAGATGGACAGTGCTCAAGGGGCTCAGACCTAAAAACCAGCCTACACCTTATGCTCATCACATGACGCAGTGAAAAAATAGGTTGCCTCTGTTCAACTCTGTGTAACAAACTGGATTTCTAGACATTGGCAGAGGGAAAGACAAAGAAATAAGCAGAGGTAGACAGCACACAAGTTGATCCTTCTTTGCCTGCCTGTCTCCAAGGAGAATTTCAGAACCCTCAATCAGAGCTTGCACACGACTACTTGTGATGGGATTAAAATGTAGCCAAGCCACATTACACCTCCTAATCCACATACCCGCGATCACTCATCTTTTATAAAATATTCTGGATTCTCTGAATATTACCAAGAATTACAACCAGAATTATGCAAATGGCAATTTTAGCCTGGTTTGTGCTTAATGCTAAGCCGTGGTTTGCTTTCCCAGAGTATGGCTTGTTTGAACATCCACACCCAACCCAAACTAACCAAGGTCTGTTTTCGAGCAACAAACCATAATGCGGAGCCAATATTTGTTGTTAACTTACAAGATCCACTGTTTAGCGTTATGTTCAAACCAAAGTGTCTTGCTTCGCCACACTCTGTATAGTTCCCCTATCCTTCACCAAGCTACAGATGTGCGAGGCAAGAGTAGCTGGAAAACAAGCTGAAGACACAAGCTGCGACTTGCTTTCCTGCCTATGAGACAACCTATGGTTTGTTGAACAAGACGTGGTTAAAACAAGCCATGACTTATTGTGTTGTGTGTGAACGCAGCCAATAATAATTTGAACATCTTGCTGTAACAGCTATCTGCATTTCACTGATTAAAAAAAAATGGGTTGTGGAGAGAAAAGAGTATTACAGTGGTGCCTCGCAAGACGAAATTAATCCATTCCACGAGTCTCTTCGTCTTGCGGTTTTTTCGTCTTGCGAAGCACGGCTATTAGCGGCTTAGCGGCTATTAACGGCTTAGCGGCTTTAAGAAAAAGGAAACAAACTCGCAAGAACTCGCAAGGCGTTTTGTCTTGCGAAGCAAGCCCATAGGGAAATTCGTCTTGCGGAACGACTCAAAAAACGGAAAACTCTTTCGTCTTGCGCGTTTTTCGTCTTGCGAGGCATTCGTCTTGCAAGGCACCACTGTATCTTTATTCCTTTGCGAAGGGCATATGCCAGCTTTAGCATGAAATAATTACTGGAGTCAAATATGGAGTCATTTCAGCTACACTGGAAGTACAGTTTAAAGCAGTTTTTTAAATGCTTGGTTTGTGAAACTCAAACTTACGACACTGTTTCTGGTATATCCTCTTCTTTCTTGAAACGGCCCGTCCATAGCAACAACTTCTTGTCCCAGTCACTGGGCTTGTGTCCTGGAACTTTGAAAGAGGCTGTAGAAAGCAGGGGAGAGAAAATGCAGTGCTTGAGAACCAAACGCCTTATCCAGAAGGTGGAATCGAGATAGCGATCACTCGCAGCACAGCCAATTACTTGAGGTATGGGGAGCCACTGGCCCCCTCAGGCCTTCATCTGGACTCTGCTCAGTATCCCTGCTCCACCAATCAGGATGGCAAAGCAGAGCACTCTGTCATTGCTTCACCAGCCTGATCAGCTCTGTGCTGAGTTTCCAAGCACAATTCAAAGTGTTGGTGCTGACCTTGAAAGCCCTAAACGGCCTCGGTCCTGTATACCTGAAGGAGCGTCACCACCCCCATCGTTCAGCCCGGACACTGAGGTCCAGCGCCGAGGGCCTTCTGGCGGTTCCCTTGCTGCGAGAAGCCAAGCTACAGGGAACCAGGCAGAGGGCCTTCTCAGTAGTGGCCCCCGTCCTGTGGAACGCCCTCCCTTCAGATGTGAAGGAAATAAGCAGCTATCTTCTTTTTAAAAGACATCTGAAGGCAGCCCTGTTTAGAGAAGTTTTTAATATTTAATGCTGTATTGTTTTTAACACTTGATTGGAAGCCGCCCAGAGTGGCTGGGGAAACTCAGCCAGATGGGCAGGGTATAAATAAATTTTTATTATTATTATTATTATTATTATTATTATTATTATTATTGGCTGAAGAGGAAGTGGATTCCCTTTCTCAGTGACCAATACAAAAGCCAATCCAGCTAGCTTCAGCCTAGTTTGCTTATCTTGTCCCTGACCTTTCCTGTTGGGGAAAGAGAGGGGAAGGGAACTTGGTTTCATTAGGAGCTGCCACCTCAAGGTACCAGAAACTCTCCCCTTTTATCCACTGCTCAGCTATTCCTGGTCATCTTAGCAGTGGCAGAGGAGAGTTACGAGCTGGGATTACACAATCTCTCCCCACTCTGCTGATCGGGAAACAAGCCAGCAGCGTAGTAAGTCCTGGGACTCTGGATCACCCTCTTCTCAGCTGTGTGCAGGAGAGATAGAAGGATGGCGCCGGTCTCCTCTGCACGGGGGGGGGGTGTCATGTATGTACATGTCTGCAAGAGTGTAGGCTAGCTCTACTTATTACTAGCCCTGATCCTACCAACTATGGTTTTGAGCCCTGTGGGTTTTTTTCTGCATGTAGATAAAACACTTTGCACACTGAGCCACTTCTGAATGATTAAAGAATTAGAGTTTTGACCATGGGGGTTTAGGAGCTTAAAATACCAGTAGCAAGCTATCTGCGTTTCAGACTGCTGATAAGAAGGTGAAAATTCTTCAGCTCATACCAACCAGTATATTTGAACACAACAATCATGTCCCATTCCCTATTCATGAGTGTCTATCTACCAAAAAAAAAGTGTGTGGTGGGGGGACAGTTGGTCCCAAATGCTAAACAGTGGGAAAGGCAAAGGTGCAAATGGGGATTAAAGGATTTAATGCTTCTAGACAGTAACAAGTTCAGAAAATATGGGCTGAGGTATCTTCAAGCCATCCACCTTCCTACACAAAGACACCTTCATTTACTAATGATCAACCACTTCCAAGTCCTTAGTGAGGGCATCACCAAACTCGGCCCTCCACATGTTTTGGGACTACAACTCCCATCATCCCTAGCTAACAGGACCAGTGGTCAGGGATGATGGGGATTGTAGTCTCAAAACATCTGGAGGGCCGAGTTTGGGGATGCCTGCCTTAGTGGCTGCCTGTCAACTCAGAAGTAGGGCTTACTCCCAGATAAATTGGGTTAGGATTGCAGCCTTAGTCACCAAAACCCTTTAGACAGACAAGGCCTGATTGCAGCAAGTCTCACATACGGACTTTGGCATGCAAAATATGGTAGCATACATAGTTAAGCAAACATAGCCATAGAAAGGAAGGTTAGTCAAAAGTTTATAGGGAAAGGAAATCAAACAGCAAGTCACCACATGAAGGTAAAGCTAGCACACACATTGCATACAATGTACATGGATCTACTTCCTCATTTTTAAATTGCACAAATTTAACGAAGAAAGTAAGATCCTCAATACAGAAGATGCATGCCGTTCATTCACTGTCCTAATTTCCAGTCAACAACTACTTCCCATTGCGCTATACCTTTTCCTTCAGTGTTAATGGGCTACATGCACACTTGTGGATATGCCACCATTCTTTCAGATACTGGAAAAAGAAATCTGATTTGGGGCATGCATATAAAACAATTTAAAAACTACCAATCAGCACCAGAGGCAGTCACATGCAAATACACATGTTGGATTTCCAGGCACGCTGCTGGAACCTATAGTTATATGCCCAGTTCTTTCCAGAACGACCAAACATGGCAGAAAAGAAAGAAATGAATTTGTACATAGTAGTCAATGACGGGTCATCAAAAAGCAGTTATTTACACAAAGGGTAAGGCTACTACACTACACACAAATACTTGGGGAGCAGATTGCGTGAAACACCATATTACCAATCAAGCACGGAGATAAGCACTGGTTTACCTGAAGCCTGGGGTTTCGGCTTCTGCACATTCTCTGCTTGGGTTTTGCTGCACATCCTCCTGTTCACGAACCGGCATGGTCCTCCACTTGCACGCAGAGCAGAAGGAAGACGTTTGTCCAAAATCCTAACAACTACGCCTGGGAGGAGGGGGGGTGGGAGGGGAGAAAGGTGACATGTTAGAAAAAGTTGCAACATAAAGAGAGAAACGTAACATGACGCAGAAGACCCTACTCTTGGCTTCAGGTCCTTGAGCAAAACAGTGAATTTAAGAGGGAAAGCACCACTGAACTCTGCAAGATGTGCTGGTAGAAGTACGACAGCGCCGGATTCAAGATGGTGCAGGCAGTTCTCCCACAGCAGGCGCCAAGCTGAGGGGACACAAAGCAGTAGGAAGAACAATGACCTATTTTGGGGGGGGTGCCAAATTTTGTGCTCACCAAGGATGACCTGTTACCCTTGAGTATCCTCTGACTGCATTTGCTTTTGTTTCTTTTTGGGAAATTTAATAAGAGCGACAGCAACAAAATCCCGTGGGGGAGAAAGCTCATCAGAAGATACCCTGATAGGTTCCATAGGGTCACAACTGGAAAAGATATGGTTTTGGGTACTCAAACCTATTCAGTAGCCATCTCACATTTAAGTCATAAATATCTAGTGGATTGTTCAAAACACTAAGAAGAGAAAGCAGAAAAGGCCACACATTTTTCAAAGTGTCAAAAATGAGCCACAGACTAGGTTTTCCAAGCTAGTTAAGAGTTGGTCAGGTGCCCTTAAAACATTTTTAATGATGAAGTATTTGGCCTGCCATAAGTCAAACATAAATCACTATTTAGGTAAAGGTACAGGGACCCCTGACCATTAGGTCCAGTCGTGGCCGACTCTGGGGTTGTGGCGCTCATCTCGCTTTATTGGCCAAGGGAGCCGGCGTACAGCTTCCAAGTCATGTGGCCAGCATGACTAAGCCGCTTCTGGCGAACCAGAGCAGCGCACGGAAACGCCGTTTACCTTCCCGCCGGAGTGGTACCTATTTATCTACTTGCACTTTGACGTGCTTTCGAACTGCTAGGTGGGCAGGAGCTGAGACCGGGCAACGGGAGCTCACCCTGTCGCGGGGATTCGAACCGCCGACCTTCCGATCGGCAAGCCCTAGGCTCTGCGGTTTAATAATAATAATAATAATAATAATAATTTAGTTATACCCTGCCCATCTGGCTGGGCTTCCCCAGCCACTCTGGGTGGCTTCCCAAAAAATTATTAAAATACTGTAATACATCAAACATTAAAAACTTCCCTAAACAGGGCTGCCTTCAGATGTCTTCTAAAAGTCTGGTGGTTGTTGTTCTCTTTGACATCTGGTGGGAGGGCATTTAACCCACAGCACCACCCACCTCCCTAATCAATATTTACCAATACTTTATTAATGTATTAATCCATATTTGCCACTACATTCTTACTCCTCTCACCCACTGGAGTACGTTATGCCCAGACTACTTTGCATTTCTCTCCCCTTTTTCCTCCAGGGAGGCGAGGCTGAGAGGCGGGCGCCAAGGTCGCCCGGGCTCCCCGGGTCTTCCCGGCTCCGAGGCCGGGCAAGGGCGAAGGCGCGGCGCGGGGCGCGGACTAGGCCCGGCCGAGCTGAGGCACTCACCGGCAGCTGCAGCCATGGCCCCGCGGAAAGAAGGCCCGGCTCCCCGCTTACGAAACGCGCCTCGGAGGGAAGGAAGGTCAGAAGCGGAGCGGAGAAGGAGGAGGAGGAGGAGCGATGGGCGTCGCCGGCCTGGGAGGCTGAATGGCGGGCGGGCTGCCGGGGAAGAGGCTCCAGGGCCGCCGCCGACAGGCCCGCCTCCTCCTCCTCCGTCGGCGCGCAGGTGCCGGGTTTACTCGCGAGGAGGAGGACGCCCGCCTGTCTCCTGAGAAAGCAGCTGCAGGCAGAACTGGATAGGGAACAACGGATCGGGAAAGGAGGGCGACAAGGCTGTACAGTGGTACCTCGGGTTACGTACTTCATTCGTCCCGGAGGTCCGTTCTTAACCTGAAGCACCACTTTAGCTAATGGGGCCTCCTGCTGCTGCTGCGCCGCCGGAGCACGATTTCTGTTCTTATTCTGAAGCAAAGTTCTTAACCTGAAGCACTGTTTCTGGGTTTGCGGAGTCTGTAACTTGAGGTGTATGTAACCCGAGGTACCACTCTACTTGGTTTGGTGGACTATCCCTAGTGAAATCAATGGGTCATATTAGTCTAGCTTTGCCCCCGACGCTGCGTAGAAATTGGGTTGCCTCAAAGATTGATCCAGAAGCTCAACTGCAGGAATCCAAAGAACAAAGTAGCAAACTACCTATTTTTAACTTCTCCCAAGACAGACTTTGTATGTGGTCTGAAAGTGGTGGAAAACCTCCTTCCCCATTACAGTGGCACCTCGGGTTACGTACTTAATTCGTTCTGGAGGTCCGTTCTTAACCTGAAACTGTTCTCTCCTTTTCCTACTCATATTGAAATACTGCCCCTCAATGAGGCCAAACTTAGATTCACAAAACGTTTAGGGGTCTGCGTCCCCCTGCATCCCCACAGGGAAAAAAAGCACTGGATAATTCCCAAAATACAACACCATGTATTGCAGCAGCAAATACAGTGGTACTTCTGGTTACCGTACATACTTATCGCCGAAGAATGGATAGTTTCGAATTCTGGTGCTGGAGGAGACTCTTGAGAGCCCCATGGACTGCAAGAAGGTCAAACCTCTCCATCCTTAAGGAAATCAGCCCTGAGTGCTCACTGGAAGGACAGATCCTGAAGCTGAGGCTCCAAGACTTTGGCCACCTCATGAGAAGAGAAGACTCCCTGGAAAAGACCCTGATGTTGGGAAAGATGGAGGGCACAAGGAGAAGGGGACGACAGAGGACGAGATGGTGGGACAGTGTTCTCGAAGCGACCAGCATGAGTTTGACCAGACTGCGGGAGGCAGTGGAAGACGGAAGGGCCTGTCGTGCTCTGGTCCATGGGGTCACGAAGAGGTGGATACGACTAAACGACTCAACACCATTTCCAAAATATAAGATAAAAAACAAGTAAAATAAAACCTACATACAGTAACAGTGGCAAATGGCTTTAGATACCTGTTAGGTCCACAAATTACCATATAGCATATATTCAACATAAAAAACCAGCGACAATTTGTTGTTGACAAAGGACAGCTGGACATAGAAAGGGCCCCATTACTTTCAGTAGCTGAGGGCCTCATCAGACCTAAATCCGGCCCTGGCCATGCAGGAATCTCGATGAGGTAATCCATGGCAGGATCACAGAATTGTCAAGTTGGAAGAGGGTCCCCACCCCAAAGGTCATCTAGTCCAACCCCCAGCGATGCAAGAATCTCAATGGCAGAATCACAGAATTGCAGAGTTGGTGTCAGAGCTGCTGGAGCGCAGCAAAGGGAGAGTTGGGTTCATAGAATCTACACGCAACGCAACATGTACAGTCCAACGCAACATGAAAATCATGCATGGAATTCACTAGTGGAAAGGGCTGGTTTCATAGAATGGATGGGAACTGTGGAGCATTGACTCAAAATTGCCAGCCATTTCTTTTTTTAATTTTCTCTTTTTTTGCGAGAACATTCCTAGATTTTTAAAAATTGGCAAGCGCCTAGGGATAAAGTTTTTGCAACACTCTCTCAATGCTTTGCATGAGTTTCTAATTTCATGTTTTTCAAAAATGGTCAAGAGCGTGCCCAAGGCAGTGCATAGGAGAGTCAACAATCCAAAGAGGTTAAAGGCAGGAGGCAGCTAGGCCAGAGTAATTATCAACAGGATTACTGAAAGAACCAAGGAACAAAGTGATTCACTAACTAAGGAATTACCGGTAAGAGCTGGCATGGAGACTGAGAGGGAGTGAGGGGAGGCAACGTAGAACACCAGCAAATAGAAGCACTGTTGCACAGAATGCACCTCAACAGGTAGAAAAGTAGTGGGATGGGAAATGAAAATTCCTTTCATTTAGAAAACTAGATGTGAGGGATAAGGATTCTGGCCTGAACTTCTTGATGTACTTTTCTAAGTGTGGGATTTTTGTTGTTGTTTAGAAGAGCATTTACCCATCTTAAAGGTAAAGGGACCCCTGACCATTAGGTCCAGTCGTGGCCGACTCTGGGGTGCGGCACTCATCTCGCTTTACTGGCCAAGGGAGCTGGCGTACAACTTCCGGGTCATGTGGCCAGCATGACTAAGCTGCTTCTGGCAAACCAGACCAGCGCACGGAAACACCATTTACCTTCCCGCCGGAGCGCTACCTATTTATCTACTTGCACTTTGACGTGCTTTCGAACTGCTAGGTTGGCAGGAGCAGGGACCGAGCAACGGGAGCTCACCCCGTAGCGGGGATTCGAACCGTTGACCTTCTGATCAGCAAGTCCTAGGCTCTGTGGTTTAACCCACAGCACCACCCGCATCCCTTCTTACCCATCTTACAAGTAGTCTAAAGTTGGTGAGAACTAGGGCCAAGGGCTGGAAGTAAAGAAGTGGCGTGTATGGGATGGCTGCTTTGGTCCTGTGTTGCTAGAAATAACCAAGAGTAGTATTTCTAGTTCTCCCTGATTTGTGTGAGAGGCAGAGCAGTGAGAGTTGAAAAGCAGAAAAAGACAGAATTTGGTTGGCATGGCTCAGGCCTAGATTCTGGCCCAGTGGCCATTCATTTTCAAGGCATTTAAGGTGCAATAAAACTCTTTGGGGTTTTGGGTTTGTTTTTTTGCTGTAACAGACTAACTCATGGTTACCACTCTTGGAATCTAAACTTTTGAAAATGTGATATAAACCTATAGGCTGCAGTGGAGCAGGTGATTCTATTATCTCAGCATTCTGCCACCGTTCAGCCGTATGCATAGACCAGGTTTTATTCTTGGTTAATTCAGCCTCAAATAACGCAACTGCATGTACAACAAGTTGTGTATTCTTAAGCAAGTGCCAGCTGTTCATCCCCAGAGACAGAAGACTTGAGCAAGGCAGATTGAGCTTTTTTTTTTTTTTAAATTTATCCAGCACCATAATTCTTGCAGCTGCTTATAGAAAAGAAACAAAATAATAGATTTATAAACAATAAAAAATTGTGTCAGCGAACAACATCCCCACCCCCAATAGTCAGCAGCCGAGATGTCTAGTGATATCTCAGAGGGAATTCCTAGTGAGAAAACAGTAGCAGGCTCCCGTTGACAGTCCTGGATTATCTGCATTGTAGTCAACTAATTTTAGTTAGAGTAGACCCATTGAAATTAATGACCTTGACTGACTTAGGTCCATTAATGTCAATGAGCAACAGGTAACATCCTTTGTACTGTCGTGGAAGCAGTACAAGGCCAGCAGTTCACTGATCCAATTAATGTTGCTGGTTTTCTCCCAGTGCTGATTTTGATTAGTTCCCGCAAATCTTACAAGATCCGGACACCCCACAAATATAAAGATAATGTATACATGGTGGAACATTAAGTTTGCAGAAATATTTTTCAGTATAATCTGCAACCTTTCACCTCAGCTCCTTCCCCCTGGGGCAACTGTGTTGTTTCAAGGCTTTCCTGGACTCTGGTCAAAGGTCTCATACATTGTTTCTCCTCCCCTTCTACCAAATGACCTACCAAATGACCTCAACCCAGACTGTTCTGCCTTTATTTTAGTTATTTATGCAGTTACGCAACAGCTTTATACACTGGCTTTCAGGGCCTAAAACCCTGTAGGCTTTTCTCCCTTTGTCCACAAGTAGAGAAAATGATTAGCACTGCAGATATCCCTTCAAATTTTTTCATCATTTTAGAGCCAGCCTAGGCTGGGAGGGAGGGATGCGGGTGGTGCTATGGGTTAAACCACAGAGCCTAGGACTTGCTGACCAGAAGGTCAGCGGTTCGAATCCCCGCAATGGGGTGAGCTTCCGTTGCTCGGTCCCAGCTCCTGCCAACCTAGCAGTTTGAAAGCACGTCAACGTGCAAGTAGATAAATAGGTACTGCTTTGGCGGGAAGGTAAATGGTGTTTCTGTGCGCTGCTCTGGTTCGCCAGAAGCGGCTTAGTCCTGCTGGCCACATGACCCGGAAGCTGTACGCTGGCTCCCTCGGCCAGTAAAGCGAGATGAGCGCTGCAACCCCAGAGTCGGCCACGACTGGACCTAGTGGTCAGGGGTCCCCTTTACCTTTACCTAGGCTGGGAGGGAGAAAAATCAGCTGTCAACCTTTCCCCTTTTTTAAGGGACATTCCCTTATTCCAAATAGGATTCCTCGCAGGAAAAGGGAAAAGTTGACAGCGATGACTTAAATCCCTGCAGCCTGGCCGGGGGATGGACTAGATGCCCCTCGGGGAAACGAACCCCACAAGCCGCGCTGGGGACAAAGCGGCCTCGCTCCTGATTGGAGGCCCGGGCGGGGGGCGTGGCCGCTGCGGCGTCGCGCCTCCCGATTGGCTGCCCTCGAGGCTCCCCGGCCTCTCCAAGATGGCGGCGCCCAGCTCTTTCCTCAACTGTGAGGAGTACGCCGAGTTCCAGGTAGGAGACGCGGCGGCGGCGGCGCGGAGGGAAAGCGGGGAGCGGGGGTGCCTCGTCGGAGCGGGCGGCCCGGCTCTGCCGTCACGGCCGGAGAGGCCTCTGCCTGAGGGGGACCGAAGAACCGGCTGCCCATTCAGCGCGGCGGCAGCGCCCCCTTCCCGGGCCGGCGCTCGCCCTCTTCCTCCGCCGGCCGAGGGGGCGGCAAGGGCAGCCAGGGTCGCCCGGCTCCCGCGGCCTCGGAGGGGAAGCTGGCTGGGGCTCGGAGCCGCCCGGGGAGAGGGAAGGGGCTCCGGCAGTTTCCGCCCGTGCCGCTCGGAGGGCAGCCGGGGAAGGGGCGCCGCCGGGAGAGGGACCAGCCCGAGCCGAAGCCTCCGCTGCCTTGGAGGGCCACCTTGGCAGAAGAAGGAAAAAGGCTCAAGGAGTCAGAAATCCCACACAAATCCGGAGTGGAGCCTCTTCAGACGGGGCCAGAGGGCGCCTTGTAACGCCCCCTTCAGGCAACTCCTGCAGCCCAGCTGGTGCCAAATATTATTATTATTATTACAGTGGTACCTCGGGTTACATACACTTCAGGTTACACACTCTGCTAACCCAGAAATAGTGCTTCAGGTTAAGAACTTTGCTTCAGGATGAGAACAGAAATCATGCTCCAGTGGCGCAGTGGCAGCGGGAGGCCCCATTATCTAAAGTGGTGCTTCAAGTTAAGAACAGTTTCAGGTTAAGTACGGACCTCCAGAATGAATTAAGTTCTTAACCCGAGGTACCACTGTATTATTATTTCCCCAGCCACTCTGAGCGGCTACAACAGAATACAGTGGTACCTTGGGTTAAGAATTTAATTCATTCTGGAGGTCCATACTTAACCTGAAACTGTTCTTAACCTGAAGCACCACTTTAGCTAATGGGGCCTCCCACTGCACAATTTCTGTTCTCATCCTGAAGCAAAGTTCTTAAGCTGAAGCACTATTTCTGGGTTAGCAGAGTCTGTAACCTGAAGCGTCTGTAACCCGAGGTACCACTGTATTAGTAGTACAGTCATACCTCACGATGAATACACTTCAGGTTAGGCAAATTCAGGTTGCGCTCCACAGCCACCCGGAAGTAACGGAGCGTGTTACTTCGGGGTTTCGCTGCACACGCATGTGCAGACCGTCAAAATGACGTCATGCGCAGAAGCACCGAAACGTGACATGCGTGGACACGGGTTATGTTTGCTTCGGGATGCGAACGGGGCTCCGGAACGGATGCCATTCGCATCCCGAGGTACTACTGTAGTAATAATAATAATAAGTGATAAAACATCAAACATTAAAACCTTCCCTAAAAAGGGCTGCCCTCAGATGTCTTCTAAAAGTCAAATAGTTGTTTATTTCCTTGACATATGATAGGAGGGCGTTCCACAGGGCGGCGCCACCACCGAGAAGGCCCTCTGCCTGGTTCCCTGTAGCTTTGCTTCTCGCAATGAGGGAACCGCCAGAAGGCCCTCAGAGCTGGACCTCAGTGTCTGGGCTGAACGATGGCGGTGGAGATGCTCCTTCAGGTATACTGGGCTGAGGCCACTTAGGGCTTTAAAGGCCAGCACCAACACTTTGAATTGTGCTCCGCTTCCCTTTGGACCACAGAGGTGCCAGCCTGGGCACCCCAGGACCTCCATGCCCGCTGCCCAGGCTTCCACCCTTAGACTCAGCAACTGTAACTGTCCAGTGGTTTGATTTCATCCCCACACGCCCTCTTCCATTCTCTCTCCAGATGGATGCCAACACATACATTGGTGGTGGTGGTGCTCCTACTACAAAGTGCGCACGTTGCTTTGTAGATTGCTCAGAGCAGCTCCCTGAAAAACAACAGCCCTGCAAAGGAGATCGCTGTTATGTCCAGACGACTCCCCATTTGTGTGGGGGTTGTGTTCTGAGACACCTCTCACATCAGTGGGATGCACATAAGCCCCGTCCTGCCCCCTTCCGGTGCCAAAAACAGCACATGCATCCATGGTCCCATGTGTGTTGAATGCACACGAACAGGGAGTTGAGTGTATTTATGCATACTACACACACCCACACACACCCCTCTACCTTTTTTCCCAATAACAGGGACTTGGATAAAAATAATAGCTAGAAACAGGGGAGTGGAGAACCCCCAATTGTTTTTTTTAAAATGGGCAGAAGATTCCTGCATTTGCAGGGGATTATTACTATTATTACTATTGTAATTATTAAATTTTAACCATTCATTCATTAAATTATAATTAAATTGGACTAGATGACCCTCATGGTCCCTATGATTTTGTGTTTACTGCTTGCTAAAGCCTGGGAAATATGTATCAATGGCCACTGTTTGCCAGTGGGAAAAGAAAGCAAATAACAAAGTAAATGAGAATGAAAATGTGAAAACAGTATATGAAAATGCCCCCTCCTGCGAATGGATTTATGAAATATTGGAGTAAGATGAAACAAAACATCGTTCAACTAATTCAGCATTTGTTTATTACTCTAAGGGTTTGTTCCTTTTTTCACAATGTGACCCGAAGCAGCTTGCTTATGTTAAAACCAATTCAGAACATTCCATAAAAATTGAAAAACAGATCAGGATATTCTGATCTCATCCTACTAAAAGAAGCCACTGTTCCACCCTTCAAATTAAGGGCCAAATACTAGGTAAAGTGAAAAGTATTTGCCTGGTACCTAAAACTAGATAAAGGTGGCATCAGGTGTGCCTCCCTGGGGATAGCGTTGCACAAGTGGGGCGCCACCACTGAAAAGGCCACATCTCATGTTGCCAACCTCCTGTGGAGGAGGCGCATGAACGAAGACCTCAGATGATGAGTACAGGATCCAAGTCAGTGGTGAGGAGCCTTCAGGTACTGAACAACATAAGGCTTTATGGGTCGAAACCAGCACTTTGAATTGAAATTGGTAGCCAGTGCATCATTGTCATATTTTAAGACTGCCCTGCCCCGTTTAACAACCTAGCCACCAAATACCAGCTGCAATTTCTTTGAAGTGTCTTCAAAGACAGCCCAATGTATAATGCATTACAGTAGTCCAACTTAAGAGGTTTCCAGAGTATAGACAACAAAAATTCGACTCTCCCTGTTCAGATAGGAATGCAGCTGGATCACCAGTCGAAGCTGATAGAAGGAACTGTATTGATGATGTTTAGATAGCGTATATGTATGTGCTAGGGGCTGCGCCCCTGCTCACAGCGCTCACCAACCCCTCTGCTGTTCCTGTTACATTATTACCCCTTCTCACCCCATGCAACTACTAAATTCCCTTTTTACCTTTCCAGTCCCATTTCTGCCCTTCTCTCTTCTGTTCTGCCGCACCACTTTGCACCACTGTTTTCACCTTCACTTGCTTGCCCATGCCTCCCCTCCCTCCTTATGTGCACTTTGTGGAAGTAATATACCTGGAATGGAGGTTTTCATATCTCTTTTTAAAAAAATAATGCTGCACATTAATAGGTCAGACGCAGAATTTAATTCTAGGGGAAATTTAGGGGTGAGTTGTCTTGTCTGTACTTGTTTCCTTTCAGGCCTTAATTTGGTTTATGTTCAGTATTTTCTGGCTAAACCAACATGCAAATCAGTTTGGGTTAGGCTGTAATAATTAGGAATATTTAAATCCTAAAGATTTAAATAGTAGTACATCTTTATAGAACATACTTCCCGGGTTTTTTTTCTTTTTCACTCAAGCCTTAGAATCAACGTGTCTGTTTTTCTTCTACAGGAGTTGCTCAGGGTGATGAGAACCATCGATGACAGAATAGTCCATGAGTTAAACACCACTGTCCCAACAGCTTCTTTTGTAGGAAAAGTTGATGCTAGCAAAACGTGTAAAGAACTTCATCAGTCGGTAAATGCATTTGTTGCCGTTCTATTATTTGCGTTTTGGTTTTTAACTCATAAAATGTGGTAATAGACATGTCACTCATTAATGCCATGCTACATAGTGAGTATGTTTAACTACTTCATTCTCTGGAAGGACGTTGTTACTGCTTTTGTCACTGTCAAGAGGTAGGTTCAGGCAGGGATAGTTATAAATTATTTTAAAGTCTAATAATAAACAGAAGTACAAAAAAAAATTTGGGGGTAAACCCTAAGAGATAGGAGGAATGCGCAAAACAGATTAATAAGGACTGAGTGTGCTCAGTGGGCACAAAATTCTGAGTGGCTTTTGGGGGGCAGGGGAGAAGGAGGATGGGGGAAATGGACTATTCTGGAAAAGAGTATGGCTGACTGGAACTTGGAAACCTATGCTGCAACATTTTATTTCAAGCTTCACTTGTAATCAATAATCCCCATGACGAGTTAATAATAGTTAACCATAAATCTGACAAGTCTGGCATAGTGAATGTCTTAGAAGGCTGTAGTGCTGCTGAAGTTAAGCAAATTGGAACTGTCATTCCCCTGGACAGGACACCAGTGGGAGTCCCATGGAACAGTAGAATAGAATAATATTTAATAATAATATAAACTAAAAAGTTTTACCTTTCTGTGTGTTCTCTCTCTCTCTCCATGGCCTCCCTTCCTTCAAGAATGAGTCTTGTAACTGCCTCTCACTCACACTGGCTCCTTCCTCCAAATACTGTCAGTATCTTTCAATGCTCCTTTCAGTCTCAGGCGAGTCAGTACCAGTGTTCTCAATGATCTGGGCCTTATCCTGTATGAAAAGGAATCTGTCCCCACCCCACTTATGGTCTTAGTGCCTTTCTAAGACAGCCTCTTAAACAGCTTTCTGTATTTTAAGTAAATTAAATTGAAATATCTTAAATTGGCTTTCTGTCATTTTAAATAGCATTATATTATGGGTTCAGAGGCTCGCTCTTCATTTTCTTGTTTACGCCCTTTAGCAGTGCTCTTAACAAGGATGTACAATAAAAGTTGAGAGAACCTTTTTACACATCAGGCAATGAATTCTTACTGGTGCAACCAGCAGGATATAGTCTACCCTGGAGAAGCAGCCTAAGGAGCTCTTGAAACTTCAGGGTACATTAAAAGTTGGAAAGGTAGTTCTGAATGTATCTCGTGTACAACATTTAAATATGAGAACTGTATGTTGCCACTCTCCCCTCCACTTACCATTTCAAAGAAAGTGAACAGGAGTAGAACCAGTTCATGAAAGCTGTATTATTCTCAAGCAGTGAGGATTTCTCTCTAGTATCTAAATTGACAGACTTTTTCCTTGCTTTCTGCTGCGGCAGAAATTTTCCATTTAAATTTCTGCATAACCTCTAGGGTATCACTGACTGCACAGTTACTGGGTGAGCTGTAGGTTTTCTGGCTGCATTTGTGAGTAGGAAGGCGAGAAAGCTGGTTGGGAGTAAAATGATCTTGTGGAACATCCATTGCATGCACGTTGAAAGATTCACATTCTGTACAAAAATCATTCAATTTATTCCTTGCTTCTAACAGGTGATTGGATAGCTGACTCTTTTCTTTTCACTATTTATTTAGCTGGCACAGGCTCATGAAAGCAGAGAGAGAATAATCAAAACCTGTATTGCCCAAGCTTCCAGTGTAGTAGAATCTTTGCAGGAAGAGAGGAGGAAATCTCTGGAGGATACGGCACTGTTAAAAAGGCTCAGGAAAGAGCAGACAAAGGTGAGTGGAAGAGTTTTAAGACTTATTTCCTTGTTATTATTATATGAAAAATAGTGTACAATTCATAATCGCAAGCGGAAAAAAGATAGTACAGTGGTACCTCAGGTTACATACGCTTCAGGTTACAGACTCCGCTAACCCAGAAATAGTACCTTGGGTTCAGAACTTTGCTTCAGGATGAGAACAGAAATCGTGCTCCGGCGGCACCAGGAGGCCCCATTAGCTAAAGTGGTGCTTCAGGTTAAGAACAGTTTCAGGTTAAGAACGGACCTCCGGAACGAATTAAGTACTTTACCCGAGGTACCACTGTACATGCAGGTCTTGCTTACTGAACGTAGGCCTTTCTGTCTGGCCCTTGGGAGATTTCCCTGGCCCCTCTCCCTCTCACCAGTCCCATCCTTTCTCCTCATACTGCACCCCTTATCAGCCTTGCACCCCTTACCAACACTTCGTAAGTGTTTTGCCTGGCTAAAATATGCCCTTGAGCCCTGATGACGTTTCTTGCATTGTCATGGATGGAGGATAGAGGGTGTGTGCAAGACTGTGCAGAAAACAGCCTACTGTACAAAGGCAAGGGAACCTGCCCCTCCGTCCAAAAAAGGTTCCCCATCTGCTTTGTGGCCTCTTGGACAGGGAAAAAAAAATCCCCTTCCACCAGTGAAATGTTCTAATATCTGTTCAAGGCCAGGCTCCCGATACCTATGTTAAATTCACATATTTGCATGGAAAGGTTCACTTGCTGGATGGTAGGGTCTGGACCACTACTAGTTAATGTTCAGGGATCTTCAGTGTTTGCCATAATGTTTTTATTTACATGAATAAATGTTTCAGCTTCTACATGGTTTCACTGGATAATAAAGAACATGATCCATGTCAGTCTGCTGCTGATAGGAACCCATCCATCTTGCCAAGCTCCTAATGCAGAGAGTACTTACCTTCTTTCCTTTCTCCCACAGTTGAGATTAATGCAGTCAGAGCTGAACGTTGAAGAAGTGGTAAATGATAGAAGCTGGAAGGTATGGCATCCTCTTGACTCGAGATTTCGGATCTCTGTGTGAATATTTGTTCGATGCAACACATTAAGACTGTGATGAGATGAAGCGTGATGATGCAGGCTAGGTTAAAATAAGGAGCGGAGTAGAAATGCTGTGAATAAGCAGTTCTCAAACTTGTTTGGCCTGCTGCTCACTTTTCAGAAAAAAATACATACTCAGCGCATTCTGCAAATCTACCTTCTTAAGCAAAGAAACAGAAAGATGCAGCGACAAATTTGGTTCTTTTATGTATCTGTATTTCTACGTCCTGCAACATAGTAAAGAAAGATGTTGTAAATAAGACATCTTGAAGCTTGAAATTATAAAATTATTTATAAAAATCAACCATAGTATCATTCGCACTACACACAGAAAACTAAGATAACGAAAGATAATATTAAAATAAAAATTAACAATAACATGAAAAATAATGCTAATGAGAAGGATGAACCTGGTGTGCTGCTATCAGTTTATTAATGTTTGGTTCTGCAAAGTGGACTAGGCCCCAGGATTAAAAAACCCATGGGGCGGAGCAGAGTGAAGCCTTCCAACTCGGTCTGATCCACCCCAGGGGCAGGTCCAGCACCTCAGCCCGCCTGCCATTGGCTGAATAGGCAGGCAAGCTGCAATTCACTTCCGGGGCTTGAGGGAACCTGAAAAGGGTTCACCCAAACCCAGGTGTCAGGCTTTGGGGGATCGGGTCCCTCCCCCGGTGGCAGTAAATAAGCAGATGAAACAAAAGGAGCATTCTTACCAGTTAGTTTATTTAATAATCACAGTGAGAGACAAAGGAATGCATCTCTCTCTAGAAATGGTATTGCTCCCAGTTAAGGTTCACCCCCTCCGTCCCCCTTAATCTATGTCACTCCTATGCCAGGTAATCTAAGCTTATTGTCACTGCGCTTTCTGTTCTATCACTATCAAAAGCCCGTCTAGTCTTAGGCGAAGAGGGGAATCTGCCAGCTGTCTCTCTCCTGGCGTTTCCTGTTCTAGCTGTTCCTCACCCAGTATTTCCCAGCTTTCCCCCTCTGGACTATTCCCCTCTGCAAACCACTGTTCTAAACCAATACTGCCCTCCTGCCCTTGGGAAGGTTCAGGACAATGGGGGGGGGAGCCCTCCCACCATTCCTCCTCAGTCCAGTCCCTGACACTGGGGAAAACCCCTCGCTCCGGATCCAGGCGAGGCATCGTCACCGTCCCACAGTGGCGCCCAACCTGGTGGTAAGCATCATTGCACAGCAGATGAAACCCGTATGAATGGTTTTTCAAATTTTTCTTCTTTCTTTATGCTTTTACTGCCCCCTGTTTTTATTCAACACCCCCCAATTGCAGCTGAGGCTACTACCGCCCCCCTGGATCGTAGCAGCTCCCCCCCCCCCATGGGGTGGTATTGGCCACTATGGGAAATACTGCTCTAAATAAATAAAACAAATAGTCTAGGTATCTAAGATGGACACAAAACAGATGAGAACAATAAAAATGTAACAAAAAATATAAAACAAAGCACATTTTATGTATGGATAAATCTGTTGGCAACATATGCATAGTTGATTGGACTGTAATTAATCCTTTATTTTGGGGGGTAAAGTTTTATTAGTATTATATAATTTTAGAATGCATATAAAACAGAGATTAAAAATATAACAACAGTCAAAAATTTAAAGATGAAAAACAAAACTATAAAATATACACACATGCGTTAATATAACAAAGTCCAAGTAAAGGCTATCAGCTTTATCAGATCGGCAAGCATAGTTCCAGATTTGCCAGGCTTGTGACGAGGCTTGTCTTGAGAATGGTGGTTCTGCTTTATGCTTCTTAAGGGACTGCCAGATCGTATAAAAATGTTTGGAGGTTCTTGTCCTTGTCAAAATCTCAAATTATGCATGATTTTCTCTATTAGAGCTATATTCCAGAGTGGGCGGTATCAGGCGTCCAGTTTAAGATTTGGGCTGTTTCCCATTGAGTTGCGATTACTGGAGGAGGAGGAGGAGGAGGAGGAGGAGGAGGAGGAGGAGTAATAATAATAATAATAATAATAATAATATATTTATACCCCACCCATCTGGCTGGGTTTCCCCAGCATTTTGCTCCCCAGCAGATTAGGTGTTTTGAACATTCATTGCACCCTTACTTGTATTAACAATATTTATTTCAAGAACCAATCCCTCTGTCTTGGTGTCTTAGGTATTTAATGAACGCTGCAGAGCTCATTATAAGCCTCCGAAGAGTCAGTGACGCAAAGGAGGGGATGTCTTCCCCTGAAAGTGAACTTCAATCATGCAGATAAGAGAAGAAACATGGAACAAGCCGCTTGGGACCTTTTGAGGGGGGGAAATCAGATCTGTGGGGCTCAGCCCAGTGAATCGTTTTGCTAATTAAGATAAATCAACTGCTATTTTGTATGGAAAGAAGTCTTTTTTATTAAAGAAAAGAAAAAACCAGATGGAATGTGATGACAGCATTTTAACTTCAGCATTTCCAGATCTACAAGTATCCTTTAGACAGGATGAGAGAATAATGTCTCTATCTCTTCTTGGACCAGAAAGTTTCACCTTTTTATTTTGGTTTCTAGGATGGCTAAATTTGGGCTGTATCATCTGGCCTGGTTCTAAAACTGGCATAGGTCTTAAAAGATTACTGCTGTGATAAAAGGAAGTTAATAGGTAATACTTGATACAAAGTGGGAATTTACCTTTTAACTACATGTAGCATTCTGTAAACAAATCCAATTTGACTGGCGATGTAGCCAGTTTAAACTGTGGACTCCAGTTGCAGTCTGACATATCCAATGGTGCCAGTTGTGAATTGCTTTATAGTGGACACTTTTGGAGTGTGGATGTTGACATCTATATCTTTTTGGCTTGGATGCTGAAATAATTTGAGAGTGAAAGATATTAAACTCATGAATTTGCTACATGACGCAAATACTAAATGCCTCTCATCAATTTCACGGATGACATGCCAATGTGGACAGACCTATAGGTAAATTCACTTCATATCATGTCAACTATAAGTCTCTCTTTATAAGTGACCTACCAGGGAGTTACACAGCGTAATTACTCACCTGCGGAAATAGCAGATTTTCCCCCCAATATGTCAACAGAGTTTCTTGAAATTAAGTCCTATTGATCAAGTTCTAGAACAGTCACAGTTCTAATTCGTGGGAGAGAAAAAGGTGTGTGTGTGTGTGTGTGTGTGTGTTAAATTGAACTCGAGAGAATATGCCTTCGTTAGATGTAACTGTCTGATATTCAAATAAAGGAAATTTACACTGCTCAACAGCTGGACAACATGACAGGCTTTCCAATAGTTCTATCCTTATATAATTTTGAATACAATTCTTTAATGCCATTTTAAATGTATAAAATAAATTTTCAAGTCCTATGCAGTTTTGCTGACAATTTTCTAAAAGCTTAGCCTTATAATAAAGCACAAATACTATCTAATTGGCTTGTTTTAGGAGACCAACAGATTGCCTTACTCTCGTCATGAGATTCCAGTGTGAGGGAAATTGGCTCTGAAAAGCACACAGAACACATGGTTACACTCTCCAAAGTGTGTAGATATTTCATTTCAAAAGCCATCAAGGTGTATAGAAAGCAAAAAATAAAATCCTGCCATAATTACCAACATTCCAGAGTCGCAATGCAAGCTTCTCACTGTGTGATGACTCAATTTCCTAAACCCACCTGTGTATAGAAATCTTTATGCTCTCCCTGACGAGACACGGCTGCTTCAGATTCCTTTTTTTCACATCCCATTATAATGATTAATTCATTATTAAAAATTCCTTTTATCAGGAATTAGAGGTTGGATTGTAATTATTTTAATTAAGACCAATTATGGGGGTAGGATTTCCTGTAACGAGGTTTTCTGGATCTTGGGTTGGCCTGCCACACACCTCACCTTAGCTCTGTATTTCCAGCAAGTAATGATCTAAACTGAAACAAAAGGAAGAACTGTAGAAACAAATTTTTTAAAACAAAGAAGAATTGAATAATCCATACCCTTTCAGGGAATGCTGTACATTCCAGATAATGAATGGAACCTGTTTATAATGTGCCAAGACAGATGATAGAAGCAGATACCACACATCCAAGCCGGTGTAAAGTCTGCATGCCTTTATTTAAACAGTACTTCATTTCCAAATGTAGACTTGGATTTGAAAATTGTGCAAGCAGTTATTTACTTGGCCCACTGGAATGATGTTATGTGAATATATGAGTATTCCGAGATCATAGGGTTAGGAGTTAAGATTGCTTCAGCCAAAGCAATTTTGTTTAGCACACATTTGTGCATTAATAAGACAATGGAGGTGCTGCATGTTTCAACTGCAATGCCTCATGCAATGGTAATCCTTGCCCTGTAGATCATTCAGAGACCCTGTTTTCACCTTCATGCAGCTGAAATGCAGAGGAAGGTACCCAGGTGGGGGCGATAGAGTGTGTCCTCTTGATAGCATGTGGCGGGCTCCCATTCTGAATGAGCACAATCCTGGAGCCTTCCCACATTTCCCAGTTTCATGTGATGTGATGCGTTGCGAGTGAGCCATGTGGCCGTCTTGTCTTTTTCTTTTGACAAGCTATGAAATTGCTTGGTGTCTGCATAGCCTCCAGGCCGATGGACTTGATTTCCTAAGCTGAAGAGTTTTATCTTTTGGTTCTTTACTTATTTCACGGTTCCTCACTTTCTGCATTTTTATGTGCAAAACAGCTGAAAGACTGCAATCCTGTTGTGGCTGCTGGGGATCCAAAGTGACAGAGGGAAAATAAAACAAAACCTCTAACATTGGGCTTTAATGCCCATAACAGGTTCTGCATTCTCTTAATTCTTGACAGCCCTGGTTATGTTTTTTAAAAATACACATATTGCAAAACATCACAAGGGTGCTTTTTATTTTATCTGTTTTGAAAAATGAGAGAACTTTCTCTAAAATGTGGTAATATTTTTTTTAAACTATCATTTACAGTTAGGAAAGGTCACCTTTGACAATTTACCTTCCATCAAATGGGAAAATACAGAATTTACTGTTGCAGAACCCTGTCACAACCACCCTGGCCAAAATATCAAAGTTTTGAGAGCTGTCAGCATTTTGGAAGATTGAAGTGTAAAAGGCTTATTTTGTGTCGGGGGGGGGGGGACGTCTGGCCCTACTGACACGTTCAAACCCTCCCCCTTCACTTCCTTAATGCCTAAAAGTTGCTCAGCTTTTATCAGCATTGAGGGGTTTTTTTATTTTAAAACTATGCACTAGTCCTGGGTTTTTCTATTTGGAATGACCTTTGGGCCAGACAAGATGTGACAAGAACACCCATGTTGGTTAATCATGTGCTTGCCCCATTGAGTCATAAAAGCATGATGGTGGGGTCTAATTTTCCCAATAGAAAAGCACCAAAAAGGGAAGCTGTCCTCCTGTCCTCCAAGTCACCTCCCTGTGTGCTGTTGCTTCAGGCATTCTCTTCTCAAGTCCCAGCTAGAACAAACTACCCAACTTTCCCTCAGTTCAATTATGTAGACTGGTGTTTCCCAAACTTGGGTCTCCAGTTGTTTTTGGACTACAGTTCCCATCATCCCTGACCACTGGTCCTGCTAGCTTAGGGATGGTGTGAGTTGTAGTCCAAAAACAGCTGGAGACCCAAGATTGAGAAACACTGATTTAGACCAAGTTGACAAAAGCTATTGATGGCTAAGAGCAGCATGCAAATATATCTTAGTAGCGTCCTCCATTTCCATCTATGTATAGAAAAACTGAAGTTAAGAAGGTAACAGGTTGGAGGCTATAAAATCTACGTTTTTCAAAGTTGGTCTAACACCTGTCAGTGAGAAGCTGCCTTGAGGTGGAGTTGGACCAAGTACTCTGCAGTCTCACTTCAGGAAAGCCAGGGTGGAATAGTGATAAAATAAAAGAAAATAACTAAGGAGATCCGGGGCCAAAATTCCATGCAGCCACAACTCCCTGGCCCGTCTTTAGGCCAGTCATTCTTTCAGCTGAACTTTCCTTACAGGCTGGTTGTGCAGATAAATTGGCGTGGGAGGATGCTATCCTTAGTTCCTTGGAGGGAATATGTAAACATTATAAATAAAAAAAACCTGTGATTCTAGGCCAAAAAACTTGTTTCACAGTTCCATTGGCAGGTTGTGCCTTCTTCCTTTTAATGATTCTCAGTGCTTGTCTTTCATGCAATGCTTAATGTCATTGATGTATAGATTCCACTCGGAATTGCTTGCTTAAATAATGCCCAATCGTTACTCTTCAGATACTATTAAATTTGCCTGAAGTCTGATTTTTTAAAACACACACGCCCAGAGAAAGAACTTAATTATCTGTGGTATTGCGAAATGGTAACCAAAGCGCTTGAATCTTTCGCAATGTAGAAGATTTAGCCTTGCCTCTCAGTAAACACAAAGAGGATAGGAATGCCCAGTTTATTTAAATGCACAGCGCAGTCCTAATCTACGTACACAGGGATGGAAGAGTCTCGCTGAACTCACCTATGTACAGGATTTCAGCCTTATTCTTGTGGCACCTTGAAGACTCCCAAAATTATTGAAGGATGCAGGTAACCAGCATCTGATTGTGCTGAGAAATCACTTAGTTTTTAAATTGCCACACGCAGCACACCCCCCCCCATTTCTACGTATTTCTAAGTAATTAATATTTAAGTATTTCTAAATAAAAGACTGGTCATCTTAATTTAGGGTTTTCTGTAGGGTAACAGAAACACAAGCCAGCTCTTCACATTCCATAGCCATTTGTTTCATAGGACATAAAATGTGTAACAACTGCCCCTTGATCCATATGCAGGGCAACACTGAAACTTCACATAGAAAGCCAGTGACTGCAGCTCCCAATACATAACTTCAAAAGTCCTAGATGTGGTGGGTTTTCATGGACCTCATTTTAGTTCTTAGGCTACATCAAACAGGTCAGCTATTGTAATTTGCCAGGCTGATACCAAGTGGGCACTGGTACAGAAAAAAGCAATAATAATAATTTTATTACTTATACCCTGCCCATCTGGCTGGGTTTCCCCAGCCACTCTGGGCGGCTCCCAACAGAACAATAAAAACACGATAAAAGATCAAACATTAAAAACTTCCCCAAACAGGGCTGCCTTCAGATGTCTTATAAAAGTCAGATAGTTGCTTATTTCCTTGACATCTGAGGGGAGGGCGTTCCACAGGGTGGGTGCCACTACCGAGAAGGCCCTTTGTTAGTATGTTTTTCCCCCCTCCCATAGCAAATAGCAGGGTGGGTGGGGTGGGAATGGTTTTCACTGGAAAGATAGAACCTCCTCACTTGCCAAGCCCTCCTTCAGCTGCTATTTACATAGACCTAAACCCTCCTTTAACAGCCTGGTGTCCTCCAGAGGTTTTGGACTAGCACCATCCAGGGTGACCAGTGTTCAGGGATGATGGGAGTTGTAGTCTAGCAACATCAGGAGGGGCACCAGGTTTAGGAAGACTGGTTTTAATTCATAGACCTTCAAGCTTTTTCATGCATCCTGTCCTCCCTTCATGTTTGGCCTTGAACCAATGAAACAAGGAATCTGACTCTGGGTTGAGCAACGCAAGAAGAGGTGCTGTTCCAAAGAACAAAAGTCAGTCATGTGTCCATTACTCAAGAAGTTAAGCTTCTGGTGAGTCAGGAAGATTCCTCACCCCCCTTCAACTCTCACAAAACAAAAGCTTGATTGTGTTGTGTGGAAATCTTATCTTCTGCATGTTCAGGGAGATAAATCATGTTAAATTTGTATTTCCCCATACTGTAACAACCCATTGTAACAGAAGTCTACCTCTTTCTTCTTATTCTCAGGTGATGACTCTTCAAATTCATTTACATAAGAGTCATGTGACACTGTTAGAGTATATAATACGCCCGACTAAACTGATTTGCCTGTGGAGACTTCTCAGCACCTTCAAGTTTGACTTGTCACCATGATGGCTGGAGGCTTAACAGATGCCAGTCCTTCTACTCCAGATGTTCAGCAGCTGGCTGACAAGGTAAGTAAAAGAGCCCATTAAACATTGACAAATTTATATTTGGTATATAAATTAAACCAATGTGGAAAACGCACCTTATTTAGTAGCTGTCCTTCAGTTGTGAAATAAGAATACCTGTTTATCTGGCTACAGATTGCATGTGTTATTTCAGAATCAATAACCTCCCTTGACTCAAAGTTTGGTGGCGCCAGTGACAATGCCCTATTCTAACTAATGGTGATGGGGAGGGGCATTGAGCCCCCCCCCCAACTCTTTGCTCTCCTGTCCTGCTACAGACCCCCTGTCTTGTGTCATCCACACAGGGACCAGATTTGGAAAATGAATATCAATGCTGATAGTCTCACGATTTCAGATTCCCTTTATTTTGTAAATCAAGTAAAATAAAAATCCATAGGAGCTGTCACAAAGAGTCTTGTGGCAGCTCGGAGGTTATTATGGAATATGTTTTTGTGACACCTTACAGGCTTACAAACTGCTTGTAGTGCAAGTAAGGTGGTGTGTGTTTTTTTCGACTCTAGCCTACAAAAACTTAGATGCCACGAGACTTTGTAGCTTTATTTTGAAAGAACGCTATTTGTTCTAGGGGAGCAGTTTAATATTTTCAGAGATCACAAAGCTAGCCATACTCAGATTCTTTTTCACAAAGGGCGGCAAATATGTTCCAGCAGCCTTAAGGGTTTTCAACGCAAAACCCGTTTCCCAACTCCTGTACGCTGCCAATGTCTGGCATAATGGGGACCTGCCAAAGCTAGATGCCTTTCAGGCAAAATTTCTACGATCTCTGCTGCAGGTACCCAACTGTGTCCCCAACTCCGTACTTCTGTTAGAAGCTGGTGAATGCCCAATTTCAACTAAAGAGTGGTGGGCTGCCCTAAAACATTGGCTCAGGATTTCAGTGTTTGATCTAGGAAAGGGTTTGTACCAACACCTGACCAATTAGGAGTTTGTCAGCAAATGGCAGAAAACCATGGCTAAAAAAGCCACCTCTATTGGTCTGTCACCACCACCCCCAACTGTATTACCTGGGTTATGAAGGCGCCCTAAAGACGTTAAAGAAAAGATTATGGGATAATGCACACAGTGACTTGCGATCTTGATCAAACGCAGTCTGTAGTCCGCTGGCAGTAAGAGCACAATATGGGCATGTCTTTAAGTTAACATCTTACATTAAAAACTTGACAGTACCAAATTATCGAAGGCTTTTCACCAAAGCCAGACTAAACGCTTTTCCTTCTGCAGTGTTGGATGGCAGGTTGAGAGGAGTTCCCTACCAGGACAGACTTTGCTCGTGTGCTCAAGACATCGATTCCATAAAACATATTCTGTTGCACTGTGCGAAATATGAGCAAGCCAGGGCTGAACTGATATAACCCTTGCTGGTACCTTTCCCGGGAAAATCAGAGGCTCACTATGTCAGGTTCCTATTGGAAGACCGGACAAACACTAGAACATTAGCAGTGGCAAAGTTTTTATCGGTGGTTGCAGGAACCAGTGATCCCTATATTCTGAACAAGATGCTTGTTTAACCTGGAGGTAGGCTGTATGAATTGTGTATTGCTTTGTAACGATTTGTTGGGTCTCTGGACCTTAATAAAGGTTGATGATGATATTTTCAGAGACTAAATTGTTAGGTATGGCCAAATGTATTGAGTCAGCCCACGCATTTTGACCACAATGTCATATAGCCTTTTGTGCCATTTTTACTGCGTTTCTTCTTCATAAAAACTTCCATCTCAAGAAGCGTTTGGTTGCATACAAAAATGCGTCTCTTTTCTAGGCAAGCAGGTTTGGCTTCTCTGGGAAGGGCAGCCATGTGCGTGCGTCCACCCTTGGCCTGAGATCAAGACTTGTCTGGAAACAGCGGCTGTTTCTGCGTTTGTCCCAAATGGATTTGCGGGTCTGCAAAATTTCTCAAACATAAAATGAATAACGGAGCAATGCAAACGCCCACCGTTTCCTGTGGCTTTGGCTCAGTTCTTTGCTGCCCAAGAATGACAACTCTTCTTATTTTTAATTTCAGATGAAATCTCAGATAGAACAGAAGGAAAACAAGGTTTATACTGTTTTCACTGCTGTCGAGTACAAAACACAGGTGGTTGCTGGAACAAACTATTTCATTAAGGTCAGTGCTCCAACTGAGAAATGATCGGGAGTTTTATTAATGAACTTTCTATTCTAAAAAGTCTACATTTTTAAAACTAGTTGTGGCGTTTGCCTCCTAGGATGGGTCATAAGGAAAGGGTTAAAATAGGTGTGATGTGATTGGCCAGTGAGAATGCAAGGGGGGAATAAAAGTTAGAGTGGGAGGTTTTGAAAGTCAATTGAGGTTGAGGTTTGGGAGTTGAAGAAGGAAGAGGGAGGTTTAGGTGTGGGTTGGTAGAGTTGCATTGTGAGAGAGTGAGAGGAATTGTTAGGTGGAGTCAGATAGATAGTTGGAATAATCCGTTTGGAGTTGTTGGGAACTAAGAATAAAAAACTGACAAGAGAAAAATTAACTGAAACCATAAGCTTGTTCCTGCATTTAAAAATAAACTTGATTATTTGGTTGTGTTAACAACTGACTGGACTCCGTGTGTCCCCGGGAGATACGGGGTGGTGGCAGCGGAAAAAGCAATCGCAGTGGCGGCACAGGGTCAATAGACCGTCAAACGTCTGGGGGCCCTGTGTGTGATCGCCACACTAGTTTTTATTGAAGAAGCTTAATCAAGCCATATATATATATTGAAGCCATATATTGAAGTATTAATTACTGAATACCTTTGCCGTTTAAAACTACTTCAACAGGAAGCTCTTGCATCACTTTAGAAATAGGCTGGCTTGCCTTTAGAGATGGACGTGTATCGTCCCTTCACTCGTTCTTCAAAATGAGAGAAATGCTGCCTGGTGCTGCCTGTTGCGTAAGGCGCAGGTGGCGCTGTGGTCTAAACCTCTGAGGCTCTTGGGCTTGCCGATCGGAAGGTTGGCAGTTTGAATCCCTGTGACGGGGTGAGCTCTCATTGCTCAGTCCCAGCTCCTGCCAATCTAGCAGTTCAAAAGCACACCAGTGCAAGTAGATAAATAGGTACCGCTGTGGCAGGAAGGTAAATGGCATTTCCGTGCGCTCTGGCTTCCGTCACTGTGTTCCATTGTGCCAGAAGCAGTTTAGTCATGCTGGCCACATGACCCACAAAGCTGTCTGTCCCTCGGCCTGAAAGTGAGATGAGCGCCACAAGCCCATAGCTGCCTTTGATTGGACATCATCATCATCATCATCCATTTTATTTATACCCTGCCCATCTGGCTGGGTTTCCCCAGCCACTCTTAAGCTTAACCGTCCAGGGGTCCTTTTATTTTTAACCTAGTTCTTCCACCTTTTCATTTGGTTACTACAGTAAAACCCTAAGAAAGTTGTCCCTCTCACTGTACAAAGCTGGCCAGTAGATTGTCCAGTCGATGGGTCTCTAAGCAATGTGCACTTCCTGTTTAACACAATTCTTTTTATGCAAGCTACTTTTGCCTTAGGTTCCAATCAACCCTCCCTCCCTCGACTAAAAGCTGCTCACAGGAGTAGCTAATTTGTGATTCTGCCGGCCTCTTACTTTCATAATCTCCCCAAACTTTGAACTGGCTGCTAGGAATTGGGAGTCCAACAGTAGCTGGAGGGGCACATTTTAGGATTGTTAATGTGAACTCGGGTAGTAATTAACATCGAACATTTTAACCCTGGCTCATTCTCTCTTCCCTACAGGTCGACGTTGGCCAGGGTGAACATTTGCACTTGCGTGTCTTCCAGCCCCTTCCTCACAAGAACGAAGCCCCTTCTTTGACCGCTTACCAGACTGGGAAGACAGCAAGTGATCCACTGAACTACTTCTAATGAGCCCATTCTGCTGCCATCTTGTGTGTGTTTTTTAACAAATACAGGATGCAGACTGACATGTCAAAATCAGCTACAAATAAAACATCTCGTTTGGGAAGTTTTAGGTTGTGATTCTGCATTGTATTCTGTGTAATGGCAACGTTTATTCCTCGTACTCCTTTTCCACTAGTAAGACACAGGGATAGAAAGTGAATAGTATACTTTGTGCACTTACAGGTTTCCCGGAAAACAAGGCAAACGATAGCCAGTAGGCACAATTTCATAATTTATCTCTCCGGAATTTAAGGATATGATTGCAAAGGCAACTTACCTCACACTCACGGGACCCACATAACATTTGTCTTAGATAGAAAATCCAAATAAATAAATAAAAAGATTGTCCACTCTTTCCTGCTTCACCCAAACAAGGTAGTCAGTTGGTTGTTTTTGTTTTTCAAGGAAATACATGCAGGGAAGAAGCTTCTCTTTCAAGTACTGTGTGGAAGACAGAGCTGGTATTCTCAGATATGAAGGAACAACCATTGTGATCCTTGTCAGCAGCCATAGGCACAATCTGAAACCTGCACAGCCTCATTCGAATCTCTGCTACCACCTCCTATAGTCCACATGGGTGTAGGCAAGGGGAGGTGGCAGGCAGCTGCCCCCTATATCCTCAAAAATTATTGAAAAGCATTAAAAATACTCAACACTAACTGAGGTTCTGTTCCCATCGCAGAAGTCAGTTCCCCCTAGTCGGAAGCCTGCCCTCGTAATGTCTTTACCCATGATCTCCCAAAAAAGCTCAGTAACCTTGGGGGGTGACCTCCCCTAAAAGTTCGACAACTTTTTTGCCTTCTCCCCAACAAAAATCCTGGCTATGCCCACGACAATCCATCTTAACTACTGTGGCCAGATCCAGACACCATCAGCCAGTCTTCACCCACTTCCCAGTTACCATCCAACCTAATGAAGAGCTGAGTTGAACTAGGCCTTCAACACTTATGAAGTTTCCCCTAATAACATGGGAATATTTTTTATTAAGCAAGCAACTTGATTTATTGAGAAGGCTCCAAAGAAGTGGTATACAAAAATGAATGCACATCAGATGAATTCTTGGGTATATAATGACTACGTAGCCCTATTCAGATGTTGCTCACATGTTAGGCATAAGCGCATAGAGGATTGGGGCCTGGTTTTAGCCCAATCAGCGTCTTCCCCCTCCTCTTTTTTCTTTTTAGTAAGCACATGGTCATGGTTGTGTGAGCAGAAATCCCAGTAATATGTGCGCTCCTACTCATGAGTAGGGGGTCTCCACATCTGGGACACCTGATTAGTCAAGTGTCATGAATTAGGCTTTCTGCTCATACAAAATGTTGCTAAACACATGTGTGGGGGGGGGGAGGTGATAGCGTGAGGTAAAAAGCACAGTCCCAGTCCTTGATCTATGCGCTTACGGTTTACACACAAGTAGCACATAAATACTTGTGCGCAACAAAAAATAATATGATCAAAGCATGGCTACATTACTACAATTTTAAAGCACGATGCTATTTTTTAAAAAAAGAAAGAAAGAAAAATCATTTGCATTTGGCAAAATAAACACCGGTTTTCAACTGAGTAAAAAAACTGCAGAGGGAGAAAGGCTTCTGCAGAACTGCTTAGAAGTAAGCCAGTTCATCGTGTTTTGCTTTCTTGCTTTGGTAACTGGTGAGCTCCAGTGGTTTGTTTTCATGAGGGAGTCTTTTGTACACTCTCACGTGAAGGAACTCGTCATTGCCAATGTGGACCTGGAAAGGAAGAAAAAGGGGCCTGTAAATTGTGTGAAGTGAAGGCATAATAATAATAATAATAATAATAATAATAATAATAATAATTTTATTATTTATACCCCGCCCATCTGGCTGGGCTTCCCTAGCCACTCTGGGCGGCTTCTGAAAAAATATTAAAATACTGTAATACATCAAACATTAAAAGCTTCCCTAAACAGGGCTGCCTTCAGATGTCTTCTAAAAGTCTGGTAGTTGTTGTTCTCTTTGATATCTGGTGGGAGAATGTTCCACAGGGCGGGCGCCACCACCGAGAAGGCCCTCTGCCTGGTTCCCTGTAACTTGGCTTCTCGCAGGGAGGGAACCGCCAGAAGGCCCTCAGCACTGGACCTCAGCGTCCGGGCAAAACGATGGAGGTGGAGACGCTCCTTCAGGTATACTGGACCGAGGCCGTTTAGGGGAAAGGTCATCCAGTATAGCTTAGGCATCAGCGCTCGTCTCGCTTCATTATAGTTGTACTGTAGTTGGGAAGGGGAGGAGGAATCAAGCTTCTTTCCTATGGAAGGATTGCTTTTCACATCTCCGTGACGCCAAACAAATGCCAGGAGCTCCTGTTTAGCCTACTCTGTCCTAAAGGATTCATCTGCCTAACGTTCCTCAGGGAAATCATCCAATCCCTCAGTTCTCTGAGGCTTCAGCAGCACCAACACAAATGATTGCTTGACGGGTGCAAACGGCAGTATCAGCACAGATGCATTACTGCTGCTATTGTTAGAATGAAAACCAAGATTTAGTAAATGGGGCCTAATTCTCAGTGAAGCAATCAATTTCTGTAGCAGACGTAACAGTTCAGAGGGTGGGGGGAGAATCAAATGACTGAACTCTCTTTCACACTATTAAAAGGTAAAGGGACCCCTGACCATTAGGTCCAGTGGTGGCTGACTCTGGGGTTGCGGCGCTCATCTCGCTTTACTGGCCGAGGGAGCCGGCGTACAGCTTCCAGGTCATGTGGCCAGCATGACTAAGCCGCTTCTGGCGAACCAGAGCAGCGCACGGAAACGCCGTTTACCTTCCCACCGGAGCGGTACCTATTTATCTACTTGCACTTTGACATGCTTTCGAAGTGCTAGGTTGGCAGGAGCAGGGACTAAGCAAAGGGAGCTCACTCCGTGGCGGGGATTCAAACCGCCGACCTTCTGATCAGCAAGTCCTAGGCTCTGTGGTTTAACCCACAGCGCCACCCGCGTCACGCTATTACCACCATCCAAAATAATTTATCTCCACATTTAAAAGCAGTATGCTGGGGAGCAGGCAAGAGTAGAATTCCAGCCCCTTAATAGAACCCAGCCTCTTGGATAATGCTGTTGTCCTGGGTGAATCTCCACCCCCCATCTCTCCCACTTCCCCATTCGTCACTTCTACGGGTGCTGCTACAGGTCCTCTGTCTTTGAGCTCTTTGCTCTCCTACTTTTAAGGCTCGCCGGGTTCTGGGAGATGGAGGGTCTGGAATGTTTTCCAATGACAACAGGTCAGCTGGGTGTTGTTCTGGGCTCTCCCATGAGTTCCCAACTTTTCTCCTCATCTGCCTCTGAGCTGCGAACTCCCGCAAACCACAGTTGTAATTCTGAACTGTCTTCTTCTTCTCTGGAAGGGTCATGCTGGGCAGGCGGTCTCCACCATTCCTCCTCTGCCCAGGACCTGACACCCAGCCGCTACCCAGGATTTACCGCCTCAGCACTAAGCTTGGCTTCCAAAGGCTCAGACTCAGGCAAAATCACCTGGAAAATACCCTGGATGCTTTAATTTGTTGACATATAATGGAGAAACTGTCCATTCTTAGCAGATATACTGCATTTGACTTGATAGCCACAAGAGCGAATGTGTGCTTTACAACAACAAAAACAGCAGGCATATACGGTACCTTGATGAAGTAGTTTATTCCAGAAACCATCTGCGTCTTAAACTCAACTGCTTCGAAGACTTCAAAGCTTCTGCCTTCTTTCTCTTCCACTTGTCCTTTCACCTTTGGGAACAGAAAAAGGTGTGTGGGGTGGGGAGGAGGAATTAGAATTTGTTTGCTGCTTAAAATATTGTGAGGCCTGCAAAAATCTCTGCCATTTGTGCCTGGAGAGGTTTTAAAGACTAGATGTAGAGGTGAAAGAAGAACCGAGAGCTGGGAAAGTTCTGCTCTCCATGGGGATACTCATCAAGACAGTATCCCCACCCCATGGAAACTTCTCTCCCGTTCCCCCCGCTTTAGATGACCTATAATACAATGTGGAAAATAGAATCCTAGCTGCTTTGAAATAGAGCAAACCCACTCAGCATTAGGAAACTCCCAAGCACAGACTTCCTCCATCTCGCCCCTCCAGATGTTTTTGGCCTACAACTCCCATGATCCCTAGCTAGCAGGACCAGTGGTCAGGGATGCTGGGAACTGTAGTCTCAAAACATCTGGAGGGCCGAGGTTGAGGAAGCCTGCCCTAGCAGTTTTCGAAACTCCCATGTTCCAAGGCGCATTTTGTGACAGGGAATTTCATCAGCGCGAGCGGTTTCTGAATTCTGGGTGCAGCACAGTGCCTGAGATTGAAGATTAAAATTACGGAGTGGAAGGAAAGGAGGGCCATTTTCTGCCTCCTCACTTCCAGCTACTCTCTCAAGACTGGGGAAGAGACCCTATTAAGAATATTAGGAGGGTGGGTAGCGGATGACCATCAGGTAGATCATGATGTACTGGTAGATTGCAGGGTGTACCTGGTAGATCGTAGTAGATTCTTTGGCTTCCTAAAAAAAGCTCAACAACTACCCATCCAACGACAATGGGTAGATCACTGCCAATTTTTTTTATACAGTGAGTAGATTGCAGACTATTGAGAGTTGGACGTCCCAGCACTAGACCATGTGAAAAAGGAACATAATATTTTAGCTGCAGTTCATTCATTTTCAGCTTTGTATTCTTGTTATTAAAAAAATGTGCCTAGACATTCTGTTGCTGCGCCCATAACTTAGGTTAAGCGCCTAGCTTTCATATCTCACTTTCTAACACTGTTCCCTAGCACAGCCAACCCCAGTGGGGTGTCCTGTCAACATCTATCAGCTGATCAGCAGCAACAGGGAGTCCCGCTTGCAAAGGAACAATCGGGAGCTCCGCGTCCATACCTGAAGAACACATGATTGTTTGTGGGGAGCAATTTGAGGGCCAAATTGGGACCCATTTCAGACCTCATTAGTCCCTGCCCAGCACTGTCCTAAAGGGAGCTCATGCACAGGCCGTCGTCTCTTGACAGAGGCAGAGCTTTCATCTGACACAACCTCACTTCACACACAGAGTACTTTTTGAAAAAGGCAGTTCATATACTCCATATCGTAAGATGACGTGCACACAGATGTGAATCAAGAGCAGAGCAGGCAAAACTGAGAGCCGAAGGACCTCAGCAAAGGGGATTAGAAAACAAGTTGTCACAGACAGAAAGGAGCGATCAGACACACAGGTATTCTGCTGATACGAATGAAGTGGCACAAAGAGCTTCGCTTGCTCATTTTCTTCCATGTCAGATGAAGGTGCAGAAGCAAGACAAAGAAGAAGTTGCCAACTGCATCTGCTAGCCTTGTGCAGAGATCATATGAGTGAGAAAGAACACACAAGAGCAGAAGTTAGGGTTAGAGGAAGCAGACACATTCCTGAGTCATGTTCCACATTATATTAAAATCTTAAATCATGCGATTAGGCATCAGAAACAGAATATCTGCATTACTAAAGAAATATAAACCGTGCAGACAGCACACAATGCATCCTCTGCTGCTCATTCATCACTGCGAGAAGCCAAGTTACAGGGAACCAGGCAGAGGGCCTTCTCGGTGGTGGCGCCCTCCCTGTGGAACGCCCTCCCACCAGATGTCAAAGAGAACAACAACTACCAGACTTTTAGAAGACATCTGAAGGCAGCCCTGTTTAGGGAAGCTTTTAATGTTTGATGTATTACAGTATTTTAATATTTTTTTGGAAGCCGCCCAGAGTGGCTGGGAAAGCCCAGCCAGATGGACAGGGTATAAATAATAAAATTATTATTATTATTATTATTGAGGCTGGGCAACTGCTCTAGACCAGCAGAAGACCCAGCAGAAAAGCTGAGCCCTGTGGATACCTGTGGATGGATCATAGTTATGAGTGGCCTCCGGATGAAATGTCCCAGACAGTTCCAAGTAACTGAGAATGGAAAATGTGCAACTACAGGGAGGAACAAGAGGAAGTGAAAGAGGAATGTGATGAAAACAGCAAAGTTCCAAAGTTCCTGAGCAATTACGGGGGTGGGTGGGTCACAGGATCTAAAAGAACAGTTTAAACTGAACAAATCCTTATTTTCTTTCATTGATGAGGGTGATGTTGGTTCAAAACAGAGCTGAATGAGCAGCCCCCAGTAAGGAACCAGAAATGCTCCTGTGCCCCTGAAATAAGCCTTGAGCTACCCCATTGCTATATATCTCCATAACTTAGGGCAAGTCCACTTTGAGATTGGGAAACTTCAACCACAAGGAAGCACTGAGTCAAATGCTGTGCAAGGCTGACTCATGGAAAACACCCTCCTTGCTATTTTTAATGTAGGATGGTTAAACGGCAAGTTTCCAATCTAAGAAACGAACTTCTTATGTGGATGCTTGTTTCTAAGGGAAAGGAAGACCCAAAGCATTTCTGCACCTTTTGGAGGGAATTCATTTCTTATTTATCAAATTTGCAAACACAAAACAATGCCCTGCCTCCCCAAATCATGAAATGTGGCTTTGATTATGCGTTTTGCTGTTTTTATTTTTCTACATTACTTGCTCTCTGCTTATTTGGAAAACACAACTTCTGTGCTACTCCCGTATTTTGTAACTTTGATCATGTTGTTTGTATTTTTTATGTTTAAAAAACCCCTTTTTTAAAAAAAAGTTATGCAGATTGTGGGGAAAGCTCTCTTGGAAGTGTTGATCTATCATTTGGGGGAGCCCAAACTTATTTTGGGATGCAGGTTCACATATAGTCCTACTCTTGACTGAGGCCGCTCACTTAATTCCACTTCAGTATGTCCTGGGAAGGACAAATAAGGAACTAGGACTAAAATATGGGTGGGGGGCTGGTTTAGGTACTTTTAAACCAATGCACCGCTCCGAAGTGCTTCCTTCCATTTCTTTTCTAAAATCTATCCAGCCCCTTAATGAAACCCCAGTTGCCCAAGTGCACAAAAACTTCCTCCACCATGCACAACTTTTCGTTTTGGGGAAATTGCCCAAAATGCGCCTAGTATTAGAATAAACCTTGGAGCGACATGATCGGCACCTGGGCATCAATGAAAGAGGTATGGAAACAACAAATACCGTATTTTTCGCTCTATAAGACGCACATGACCACAAGACGCACCTAGTTTTTGGAGGAGGAAAACAAGAAAAAAAATATTCTGAATCTCAGAAGCCAGAACAGCAAGAGGGATCGCTGCGCAGTGAAAGCAGCAATCCCTCTTGCTATTCTGGCTTCTGGGATAGCTGCGCAGCCTGCATTCGCTCCATAAGACGCACACACATTTCCCCTTACTTTTTAGGAGGGAAAAAGTGAGTCTTATAGAGCAAAAAATACGGTATGTTGTTCTGCACGCGTCAGCACTTCCAGGTTGACCTCTCTGGCACCTGGACTAACATGGCGACGACTACAGCACTTCTGTGGGCGAAGGGGGCGGCTAGTCCTCATGAGCCCCCGGGCCAAGGGGGGAAGCGGAGAAGGGAGTGCCTCGCCTTTCATGCCAGATGTTGGGAGGCCGAGGAGCAAGCGCCACTGGAGGAGGAGGAGGAGGAGAAGGACGGGAGCGACTCTCTCCAGGCTGCGCTTTCATCTTCCCCACCTCCCCATCCATCCATCCACCCAGCCAGCCCCCCGTCCCCCTCCAGAGGTTTCTCCAGCTGCGTCAAAGTGCCAGGAGGCTCCCTTCCTTACTTCCTGGGCGATTTGCTGCGTCTCGGCCGTGGCCGCCTTGGCCTCGCTGGTCCCTCCGCACTTCATCCTCGGGCAGCGCCTTGCGCGTAAAAACGAAACTCCGGTGCGCAAAGAGGACCTTCGCCACTGGTCGCCCCTCTGTCAGCTGGTCCAGTGATGCAGCTGGGCAGGCGGAGGGAGAGAGGGAGGGAAGGAAGGAAGGAAGGAGGAGGCTGACGCAGCGCAGGAAGGAAGAGAGGATTTCTCTCGTTCAGCGCTGCAGAAGCCATTTTTTTTCCAAGCCCAGAGATCGAGAGAGAGACGCAGAGAAATCCGAGAAGAAAGTCCGGATTTCGCTCCAAAATGTGACCGGGCATTGCATTGCAAGGACTGGAGTGCCCTCCGCGCATTCCCGGAATTTATGCTCTGCCCAACCCAGACCTCGATTGGTGTCGATTATTTATTGCATTTATTGTTAAACGGCCCTGCTAGTTCAAAAACAAAGGCAGCCGGTTGCAAAGGAGCGCGCGCGCGGCTTGCAAAGCCTTGCAAGTGTGTGGCCGGCGGTTAATGTTGCGAACTGGGAGAAGGGCGAGGTCGACAGGGACCAAGTAATGGGATCCGGTGTCGTTATCCTATTGTGGATCTGGAATCGGGCTAAACAAGTACAGAACAAGTCGAGACAGCTACTTGCCCGCTGTTGTTAACATTGCAAAGCGACAATTTGTTGTTGACAAAGGACAGCTGGACATAGAAAGGGCCCCATTACCTTCAGTAGTTTAGGGCCTCATCAAACCTAAATCCGGCCCTGTATACACAACATTCTGTGATAGAATGAATGAAGACTTGGTGCTTGGTTTTTGTTTTTGTTTTAAAGGGGGGGGCAGTAATTTTAAATCATTGTTCCAGTTCGTAGCATACTGGCCATCTTTCCCTTGAAAATTGCTTAGTCGAAATATAATACCTGGTTGGTGGATGGGAAGGGTTTGGAGTGACTTCAATAGATGTAAGAAAAAGGTAAAGGACCCCTGACAGTTAAGTCCAGTCATGAACAACTCTGGGGTTATCTTGCTTTACTCATCTTGCTTTACTGGCTCATCTCGCTTTACTGGCCGAGGGAGCCAACATTTGTCCGGGTCATGTGGCCAGCAGGACTAAGCCTTCTGGTGAAACCAGAGCAGCGCACAGAAATGCCATTTACCTTCCCGCCAAAGTGGTACTGAATTATACTCGGATAACTATTTATCGACTTGCACCATGACGTGCTTTCAAACTGCTAGGTTGGCAGGAGCAGGGACCGAGCAACGGGAGATCACCCCGTCACGGGGATCTGTGGTTTAACCCACAGCGCCACCTGCATCCCTTTTAGATGTACAGCTCCACTCACTAGAATCATAGAGTTGGAAGAGACCACAAGGGCCATCGAGTCCAACCCCCTGCCAAGCAGGAAACACCATCAGAGCACTCCTGACATATGGTTGTCAAGCCTCTGCTTAAAGACCTCCAAAGAAGGAGACTCCACCACACTCCTTGGCAGCAAATTCCACTGTCGAACAGCTCTTACTGTCAGGAAGTTCTTCCTAATGTTTAGGTGGAATCTTCTTTCTTGTAGTTTGGATCCATTGCTCCGTGTCCGCTTCTCTGGAGCAGCAGAAAACAACCTTTCTCCCTCCTCTATGTGACATCCTTTTATAATTACAGAAGAAATTTCATTTCACTTTGACAATTAAAAATCTTGGTGTTTGACCCTTAAGAGCGTCTTTTTCGGTTTAAAGTTACGTGTTCTTTCTCTGTTCTATCTCTAACTTAACTTTAACCGCCATGACATGATTGCATAATTATTGTAGCTTGCAAAACCAGATAAATCTTAGCACAATGTATAAAGTCACTTTCCAGATAATCATCACTGAAGTTGGACTGTTATTTTACAGGAAAGCAGGTGAAAGACCATGTAAAATTGGATACGATCGAGTGTGTTTATTCTGCCCAGAACTACCTGGGAAAAGGCATGTAAATTCAGGTTGCAGTCCTATGCAACCTTTCAAGTTTCAAGTTAGTATGGACAGGATTTGGGTTGCATATCAAGTAGTAAGAGCCAGATAGCAAAAGGAAGACTTTAAGTGTGTCCTTCTCCTTTAAATGGTTGGAGAGAGACCCATAAGAGGCCAAGCTAGCTTTGTGGTAGGAAGAGGGAGGATCCTGCCAACTTCATTTTTACATTTGTAGCGTGAAAGCATTCGGCACAGATCATATTTGACCTTGGGTGTAATGATGCTTTTGAAAACACACAAACCTTTAACTGGATTTTGCACTTCCTGGCATAGTTCCAACAACTGGGCTATTTTTTTAAGTAAGCAGAAGTCAATTACAGTGGTACCTCGGGTTACAGATGCTTCAGGTTACAAACTCCGCTAACCCAGAAATAGTACTTCGGGTTAAGAACTTTGCTTCAGGATGAGAACAGAAATCGTGCAGCGATCGTGCGGCAGCAGCGGGATGCCCCATTAGCTAAAGTGGTGCTTCAGGTTAAGAACAGTTTCAGGTTAAGAACGGACCTCCAGAACAAATTAAGTTCTTAACCCGAGGTACCACTGTATACAATTCCCAGATTGCCCCAATCTCACACACACACACACACATAAATTCTCACAAACAGCGCAAAGGTGGGATAGAAGGCACTTTTTTATTTTGACATGTTTCATCTTCTCAGTGCAGGAGATTCTCTGGCCACTAGTGCAGCTGCGTAACTCCTTGTGGGCTGAAGCCTTGCCGTCTTTCCAGAAGTCCCTTCAGAGCACCACGGTCCTGAGGGGGCTCCTTCCCAGAGTCTCGCCAGACGGCACAAGGGAGCACTCGGAGGCTTCAGCTACGCTGCCACAGCAGGACCAGTGAGGAGCGCCAGGGTGGCCCTTGTGTCCGTGACCACAGCCCTGATAGCCACCTGCCCATTGGAAAAGAAACTCTTTACTGGCTAGAAAAGCTCCCCAAGTAAACTCGCCATTTCCTGCACTTTGGGCAGCGGTTCTCCACAGGTGTGGTGTGCTGCACACTGGCATGGCAGAAGAGGATGGCAAGCGGGGCAGGAAGATTCAAGGGCAATTAGAAAAGAGAAAGGCTTCTTTCTGCTGGTGGGGAGATGAGAATTTGTTTGTCTCAAACTAGACTTAATATAAGTCTCTCACTGATCTTGTCTGCATGCTGAGGCAGGCAAACTCCGGCCCTCCAGATGTTTCAGACTACAATTCCCATCATCCCTAGCTAACAGGACCAGTGGTCAGGGATGATGGGAAATGTAGGCACATAGTAAGAGGATTGTTTATATTTTGGGAATGATTCAAGTTCTTCTTTAGCTGCGTTGTTTTTACTTTCTGGATGTCCCATAAAGTTGCTGTGCTCTATATCACAAACCAAGCACTACTTGGAGTTGTTTCTCTCCCCCCCTCCCCCGCAATGTATTTCTTATCAATAAACTATTCAATGTGGTGCAATAATTTTTTTATTCAGAAAGTGTGACCCAGAGGAAAAAGTTTGTGAACCACTAACCTCAGGTCATTTATCAGCAGAGGAGATAAGACTACATTCAACTTTGTACACAGATGAAGATAAAGCAGGAAACAAACAAAAAAATTATGTTCCAGGTTATGAATGTAAAAATAGCTTTTGCCTTCCATCTACCAGCTTGGATGTCTGTTTTATAATGACGGTGGCTGGAATCTTTCATCTGTGCTATTACACTTCTGGCCATTTTGCTGGAGACATTTTTGCATCCTGTGTAGGGAGGTGGCTAATGGGCTGAGGTGCAACTCAGGAATCCCTGATTCGAGTGTCACTGCTGCTTTCAACCTGCTCAAGTAAGCCACTCTGTCAGCATAACAAGACCAACCTAGCTCCTGCACATGTCAAGTGTTTGAAACACTCCAAAGGCCATTTGATCCTGACATGCTTCCTTAGGAGTAAACCCCGGTAAACACAGTGGAACTTACTTCTGAGTACACACACAGACAGGATTGCATTGTTAAAATTATTCTCGGACAAGACGGATGAATTGAAATAAATTATATATCCTTTGTCTGCATGATAATTTTAATTTCCACGATGTGCAAAGCCTGATGGCTGTACAAATCGAATAAGACCCATGGTTCCCAACGTGGGGCACACGCCCCACAGGGGGGCAATTTGATTTTTACGGCGGGCAATTCGAGAATGAGTTATTAACAGTTAATGGCCTTTCAGGCTTCCTCCATGTGAATAGGAGTTCACTTTTTGAATAATAAGAATTACATATTATGGGGGGGTGGCACCAGGATTTTAGAGATGCTTAGGTGGGGCATGTCCAAAAAAAGGTTGGGAACCACTGCTGTAGACCGTTAAAAGTTCCCTGGAGAGAGAGAGAGAGAGAAAGAAAGTGACAACTGTGCCTGACCCAGTAGCTTATGGGAAAGGGGTGACTTACCAGGCATGACTCCTGCACAAGCGCATTGAGCGGCCTTCTGCCCCCCACTAGAGCAGAAGGTGCAGCAGTGGAAGACGCCTCGGTGGGGTTGGAACTTGTTCTTTACAATCGTGGTGAAGGGGGAGCCCTGCAGAGAACAAGTTGCCAAAGGGACAGATTGGCATGTCATAGGTAAAGGTAAAGGGACCCCTGACCATTAGGTCCAGTCGTGGCCGACTCTGGGGTTGTGGCGCTCATCTCGCTTTATTGGCCGAGGGAGCCGGTGTACAGCGTCATGTGGCCAGCATGACTAAGCCGCTTCTGGCGAGCCAGAGCAGCGCACGGAAACGCCGTTTACCTTCCCGCCGGAGCGGTACCTATTTATCTACTTGCACTTGGACGTGCTTTCGAACTGCTAGGTTGGCAGGAGCAGGGACTGAGCAACGGGAGCTCACCCCGTCACGGGGATTCGAACCGCCGACCTTCTGATCGGCAAGTCACAGCGCCACCTGCGTCGCTATGAATGTCATACTAGAGGATAATACGACATCAAAGGTTGCAGCAGGAGGAGGTGTTATTACAGGCCTTACACTTACTTTGAGTGGGGGAAAGGACTAGCAACCATTTTCTGAAACAGTATAACAACTACATTATTATTATTATTATTATTATTATTATTATTATTATTATTATTATGCCACCCATCTGACAGGGTTTGCCCCAGCCACTCTGGGTGGCTTCCGACAAATTAAAACACAGTACAAATTAAAACACAAACTTCCCTATGCAGGGCTACCTTCAGATGTCTTCTAAAAGTCAGATAGCGGTTTATTTCCTTGACATCTGACAGAGGGCTTTCCACAGAGTGGATGCCACTACTGAGAAGGCCCTCTGCCTAGAGTAATGTTTACCAGTCTTAAATACAGTGGAACCTTGGTTGTCGCACGTAATCTGTTCTGGAAGACCATTCTGAAACGTTCGACAACTGAGGAGCAACGGTCGGTCGGCAAACTCAGTTGAGAAATGTGCCTCAGAAGCCGTTCAACTTCCAAGGCCTGTTCAAAAATGGAAGCAATTACTTCCAGGTTTTCGGCGTTTGAAAACCAGAACGTTCAGCTTCCGAGTCACTCGAAAACCAAGATTCCACTGTATATGTGTATAATGCCTGCAGGGTCATAGTCCTTTGCACACAATCACACTTACTATGTATTTATTAAAGTGTTTGTATAAATTATGCTGTGTTGTGTCCAAAAGTAGGTATGTACCCTCTGGGCCAACTTACGTTGTTGTGGTTCTCTGACAATCAAACTTGTCAACACTTTCCCCATGTACACTTTCGTCATGACAATGAAAGGCGATAGCCTTTAGATGTTTCCAAAGCCCTTAAACCCATGAAAATGGAGGGAACATGTTCTGTCCCCCTAAAGGCCAGTGGATTCACCTAAGGCAGTGACACTCAAAGCCAGGTTCGAGGAAGAAGTGTCTTGACTCCCCTTTGATAGCTTGAAGCTCAAGCCAACTGAGGCTCTGAGAAGCCTCCTCAGCCATTCCCATCCCTGGGCAGGCGCTGAGCTCAGAAGTGCCTTAAGATCCAATTCTAACTCCTCTCTCCTCTCTCTCCTTTTCTGCTCTTGCCATAGGTCTGCTCATTCTTGGTCGACTCTCCAAAATCAGCCACACCCACAAAAGCTAGCAGAAAGTGTTACCTGTACATGTTGACCTCTGACAAAGACGCAGACCTTGTACTTGCCCGGTTCCTCAGGGATGTAAGAAATATGGTATGTCCCATCTTGGTTGTCACTTACACTGGCCTTGATGACACTAGATTGAAGACAGAGAGGAAAGAAAAATAATTGCTTGGCATGCAAAAATAAAGAAGACATTTGTATAGAGACTTTGATCCAGTGACTGATGAAGTTGGTGATTATTTTAAGAGGTCTCAAGTAGCGAGTTGCTTAATAGAATTGAGGATATCCCACAACTGGTATTTTTGAACCACTGATGAACTTCTTTCCAACTTCAGGACCTGAAGAGTCAATCTGATGGTGGTAGACCTGTGTGTCAGAATCAGGACATTGCTGTAAAGCAGAAATGAAGACTGGATTTGAAGTATACTACTGGTGACTGGAGGGACGCGGGTGGCGCTGTGGGTTAAACCACAGAGCCTAGGACTTGCCGATCAGAAGGTCAGCGGTTCAAATCCCCTTGATGGGGTGAGCTCCCATTGCTCAGTCCCTGCTCCTGCCAACCTAGCAGTTCGAAAGCACGTCAACGTGCAAGTAGATAAATAGGTACCACTCCGGCGGGAAGGTAAATGGTGTTTCCGTGCGCTGCTCTGGTTCGCCAGAAGCGGCTTAGTCCTGCTGGCCACATGACCCGGAAGCTGTACGTCGCCTCCCTCGGCCAATAAAGCGAAATGAGCGCCACAACCCCAGAGTCGGCCACGACTGGACCTAATGGTCAGGGGTCCCTTTACCTTTACCTTTACTGGTGACTGGGGAACATTCTTCCCATCACTAGACAAATCTCCACACCTGTTTTCTTCAAGATAAAGAAGCAGTCAATGCTATGAGAAAGCCAGTTGAGGAAAGGCAGTTTTGGACGGGGGGAAACAACAACACTACAGTGGTACCTTGGTTCTCAAACTTAATCTGTTCTGGAAGTCCATTCCAAAACCAAAGTGTTCCAAAACCAAGGCACGCTTTCCCATAGAAAGGAATGCAAAACAAATTAATCCGTTCCAGACTTTTGAAAACAACCCCTAAAATGGCAATTTAACATGAAATTTTATTATCTAATGAGACCATTGATCCATAAAATGAAAGCAATCATCAATGTACTATACTATAAATTAAATAAGACTGTATTGTAGATGATAATTATCCACACAGTCACAAAAACAAATTAACTGAAAAAGCCTCAAAAACAAAAATGCAAAATAAATAGCAAAAACAAAAGCGCCAAACTTAATCCATTCCAGAAGTCCATTTGACTTCTGAAATGTTCAAAAACCAGGGCGCAGCTTCTGATTGGGGCAGGTGCCCTGAAAACAATAGCTGACAGCTGTATTGGACATTCAGCTTCCAAAAAAACATTCGAAAACCAGAACACTCACTTCTGGGTTTTCGGCGTTTGAGTACCAAAGCATTTGAGAACCAAGGTACCACTGTACTAGGAAAGGATTCAGTGCTCCTTTCCTATCTGCCCTGGGTGAATATTTTAACCAAGTCCCCAGTCCCCAATACTGATTTACAGGAATTTGGCACCGTGTGTTAGTTTGGACAAAGGGGTACTTATTGTTGCTTCTCTGTGCATGTCAAAGCACAAGACTCCTTCTTCAGGAACTTTAAATGACTGCAAATTCCTTAGACACAAAAACACTGCTCTGTAAACCTGAACTCAGAAACCAGCTTTGAACAAGCTGTGAAACAACAAGTTTTCTTTTTGCATATCTGCAATGAATTACCCTACTAGAATGTTAAACACATTTAGAATTCAGCTCATTAAAGGCATGGCATGCTTAGGAATTAATAGACTGAAGAATAAAATATAAAGAAACTCCAGAGTCCAGCAAATTTGATATAATCTTAGGGGCTTTTTAAATACACTAGAGGAACACTTTATACTTCTGAATAGATGGGAACTTTTTGTATTTGGGCCACAGTGCTCTGAAAACCTTTATAATCTCTTGTTGTTGTACTAAAAGGTCTGATGGACCGATTTGGATACTTTGGTTGAAAGATGTGATAGAAATGGATTGAATTGATGAAAGCCTTAAATCAGTAAGTCTCAGAATGGAGTGTTTCCATCAGAAACTGGACTTGCTAAATTAATCCAATTTTAAGTTTGTCATCCAGCTCTTTGAGACTCAGGGAGCTGCTCACCACAGCCAGCTCACCTCAATCCATGGCAATGCCTAGGACTGGTTTACTCACATGAGCAGCTACTATCAGAGGGCGACTCACGGAAGGAGGCAAACATGCCTGCCACCAGCAAAGATTCCTTTTGGAAAGACAGAAGGAAAATGCCTAATATCTATTAATTAGGAGTCTTTATGCCTTTCCTACTAATTTAACGTATTTTTAATCTTTGCTGGAAGCCGCCCAAAGTGGCTGGGGAAACCCAGCCAGATGGGCTGGGTATAAATAATATTATATTATTATTATTATTATTATTATTATTATTATTATTATTATCCAGGATCTTGAGGCAGTTTACAACATATTTAAAGTGAAATAAAATAGGCAAGAGAGGCTAAAATGGGGGAAAGGCAGTGCTTTTTTTCTGGGGGTACGCAGACCCCTAAACATTTTGTGAATATAAGTTTGACCTCATTGAGGGGCAGTATTTCAATATGAGTAGGAAAAGGAGAGGACCCCCAAACATTTTTTTTAGAAAAAAAAGCACTGGGCAAAGTACATATCCCATCTTTCTAGTTTTCAGGTGTTCCAGTTGCCACTATGCAACTGAATATCTGGACCTGCTACAACCACCAGATGCAAGTCACTCCTCATTGGCTGATGCTCATGTCTTCCCATCTATTCACTATTCAAGTGCCCGTATACTCCTAAATTAACTCAGGCTGCCGCAAATCCACATGCATCCCTTCACCTGGGCTCTCAGGTACGATTCTTCCGCCACTGTTCTGATTCTGGCAATTCACCTCCTTACCCTTTTCGTGCTCATGAATGTGCTTGCGAAGGGACTCTTAAAAGGAAACACGAAACAGACCGAAACGGACAACACTTTGCAGAATAGCTACCAACCAATCCTTCCTGTCTTTATGGGAAATGGACACCCGGACAGGCTCCCCTCCTCTGTCCATCTGCTCATCGGAAGCGTCCTTGCAGACCAGAGTGAAGCCGGCTGGCTCGTTTTGATGAGTGCTGCCGAGATCTGAAAAAGCAGAGCAGAGGAATTGGGAAGAAAATGTGAAGAGCCTTGTCCTCCTGTTATGTACTCAGCTGAATAGGATCCAAAATGCAGCAGTCTGATTGGTCCCAGAACAATGCAACAGTATGATTGGTCTGCAGGAGCCACCCAATCCAGCTCCAGATGGAAGTGAATCCACAACCTGATTGGCCTACAGGAGAATTCTGGAATTAGCCAATCACGTGCAGCCCATTGTGTAAATAATGTATATAAAGCAGATACTTTGAGGGGACATTCACTCATTCCTCCTCACCACCATGAGCTGAATAAAGAGCATGAAATCCACTCTCGACTCTGAGTATATTTCACCTCCCTTAAATGACTCTGCCCTTTCTTCCTCACTACTGTCCAAGGCTTCTGGCACTGAATTTCAGGTGTTGTTCTCTGTATGCAAAACATGCTCTCTGCCACTGAGCTACAATCCTGCATTTAAACAGACGTGTGTAAAGACATTCTCAGGTTAGAGATCTTCTGAAACAGCAATGGGACACTAGCACTGCCCAAGGCATGCTGGAGAACAGCAACAGCTGACAAAAGATAGATATAATATTTTACAAGGACAGGAAGAAACACTATGGACAGAATAATTGCCACACACAGGAAGGAGAGAGTTTGAATGCTTCAGCTGTAAGCGTAGAAATCATTCAATGTGTGAATACATCAAACCTTTTATTGGCTTCACATACAAACATCCAAAACAAATCAATACAGAATTACCACTTCCCCAGTGGCACAAAACATTTGCTTAAAAAAAAAAAAAAAAAAGAGGCAGAGCTGTCTATCGTCACATCTCTTCGTCTCCAGGGAGATCAGACGTCTGCAGTGTATTTTGATGACAAAAAACCAAACAGAGATATTTAGCCACAAATGGAAGTCACTAAAACTGCAGCTGCGATAAAAGGGATTGGGATTTGGACTGGAGCATGACTGAAAGTTGTAAGATCTTGGAACGCAGAAATAAAGAAAATCACCAGACCATTAATTCTAGCATGCGGGGGGGGGGGGGGGCACCAAACTTGTATAACTTGGCATCTCAATGATTGGCATTATTAATTGTATTATAATTTGGCCTTGTTATAATGAGGCTATTATTGGATTGTTGTAATTGAAAACTAATAAAAATTATTATTAAAAAAAGAAAGACATTCTCAGGTTAACAGCCTCCCTACAGTGGTAGTGGTAGCCACCAGTTAAAGGTAAAGGTAAAGGGACCCCTGACCATTAGGTCTAGTCATGACCGATTCTGGGGTTGCGGCGCTCATCTCGCTTTACTGGCCGACGGAGCCGGCATACAGCTTCCGGGTCATGCGGCCAGCATGACTAAGCTGCTTCTGGCGAACCAGAGCAGCGCACAGAAACGCCGTTTACCTTCTCGCCGGAGTGGTACCTATTTATCTACTTGCACTTTGATGTGCTTTTGAACTGCTAGGTTGGCAGGAGCAGGGACCGAGCAACGGGAGCTCACCCCGTCGCGGGGATTCGAACCGCCGACCTTCCGATCGGCAAGCCCTAGGCTCTGTGGTTTAACCCACAGTGCCATCCACGTCCCAAGCCACCAGTTAGGATGTCTTTAAAAGAGGATTAGACAAATTCATGGAGGAAAGCACTATTGATGGCTACTAGCCACGATGGCTGTGCTCTGCTCCACAACTGGATGTGGAGCATCTTATGATGTTTTTCTGCTGCTACAAACCACCCCCTTACCTGCTCCTTGCAGGACACACTTGGCTGGATGAGTTGCTTTGTTGAGAACGGCCCCAAAGATTTCGTAGCCATGGTATACGCCGGCCTTCTTTTGAGGAGAGAAGTGGATTCTGTCGTCCGCAAGAGGCTGGATATTGCAGTCCACGCTGGTTAGTTTGCTCAGCCGGTTCTCCACCACTCCTTTGGTAAGGAGGATCTCAAGGTCCGAGCCGTTGGTGAGCAGGTGCTCAGTGAATTCCACTCCTGTCTGCATATCCAGGAGCAGCTGCAGGAGCTGGGCTTTCTGCAGATGCAACAGGCTCTCCCTTTGGACCTTCAGTTCGTTCAGAAACTTGAGCAGCCGGTCTCGGTGCTCTTCGACGGCTTTCACGTAGCCGTCTGCAAAAGCGCAGATCTCTCGAGCCACGGCTTCCACGTGGGTGCTGAGGGCACTGCCCACCTCTTCAATACGGCTGAGCGCGCCTTCCAGCGTTCTCATATTCAGCTGGGTGATCTTCAAGAGCTCCCGAATCGAGTCTCCGTGCTTGTGGATAACGTTGCTGGTGACATTGTAGGGATGCTGCCGGTGTGTACCCACCACACACTCCTGGCACACAGACGTGTCGCACTGCTCACAGAAGAGCGTCAGCTCCTCTGAAGGGTGCAAAAGGCACTGGATGGGCTTCTCCATGTGGGTGTAGCCCTTCAAGTCCTGCAGCTCCATCACAGGGTGGGCAGCGGTTTTCTTCTGCCGCCTAGAAGAGTAGGGTGCAAAGTTCAGCCGTCTATGCATCCCAGAAAACAACACCCGCAAAACACAAGAAAAACCATTCCTACTCAGACACACTGGGACAGTAATCCTGTTTTGGGGGGCAGGGGGCGGGCAGGTGTGGAGGACTCCCTGCTCCTGAGTGGGGTAACTGTGCCCCTGAAGGACCAGGTGCACAGCGTGGGACGCACAGCTGTCCATGGAGGTGCAGGTCAATTCTGTGTCCAGGGCAGCTGTCTACCAGCTCCATCTGGAACGCAGGCGGAGACCCTTCCTGCCCGCAGACTGTCTCACCAGAGTGGTGCATGCTCTGGTTATCTCCCACTTGGACTACTGCAACGCGCTCTACGTGGGGCTACCTTTGAAGGTGACTTGGGAACTACAACTAATCCAGAATGCAACTGCCAGACTGGTGACTGGGAGTGGCCACTGGGACCACTGGTCCTGAAAGACCTACAATGGCTCTCAGTACGTTTCCGAGGATAATTCAAAGTGTTGGTGCTGACCTTTAAAGCCTTAAACTGCATCTGCAGTATAAAAGAAAAAAGGATACTACAGTGCTACCTCAGGTTAAGTTCTTAATTCGTTCCGGAGGTCCGTTCTTAACCTGAAACTGTTCTTAACCTGAAGCACCACTTTAGCTAACGGAGCCTCCTGCTGCCGCCGCACAATTTCTGTTCTCATCCTGAAGCAAAGTTCTTAACCCGAAGTATTATTTCTGGGTTAGCGGAGTCTGTAACCTGAAGCGTATGTAACCTGAAGCATATGTAACCCGAAGTACCACTGTATATCATTTTACCTGCAGGTGTGAAAGCAGCTGAAGTAGCGAAATGGCAGGGAGTGAAGGCTCTACCCCACTTTCTGTAGCCTTTTCACTGCCTTCCAATTCTGTTGTTCAGTTTAAAGGATAAAAGGGGGGGGGAGCTGTTCAAGTCTCCTGCATGTTATTTAATGTGATTGTAAAATGGGCATAAAAGGCAGGAAGGTACCACAAAATTACCATATTTTTCGCTCTATAAAACGCACCAGAACACAAGACGCACCTAGTTTTTGGAGGAGGAAAACAAGAAAAAAAATATTTTGAATCTCAGAAGCCAGAAGAGCAAGAGGGATCGCTGCGCAGTGAAAGCAGCAATCCCTTCTGCTGTTCTGGCTTCTGGGATAGCTGCACAGCCTGCATTCGCTCCATAAGACGCACACACATTTCCCCTTACTTTTTAGGAGGGAAAAAGTGAGTCTTATAGAGCAAAAAATATGGTATGTAGGGTGACTCTATAGCACTGTCTGGGCAGGACACGTACTTGTGAGCTTGGCAGCAAAACTGGCAAAGGCAGACCCGGCAGGCCTGGCAGTGCTTCACAGCTTCTCCATCCACGCAGAGGTCACATGCTAAGCCAAGGCCTTCTCCCTGCAAGGTCTCCAACAGCACCTCTTTCAGAGCCATGTGGTCGGTGGTCAAGTCTTTGATCCCTCCTGGTGGCAAATCTACCTCAGCATCACAGACGGGACAGAGGAGGCTGAGCAGCGGTGATGGCGGCGGCCGGCAGCTCTGGAGACAAGGCCCTTCTGAACTAGAGTCTGAGTCTTCCCCTGGCAAGCCCAGGTCTGAAAAGGGCTCCAACTGCTCTAGGCAAGCTGCGCAGAAGGTGTGCAAACAAGGCAGTATTTTAGGGGCAGAGAAGAGCTGAGCACAAAGTGGGCACTTGCTTTTAGAATATTCCTTTGCCTCAGGAAGGGCTTTGCGCACGCTAGTCGGCTCCTCTTGTAACCCCTGAGTGTTCGACATCTCCTGGAAAACAAAGAACAATAACTTTTTAATAACAATTGTTAGTCCTATTATTAGTATTATTTATTGAATGTATATACTACCCTATACCCAGGGGTCTCAGGGCGGTTCACAGAATAAAATCAAGATATAAAACTACAAAATAGATGATAAAAATAAAAAAAAACCCACCCAATATTCCTATAATAATAGGAATTAATACACAATACGATCAGAAAATCATTATTGCTCTTTAAAAACAGGAGGAGGAAATACAAATAAAGTATTCCCCCACCCTACAAAAGGAAGATGCCTCAAAGTCCCAGGTTATTCCACTCTATTTACAGCAAGGCATGCTTCACCCAAAATATTAATGAAAAAGCTGGCTTCAGGCAGTTACAAAGATGTCTGCAAATGTGACATGAACCCTGCCATATGGAAATCCCTTGCAGACAATCTCAGTGCCTGGAGACAGATAGATTGCGTATCCATAGCAGTGACCAGAGGATGAATGAGTGCTTGGGAGAAGCACAGAGAGAGAGAGAGAGAAATACCATGTTGCATCTGCCCCAGCTGCAACAAAACATGTCTCTCCCATATCCGTCTCTACAGAAACAGCACATTCTATAACTCTCTAATGGTATTCGAACCGCTCCACAAATGTTCTTGCTGTGCTAAGTTCATATTGACGTATTTGTGCTCAGAATAAAGCTGGGTGTATGTCACGGGGTGTGTGTGTGTGTTATAATAATTCTGCAAATCTGAAGACAGCCTTGAACAAAACTAATTGCCCCCTTATGTCACAAGAGCTTTGGTTACACTGGGAGTCAGAAGGGATAGAGTCTCTTATCCCAGAAGGAAAGCCATGAGTTGGCCAAACTGTCTCTCATTTAGAACTGGCTCTAGCCCACGAATGATCGTGCCATACTGTCCTTAAGAAGCCACAAAGCGTTGTCTTTGCTTTATTTTGACCATTTCATAAGCGCACAGAGCAGAATTTGGGAGATGGCTTGGGCCACACTCCCTTTTCCCGGCCCTGTCTCCAACTGTGATCTGTCCTTTCAATTGCAGGAGACCCGAGGGGCACAGAGGACTCCATTCCTGACCCTGGACAAAGTCAGCGAGGGCCGGTCCCCTCCTGAACCGAGGCAGCGCAGGTCCGGCCCCTGCCTCCACCAACCCAGCGCCCTGCCCTCTCCCGGGGGGAGCGAATCAGCCCTTGGCTCCCCTCCTCTCCGCCCGAAATAGAGTGGCATTTCGCTTCTCCCTCGCCCTTTCGTTTGCTCCCTTCCCCATTCCTTGGGTGTCGCCAAATGCGCCAAGAGAACAGATTCTCCAGGCGGAGTCTCTCTCCGCTTCGCTCCCCCCCTGGAGTTGTTCCTCCACCCCCCTTACCTCGGAAAGTGGCGTGGGCTTCTCGGAGAGCTTTCAGGCCCGTCAGCTGCCCCCTTTCCTTTCCTTCTTTCCTTCCTTCCTTCCTTCCTTCCTTCCTTCCTTCCCTAGAAAGAGAAACCGTTCACTTGGTTACGCACGGAGCCCGCTGGGCTGGAGCAGCTGCGCCCTCTTTACGCACGGCGAGGCGCGCCTTGGCAACGCGATCTGGGGATCTCTGGAGATCTCTGGAGAATGTGGGAGAGGGTGGCGGCGCCAGCGACGCAGCCCATGGCTGGCTGGGGAGGAGAACTGGGGCGGGGGCTGGGATTTAGTGGAGGGCTAAGGGCGAGAAGGCGCGTCGCCAGCAGTTCTCCGCTGGGGCGCATCAGGTTACACAAAGGCTGGGGGGGCGAAGCAAGGCTGAACGGCTGGAACCTGCTTTCGGGAGCCTAATCTATCTAATAATAATAATGTTAATAATAATAATACCCTGCCCATCTGGTCTGGCCTCCCCAGCCACTCAGAGCGGCTTCCAACAGGATATTAAAAGCAGGATAAAAGATCAAACATTAAAAACTTCCCTAAACATGACTGCCTGCAGATGTCTTCTAAAAGCCAGATACAGTGGTACTTCGGGTTACAGACGCTTCAGGTTACAGACTCCGCTAACCCAGAAATAGTACCTCGGGTTAAGAACTTTGCTTCAGGATGAGAACAGAAATCGTGCAGCGATCGTGCGGCGGCAGCAGGAGGCCCCATTAGCTAAAGTGGTGCTTCAGGTTAAGAACAGTTTCAGGTTAAAAACGGACCTCCAGAAAGAATTAAGTTCTTAACCTGAGGTACCACTGTACTTAATTTGTTCCGGAGGTCCATGCTTAACCTGAATCTGTAACCTGAAGCGTCTGTAACCCAAGAGACCACTTTATTATAGTTGTTTATTTCCTTGACATCTCATGGGAGGTGTTCCACAGGACGGGTGCCACAACCGAGAAGGCCCTCTGCCTGGTTCCCTGTAGCTTCATTTCTTGCAGAGAGGGAATCACCAGAAGGCTCTCCGAGCTGGACCTCAGTGTCCAGGCTGAACGATGGCGGTGGAGATGCTCCTTCAGGTCTACTGGGCCGAGGCCATTTAGGGCTTTTAAGGTCAGCACCAACACTTTGAACTGTGCTCTTTTAAACACTCTTCTATTTCCTAATTTTAACTGTTATTAGTGCTCTATGCAGAAAGTGAGGTCATACATTGAATGAATGAATGAATGAATGATCTTCCTGTCCAATGAAAATTCAATCTCATTTATCTATGCCTTTTACTAACACTTTCGCCAAACTGCTTCCCCATTTTCCTAATTCTGCATCATCCGCTCCTGAAATCGCCTGGGTGCTTCAGCACATTTGGGCACCGGATATGGGCTCATTTGTCCAGGGAAGCTGGCAGATAGAGTAACCTTTGTGTTGCTGCTTTATGCAGAAAAGAACTTAATGGGACTGTGGTTCCTCTGCCCATGCACAGAATGCAAGTGTTCTCGTCAGAAGTATCTATAATTTTCCATGTTGGGCTTTGCAAAGGGAACAAACAGAGGGTTAAACTAGACGTGGTGGTCGGGTGCACAATAAGTATCTCCAAATGTTGGTGGCAATTTCTATTTTAATGCAGCCTTTCAACTTTTAATCCAAATATACAGCACTTAGGGCTGAAGGAGATACCTAACCTTTTAGTCATGGGCCACATTTCCAGTCAAAACCGCTGCTGTCCACCTGCTTCCTCACTTGCAGGAGAAAATGCTAGCTCCTTATTTTTCCTCACTGTGGGTAGAAAAATAGTTTGGGTTGGTTGGGTGATTTATTTTTTAACTGACAACTTAAGGGACAGGGTTTGGCACCTCCCTCCTCACCCTCTTCCCAGTTCAGAAAGCATTCAGATTTTATCCATGGCTATCTTCCTTAAAGGGATGTGGGTGGCGCTGTGGGTTAAACCACAGAGCCTAGGACTTGCTGATCAGAAGGTCGGCGGTTCGAATCCCCGTGACGGGGTGAGCTCCCGTTGCTCAGTCCCTGCTTCTGCCAACCTAGCAGTTCAAAAGCACGTCAAAGTGCAAGTAGACAAATAGGTACCACTCCGGTGGGAAGGTAAACGGTGTTTCCATGCACTGCTCTGGTTCGCCAGAAGTGGCTTAGTCCTGCTGGCCACATGACCCGGAAGCTGTACGCCAGCTCCCTCGGCCAATAAAGCAAAATGAGTGCCCCAACCCCAGAATCGGCCATGACTTTACCTTTTATCTTCCTTATGCCTGCTTGCACCGCAGGGCAAAGTTAACATATTGTTGCCAACTGACCAGGAAGATAGGGGTGGGTGGGAAATTGCCCCCACCCACAGCATACCTAACAGTTAATTTGCATTGGGAACCAGGCAGAGGGCCTTCTCAGTAGTGGTGCCCACCCTTTGGAACGCCCTCCCATCAGATGGCAAGGAAATAAACAACTATCTGACTTTCAGAAGACATCTGAAGGCAGCCCTGTTTAGGGAAGTTTTTAATGTTTGATGTTTTGTTCTGTTTTTAATATTCTTTTGGGAGCCACCCAGAGTGGCTGGGGAAACCCAGCCAGATGGGTGGGGTATAAATAAATTATTATTATTATTATTATTATTATTATTATTATTATTATTACCATGTGGTTACGAACATTCTTTTCAGGACAAATGGGCAGGAAAACCAAGGAGACACCACTCCTTACCTGTTTTAAAGGCCAACAGACCTAGACCAAAGTAATCAATGTAAGAATGTGCATGAACTGAAATGGGGGGGGGGACCTCCTCCACCTGAGTTCTGCTCCTGTGATGTGTACTGTAAGCTCATTAGTTCTCCTCCTGGAATTAAGACACATTGTGCTGGATGAGCACAGAGGCAAAGAAGCTGAGTGATGCAGTTGTTAGGAGCAGTTGCTCGCTGAGAAGTCGTTTTCCGGTGGCAGGTGGCACCCGCCTGCGTGGAGCCCTGGAGCTTGGAAGGGGTCGCAGGAAGCCTGATCCAAAGCTCTGCATCTCTCGCTTTGTGGAAGGATGGCTTCCCTTTTGAACCTCATCTATCCCTTCCTGCTCACGTTGCTGATGTATCCCGTTGGTAAGTGGCTCAAAATGTCAGGAAGGCAAGTGGAATGTTTGTGGTCAGTGTGGAATGAAATGTTCTCGTTTGGAGAGGAGTTGAAACTTCACATTTATGGGCTTTCAAGCTTTTGAGAGCTGCAAGTGTCTTTCTTGGGTTATAACAGTTTCTAGCCTTTTGCCATTTAAGTATTTACTTAATTTTCTTTAAACGAATCTCACTTAACCACAATTGCGGCACACACCAAGAAATATATCTACCCTGAGCATGGAACTTTGACAAGACTACAGCATCATACTAATATGTTTATTTAAAAAGAAGAAAGATTAAAAAAACCTCACCACAATTCTACTAGCTAAAATACTAGTGAATGTAAAGCACTTACACCCTTAAAAAAAACTTCTAGTAATTGAAGGCAAGAGAACAAATGTTGGGAGAACAATGTGCTACTCATTCTAAGCTTTAGTGCCAAGTGGGAAAATGAGTTTGGTTAAATGGGTAGCATGTTCTTTTGGTTCACTGTTCAGAAAACAGGAGAGCTAAATTAGGAAGGCAAGGGTTTAGTTACAGGACTAGGCACAATAACAAGATTTAGCATTCATATAGGGTGTTTTCGTGTGTGTTAAATATTCAGAATACTTTACATGTTATGTTGATGTAATTCTTAGAACGCCGAAAGGTAGGTGATTGATCAAGAAACCAGTGGCTTTATTGATTGATTGATTGATTGATGGATGGATGGATGGATGGATTTCATCAGCAGAGCCTTTGAGCTAGCGGAGTACTAACTGTTCCATTCCATAGATGCAGCAATGACGGAATTCAAAGTACGTCCCTTCGACAATATTTCTCTGCCCTGCCAGTTCTCCTTTGTGGACGGCATCGATGGCTTGACATTTACGTGGGAGAGGGAAGATATTAAGGAAGAACATGAAGTGGAAGATAAAGAATTTTACAAATTTTTTGTTGGGCTCCACGACTTTTACCAGTTTTACCCAAAGCTGATATACAGCTTTAGCAACAACCAGGAACAGATGGAGGAGCGGAATTCGCTATATGAGGGGAGAGTCTGGGTAGATGAGGAGGAGATTGCCGATGGCAGCCTGGCACTCATGTTGGAGCAAGCACAGTTTTCTGATGAGGCAATATACATATGTAAGGCATACAATTCACGGGGCAGGGGGCAAAGGAAAGTGAAGCTCCTCGTGCAAGGTAAGAACATTTAAATGCACTTTAATATTGCACAGGTGAAAATAGGAAGATGTGTACGTCTGATATCTCTATTATCACAGAGAGTGCTGCATAAAGTCCCTCTTAAAGACTGACTCCAGGTTTGAGGAAATCCAGTACACAGTGGCTTTTGGTTAGCAGATTTCTCCATCACTTGGAAGCAGTCAATAGCAGCCACACTAGGGCTGGGTATAGCCACCATTTAAATATTTTACAATGGTGGTATGTTGGGTGGCTGTGTGAGGAAAGAGGACAAAAGAATGAGATGAATGTGGATTGGATAGAGTAAGGGATAAAAGGAGATGAATTGGGGATAGGTCACCAAAAAAAACCCCACAACCCTGGCCATCCACAAAAGAACAGAGGGATAAATAGTCTAAGTTTCAGAGAAGCAGAAGTGAAAATGGACAGAGTAAAAGATAAGATCATGAATATAGATGCTGAGTAGAAATGGACCGTAAGAGTGAATGGGGCAATTTCAGGATGGGTTTTACAAAATGGCATATGCCTGAATAAAAACTGTTAAAATTTATCCCCTCCCACAGTCTAGACTCGTGTAAGTTCTCTTATTTTTCTCCTTCAGAAACTTGGTATTTAAGATTAGGGTAGGGTCACGGAGCTGGTTTTCTGTACGTTAATCTTAAGGAAATAGTCGTTCTAACAAGATTTTTTTCTTTCCAAAATTGCCTCTTTCTTCAGAGACCCCAGAACAATTATTAACCAAGCTGCAATTAGCTAAGTCACTAATTGTTTTGTTTTTCCTTCCATAACAATTAGATGCTGAAGAGCCACAGGTGCAGTTCAGCACCGTCAACGACACACTTGTGGCCAAGTGCATCTCCGCTGGCTGGTATCACATGCCAAAGGTAACTTGGCGGAACCGAAAGGAAGAGGACATTTCCAGCTACGCCAAATCAGACATCCTGGAAGAGAAGCAGGATGGGTCCCACAGGGTGGTATCCGTCTTGCACTACCCTGTATTGCTCCATGAGATCTACACTTGCCATATTGAAGAAGACGACGTGCTCAACAGGCCTGTTCGATCCATCCACAAAGTCCCAAGTTAGTGATCTGTTGCTGTCTGCTGCTCTCCCCTTGGACAGGTCTGATGCAACATGACATCAGACCTGTGGTCAAGAAAGGACATGCTCCTTTCACACCTGTCCTCTCCAGGACAAATGAAGGCCGCTTGATCTAATGGGAAAGGTGCAGGATAACTGGAGACCTGGGCTTCATACTCTGAGCGGGCTTGACAGGGCTGCCTTCAGATGTCTTCTGGAAGTCAGATGGTTGTTTATTTCCTTGACATCGGATGGGAGGGCGTTCCACAAGGCAGGTGCCACTACCGAGAAGGCCTTCTGTTGGTTCCCTCACTGTGAGAAGTGAAGCTACAGGGAACCAGGCAGAGGGCCTTCTCAGCAGTGGCAGCCACCCTGTGAAACGCCCTCTCATCAGATGTCAAGGAAATAGACAACAATCTTTTAGAAGACATCTGAAGGCAGCCCTGTTTAGGGAAGTTTTTAATGTTTGATGTTTTACCACTTTATTACTATTACGACAGTGATGATAGGAGCCACTCAGAATGGCTGGGGAAACCCAGCCAGATGGGCAGGGTATAAATTTATTATTAGTATTATTATTGACAAACTTGTCAGAATATGAATTTATTTTGGGTTTCCTTTATATTGCGCTTCTTAATGTATGCCAGCCTTCCTTCTGGATCGTGTTAGCGAACACCTTCTACCTGAATACTTAGATCCGTAAAACTCAGTTTGCTTGCAGTACAGCATTATACCCTTTCTTGCATTACACCCTTCCTTTCAGGAACATGCAGGGACTAGAGCCCTTCAGTAAATTGTTTTCATTTTGAGGGATAGAGCAGAACAAGAGGGAAGCACTTCTCTAATGCAGACCAGCTCTGTGTGAGTATCTCTGGTCACACATCTTCCCATGGAAGAGGAGAGTGCTTGCCTATCAAATTATTGGGCACTTCACAGGTAAATTATAATCTAGTTCTCCAGTAGTGCAGAAGAACATCCGTATATAATCATTATTAAGAGGCTGCTCATGGGTATAGCCAGAATTTTTTTGGGGGGGGCAGGCCTTTTGTTGGGGGGGGGGAGAACCTGTTTGCTATGTATTTCTATTGATTTGGGAGGGCAGCTACCCCTCCCTGCCCCCCTTGGCTACGCCCATGAGGCCTACTACATTTCCCTTACTTGCCTAAAAGATGTAAGGATGCCAAAAATATCAAGGCACAAAATTGCCCTCTTTTTCTTTAATGCAGATTAGCACTAAATTATAAACCTATATTTAGAAGGTGATTTTATTGAATTCATTGGGATTCAGTTTCCAGTAAGAATGCCTGAAATGCATCTTTAAGGTAACGATGTTTTAAAATACATAAATAAGATTATGCATGATTATACAGTGTTTGTCCTGCCTGACACAAGCTACTATTTCAGCCTTTTCAAAAACAGATTCATTTTTGACCCCAACCCACTTAAATTTACAACGGGTCCAATCTTTCTTCCCATCTCTTTCACAAAAAGAAAGATGTCAGCAGTAAAGCAAGTTGTTTAATTATGATAGTTGCTACTGATGCAGCCTATTCTGGGCTGGAGCGCAACCCACTGTCATGCTCCTCTATAAGAAATGTGCTTTTGGGACACCAAGTGAATCAGAAATTGCCTACATTACAGCCCTTTAGTTTATTTGCATCTGCTTGCCTGCAGTATGAATTAATTATATGAGAGTGGGTGGAGTAGTCAAAATCTAATGCTGGCTAGCTGGCTACAGTTTTATATTCACTTACTTGGGAGTAAGCCCCATTGAACTCAATGGGACTTGCTTCTGCATAGATATATATAGGATTGCACTGTTTGAGGGATAGCTTGCACAACACTTCCTTTTTTTCTCTTATTTTTTTCCAGAGAGGAAATACCATAATATGTACAATCATTATTAGAATGTTAGCTGGTCGCAAGCTACTTGCAAAGAGAAGCCCTTGCTGCTTTCAACAGATGAATTCTTCAGCTTTGCACAGTTCTCGGATGCAGCGGAAAGAAGAGGAAAACTAGACTAGACAATAGGACAGTAAAAATGTCTATGGAAATTCATTTGTTTTCATGTTGCTTCTCGACATGCACACGTCAAACAGGGCAACAAATCACATGAGATGGCCTAGTTCACATTCTGTATTCTTAGGCACAGAAAGAGCCTTCAAAACCTCTGAACAATAAAGTGAATGAAGTACAGGAAAGAATTCTGTCTTTTATACATACGTACCATTTGTAAAATATAGCTTTTATTGAATTTTAATCAGCGTAAATTGTCCAACAATTGAGAAAAAGAGAATTATAAATATATGTCTTCCTGCAACAAGGTAAGAGTGTAACACATCTATCTCCACTACGCATGGGAAAGTTATTAACAGCTTCAGTTGCAGAAAGGTCTTCCTGAAAAGATGTTTGCGCACCTGAAATATGCTCACCTCCTTTTTAATATACTTGAAGAATGGAAATCAGGTTTCAATACAGTTGTCACTTTTAGTTAGCCTCCTAAGCAGCCTGCTATGAAATCTGAGCATCTCTGACAGGATAATTCTTCAAACTCAGCTATTAAATTATTGTGGGTCCTGATTGGAACTTCCGATGTTGCCCAACGGCAGATTTTTCCATTCACGAATGAACCTGTCAAACTTTCACATTCGCGTGATTTTTTGTTTCAGGTTTGTTCAGCTACAATGGTGCTGGCATACCTTGTCAAATCAGCTGTCTGAAATGATAGTAACATAAAGGCACCCCAAGCCGTTGGGAACCAAGGGACTAATACCTATTGACGGAAGGTACTCACATGGCCATTATAAATTGCCCTTCCACATTTGTATGTAGATTAATGTGATTATACCATTTCACACAGAGATGGGGATGGAGGTTTGAAAGGATACCAGTCAGCTTTTAGGCAAGATTCAAAGTGCTTGTGATAGCTTAGGATACACCTTAGGGGCTACTTCCTTTTGTATATTCTGCTCAGGAGAGTCCCTTTGCTGCATCCCACCTAGGGTAGAAGGAGGTTTGAGTGGGATGAGAGAGGTCTCCTCAGTGGCTGCACCTAGATTACAGAACACCTTGTTCCATGAAGTACAACTGGTCCCTTCCCCTCAGTGTCTTTTGTCAGTTGCTAAATACAGTACAGTTTTATTCTGACAGATTTTTGTTGCATTTGCACCAGAAGAGCAAAATGTAAATGTAAAGTAACACAGTAAAATCCTATCCTTCAAAATAACTTTAATACATTTTCTCACTGCAGTAATGGAACAGACAAATACTACGCTTGTATTTCTTCTGCGGAGCCAATAGTAACAGCACCACTTTTTGGATAAAAATTTAAGACACTGCATGGAACAGGAAATAGCTGCCTTCTGTGGTTTCGCATAGGCGAGTTCTTAATAGCAGCACATGGACTATAAGACTTAATGCCAGGATAAATTTGCCCGGCAAACGTATGGGCACAGTATACAATTAACTAGACCCCAAAAGTTATACATTCCAGTCCAGGGATTTGCTTTATGTGATATAAAGCCTGTCACTATTGCAACCTTTTAAAAATGCTTTTGTTCCAGAAAGTATTTGCTCAGCAGCATTAATAGGGTTAAAACATTGCCTCAGTCTTCTTATATTAACTGCATACATCAATTATCAATTACAGTTTCCTCTTTCATACAACACCGAATGTTTCAGATATGAGTATCAAAGAACAAGGGACAAATCCAGGATGCTGGTTTCCAATGGATGCTGAGGCCAGCAATGTGGAAACACAATAGCATGGAGGCAGCTGCACAGCAAGTTGTCTATGTGAGCAGCTCCATCCTTGTGTGGTTCATGTTAAAGGAATGACACAAGCAGTTGTCTGCACAGTTCTGCTGCACACAGATGCCTTTGCAACACTGCTTGTTTCAAGTGCCGACTGTACTCCAGACTGTACACATGACACAAGTCCATGTTCAACTGTAATATGGACAAGACGTACATAGCCACAGATGTGGAAAGACCTCAGCAGAACCAGCAGGACTGACCTTGTCCATGGCCTGGCAGAAAAGGCTCTAGAACAGGGGCGGCCCCCAAACGCCCCAACTCCTGTCATGGCCAATGCAACATCTGGAGGTTCACGAGTTACCACCCCTGTTCTAGAACTTTATAAGGGTTAAAACACTTTTAAAACAACATCTGGGCTTGGGGCTAACCAATATGTGTTGACAAGGCAAACCAGCCATCTTCTCCTTGCTTTTTAGGCTACAGGAATGGAGAGAAAAAAAGTGAAGTGTTACATTCCTTGCACTGTCACTTATTCCTTGCCTCCCCTTCAGTTCTCCCCTTAAATATATACATATATTACTTCTGCAATCTTGGGGTTCTGTTTTGACTATCTTCTTCTTATTATTATTATTAATTTTAACAAAGTAATAATAATGTAAAAATAATAATGTGCACCCCACCCCAAGACCATTCCATTGTAACTATCCAACCTCCCAAATTTTCAACACCTCTTGCGATGGTTTGACCCCTTTCCGTTTTAACAGTACAAATTCTACAAATACCTTCCATATCTCCTCAAAATAATTTCCCCTGCATATTTCCCGTCTTGCCTTAATAGCGCATGTTAATTTATCATTAATAGCTATAGTCCACACCTCTTTATACCATTATTCCATTTTATCTTCTGCTTGCCCCTTCCACTTCCTAGCTATAATAACTCGTGCAGCTGTCAATAAATTTGTGAGCAAGTCCTTCCTAGCCTGCGAACCTTCCACCTCATTGTAAATTGATAACAATGCTACCTCTGGACTTTCGGTCAGTTTCAACCCAGTGATTTCTGTTTTCTCCTTAAACATCCTTTGCCAAAACCCCCTGTACATATTTACACCCCCACCACATGGGAACATAAGTCCCAGTTTCCTGGCAATTCCTCCAGTAACACCAAATATTCCTTGTTTATATGATTTAATCTTACTGGTTGTTTAGACTATCTAAGGCTTGACACTCACCCTGAACATTGCCAAAAGGTGGAAGTATGGCTGTCTAAAAATGACTTACCTTTATTCTATGACTGTCATAAGTCAACTGTACATTTCCCAGGGAAGTATTTAGTGGTAAGCACACCTGGCTAGACACATCTGCAGATCTGTAGGCATAAATAATAGAGAGCTAGGAAACACGAAGTGTATAGAATTAGAGGTGCTGAGTGCCCTGTCCTATTTCCTAATTGCCTTTTATCTTTATATTATAAACATGTAGGCAGAGATGGTCTTCTCTTAAATTTATTATATAGCTCCTAGAGTCCGGGTGCTGCTAACAGGCATGGCCAAACTTGGCCCTCCAGATGTTTTGGGACTACAACTCCCATCATCCCTAGCTAACAGGACTAGTGGTCAGGGATGATGGGAACTGTAGTCCCAAAACATCTGGAGGGCCAAGTTTGGCCATGACTGTTATAATAATCATAATCATAACAACAACCACCACCACCAGGATGATTTAGTCATTCAATTTTCAGAAATAATTTTATATAAGTGTTTGAATTATAGGAGGGTCAGAAAGGGTTATGCCCTCCTTACTTTGGTGGCTGGTCCCTCAGGTACTTTTTGTAGAAGACTCCAGTGGGGCCCACGAATTGACTAAAATTAGGGAAATCAGAGGTTAGGGCATCCCCATAACTTTCCCCGTGTGTGCGTGTGCGCGTGTGTACTTTAACTAAGCCTGTGTATTACCTGCCTGCTTCTCTGTCATTCAGTAAAAAGGCATGCATGTTGATGGAATTGGCTAGCTAAATAAATTAAGACCTAGACAGGTGAGAACGGAATGGAAATATACATTTGTATTTAACGATCTGAGTCCATAGATGACTGTTAATGGAAACACATCAGACCTCTGACGTGCCTCAACAAGGCTCTAATGTACATTTAACTTTCCATTAATTAGGAGGCAGATATTATTTGAGAGAAAAACCAGGTACAGTCGTATCTCAGTCGACTTACAAAATGTTTGGAAACCAAGGCGCAGCTTCTGATTGGCTGCAGGAACCCGCATCGGACATTCAGGTTCCAAACAACGTTCGCAAACTGGAACACTCACTTCCGGGTTTGCAGCGTTCAGGAGCCAAAATGTTCGACTCACAAGGCGTTTGACTTAAGAGGTACGACTGTATTTGCTTATCAAGGCATTTCAAGTGAGGAAAGCTGTCTGCTAGACACCTTCTATTTCTAGTGCCAAAATCTGTAACGATTCACTGGAAATCGCAGCCACATCTTCAGACTATAAGTTAGCATGGGGTGGAGAACATCTGGCCCATGGACCCAATGAGATCCACCAGGCTGCTGAGAATGGCCCACCAGGCAGTTTGGCCCACCAGTAAACCTCCCTTCATACAGAAGGGGAGAAGAGCTCAGGATCTAGCCTGCTGTCTAGATCCTGCTCCCCTTCCCTCAGCTGTATTCCTTACAAAAGCTTATACCGTATTTTTCTCCCCATAGGACGCACTTTTTTCCTTCCAAAAATGAAGGGGAAATGTGTGTGCGTCCTATGGGGCGAATGCAGGCTTTCGCTGAAGCCTGGAGAGTGAGAGGGGTCGGTGCGCACCGATGCCTCTAGCTCTCCAGGCTTCAGGAAGCTATCCGCAAACCTTGCAAGCCCAGCGGGAGGTCCCGCTGGGCGTGCGAGGCTTGGGGCAGCAGCCTGCAGCCTGCACGGGGCGCCCTCCGGAGGGCGCCCCGTGCTTTGGGCAGGTGTGTGCAAGGCTTGGGGGGAAATAATTTTTTTTAAATTCATTTCCCCCCCAAAAAACGAGGTGCGTGGTGCGTCCTATGGGCCGGTGCGCCCTATAGGACAAAAAATACGGTACTACCCACCCTGCCTGTAAAAATAGAATAGCTAAGCAGCTGACCTCTTTGTACTGGTTCCACTGGCGGGAGAAGAACTATTTTCTTTAGAACTATCCAGAATTTCTGCAACTGGAACAGACACCTCAATTGTTCTTCTCTTTCCGGTTTCTAGAAAAGACAGTATCTGATTAGTGAATTTTTAGGTGTCCAGGTGTTCTAGTAATGAGGAAGCCCATCAAGCAATTACTAAATAGAGAAACAGAATGTTTTCAAAAATTCAAAAAAAGATAAGGGGGGGAAAAGATTGTCAAGTGAAGACAGCTGCCATCATCAGAATACACCAACCCATATTGCCAACACAGATGTAAGAAAAGCTTTTAAAAAGTGGGTAACATACCAAGCAAATTTAAGGGTGGTGATGGAATTGGTGAAACTGGCGGAGACACAGAGACGAATGTTGGTAACGTTTGCTGACTGGTCAGCTGCACCAGTTTGCTGCGTGCTTCTGCGCTCTGGCGGTTCAGTTCAGCTATTCGTTCATCCAAGCTCCTTGGTAATTCTTTCAAGCTGCTTATGGCATCACCATGTCCCTAAACGAGTATTCAAGAGGGTAGTTAAAAGTCATTTTCATACTTTTCATTACTGAACTTGGCTGCTTGGCAGACTCAGTGCATCTGAGTTACCCAGCAGTAGCAGCTATCAGCAACCTTTTTTCCTACAATCTACTTTTAGCCACCTCACGTGGTCTTTAATCACAAAAAAGCATTCTGGCAGCACAAGGTCAAGTAAAGGTAGGTCATGATAGATGACAGATCACTGGTTTGAAGCAAAATGTAATAGTCTGTAATTATTTCTAGCTAGAAAACAGCAACCAATGGAGTTCCCACAATCCTAAATATTCAAAGTATTTTTTAAGAGACCTGTGAGTAGAGTTTTAAAAGTGAGCTAACAGAATTCTGCATATACCAAGCTAAGCAGCTTTCAAATAGAATACAAATAGCATTCAAAAAGTATGTCATTGAATGGAGTACAGTGGTACCTCAGGTTACATACACTTCAGGTTAAATACGCTTCAGGTTACAGACTCCGCTAACCCAGAAATAGTGCATTGGGTTAAGAACTTTGCTTCAGAATGAGAACAGAAATTGTGCTCTGGCAGCGCGGCGGCAGCAGGAGGCCCCATTAGCTAAAGTGGTGCTTTAGTTTCAGGTTAAGTACGGACCTCCGGAATGAATTAAGTACTTAACCAGAGGTACCACTGTAATGACATTCAGTAAGTTGTTTTAAACAATTTTTTTAATTGTAACCTACCCTTGGATGTTAAGAACAGGTAATAAGTTAAAATAATATCACATATAAGATTTGCGGGTGGAGGGAACAAACACTTTGTCATTGGCACTGCACTCATTCCCAGAGTAAAAAGGAAAATACAGTGGTACCTCGTGTTGCGTAACCTCCAGGTTACGGATCTTTGGGTTACAGCAGCAGCAAACCCGGAAGTGTATACTTCCGGGTTTTGCCGTTTGCACACGTGCAAAAGCGCACACACAGAAGTGGCGCCTCTTGTTACGGATTTCTTGGGGTGTGCGTGGCACCCCGAAACAAATTAAATCCGTAACCAGAAGTACCACTGTACACTCTATTCCAAGTTGGCTGAAATACCATGTCCAGCTCTAGGTACTGCCTTTTTAAAATCAGGACACTGAACTGAAATAAGGGCAATGAACCCACAGGAGGGTAATCAGGATGGTGCTGAATGGTTTGCTTGAGGAAGAGATTAAGGAGAGACATGACCGTGGTATCAAAATATGACACTAATGATGTGAACTGATTTGTTCTCTGTTGCTCTAGAAGGCAGGAATAGAAATTTTATTGGTAAGAGCTGTTCAATAGTGGCAGACTGCCTTGAGGAGGTGGTGAGTGAGCTCTCCTTTGCAGGAGGTACTTAAGCAGAGGATGGACGGCGATCTATTAGGGATACTTGCAGATCCTGCATTCAAGACCCTGCGCTGAGCTGGCGGTTGGACCAGATGAGCTCCAACACCCCATCCAGCCATATGATTCTATAAATATTTAGGCTTCAGAAAACTCGGTAAAGGGTAAAAAGGTAAAGGACCTCTGGACGGTTAAGTCCAGTCAAAGGTGACTATGGGGTTGCGGTGCTCATCTCGCTTTCAGGCCGAGGGAGCCGGCCTTTCTCCACAGCTTTCTGGGTTGTGTGGCCAGCATGACTCAACCGCTGCTTCTGGCGCAACGGAACACTGTGACAGAAACCAGAGCGCACGGAAATGCCACTTACCTTCCCGCCACAGCGGTACCTATTTATCTACTTGCACTGGCGTGCTTTCAAACTGCTAGGCTGGCAGGAGCTGGGACAGAGCAACGGGAGCTCACCCTATCACGGGGATTCGAACCACCAACCTTCTGATTGGCAAGCCCAAGAGGCTCAGTGGCAACTCAGTACATGGGTCACCAATAAGATGCCCCACAGGGACACAAATGCCATGAATGGATGGCTGATGACTGTAATTCTTGCAAAACTGACAGTCGTGTGTGTATGTTCATACACACCCATGCTTCCCTTTCCACAAGTCACAAAGCATAATCTCAAATTATCAATGTTTATTGAGAATGTCAAGATCCAACACTCTCTTACATTCTTACCTGCCCCTCTAGCACTGATCCATTCTGCGCCGAAAATGGCTGCTGCAAAATATCCCATGCCTCCTGAGGGCAATGCCTGAATTTGCTCAGCTGAGCTTTAATGACAGTGTTCTGGAGTGTTAGCTCAGCTATTTGTCCCTGCAGATCATCACTCTGGGTAACCATCATGGTCGCATCAGAATTAGGCCTCTCTGAAAAGCCGTCAGAGCTTTGGCTTGGCACTGCAGAGAAGGCACTTACTAATGGCTGGCCATCTGGCTGTACAGAACTCTGCAAAGGACCAGCACCTTTCTGGGTGAATGAACTGCCATCCTCTTCCACCGTCTGTGGCTTGATCGACAGAGAGGACTTCTGCTCTCCTTCTGATTCTCTCCCAGTGGAGTCTAGGGAAAGACAACACAGGAGACCAAATAAATCTGCACGACTATATTAAATCCTATTCCTAGGCTAATAAAAAATGGGAGTGAAAAGGCTACGTTCCAAAGAGAGGCGAAGGCTGGTTATAATGCCAATTTGAGTGTCAGTTCTCATTTTTTAATTTAACACTCCAGGATTGATATCTGAATACAAAAGAAACATACCTGCCCCCAGGTCTAAATGAAACAGTTCAAAATGTTCAAAGCAATCTAATGTCAATGCCTTGGGCCTAGAGGCCTTTTAGACTTCAGGAGGTGCCTTTATTTTGTATTCAGGACCACAGATTGTTAACTGGAAATGTTCACCTACAGAGCTGACCTTCAAGTGAGGTGAAACTCAAATGCTTGTGCCCTGCAATTTGAAAGCAATCTTGCCCAAATATCTGGTACTGTTTCATTAGATCTGTGCTGTGACGATTTTCTGATTGGGGAGAATATATATTAATACATATGGTATGATATTAATCACTTCTCCCACAACTCTGATGGGCCTTAGTTTTCTTCGAAGTAGATCCATCTTAAGCAATGGGGCTCCCAGGTGAAGCACTATCCTGTCCTCAAGGTGGCAAAATTTAACAAGATGCCTCCAACCAGCTGAGAAAGAGGAAAAGTACAAGGTGTAGCAATTGCTTGCTGGTTTAAAAGTAAGGAGTGTCCTGCTATAAATTCAGATTGGGTTTCCTAGGCATGAGACCAAAGACCTGACATTGTATAACTGAACAATAGCCACAGTCACCGATGTTCTTAGGACTAGATACTACACTAGATTAGAAGACATAAAAGGACTTGTCTACAATGTGACTGATGGAGGGTTGATTACGGAAACAAAGTCAGGAAGCTGTCAGGCAGTCAAAATGACCCTCTTACCGTTCTGAAGAGGAGGGAATGCCTGGCTGCTCTTCTGTTGTGGTGGAGATAACAAAACAGCTGGTTGGAATAAACAAGCTGGTAAAGATGGGGTTGGATGCATTTTATCCAAAGGATTTGGAAACACTGGGGCTTTATTGGGAATATCCACTTGTGTATTTCTCTTTGGCCCAATGTAGTTTGAGAGGCATTTTTCTGACGAGAGAATAAAGAGGGCAATGTATTATATTAGACAGAGGAAAACTTGAAACAGTTAATCAAATCTAACAGTGAATCTTAGGGCCAACTAAATGTTATGTTAACCATGCTTTTTAAAAATGTGCTTGATGCTTTTCATTTTAAAGGAAAAATGGACAGTGACTGCCATTTCCCCCAAAATTGCTGTTGACTTCAAATATCACCTTCAGAGACCAACAACGGCCTGGAGGGATTTTAGTGGGAAAGTAGTGCAGTGTTGGGAGACGCGGGTGGCGCTGTGGGTTAAACCACAGAGCCTAGGACTTGCCGATCAGAAGGTCGGCGGTTCGAATCCCCGCGATGGGGTGAGCTCCCGCTGCTCAGTCCCTGCTCCTGCCAACCTAGCAGTTCAAAAGCACCTCAAAGTGCAAGTAGATAAATAGGTCTACTCCTACGTTTCCGTGCACTGCTCTGGTTTGCCAGAAGCAGCTTTGTCATGCTGGCCACATGACCCGGAAGCTGTCTGCAGACAAACGCTGGCTCCCTCGGCCAATGAAGCGAGATGAGCGCCACAACCCCAGAGTCGGTCACGACTGGACCTAATGGTCAGGGGTCCCTTTACTTTACTTAGTGCAGTGTTGGAATGGGGACCATAACAGCTATTTACTCTTCCATGTTTGATATAGTACGGTCAAACCTTGGTTTGCGAATGGCTTAGCTGATAAACAAATCGACTCCCCAACGCCAAAAACCTGGAAGTAAGCATTTTTCAGAAGCCAAATGTCCAACGCAGCTTCCGCTTGAGGTGCAGGAAGCTCCTGCAGCCAATCGGAAGCCGCGTCTTGGTTTTCGAATGGTTTCGGGAGTCGAACAGATTAAGTTCGAGAACCAAGGTTCCACTGTATTGGGCAAAGGCCTGAAAAACCACAATTAACACCATGTGTAGGTACCTACACATTCAGAACCAATCACCACCAGAATAAATCAGACAGCTATCAAGCAGCAGTCCAGCTGTAGCTAAAACTCTAAGTTTTGAAACTGTCGTGTCACTCAGATTATTGAGGTTTCCCTGGTGAAGACTTTTACCTTGAGCTGCCTCTGGACTCCTGACTGAAAGTTCCCCAGAATCTGTAATGGGAAGCCCTTTAAATGCATGTGTGAGTGAAGTCAATTGTTCATCTGTTACAACCGTGTAGTGCTGAAACTTATTCTAGAAGACAAAAAGCGAGAAAGAAAGGCACCAAAATCGCCATTCTGATTCACTTGCAACAGGCAAACATGAAGCATAATGGGTTATTTCCAAGCATCTGCCCACACCCCTAGTAGTCCCATAAGCACATATTTACTTTCTACTGTACTAATGCAATAGACATATAACATAAATAATAACTGAGTGCTACTAAAGTGTTTATCACATGAATTCTGAAGTTGGAACCAAAAGGTCAGATATGCCCTCACAGCGGAAGCAAAAATACTAGGTGTGAACAAGGAGAACACTGCAAATGTATCATGAGGATACAGACTTGAACCCCCGTAGAGATAAGATGACAAGGGGTACAAGTCCATCTCTTACTCAAGTTACGCTACTAAAGTCATTTAGCCCCTTGCTGCTCTGCCAATGCATTCAAAGCACTGTGTCTGGAAACACATCACATCACCAAACAAAGGGAATATAGGCTGGCATTAAATTCCAATTGCAGGTCGTGCCTCGGTTACATAGCTTAGCAGTGATTCTGGGTAGTACCTGCATAGCAATATTTTCTTCTCTTGCCAGGAGGACTTCAGCAGTTAGAGCATCAATGAGGGCCCTGTGTTCACTTAGCTCTCCTTCAAGTTGCTCCCTGTTCAGCTTTTCTTGACGCAGCCTTGTCTCGGTCTTTTGGGGACAGGGAAAGAGGGAGAGTGAGGAATCAGCCACAGTAAAGTGACAGCTGAAGTATTCATTGTGAAAGCAGGAGTTATCAGGGTTCAGCAGCAATTGAATGAAGGTCAGACTTCAAAGTGAAAGGCGAAGCTTTCCCTCCTGTACCTACAAAGTCGAAGCCAAAATACTACGGCATAAAGGGTGAGGCTGGTGCAACAGAATGGACATAAATCCAAACCAAATACTACTTTCTTCAAAATCAATGGGAAACAACCTAAAACAAACAGCACCAAACTACTGAAAAAGCACAGTCAACATCGCTCAAAATATTACGGTGGCTACAAGCAGCAGTTTGCCTTATCTTCCCACCTCCTTCAAATAGCGCAGCACGCGACACAGAGCGTTCACCAGCGAGCGGGTAAATCCAGAGAGACCTCGGCTGCTGTGGACTTGCTGGACTTCGTGGCCCATCCATCTCTCATATTCTTCCATTTCATTCTCCATATTGTGCACCATTTGGTTCAAGACCTCAAGGCTGGATTTGTTGCCATTGGGGAGGTCAAGGGGAGCTGCAGCAGCAGGACTCGAGTTACTCCTCTTCTGCGCTTCTGGGGTCTGCACACTTTGCTTCTTCCTCACTGAGAAGAGGACAAGGAAGCATGTTGTCCTTAGCAAGGCAGAAGTTAGCACTTAAACAGAGTGCTTTGACGCAAATAAAAGCGAGGGAGGGGGACTTTAGCTGAAGGGAATTAAGGTTCTCCACCACTTTGCTAATCTTTGATGAAGGTTTAGAAATTTTAAATCCTTGCAAAACAACTCAAGCTTTAGACAGCAATTAGACAGAGTGGCTGGGAAAATTATTATTATTATTATATAAAGGTAAAGGGACACCTGACCATTAGGTCCAGTCGTGACCGACTCTGGGGTTGCGGCGCTCATCTCGCTTTATTGGCCGAGAGAGCCAGCATACAGCTTCCAGGTCATGTGGCCAGCATGACTAAGCCGCTTCTGGCGAACCAGAGCAGCGCACGGAAACACCGTTTACCTTCCCACCTATTTATCTACTTGCACTTTGACGTGCTTTTGAACTGCTAGGTTGGCAGGAGCAGGGACCGAGCAACGGGAGCTCATCCTGTCACAGGGATTCGAACCGCCGACCTTCTGATCGGCAAGTCCTAGGCTCTGTGGTTTAACCCACAGCGCCACCCGCGTCCCTTCAAAGGTATACTAGTCACAAAATAGTAAGAGGCAGACCAACAAGGTGATCCAATTGTGAATGCTACACTATTACCTTACTGCAGATACCTGCAAAACAGCACAAAATAAAACTTATCTAGTTAGGCCATGGAGGGGGGAGCATTGTGGGGTGGGGGGATGTGAAGGAGAAACAATAATTTTGGCTAATATGCTGGAATGTATGCAGTACTTATTTTCTTATCGAATCTAAACTCTTCCTTTTACTGCTTTTGTAATTCTATCTGGAATATTTATGAAATTCACAGAACAGTATTATGCATAAACTAGATTAAACTCCAAGCTAGATTAAGGAGCAGCAGAAGGCTAGCAGCAATTCACAAGAAATGAAGGTCTTGTTGGCTCCTTTCCTCGAGACCGCAGCACCCTCTAGGTGTAGAAACACATCTTGGATTTGAGCGCTATATACATACACATTATACACAGGAATTATTATTTCCCAAGGGTGCAGATTGTTTCACATAAGAATCTTCACACTACGTATATTTAGTAAAGTCTGGTTTTAAAAAGGTTAATTCACTCCTTCCAAAAGACAACTTGTTCCACACAGATGGGCACAAGGGAGGCCGCAACCGAACAGAGACTGAGAAATATACGCGAGAAGAGGTACACTAAGACATACCTTTTGTGGTTTGCTTTTGCTTCCTTACATTGGCGTTCAGTACTTGCTGCACAATGTATGTGGCATCTGGAGTCTGCTCTTCATACCGAAGTTTTGAGTGGACTTTCTTGACTACATTAGTAGCATTAAGGGCTAAATGAATTTAAAAAAAAAAATGTAGGCAGTGTTTTAATTAGTCTAAAATAATCCAGAACATACCTTCCCCTACAGAAGGGTTGGGGAACCTTTTCAATATGAGGGCTGCATTTACTCATGGGGCAATTTCCGGGGACTGTCTGTCAGTGACGGATGAGGCCAGAGGCAAAAGTGAGCAGAGAAATGAATGGGACTTTTACCTTTGTACACTAGCCTATGTTCGATCTATGCAAAGCGCTTTCTATGCACCAACACCGCCTTCATTCCTCCATCCAGCCACGACTCTTGGCTACATTTCAGCCAGGATAAGGAGGGCATGGAACAAGGCCAGTGCTGGCTGTGGCCTGAGGGCCAGGCAGAGAGATCTGGAGGCCACATCTGGCTCCTGATCCTGCAATTCTCCATCCATGCCCTACAGCAAGGTGGGGGACTTGGGATCCTCCAGATATTGCTAAACTACAGTTCCCATCATCCGTGGTGACTGGCCATGCTGGCTGGGACTAAGAGGAGATGGTGTGTGACATCTGGAGGGCAGCAGGTTCCCCATGCCTCCTTACAGCAAGACACAGAACCTACTGTTTCATTTTTGACTGGTTCGTTGTTTAAAAAGAGAGTAAAATGAACCTGTGGATCCCAATGGCTGAACATTTGTTGTTGGGGTTGAAAGCACATAGACTTCCTGTGATGATACTTGTTGCTTAGAAACCTCTTGCTGGGCACCGGCCCCAGAGTTTTCTTCCTTCAGAAGGTGAAGAATCCTAAGTGAAGAGCAGAGATGCAGAGCAACTTTAGGAAGATTACAATTTTATCGCCATGCCCTTAACAGAAACATTATTTTAGCCATAATGGACATGGTTTGGTACCCTATGCTGTGCTTAGTTTACAGCATCATACCTACCTTGGAGCTAGATAGCTATCAGTGCCGCATACTAGACTTCTTTTGGCAAAGTGTATTTTGGTAAATATCAGCTATAGTGGAACAAAACTGACTGCATTAGATCCAGCACTAGCCCTTTGAGCAGTGATTCCAGAAGCCACACAAGAGCTCTTTTATAAAGAGTTGATTATATTTTTGCTAGCAGCACCATGAATAGAAATAGCCCAGCACTGGCTTCACTCATCACCATTTACAGTTTAATGCTGGCAGGCAAAATGTGGTTTATTGTGGTAGCTGGGAAGCAAAGTAGAGTCCTCAAAGGTGCTGAAAGTCACGATAACGTCATAGCAATATGGAGGCCTTTCACAACATTTTCAACTAGACAAGATGCTAATATAATATTGCCTAAGTTTAAGAAGACATTTTGGAAATATTTATTGCCACAGTGTGTGTTAGCTTAACCTTCATTGTTACATGCCTGTATTTGGATATTAAAATTATATCTCCCAGTGATGTTACAAATATGTAAAGGATATGTACTATATCTTGTTCTGGTTTATTGTGATATTGTTTTTAATATAAATTTAAAAGGCAAAAGTTTGATTTTATTTAAGCATTATAGCAACATTTAGAAGATCATATACATGAGAGATAATAGCAGAGCTGAATAGCTGGATTAGTAGATCATGTATCAAGCAATAAACTATTTGTGCTTATGCAGGTTATACAAAACTATGAAGGTAAAGAGATACACTTACCTCTCTGTATCAGTGTCAGATCTGAAGCTCAAATACGTATCGTTCTCACTGTTTGTCTTGCACATCAAATAATTTTCTCCTTCTACTTCATTGAGAGCCTTTCAGGAGACAGATATAACATCTCAAACATTTGCATGGGAGAAATTTAAACTGACATATTTCATAGGCTGACAAAACACAGTGAGCCAATAGCCAGAAATCACAACTGCTGCAAGCCCAGCTGAAGGAAACACACAGTTTTGTGTCCCAAGAAATTTAATTTCACACCAACAGAGGGCAGAAAGACAATTCCCAATTGCCCAGAAGTGGAAAGGGAATACTTAACTGTAATGCTAGAGCATTTTTAAACAACTAGTGCAAACACACTATTGCTTTCAATCTATGTTGCCTTGATTTCATTAAAGTCAAAACTGAAGTGTTCAGGTTTCAATAAACATTATTTGTACCCACTACTGTCAGGAGGTAATTTGCTAAAATAAAAAGAGTACAAACATATATTTCTGCATTCAATTTTGTATTTGCAGCACAACCCTATGCATGTCTACTCAGAAGTAAATCCCACTAAGTTCAATGGTACTTAATCCCACATAGGTATGCAAAGGATTGCAGTCTTAAGAGTTATTTCAAGTGCCTCTTCTGTTATGTCCTAAGAGTCACTGCTGCAACTATGGATCTTATCCTCAACAATTTATCTGCAGATATCTTCTCTTAACTGGCATGTGCTTGGCATTTCATTTCACTCCACAGAATGACTAACACTGGTATAATTTGAAAAGGCATGACTATGTATCAAATGCAAAAGACGCATTCCGTGGTCTATTCTATTTATTTAGTGACAAAGTTTACATGGAAAATACACCACCTGTGGATCCATGACAGAATCACTAAGAAGAGAGAGCTGTGTGGGGGGATCACATTTTTGTACGATGGGACCTTGAGAGGATTCTACATCATAATCAGGAGCCACAGTCACATTTGGGAAACCTTTAGGGTAGAAAAGAAATAAAGACTTCCATTCATTAGGCCCAAGATTAGCTGTTGAGCCTACTGAATAAACGTAGCAATCCTTTGTTGCCTTCCATGGAGACACTATCTTATATTTCTACGAATTATAGATACCGTTAGTTTGTTGTAGAAAAACAATAGAACATTGTGTGGCACCATAAGCTCTTAAACACTAAATTTTTATTGCATGATACGCTTTTGTGGGCCAGAAAGAGAGAGAAGGGTCTTTTATCCACTTTCTCCACAATATATGTATCACTTTATAAACCTGTACTCTTTCCTCATAGGAAACGTGATGCAGCTCATAGTTTGCCAACTGAGTAACAAATGCAGAGGAAAGGACTGTATGTGGTGGAATTTATCAGGCCAAATGGGATGGACGTGTATATGCTGCTGTAGGTGAAACATCTGTAGACACAAAGGGAGAAAATATGGTTTCCACACTGGCAATTTACACTGTGTAACTCTCTGGAGCACCAGTCAAGACCCAGCCATCACTCTCTTAGCAAAACCAACAGAATTCAGTTTAAATAGATCATTTGCTTATACAGGCAACCCCCGATTTGCGCAGGGTTTGGTTTCTGGATCATCAAGCACTTCTGTAAAATTGTGTGTAATTGAAAAAGCCTGCAAACACCCCATTCAGCCCCAACCCACCCTTTATGTTAAATACATAAAATGTATTGTATGACATTTCCAGGTTACTTCCGGGGTCGGCACAATGCACAGATAGATGTGAACACGTGTAAATTGGGGGGGGGGGGGTTTGCCTGTATGCTACAAGGAAAATTTGGAGGCATGGTAGTGGCTGTCGTCAAAGAACATATTTCTATGTTATTATCACACTAGGAAACATGAAGCTATCGTTTCCAGTAAACAGCTTTCATTTTGGGTTTGCTTGGGTCTGCTAAACAAAACTATATCTCACTCAGTAAAACTTCACCTAAATGCCTGCGAGGAGCATCTCCAAATAGATCCTTCACCACAGCCATGGCCTGATCAGATCTCTCCAGGACCTCCTGTAACTGGTACTGATCAGAAAGAATCTAAAAAAATGAAAGCACAGAACACACACATTTTATACTTCTCTTTCCTTCCCCATTCCCTACCCACTCTTCAAAACAGCTTACATGCCACTATTAATCATATAAATTATTAATACTGCTACCTTTTATTAGGACCAATAGATGGGCATGATTAATTCAATAAGTAACACATTTAAAAATACATCTACATGTGGCAAATATTTGAAATTACTTATTTTGAGGCATGACCAAGGCAGTCTATGCCAGTCGCTCTTTAGCACTCATCTTAGGCTTATTTGTACAGCATTGTCTAAAATACTAAATGCTTCTTTGAAAATGATGTTATTTTATGACCCGCCTTAATGAAGACAACATTATAGCTAACAAAAGGATAACAAAAATATATAACTTGTCCCTAAGATCTTTTGAGGGCTGGGAAGTAGCCAATGTAGCACCAATTTTTAAAAAGGGATCCAGGTTTTGTTTAATCTGTACTGTTCTGTTTTTGTCTGAAACAATTTTACTGGGTTTACTTGGTTTTATAAAGGTATAATGGTTTTGTTGTAACCTGCTCTGAGACCTTATAAACAAACAAACAAATTCACTGGGCTGGTGGAGAAATTATGGATCATTCCACCCCCTTTCTACAAGGACACCTGGTAGAAGGCTTCAAAAAAACCCAGCCGTCTGGTCGCAGAGGATGTGGCTTCTGACTCCCTTTTAACCAGCATAAACATACTTTTGTGACCTTATTCACTTTTCAAGGTTGAAGCACACTATGAGGCTGAGTGTGCCCTCTCCAGATTAGAGAACTCCAGGCATATAATGAATGAATATAGTTCACCAGGAAGCCTTGCACAGCAGCAAACATGAAAAGTAAGCTGGATCTCAGGTAGTTGGGAGGAAAGAACAGTGCATGCCACCATGCAGACAGAGCTCTCCTCACCCCCAGCTGAACCACAGCTGATGACTACCTTACTATATCAGCCACAAGGAAACTCTATAACCATTTCTTACCTCTCTCATCAAGGCCAGTTTCTTTTTTTCCAGAGATTCTGGAACTCTTGGTCTCTGCTTCTTCCATCTGCTCTTCAGTGCTTTTTCTTGCAGTTCAAAGTGTACAATGCCTTTGTTCTTTGACTTGTGCATCTCATGGCGTCGTACCTGGAAAGGAAGATATTTTCCTCAAACCAGAGCCAAGGAACAAATGAAGGAGATGATAGTGACGGTACAAAACAACTAGAAGGCTTTCTGTCTTTACACTTCTATACACTGGGCAAAACTAGACAGCAGGGTCACTATCTTAGCGCCATATGCAGACTGTTACAAAAGCACAAGCAGCCAGTGTGGTGTAGTGGTGAAGAGCGGTAGTCTCGTAATCTGGGGAACCGGGTTCGCGTCTCCGCTCCTCCACCTGCAGCTGCAGCTGCTGGGTGACCCTGGGCTAGTCACACTTCTCTGAAGTCTCTCAGCCTCACCTCACAGAGTGTTTGTTGTGGGGGAGGAAGGGAAAGGAGAATGTTAGCTGCTTTGAGACTCCTTAGGGTAGTGATAAAGCGGGATATCAAATCAAACTCTTCTTCTTCTTCTTCTAAACACTTGGAGATGGTTCACCTAATACAAGATTTCCAATGGACTATGAGCATGTCAGAGAAAGAGAGAAGAACAAGCAACAGAGAAGCATGGAAGGGATGGATAAGGGATGGCCAATGGGGTAGCCATCAAATGTAGTGGAGACCTGCACTATCAGCAGCAGAAGGGAGCATACAGGGATACAGGATGCTAACTGCACACACCCTTTGCACTTCCAGCATTGCAGTTTGTAACCCCTCTCCCTAGTCAATTTCCTCTTCATCCAAAATCCAGCACTGGACCCCAGCCTCCACCTTATACATGACTGGGACACATCCAGAATTGAAAAGAGCAAGTCTGTGGTTTACTTGTATAATTTTATGTCTAAGACAAGCCTCCTTAAGTGCCTCCCCAGTATGTCAAGAAAGACAAATTTCCAGCTTACGAGATCTTCAGGAGTTGCACGATGCACGGTGAGATCATGAACAGTGTTCTGCAACAAAGCATACCAAATGCAAGGTTAGAACATGAAACCAAGTACATCAAATTAATAACATATGTTCTCCAAGTTCTTCTATGGGTCAGTTCTAACCATCCCACCCCATTTTAGCACACCCAGGAACCTAGAGGGCAGGGCTGTACAATACAATGGAAAGAGCACCGCTGCCTCCTCAGTTGAGGGAAGTCTTATAATCCTAAGAGTTGGACGGGACCACGAGGATCATCTAATCCAAGCCCCTGCAATGTAGGAATCTTTTGCCAAGCGAGCAAGCTACTGACAAGAAGAACTGCATTACTGAAAGAAGAAGAAAACTGAGTATGGCACTGCTGCAATATTATGTCTGTGCACATACACCAAAGGAAATAATAGCTAAAGCAGGCATACTTCCAAGGAAACATTTTTAAAAATGGTTTTAAATTCTCATAAATTTTGATAGCCTGGGCTCTCACATCTTTGATTGTTTTGACACGTGAAATCGGGGAGACTCAGGCACAAGTTACCAAACTGGACTAAAAGTTCCAGAATTAATTCCTCCATGGAGGATGGAGGCTAACAAAAAAATCATGAAGTGGTGCACAGCCTGAGAACTTCCACGCCTCGCAAATCTCTCCCTCCGTATCCCATTGGGGCAGCAATTCCTGCATAAGCACAAAGGAAGCTTCCACAAACGAAAGCTTTTATACCCCTAACACCTTCTCCCCCCACCCTCTCTCTCCCTCTATACAGTGGTACCTCGGGTTACAGACGCTTCAGGTTACATATGCTTCAGGTTACAGACTCCGCTAACCCAGAAATAGTACCTCAGGTTAAGAACTTTGCTTCAGGATGAGAACAGAAATCACATTGCAGTGGCGCAGCAGCAGCGGGAGGCCCCATTAGCTAAAGTGGTGCTTCAGGTTAAGAACAGTTTCAGGTTAAGAACGGACCTCCAGAACGAAATAAGTACTTAACCCGAGGTACCACTGTATATATATCCATGGTTCCCAACGCGGGGCCCACCCCCAAAGGGGAGCAATTTGATTTTTAAGTGGGGCCATTTGAGAGTGAGTTACACTGAGTTAATGGCCTTTTAGGCTTCCTCCACGTAAATAGTTCACTTTTTGAATACTAAGAATTATATGTCATGGGGGTAGGAGGGGTGGCATCAGGATTTTAGAGGTGTTTAGGTGGGGCATGGCCAAAAAAAGTTTGGGAGGCACTAATCTCTTTCTCTCTCTCTGTCTCTCTCTCTATATATATATAATAATCCAGCCTGAACAGAAGTGTTGGTAAAGTCAAAAGCTTACACCCAAGATTTTATTGGGTTTGGTTCCTTTTAGGTTTTGATTCCAAACCTGCTGGGCAAAACCCGCCTTCTTCTCCAACTCAAGAGGAATCTTTATTTGCATCAGCCACTAGCCATAGCAATAAAATAGAATAAAATATACTGAAGATAGAGGTAAAAACTTAACTATAGAAAATACATTTGGGGGGTTGACATCAATAATCAAATAAGAGATATTATTCTAATTGCCCTTCCAGTTTTTGCTGTCACCTGATCATCTTGAAAGGACACGGTATCAATGGCTGAGCGACCCGGAAAGGACAATAATAGAGGGATAATCACCTCACTCCTCAAATCTTTATAAAGTGTGCAGACCAGAAGCACATGCGCCACGGACTCAATACTGCCATCTCCACAGTGGATTTTTTGGAAATCGACTCTCAAGTGCAGCTGAAGGCAGGATATTCAAACTTGCCAAAGTGAAAGCACGTCTGTATTTGGGGACCGTTAAATTTTGCAAATTTCGCCAAGTGTCAAGGCGACCAGGTGGAAAGTAATCCTACCACCGACATTTCCTTATCGGGGCCAGATTATTCTGTCGCTCCATGTCATACAGGCGCTGTCTAATTGAATTATTTGCTTTGCTGATTATTAATAGTGTTGCTAACTGTTGTGGTGATAAACTGGAAAAGTAAAGCTTTTGGTTGTTTCGTTTTTTTAAAAAAAGCAAATGGAATCTGTCATAAGGCATTTAGGAAGCGTGAATTGCATTTGCGAATCAGATCTACGACTCTTGCGACTAAAAGGGAAATAGGTTATTATTATTATTATTATTATTATTATTCTTCTTCTTCTTCTTCTTCACAGCTTCTCCCCCCGCTCGTACTCACGTCCCAGTCCTGCTTCTTCCTCCTCGCCTTCTTGGGCGGCTTCCTCTTGGCTCCCGAGGCCGGCAAGCGACTCGCCCTCAGCAGCGACATAATAATAATAATAATAACTGCAGCCCCCGAGTAATAGCCGCGGCCCCCGAAGCCGCGCTGAAGCGGCGGTGGCTCGAGCGGGCGGGGCTCCGAGCCAGGAGAGAGAAGCGTCGGCCGCGGCGCACAAATCGAGGCGGGTCGCGGGGAGGAGAGCAGGCCTCGCGCCCGTTGCCCCGGCAACCCCGCCGGCTCTGGGCGGGAAGGAAGGCGGCGGCGCCGCGGGGCGAAGGCCGGGCTTCCCCTCAGGAGAGCGCGCCCGAAGTTTGAGTGCAGGGCATCCCTCTGGAAGGAGCCACGTCCCAGTCCCGCCTCGAACCGCCTGCCCAAAAGAGGCGAAGGAAAAATTATTATTATTATTATTATTATTATTATTATTATTATTATTATTATTATTATTTGTTTAGTCGTGTCCGCCTCTTCGTGACCCCCTGGACCAGAGCACGCCAGGTCATTCTGTCACAATGTTGTGTATACACAGCATCAGGGCCGGATTTAGGTCTGATGAGGCCCTCAGCTACTGAAGGTAATGGGGCCCTTTCTATGTCCAGCTGTCCTTTGTCAACAACCAATTGTCACTTTTTTGTGTTGATTACATGCTGTATGGTAATTTATGGACCTAAAGCCATTTGCACATAACATGTAGGCACCCTGTATATTTGTTGTGGTGGTGTGTTGTTGTTTTTGTTGTTTAGTTGTGTCCGCCTCTTCGTGACCCCCTGGACCAGAGCACGCCAGGCACTCCTGTCTTCCACTGCCTCCCGCAGTTTGGTCAAACTCATGTTAGTAGCTTCGAGAATACTGTCCCACCATCTTGTCCTCTGCCGTCCCCTTCTCCTTGCGCCCTCCATCTTTCCCAACATCAGGGTCTTTTCCAGGGAGTCTTCTCTTCTCCTGAGGTGGCCAAAGTCTTGGAGCCTCAGCTTCAGGATCTGTCCTTCCAGTGAGCACTCAGGGCTGATTTCCTTCAGAATGGAGAGGTTTGATCTTCTTGCAGTTCATGGGACTCTCAAGAATCTCCTCCAGCACCAGAATTCAAAAGCATCCATTCTTCGGCGATCAGCCTTCTTGATGGTCCAGCTCTCACTTCCATACATCACTCCTGGGAAAACCATGGCTTGAACTATATGGACCTTTGTTGGCAAGGTGATGTCTCTGCTTTTTAAGATGCTGTCTAGGTTTGTCATTGCTTTTCTCCCAAGGAGCAGGCGTCTCTTAATTTCGTGACTGCTGTCACCATCTGCAGTGATCATGGAGCCCCAGAAAGTAAAATCTCTCACTGCTTCCATTTCTTCCCCTTCTATTTGCCAGGAGGTGATGGGACCAGTGGCCATGATCTTCGTTTTTTGATGTTGAGCTTCAGACCATATTTTGCGCTCTCCTCTTTCACCCTCATTAAAAGGTTCTTTAATTCCTCCTCACTTTCTGCCATCAAGATTGTGTCATCTGTATATCTGAGGTTGTTGATATTTCTTCCGGCAATCTTAATTCCAGTTTGGGATTCATCCAGCCCAGCCTTTCACATGATGAATTCTGCATATAAGTTTAATAAGCAGGGAGACAATATACAGCCTTGTCATACTCCTTTCCCAATTTTGAATCAATCAGTTGTTCCATATCCAGTTCTAACTGTAGCTTCTTGTCCCACATAGAGATTTCTCATTATTATTATTATTACCCCGCCTTTTTTCCTGCCAGAGACTCAAGGCAGCTTACAGATAAAAACAAGAACAGCTAAAGCAGTGGTTCTCACATAGTGTGGCCTGTCCATACTGATGTGGCAGGAGAGGATGACAAGTGTGGCGAGGAGATTCAACGACTTTTAAACATTTTAGTACAGTATAGTATAGTATAGTATAGTATAGTATAGTGGTACCTTGGTTTGCATACATTTTGGGTTACAAACGTGTCAAACCCGGAAGTGCGTGTCCCGGTTTGCAAACTTTTTTTGGATTACAACCCATTTTGGGGGGATTACGAACACATTTTTTTTGAGGCCCCATTGGTGAAAGCACGCCTTGGGTTACAACGTGTTTTGGTTTACAAACAGACCTCCAAAACAGATTATGATTGTAAACCAAGGCACTACTGTATAGTATAGTATAGTATAGTATAGTATAGTATAGTACAGTAATGTTTGTTTGTTTGTTTTGCAGATTATGGGTAAGATACCTTATAGCAGTGGTTCCCAACCTTTATTTGGCCATGCCCCACCTAAGCATTTCTAAAATCCTGATTCCTTCCCCCACTGTGACATATAATTCTTATTATTAAAAAAGTGAAGTCCTATTCACAGGGAGAAAGCCTAAAATGCCATTAGCCGTTAATAACTCATTCTCGAATTACCCCTCTTAAAAATCAGATTGGGAGCAACGACCTTACAGTGGTGCCCCGCAAGACGAATGCCTCGCAAGACGGAAAACTCGCTAGACGAAAGAGTTTTCCGTTTTGGAGGTGCCTCGCAAAACGAATCTGCAATGGGCTTGCTTCGCAAGACGAAAATGTCTTGCGAGTTCCTGGGTTTTTTTTTTCCTTTTCCCCCTCTTTTTCTAAGTCGCTAAGCCGCTTATCTGCTTATCTGATAAGCTGATAAGCTGCTAAAAGCCGCTAAAAGCCGCTAATAGCGCTAATCCGCTAATCCCGTCAATGGGCTTGCTTCGCAAGATGAAAAAACCGCTAGACGAAGAGACTCCCAGAACGGATTCTTTTCGTCTTGCGAGGCACCACTGTATAGCGTAACCATATTTGCAGAAGTAAAAACCAGGACACCCCAAAGGTTGTTGAGCTTCTTTTAGGAATACCCTAAAATTGTTGAGCTTTTTTTTTAAGTGATTTTTTGATTGACTTGCCTAAGATTCAGGACAGAGATGCCTTTGAAATCCAGGTAACGTATGGCATTTTCAAAATGAGAGCAAGAGCATCAAGTGATAGTGAGGAAATCCTAGATGTATTTCTTATCAACAAACAAAAATGGTGTGGTGCAAGCAAATTTTTATTCTGAAATTGTGACCCAGAGAAAAGGTTTGAGGACCACTGAGCTAAAGATCTTTTAAAAAACCCAAATAAACACAATCATAGAATTGTAGAGTTGGAAGGGACAATGAGGATCATCTAGTCCAACCCTGCAATGCAGGAATCTCAACACATGGTACCCCTCCAATCTGAAACCATATCAGACCCTGCATAGCTTTTCAAATGTGCTAGCAGGTTTTTTGCTACAATCTGTTAAAACCATACAAATAGCATCATAGTAGAATCATAGATTATTATTATTAAAATTTGTGTACCGCCCTTCATCCAAAGATCTCAGGGTGGCCCCTTTCATTAAATAATAATAATATAATAATAATTTATTATTTATACCCCGCCCATCTGGCTGAGTTTCCCCAGCCACTCTGGGTGGCTCCCAATCAAGTGTTAAAAACAGTACAGCATTGAATATTAAAAACTTCCCTAAACAGGGCTGCCTTCAGATGTCTTTTAAAGATAGGATAGCTGCTTATTTCCTTCACATCTGGTGGGAGGGCGTTCCACAGGGAGGGCGCCACTACCGAGAAGGCCCTCTGTCTGGTTCCCTGTAACCTCACTTCTCACAATGAGGGAACCGCCAGAAGGCCCTCGGTGCTGGATCTCAGTGTCTGGGCTGGATCTCAGTGTCTGGCGCTGGAGCTCAGTGTCCGAGCAGTCAGTTCCCAAGAACCTGTTGGAACAAGTCAGAAGGATGACAAGGAGGGAGCCAGTCTAACATCCCCTAGGGAGGGAGTTCCAGAGTCTTGGTCAATTCTTTGTCCAGGGCAGCTAGACCAGCTCCATCTGGTACGCAGGCTGAGACTCTACCTGCCTGCAGACTGTCTCACCAGAGTGCTACATGCCCTGGTTATCTCCCGCTTGGACCACTGCAATGCACTCTACCTTTGAAGGTGCCTCAGAAACTGCAACTAATCCAGAATGGCCACTGGGACCATATAACACCGGTCCTAAAGGATCTCCACTGACTCCCAGTATGTTTCTGAGCACAATCCAAACTGTTGGTGCTGACCTTTAAAGCCCTACGGCCTTGGCCCAGTATACCTGAAGGAGTGTCTCTACCCCCGTCGCTCAGCTTGGACACTGAGGTCCTCCTCCAAGGGTCTTCTGCTGGTTCCCTCACTGCGAGAAGCAAAGTTACATGGAACCAGCCAGAGGGCCTTCTCGGTAGTGGTGTCTTCCCTGTGGAACCTTCTTGGTAGTGGGGCCCTCCCTTTGGATGTCAAGGAAATAAACAACGATCTGACTTTTAGAAGACATCTGAAGGCAACCCTGTTTAGGGAAGTTTTTTATGTTTTATGGTGCTTTTAATATTCTTTTGGGAGCCGACGAACCAGATGGGCGGGGTATAAATAATAAATTATTATTATTATTATTATTATTATTATTGGTCAGGGGTCAGCAACCAAAACCCATGGGCCACAAGCAGCCCACGGAGGCCATTTAACCAGCCCCTGAGCCGCCCCCGAACTGAGCCGCCTGCTTGGTGAGTCTCCGCATGCTGCGCTAAACCAGCGTAGTGCAGCGCGGGGACTCACTTTAGCGGTGCCAGAGATCGTGTCTGCTCAGACACAGATGCCGAAAATTGCATCTGCACAGATGCTGGAAATTGTGGGCGTGCATGCTCATGTGCCCGCAATCCAGCCCACAGAGGGATCTCCGCTGGAGTGAACCAGCCCAGACAAGGTAAACCTTGCTGACCCCTGTTATAGGTCATAACTTATAAGAATGTGGGCTGGCTGCAATAGTTAATACAAGTGAGGGAAAGTCACTCCTATGTTACACACCTTACCTTTAAATTGCATTGGAAACACATGCTTTCTTTCACATAATTCTGGCTGATGTAGTTTACCCATCGCATAGAGTTACAAATCCTAGCAACCCATAACAAACTACAGCGCCCAAAATTCCTTAAGGGGAAGACAGTGCTTCAAATGTGCTTCAAAAGGTATAGCGTGTAGGTGCTATTATTTCAGAAGGGAGCCCTGGGACCACCCGCAAGCCAAACCTTGCCTTCATCTCTTAAGAACTGTTCTCTACGCGAGTAGGGGTGAGCACCCCACGGGGTGCCTTATTGTGTGCCCCCAGACATGGCACCTGGGGCACACCACCCCCCGTCCCCCTTGCGACACCATTGACTGCCTCCTTTTACCATTCACTCAAGGCTCTATGAGTCCTACTGGCCAAAGTTATGATAAGCAGCAACCCCATTCCTTTTCCTCCCTCCTGCAAGTTCTCATTCACTCAGGAAAGGCAGGCAAGGAGGCAACAGGGTGGATGGGATGCAAAGGGATGGCAAAGGGAATTGGTATGGGCACATGCTCAATAATGGTAGCATCTGACCTGGCTTCTGGACTCTGGCTGGTGATGTGGGGTGGTGCTGAAATTCCCTCCTTTTTATTAGATCTCAAGCTACCTAGGTCAGCCAGCCAGACCTTTTTTTACAGAAGTCAGGAGGCTGTAGCAATCTGAAAGATGCATCCTTTAAAATGTATTATGGCTGGGTTTCCAAATAAAATCTGAACCTTCTAGACCCATGGTTCCCAATGTGGGGCACATATAAGAATTATATGTCACCGGGGGGGGGGGGGATCAGGATTTTAGAGATGCTTAGGTGGGGCATGGCCAAAAAAAAGTTGGGACCCACTAAAAACAGTTATTTTTAGGCAAGCCTTCAGTGCTACCATCTTTTAATAACTGGTATTTTATTGCTTTAGACTAGGTGTGCGCAACCTGTGGCCCTCCAGGTGTTGTTGGACTACAATTCCCATCATGCCTCATGAGGTAAGCAGATTGCTTTTTGTCAGTATTAACAAAGGTTGCATGACAATATTGCTGCTAAGGAGAAAACTCTTGTTCCAAGATTAGAAGGAAATATTTACTGGAAAGTTGAGGGTGTCCATTGAAAGGTGAGGTGAGGAAATAGGATACTGAAAAGGAAGGAACTAGCTTGCTTTATCATCTTACACTTGATAGTGGCCTGACCCCAGCTGGACTACTATAATGCATTGTACATGGAGCCGTGCTTGAAGACTACTCAGAAGCTTCCTTTAATGCAAATTGTCGTTGACAGAATTTTGACCAGTGCAGCTAGATAAAATCACATTGCACAGATTACAAAAGAACTGTGCTGGCTGCCTACTCACTTCCAAGCCCATTTCAGGTTTTGGGTGGTTACCTATGAAGCCCTAAATGGCTAGGCATCTGAAGGACTCGCTGTATCAACATGCCTAAGGGGGTTATTCACATTCCAATGGGGGCAGGAGCTTGTTCTGTGTTCACATGTATTAGGTCTTTCTTTGCGGTGGCACCTACCTTGCAAGGTGCTTACAACCTCAGCACTTCCATTTCAGAACCAAGTTAAAACATTTTTTGTTTTACTCAAGTAATTTGAGTGTTTTTACTGTTTTAAACAGTCTGACTTTTTTAGTTGGCTCTGTCTGTATTAACATCCCCCCACACCTTGGTTATGTTATTGTTTTGCATAATTTATTGTGTTATTTGTTTGAAGCAGTAACTTGCCCAGGTACCATCACTGAAGAAAGGAAGGTTGGTCCTTCTCTGATTTGTGGGATGCTATCCCTTTGCAAGCGCGGGTGGCGCTGTGGGTTAAACCACAGAGCCTAGGACTTGCTGATCAGAAGGTCGGCGGTTCGAATAGAGATAGCCGCCCCCGTTACGCCGCCGCCGCAGGGGAGAGCAATGACGACCTTTCGGCGTGCGGTCAAAGCCTCCCTTCAGAAACCCCTTTAACGGGGAACCCTGGTATCGCCGCTGCAAAGAGGAAGATGGACTAAAGGATTCCGCCCAAGGCCTGATACCGCCACCTGAGACCGCAAAGACTGCGGTCTCGCTGCCAAGACTACCTACATCTGAAAAGCCCCTTTACCATCCTCCAACCGGTCCATCAGGCCATGCCTGATGTCGCTCAGCCAACGCTCGTTACCAAGGTCCGATAAGTGCATGCCATCGGGCCTAAATAGCTCCTTCATGTAAACTTTAATGTTGGGGTGTTTCACGACCCGACCTCCCACGCGTGTGGTTGCAGAGCGCACTGCCCTATTGACCTTTTCAGCAGTATAATTAAGTCTGGTGGGTTTGATGTTGCCACGCCATTGTAAGCGTGGCAGAAGTTCTGACCAGAAAATCGGCCAATAAAGCGAGATGAGCGCCGCAACCGCAGAATCGGCCACGACTGGACCTAATGGTCAGGGGTCCCTTTACCTATCCCTTTGCAAATGCAACAAGCATTTTTTTGGGGGGGTGGGTTGTAGCCAGGTTTGGTCATTTCGCTCTTCATGCATAACCTATTGTGTCATTTGTTTTTTGCTGTTCGAATGACACAACACATGAAAGGGAGGGCTATGTTTATTTTTAAATCAATGAATCAAAGTAATTGCTCAAGAATGAAGCTGTAGAGTTTGGCATTTAATGAGGGCTACAGAAATACAGTAGGCTTAATGCAAGTGGCTGACTTCCGTAACCCTTTATCTCAGTAATCCGTTCACCACCACCCCATCCGAAAGCTAAATGTGACGTTTCAATAATAAGTACTCGCAACCTTCTCGAAAGTGCTGCGTACGGGAGGAAGCGGAGAGATTATATGAGCCGGAGCCTGCAAATGGACACGTGGCAGAGGCTGGCGCAAACCACCCAGGCACTAAAGTGTGGGATTGGCTTCGGGCATTATTTTTGCAGATCGCTGCCTGCGAGACGATGTCTTGCGAGAAAGGCAAGCGGGGGGCTCTCCAACTAACTATAAACACAACCATCGTGAAAGGTTAATCGCGAGTGATGTTTCCCGCCGGAGTTCGCCTCCCGCCCGGGTTTTTCTGCTTGCCGAGCCCCGCGCGCAATAAACGATTTTTTTACCCCGGCGAAAAGGGGGTCGCGCCTTTCGGCGACCTCCGTCTTGCGCAAGCCCTAAAGTTGGAAGGACACGTCCTGGCAGCCGAGAAGGGAAAGGCAGGCAGTTAGTTCCCAACCCTCGGCCGGCTCCCCTTCCCCGGGGACCAGAACCCAGGTGGGCTTTTGCTGCGCGATCTCCAGCTTTTTGCGCGCTGCGCAGCCGGCTGCTGCTGCTGCGTTCTCCGCGGATACCTCCCTGCGCGCCGAGTAGGAGAAGCTGCCGTCTCGGCCCGAGGGAGATCGGCGTCTCTCAATTAGACGCAGAGGGGGGCAGAAGGCAGATCCGGCATACGCGCCTCCGATCCGGATTCACCCCCCACTACTCCGGCTGCAGGCGGGCGCATGGAGAGCCCCGGCGCGGAGAGCAGCGCCTAGCCAGGGCTGCAAGGCGACGCCAGGCCCGGCGCTAGAGTGGACCCTGCTCCAGCCGCTCCCGATTTCTTCTTCTCCTCCTCCTCCTCCTCCCCTTCACCTGGCTGGGGGATCATGAGCGGCTGGGCCAGGCTCGCCGGGCTGCTGCTGGCCGTCGCCGGATCCCGCGAGCTGCAGCCTCCCCGCGCGCAAAGGAGAGGCGCCGGGGCCGCCGGCGCGGAAGAGGCAGCCCAGTTCGACGTCGTCTACTCCGGCCAGGTCAACCGAGCCGCCGAGCGCCTTTACGCCTTCAACTACACCAGCAAGCCGGGCCAGGTAAGGCGAAGCACCGCCCAGGGCTGCTGTCCTCCTCGCCACTGCCCGGCAGCAGAGCCCGGACGACCGGCTCCAGGGGCGCGCGGTCCCCATCAGACTCCCGAGTCAGATTCACCTGCCGGGGCGAGGAGCGTGGATCCCCCCCGTCCCCCCAGGCAGGCGCCGGGAGAGAGGCAGGCCTGTGTGGCCGCTGTTATGGATGGTTGGGGGGTCCAGACAGCCCTCTCTGCGGAAGAGCAGCCAGATAGGAAGGGCAGGAGATCCACGGCAGGGAAGCGAGACCGTCTCGCCTGCGCGCCTGCATCTGACTGGCTGCTGCAGCTGGACAGTTGATACTGGGAGAGATGGATCGACCTTGGGGCGATTCGGTGGGGAAACGCTAATGTCTCGAACCCTTCTTTTGGGGGGGAGGGATGCGCTTTAGATGCGGTTTGGGACCGCAGGCTGCTGGTCTTCCCTCCTTGAGAGTCTATAGTGGGGGTGGGAGAAAGGTCCGTTTGTCTGGTCCATTATCTTCCCCAGTTGCCCAGGAAACACTTGCATTGCTTGGTGTGTGTGTGTGTGTTTTAAATGCATCCATCCTTAACTTCTTACCCTTCTTTCTGATGAAACATTTTCAGTGACTGATTGCTCGATTTGGCAGTTTAATTCAGAAAAAGCAAGAGGCATCACGTTTGTCTGAAGCTTTTTGCTTGATTTGGGAGTTTTATTCAAAAGAGAGAGGCCACGTTTGTCTGAAGCTTTTGAGTCATGAAACATCTTAGTTCTGTCCAGTACTGTACTGTATATATATAGATGAATATTTGTCAGGGAAACAAAGAAACATCTATTGTTTAATGAGAATGCATTCATAAAATCTTTGGAGATGCCATAGAACACATTGGGATATAGCTGTTACCTACCCAGATATAATGGGACGCGGGTGGCGCTGTGGGTTAAACCACTAAGCCCCTTGGGCTTGCCGATCAGAAGGTTGGCGGTTCGAATCCCCACAATGGGATGAGCTTCCGTTGCTCGGTCCCAGCTCCTGCCAACCTAGCAGTTCGAAAGCGCGTCAAGTGCAAGTAAATAAATAGGTACTGCTCTGGCAGGAAGGTAAACGGCGTTTCTGTGCGCTGCTCTGGTTCGCCAGAAGTGGCTTAGTCATGCTGGCCACATGACCTGGAAGCTGTATGCCGGCTCCCTCGGCCAATAAAGCGAGATGAGCGCCGCAACCCCAGAGTCGGCCGCGACTGGACCTAATGGTCAGGGGTCCCTTTAACTTTACCTTACCCAGATATAGCTAGATATATTTATTAGAGTACCCAGTTTCTATGTTGTATGGTATACCTGTTAGAGCAGAATTAAATAATGAGATGGAGGAGTAAGCCATAATGTGAATATACCCCACTAAGGCTGAAGCTAGATGTGAGCCTGAACTTGTAGTTTTTTTTTACTTGTTAACTGCTGCAGGGAGCTCTGATTTTCATTGGTACTGTAACACATGGGGAGTTGTGTCAACCTTTTCCTTCTGCTATAGTCCTGATTAAAACAAGTTTCCCTTCTGGCGTCTATTAGTGCTGGAAGAAAACATCACATGGGGTGGGTACAGTGGGTACATGTTGCAATAATGCTTTGCGTTTATCTAATATTAAAAGCACTTCCCATTCCTTGCATCAGGAAGCCCTACAGCAACACCGTATTTTCTCATAGTTGCAAGGTGTGTATGTGTTTGTGTCCGGTGCCTGAGGCAAGATTTAACTTCCTGGTTCACAGGTCAGTCCATTACAGAGCAATCTTTTACTCACCTTGATGCCAGCCCACAGATACACAGTACACCTGCCAAATACTACACTTATTCAGCCTAGGGCAAGAGGGGGAAATACGTTTTTATAAAAAAGATAGAAAATGGAAGGATACCCAGCCCTAATAAGCACAAGCTTTGTTACTGCCCTCCAATTGCAAGTGGGACTGGCAACACACCCCATTACGTGTGGCAATGGAAGCAGCCAGTGACAGTGCGACAATTGGGGACACCTCCGGCACACCATCTTGTATCTTACAGACTACAGAGCACACAAAGGGATACTATTGCACCCCAAGTCCAATGGCTCCAGGGACATCATGCTCTCACACAGGGATTTTTTTCTGCCAGAACACAGTTCTGGCACCTTTTTTTGCCATGCTTTGCTCAAGAAGTCTGCTCAACCCAGCAAAGGAGGTCCCTAAGCGGTGAGGTGCGCAGGATGGCAGCCAAAGTGGCCTGAGTGGAGTGGGGGGAGCGGCCAACCTGGCATCTTGTCACATGACTTGCATTACAAGATGTTGGTGACGGTGGTGTCTGGGTTGGCGACTTGTGGGAATGTGGATACTAGGAGAGGATATATATTGATTAAATATTATCCTTCCTAACTCACGCTAGTGAGTCATACAGCAGAGTTCATTCCCTTCTATACACAGCAGGAAGCTAGTTGCAGATTAGTTTGAATCTCTTTAGTTAAGCAATCCAATCTGGCATGCCCAGATTGGAGTATATTCCCGGTAAGACCCCTTTGTCCCTCCTAAAAAGAATATAGACACAAGAAGCTTTAAAAAAAAAACACACAAGAAGAAGTTTACTCACATTCAGGTCACAGTTGGATCCCTGAAGGCAGGCTTTCGCTTAGAGTTACAGAAGAAGGTTTGAGCTCATCCCATATGGGAATGAGCCCATGTCCTGGTGGCTGAGAGCCAGCAGACAGCAAAATACATCAGTATCCAGAGAGCATGGCATCAAGAGGAAGATGGCTGCGCAAGCAGCTCCTCTTATGGGGTCTCCCAGGCTCACACCCAACTACCTGGTTACACACAGGGGGAGGAAGCTCCAGAGCAGGTATGACAGGAAGTCCTTCTGGAACTGGAGTGACCCCGCATGTCCACTCTGGGCAAACAGGAAGTGTTGCGGCTTATGTCACATCCCACACGACTTAGGTGGTGAGTTCGGGCACCTTTTTTCCTAGAAAAAAAGCACTTCCTTCACTCATGTTTTACATTCCTGGCACCCCCACCCCACCCCACCCCCACAAAACCCAGTCATATTAGGGGCAGAAGAGAGGAGCATGCCTGGGATTAAAATTACCTAGCAGATACCACAGAGCCGTTTCCTAACCACTCAGCCACAGCAGGAGACCAGAATCATGGGGCATTTTTCTCCCACCTTTGGGGTGAAAATGGTACAAATCTTTGACTTTCATACTCAGAGCCAGGTAGGTAGCTGTGTTGGTCTGACACAGTCGAAATAAATTTAAAAACTGTCCAGTTGCACCTTAGAGACCAGCTAAGTTTGTTCTGGGTATAAGCTTTCATGTACATGCACACTTCTTCAGATACACATTCAGATCCTCAGAGCCATTCTTGAATATTAAAGCATTCTCTGCTTTAATGAAACACTGAAAGAAATTTAGCCTTGATGCAAAGATGGGGAACCTTTTTTCTGTTGTGGACTGGACTGCATTCTCAAGAACATGTATATAGCCTGGAGGGGATTTCATTAACTCTTTAAGCATTGACATAGATACAAGATATCAAAGGTAGCATTGCCTGATTAGAAATTTCTCAGGCAATGCTAGTTCCAAGACATCTCTAGTTTGAGAAGGCTTTGAAAACTTGCAAATAAAGCTTTACTTTAAGTGGCCATAAATTGGCACAACATAAGGTGCACCTTTTCAAAGCTATGATTGCCTTTACCTTTAGCTGCCAGAAAAGGGATACAACGGTAAAATATTTTAATGGTGTAGTTTATAGAAGCAAACATTAGGTGGTAACCAAGGAGACTATGACCAGGAGGTTGGTCACCATCTACTTTCCATTTTTATGCACGTTACACAACACCACACACACACACACACACACACACACACTAAAGAATGCTGAGGTGTTATAATTTGCATCTCAGGCTGTTTCCATGATACTGGGTGGTTTGCAAACTACCACCTCAAAGAAGGGCTATAGGATTCAAAATACAAGCTTCTGTTCTTTAAAAATTATTCAGTGCAAAAGATGGCAATGTGTGGACCAGAAGTCTCATGGGGCTGGCATGAGAGCTTTTGTGTAGCTCAGGGCTGACAGAGTGAGGCAGTTGCCAGAGGCAGTGATTGCTGGAAGGAGTGGGGCAGTGGTAGCCCCCCCACACACACGGGGGGGGGAGACACCCTCCCTAATGCAGTACAGATCTCTGTGTGCTATGAAGGGCCCCTGCTCCCCTCTCTTGAGGTGGAGTGAAGGATGGGATCCTGTAGAAGTAAAATTCATCTGTGTGAACCTTATTGGCTTCAGCAAGAGGAATGGGGGGGGAGGGTTGCCCCTCGCTTTAGGCAGCAAAAGGCCTTGGTGTGGGCCACATCCTATTTTCTGAGAATATAGGCTTATTTTATGATGGGAGCTTTCAGACTTCATGACTGTGGAGAACATGGGAATGATAGAATGCCATAGAAGTTCCAAATAAATAAATAAGAAGACAAATGGCTAAATTTATAAGCTTTGAGGTTTTATAATTCCTGGTAATTACAATTCTTAATCTTTCTAATTCCACATTGATCTGGTGAGAAGGGATTTGTCTTGCTTACAAGTTTTTCCAAAATCCCCCCACCCTCTCTCTGGCCTAGACAAGAGGTCGATTTAGAGCAGTGGGACCAGTTCTGCCACACTGAACGCCGAGCCCTATGGGGTGCCTCAGGGTGTCTGACTATTGACGTGGTGCAGAGCATAAAGCGTGGGGTTGACAGGGAGAATGTACATGTGAAATATCACAGGTTTCATTTTGTCCCCATGGATCCTGGACTCGAGGGTGCCTTGCCAGCTTTTATTAAACTTTATGGAGGAGAGAAAGATATGCTTGTCAGATAGCTTGTGTTGCCATGGCAACATTAATAGACATCTGCCATGAGGACATCTGGCTTCTTGAGCCACTTCTGCCCTGCGGATGTTTTGGGTCTGTAGCTGACAGGCAGTTACAGGTTCTCCTACATTTCAAGGCTACATTCTTCCTCTTTTGCTGAACATTGTGAGCAGGAAAAGCTTGGCTTATCACTACACCTTCTGACGTTTTTGATGTGAGATAACAGGAGTGGCAGTAAGGGCAACCCCAAGGAAAGATTACTGCCCATCTCAGGGTGGGCCAGGGGCATAGAGTGGCAGGGGTGGGGCGATCCACCCATGGGGGCGGGGCAATCCGTGCACAGAGGCGGCACGGAGATCCACACATGGGGGTGCTGCACAGGGGCAGCACAGCTGTTTGCCCAGTGGGGTGGCATGGCGAGCTGCCCACAGAGTCTGCCTGGCGGATTCAAGTACTATGCTGCCGTTATGGGCAGCGCATGGCCCTGAGCCACCGCGTCACTCCCAGGAGAGACGAGTGGCTCAGGCGCACTGCAGGCCAGGCCCCGTGCTGCCTCCCACGGTGTGCCATTTTGTCACACACACCCCTCAAGGATGGAGCCTGGGGCGGGCCGCACCCGCCTTCCTACGCCCCTGAGGAGGGCATCTTTATAAGACGCCGGGGGGGGGGGGGGGATGGACAGGACACTCCAGCAGAATGCCAAGTGGCATTTGCTATGAGAGACACTGCTGACAATATTCCAAGTGCCTTATCTCTCAAATTAGATTGTTACATGGGGCAGGTAACCACATATTAAACGTCTATGGCAAGTTCGTTGGCAAAACGGAGGCAAGTTTCTCAGAAAACTAATGAGGAGAATGGTGCCTGCAAATGTTTGCCTCATATCCCAGGTTTGACAAATCCTAGAAACAAACTGGTTGTTGTTCTTTAAATGAAATCTGGAACTTCAAGTTCAGAGGGTAGGGGACCATCTGTTCCTCTTGCCTCCCCCTTGGAGATGACGCCATGTGGGTTTTTAATTAGTGAGTGCTTGTACATATTTTTTTCTCTTTGCAGGTGGATGCAGTCCGGGTTAATGTACAGAGTAACTCTGAAGATCTTCAGTATCCAGTCTTGTTTGTAGTTCGGCAGCAGAAAGGAGTGCTATCCTGGCAGGTCCCACTTATTTTTCGAGGCCTGTAAGTAGTTCGAAAGCACATCAAAGTGCAAGTAGATAAATAGGTACCGCTCCAGCGGGAAGGTAAACGACATTTCCGTGCGCTGCTCTGGTTCGCCAGAAGCGGCTTAGTCATGCTGGCCACATGACCGGGAAGCTGTACGCCAGCTCCCTTGGCCAATAAAGCAAGATGAGTGCCGCAACCCCAGAGTCGGTCACGATTGGACCTAATGGTCAGGGGTCCCTTTACCTTTAAGTAGTTGTAGTATTGTCATTGCCTGACGGTGTATTTGATGCTATTCTGTTTAAGGTTTTCCATATTTAGTCCCCTTCATTGAATAGGTGATGAGAGCATATCATTTCATCCCAGGTCCCACCTATTGTATCTGTGGCGTGGTGGAAGGATATCTTAAGTGGCAGAGGCGTGTCTCAATTCTGCTGGCATGATGGGGCTCCTGCAGAATCCTATAGCCCTTTCATCAGTGCATACTGAATATGGTTCAACATGGCTGTTCCTCTAGAATTTAGCAATGTCATTTTTCTTGGGTATGAAGAATTCTGGATTTTATTCTTGTTTTTCCAGTTACCAAAGAAGTTATAACTACCAAGAAGTGAGCCGTACCCTCTGCCCTTCACAGCCCACACCTGACAGTGGACCTTCTGAGCAGATCATATTTGTAGATGTGGCTTCCATGGCCCCCTATAATGCCCTATACAGACTGCAGGTCACCAAGATTAAGAGCTTCCAACTTATGTGAGTAGTTCACGTTTTGACTCTGAACTTGTCTGTGTTTTTTTGTTCTGCATTCACGGTTGCTGTCAGTTACACATACGTATTACCACTGTGACTAGAAGACCTTAGGCTACTTTGAGATATGGTATAATCGGTTCAGGTTGCTCTGGCTTATTGTTAGCACAGCTTGGAGACAGATTGCAAGGGAAAGCTGGTGGACAGCATAGGTGCCAACTCCCTGGGGCCCTGGGTGCCCGAGCACCCACAAAATTCCCCACGAAGGGGCCAGGCACTCACAAATTTCAGTGTCAGGGCCATGCACGCTGCATGGCACCCATGGCCTAGGGCACCCATGGCCACAGGGCCAAGCTGGCACTCCTGGTGGACAGCATCACTCTCTTCTGACAGAGTCCAAGCCTAAAACTTCTTTTTTACTCTTGGATAAATTTTAGTTGGATCCTCAAGTGTGTGTGTGTGTGTGTGTGTGTGTGTGTGTGTACCCCTTCAACTTGCAACCCATCTGTCTTAGCTCGTCCTGACACACTGGGTTTGTGCTGGGCAGTTATAAATGCAGATGTGTGAAGCCCACCCCCTTTTATATACATGGAGATTTTCACTTTTCTGCCTTGTGCTATTGAATATCCATGGAAACCCCTGCTGGCTTTTCTAAGAGTTTGTTTATTCAGCCATTGGTAATTTGATTTCCTTAAAAAACACACACACACCATTATTACAAAGCATACAAAAAGATAAAGGAAGTAACCGCTTTCCACAACATTAGTGCAGCTTACAGAGCTGAAACAGACTTGTAGCACAAAACAGATCACTACGAATCTGTGGTTCTCGAAGAGTGTGGTGTACCAAACTGGTGTGGAAGGAGAGGGTGGCAAGTCTGGTGGGAAGATTCAAGGACAATCAAGCTCATTGAATATGTGTTCATACATAAGGTACATATGTAAGAGGCTCGTTTATAATTATATTTTGGAAATGACTTATGTTCTTGTGTAGCTGCATTTATTTTATACTTACTGGATGTCCCATGATCATATTAGAAAGTAATTGTGTTATAAAGCAAACACTGCCAGGAGTTGTTTCATTTTGTTTTCCAATGTATTTGTATGAACAACTTTTGATTCTAGCCCAGAAAAGAAAGTTTGAGAACCACTGCTATCATAAACAAATGGGGAAAAAGAGGGATTGGCATATTCCCTCTTGCGCTTTTACTCCAACCAAGATTGACACATAGTGACTGGAAGTTGGGGCAGTTCCTCTGTATTTCCAGACAGAAACTAAATTGAATTGGACAGAGGATGGTTTCAGGAGGGAGGTGTTTATTTTCCCTCAAAACATCTGTAATTTGATCTCTGCTGAAGAAGCCATCAGTCACCTGATGATTGGTCTATTGTCTTAAGCCAGGCTTCCTCAAACTCGGCCTGCCAGATGTTTTGAGACTACAATTCCCATCATCCCTGACCACTGGTCCTGCTAGCTAGGGATCATGGGAGTTGTAGGCCAAAAACATCTGGAGGGCCGAGGTTGAGGAAGCCTGCCCTAAGCAATGCAATGAAACTGCCTGACTTTTTCCCCTCTGAGGAAAAGACCTTAGGTTCAGAGATCACTTTCTTCTATGAAGGGTGAACAGGGTAATTCAGGGCATCTGATTCAAGGAGAAAGAGGTGCTTTCATAATCCAGCTTCTCAGTTTTGCTTTGGCACCTATTATATACCAAATGAACTGATGAGCGGGGAAAATACCTGCCGGCTTTTCTCATTGACTTTGCGGGTGCCTGGCCTCCACAATTATATTATTGTGAGTACCCTGGAGTTGGCTCCTATGATGGGCTTTATCTTCAAAAACCTTCTTCCTGCCAATGTTCTGGTGTATTTTGGGTTTTATGTTGGCATCCATACTAATCTTTTCCCCTCCTGTGTTTTCAGGTTGAACACTCCTTTTAGCTTTAGTGCCAGCCCTTCCCAACCGCAGGTAAGTTAGAGTACTGGATGCTAAGTATAGATTATACATCCCCCCCGCAGTGGCAAGTGAGTATAATTAGTAGTTTGACTATTAGGATCACTACCTCTCCTTAGGGCTGATATGCCCTAATTGCACAATACCAGAAAACATTATCTTGTGGCCATTGTAAGTACTGTATTTTCCCGTGTATGAGATGATATTTTCTGCTAAAAAAAAATTAGTCAAAAATTGGGGGGCGTCTTATACACAGATGGTGAATGTATGGGGTTTAAAACACACACACACACACACACACAACCACTACTTACTTTCCTGCAGCTGCCATGAAGAAGCTGCTGGAACCAGTTCCACCAACCATTACAGGCTGACCACTGGTGGGATTTGTTCATTCTTTAGCAAATGTCTGGGTCAACAACTTTCTGCCGCTTCTGATTGTCCGGGTTTTCATTTCTAGAGATATGGCAACCCTAAAATAATGATTTTTTAATTTTGGGTTAAAAAAAGGGGGTCACCTTATACATCGGGGCATCTTATACATGGAAAAATATGGTAGATAAGCTTTATTGTACTAGCCAAATGCCATAACAAAACCATACAAACACCACCAGGAAAAGAAATATCTATATTATATATAAAAAACAAAGCCACTCCCTGAAGCATCAAAATAATAAAATGCAGATGCGTTACTGAATGATTTGTAGAGTGGGGACTCCACACAACATACAATATTTTCCTATTTAGGCCTCTGAATCTCCCTCACAGTTTACTTCAGTTTTGTCCAGGTTCTTCTTCCTGATCTTTCTTGCTGCCAGTGCAAACAGGGCTACAGTTTGAGTCACTGAAGCATTAGCAACACTGAGCAGCCATAGCAGACTCTCCGTGGGTGGGAGAGGTAGCTTTTTTGGACAAACAAGGCATTTCCAAAGCGTTCCCTAGGTTCTGTATATAGTGGGCAATGTAATAAATAGTGCTGGATGTCCTTCAGCTGTGGTTGCTCACAAATACAAAGTCTGTCTGTGTACAGAACCCTGTCATAACGCCCGTTCAGGACAGCAGAGGGCATTATTTGTGGCCATTCAAAAGAATTATATTGCGTTGCATACTTCTACCAGGCTCTTGGCTTGTCCAGGTACACGGGGAGGCCATGTCCCAAGAAACAAATCATTAGCAAGCAGTGTATTCTAATCCCTAAACTGCCTCGGCCCAGTATACCTGAAGGAGCATCTCCACCCCCATCGTTCTGCCTGGACACTGAGGTCCAGCTCTAAGGTCCTTTTGGCGGTTCCCTCACTGTGAGATGTGAGGTTACAGGGAAGCAGGCAGAGGGCCTTCTTGGTGGTGGCACCCGCCCTGTAGAACGCGCTCCCATCAGATGTCAAGGAAATAAACAACTACGTATCTGACTTTTAGAAGACATCTGAAGACAGCCCTGTTTAGGGAAGTTTTTAATGTTTGATGTTGTATTCTGTTTTTAATCTGTTGTGAGCCCCCCAGAGTGGCTGGGGAAACCCAGCCAGATGTGTGGGGTATAAATAATAAATTGTTGTTGTTGTTATCGTTCTGCCCGGACACTGAGGTCCAGCGCTGAGGGCCTTCTGGTGGTTCCCTTGCTGTGAGAAGCCAAGTTACAGGGAACCAGGCAGAGGGCCTTCTCGGTAGTGGTACCCACCCTGTGGAATGCCCTCCCACCAGATGTCAAAGAGAAAAATAACTACCAAACTTTTAGAAGACATATGAAGGCAGCCCTGTTTAGGGAAGCTTTTAATGTTTAATAGGTTATTGTATTTTAGTGTTTTGTTGGAAGCTGCCCAGAGTGGCTGGGGAATAAATCATCATCATCATCATCATCACCTTGCAAGAAGTGGTGGCTTGTGTGAGGAGTGGTGGAGAGCAGGAGCTCAGCCTAGCAGGATTTTCAAAGTCTATGAAATGTTCAGACTGAATAGTGGGCCGTGCTACGGCTCAGGCTTTGTAGCTGTAGGTGCATTGACACTGGGTTTTCTGACGAGGTTCTGAGTCAACTGGTGGGGTTTGCAATGACGCCCTAAGGTGGCACCACTGAGGAGCATAGTTCAGTCTGCATCTTCTTCAGCAGACAACTTGCCTTGGTTGCCCAGGAGGTAAGATGCTGGAGCCTGGCCTCTGGGAGTCATGCTTCTGGCTACAAGGTCCCATCCCTCCCCTGCTGTTGGCGAATTATGTCCCTTCCTTTTCCTGCCACATTTCACACACTTGCAGAGTTCTGAATCAAAACACCATAGCTATGAAAAGTGGCAGAGATAGTAGAGAGGATAATCTTTGTGCATTGTGAGCAGAAGTATTTCAGTCCCATATAAGTGTCCCGTCCCCCCCTCCTTCGAACATTGTTGTTCATTTTTACCCATGGCTGCAAAGTCCACTTCTTGTTTGATTTGCTAAGGGAGAAAAGCTATTTGCTTAGTTGAAAGGCACCAGCTTATGGGACTGATAGCGGACAAGGGCAAATGTATTCAAAAGCAGCTCCTTCAGTAATAGGGAGCACACAAAAAGCAATGACTCCCTTGGACCATAGTGGAATTCAAGCACCTCTTTCAAGCTTCCGCCATCTTTAGGTGTAACAGTCTTAACTCTGTTTACCAGATCTTGCATAAGGAATTCCTACATACTTAACATCCTGTTTTGGTTTACTCTGCTTTTGAAGATTTGTATCTGAGCTTGATTACCTGAGTGTGAGGGCAAGCACCTTGTGAGTTATCTTTTCAAAGATGTATCATCTCTGGATCCAAATATGTCGATGGACTTTCCTCCATCCCTTTCCTCAATTAACCTTCAGCCTCAGCCCAGTTCCCACCCCTCCCTTTTCTCCTCTTTTTACTTTATTGCAACAGTGTTAGGGGTACTTTTAGCAGAGAAGCAGCTCATTAATGCCAACGATAAATAAATAGAAAGGTTCCTATTATTTCCCCCACTGGCTAGTGGAAGCATTTGTGAAATGACTACACTGTAGTCCTCGTAGGCCACAGTAATGAGAATCTTTGAGGAACTGGTTTTTCTGGTTTTCGGAATGGTGTCTGCTAGGATTTTTTTTTGCCAAAACACAGGCTGAGCTCATTCAACAAGAGATGACTGTAACAGTAAGCTTTTTGACCCTGTGAAGATGGGTACAAAGGACAGGTGAAGTACAAACAAGGAGATTAATGACCATTATTATTACTATTATTATTTTATTTTAAATTCCTATCCTGCCCTTCTTCTCAGAGCAGCAGCCAACACAACGCATAGTTTATGTTATTGTGCAGTTGCCATTGTGTGAGTGAATGGTGAATGTTTTTCAACTGCGTAAACCGAAGAGGAGCACTTGACGGAGCCTGGGAGTGGCTGCAACTCCTTGCCACATGTGCATGCAGTTTAATCTATGTTTGCCACCATGTAACCGCTCTGAGGTTTTACAGTCAAAACCGAGGAAATAAACAGCTTGCCCCACCACTTCATACTGCTTAACTGGGGCTGACCCCAACCACAGCTTGGCAGTGTGAAAGTTGCCACTACTGTGCTCACTCTTGAATTGCTACAGTCACATTTAAGTCTCCAGCCACATGGGTCTGAACCTTGCCTGTGATGGATGCTGATTGGACAGCTGCTGGTGGGCATGGCTCACAGTGGCAATGCCCATGCCACTCAGTTTAAACTGGGCCTTGTGCAACAGCTGGTAAGAGGGGAGGTTCAATTTGTGTGTCATGACAACAGCGGTGTGCCCTAATGAGATGGAGGGAGGGAAGGGGAGATCGAGTACAAGGCTGTTTTCTATCGTCTCCAAGCCATGATAGAGCTCAGTATTTATTTCTTGCGAAATCCAACTTATGTACTGAGTTGAATAGGATCCAAACTGCAGCAGTCTGATTGGTCCTAGAACAATAGGATCCAAACTGCAGCAGTCTGATTGGTCCTAGAACAATAGGATTCAGAATGCAGCAGTCTGATTGGTCCTAGAACAATGCAGCAGTATGATTGGTTGGCAGGAACCACCCAATCATGCTCCAGATATAAGTGAATCCACAACCTGTTTGGCTTACAGTAGAATTCCAGAATTAGCCAATCATGTGCAGCCCATTGTGTAAATAATGTATATAAAGCAGATACTTTGAGGGGACATTCACTCATTCCTCCTCACCACTATGAGCTGAATAAAGAGCATGAAATCACTTTGCGACTCTGAGTATATTTCACCCACCTTTCCTCTATGTTGGAACTCAAGGCAGTGTGCCCAGGGAGTCTTCCTTCTGGGCACTGAGGAGGTTCAGACTTGCTTACCTTCAGCACACTATGCCATGTCCCTTCAGACCAATGCTCTGCGACGAGGGACTTGCTTAAGTTGGCCATAGCGGAAATTGGGCTTTAAAATTTCAGCAGTGCCCTGTACAAAGCCCAAATTTGGTGCCCCTCCACCTCTCGCCTTCTGTTGCTTCTCATTGTTGCAGTGTCCCCTGAGGTGCCCACTCAGCTTGGCGCCCAATGCGGGCAAACAGGTCGTACTCCCTTTAATTCTTCTGTGGGCTCTCCAGTGGGCATGGCTTTTCTCATGACATAAGGATGTTTTTAGCGCATGACAAGAAAGAACCTTAAAATCCTTTCCTTCTTTCCATAGTATTTTCTGTACAAGTTCCCTCCAGATGTGGATTCTGTCATAGTCAGAGTGACTTCTGAGACAGTCTACCCATGCTCCGTTGTCTCCATCCAGGATATTGTGGTAAGCTCCAGGAGGCTGGGTCATACAGAAGGGCTGTAATAGCCTGGTAGAACATTTTGGTATTGCTTTCCCAGGCTTAGCATTGCGCATCAATAACTATGTCTCAGGTACTGGGAGTTTTGTGTGGGCTTTTAAGATCTAAATGTTTTGAACTGAGGTCTCATGCCAAATGGTGAGAATATGCTTAGGTGTGTTTGTGGTCATTGGTCAGGGGAATGGCTTGTGACAGGGGCAAAACTAGGCTTTATTTCCCCCGGGTCAAAGACCCAGTTTGGTACCCCTCCATGTACATTTGCATACATACACACACAGGCTGGGAGCCTTCACCCGGGCTTCACCTGGGGTAAAAGAACTGGCTATTGTCGCACATGTATGCAACAACAGCCGCAGGGATGCTATTTGCCCAGAGATGGAAAGAAGATAAAGTCGCTACCAGAGAGGAATGGCAAATCAAGCTGTTGGACTACGCTGAAATGGCAAAACTGACTGGAAGACCTAAACTTCAATAAAGAATGGGGGAAATTTATAATTTATCTAGGAGATCACTGTAAACAGATGAAAACATTAGCAGGATCTTAATAACACAAATATTATGGATAAGATGGAAAGATACAAAGTATGGATTGTGGAAAAATATGCAGTTAAGAAGGTGTACAATAGGACCCTTTGAAGGGAAGGTGGGAAGTCCAGAGATTTGGAGGAAACTCTAAATATGGATATGTAATTTGGATTGTTATAAATTAATATCTGTAAAACCAAATAAAAAAGTTATTATACAAAAGAACTGGCTAGCCCCTCCCCAAGCTACTGCACTGTTTGTGAGCTGTACTCAGTTTCTTCCAGACTCATGAAAGTCGGTTGTTCTTGGTCAGCTGGAATTAACACGTAATGTTTTAAAATACAGAAGTTGGCTTTCGATGAAAAGCAGTCATGTTTAAGGGGAGTAATCAATTCAGGACAGGTCAGGACAGTACAAACAGGAACTGAAAATAAAGGGCAAACAATCCCATGTGGATTGTGGGTTTTTGAGGGGATACTTACTGAGCTTTTTCACAAAGTAATAGGAGACACTGGTAGAGACTGGAGGCTGCCACATTAAACGGCATCTGCCCTCAATATTGAGAAAAATATATGGTGTATATTGTACAGTGCAAAATTGCAGTTCAGGAAAAGATTTGTGCAAGGTAACTTTAAGAGAGAACCTAAGACAACTCTTTAACAAGCAATGTCTATCTGTTGCAGTGTCCAGTTTATGATTTGGACCATAATGTGGAATTTAATGGCATTTACCAATCCATGACAAAACAGGCAGCCATCACTGTGCAGGTGAGTTGCTTATGCTATCCATTAAGCCATTTCCCTGTTTTCCCTTTTCACTTTATTGTTCTAGCCAAAGGCAGCTCTAGGTTCAAAAAATGTTGAGATTAAGACAGGGATGTACAATAGATGGAGAAAGGTTCTGTGACCCTCTTCAAGTTTCTACAGAACTACAGAGATCCTCTCATTTGTTGAAAGACTCAGTCTTAAAGATGAATTTTGCTTCTTGTCTTATTCAGAAAAAGGACTTCCCAAGCATGCAGTTCTTTGTTGTATTTGTCATAAAGCCTGAGGACTATGCCTGTGGCGGATCGATACCTTCCTCCATTCGAGGTAAGAGGACTGGAACCAGTATGGTTGGGGAAAGCAGCCTATTCATAAGGCACCATCTTGGACACACTTAGACTGCAATGGCAATGTCCGCATGAAATTTCATCAGTTGTCTAAATGTAGTTGGATCCTAGAGAAGCCCAGCAAGCAGCTGTGGAAAGAAGGAATGAGCTTCCCAGGTTGGGCATCTCCTTATGAACCCTATAAATAATATCTGACAAGAGTTCTTATCAAGAGATGATATCATCTGCACCACATACCTTTCAATGTGATGCTGCCTTTGATATGTATCAAAGTTCAAAGGAATATTGCCCAGTTGCCTCTTCAGTGTGTTCTATCATTTTTGTTCCCTAAGCAGTAGTGGATTATGGGAACAATAGCTGCACACAGTTGCACGCATAGATAGACAGACAGACAGACAGATAGATAGATAGATAAATTAAAGGGTGGAAGGTCAAGGGTTTAATGTGCATTTTCAGACCTCCCAAAATGACAAATTTCACAGCAAAACTCAAATCTAACACACACAAAATCAGCATAGCACCAATCAGCAGTGATTCCTTGAATTTTGCATATGAAAAAGTTGAGAGTACTTTTATTAATTGGGGGAAAACTTGGTTACAATTTTCCAAAAAGTCTTAAGTGCACATTGAATAAATTCGTTCTTTGAAATCACACGGGTTCTTGTAATTGATCTAGCATTTGTTGATTTCATTCATTCATTCATTTCCTGCTTTTATTGAAAAATTATGAAAGCAGTTTCATTCAAAAATACTAGAGTACTGTACAGCAATTCCTGTGCTGCATCTTGGAGCACTCACCCCAAGTGAGTGAGGGGTTAGACAGCACCCCAACGTGTTCTGCCCAGAATAGCCTAAACTGCTGTTGCATGACCAAGGCCACAAGAAATTCATTCTTTCTCCCCGCCTCCCACCCTGCAATCTTCTTACTCTAGGAAAGGCTAACTACACCTGGAACCTGCAGCGGATGAAGAGTCTTGAAGTGACAGTTGTTCCCTCCATTAAAGGTATCTGGCTATAAGGTTAACTTCTTCTTATGATGAGTCTCAGAAAGAGAAGTAAACTATTTGGGAACAATGTCCCTGTAGATAGGAGGAGTCTAGAAAGTGCTAATGCATCCCATGCCTTTTTAAAATGTGGGGTTTGGGGGGTACTGGGTTGTTTTTATTTCGATTACATATTTTGTGGTTTTATATTTCGATTTTGTTCTGTGAACCATCCTGAGACCTGCCGGTATAGGGCGCTGTATAAATTCAAAATAATAATAATAATAATAGGATCTTTTAAAAATTAGTACAAAATGGCTGGTTTTCACAGAACTGTTCCACTTTCAAGGCCAAAGTAGGTACACGTTGAAATGTACCTTTATGTTTTATCTGTAGGTTGTGGGGCTGATAATTGTTGCTGGCCTCATAGCAGGCATAGAATGGCAATGCAATCATCTCCTTCCCCTCTGCAGTCCCGAGGAAACTTGCTTCTCTGAAGGAAGCACTGGAACATACTGACACAATCAGCTATTACATCTCCCTCCTGATTATCATCCCCCCCAGTTTATTCAGTGTATTTATTTGTTACGCATACCCCTCTCCCTGAAAAATGCCCAAGACAGATAACAACAAAATCCATACATAGCAAATCAGCAATATGACAATAAAACCATGCAACAATCAAAAAGAGCAGATGAAAGAAATGACAGCTAGTTAAAAACGTACTGTATTTTTCTGTGTATAAGACTAGGTCTTTTTTCCTAATAAATTATGTCAAAACTTAGGGGGCATCTTATACACAAATAGTGCCGAGGCCATTTTCTAGTAGGTAAGGTAAAGGGACCCCTGACCATTAGGTCCAGTCGTAGCCGACTCTGGGGTTGCGGCGCTCATCTCGCTTTACTGGCCGAGGGAGCCAGCGTACAGCTTCCGGGTCATGTGGCCAGCATGACTAAGCCGCTTCTGGCGAACCAGAGCAGCGCACGGAAACGCCATTTACCTTCCCGTCGGAGCAGTACCTATTTATCTACTTGCACTCTGACGTGCTTTCGAACCGCTAGGTTGGCAGGAGCAGGGACTGAGCAACGGGAGCTCACCCTTTCGCAGGGATTCGAACCGCTGACCTTCTGATCAGCAAGTCCAAGGCTCTGTGGTTTAACCCACAGCGCCACCCGCGTCCCCAAAAGTAGGGTGTGTCTTATACATGGGGGCGTCTTATAGACAGAAAATATGGTAATTTAGGTAAAAACACACAGACATTAAATTGCAGAGCAGCAGAGAAAAGCCAGTTTATGTTGTGGGGCAGACTGCAGAGCGTGGGTCACACTTGGCTCTGACTCCAGTTGCAGGACAGAAGTATATGCTTGTGTATTGGAGGAGGAAGAATTGGATATTCTCTGTTGTCCACTTTTTGGTCTGCTGCAGACCTGGCCCACTGATGAGGCAGGGTGAGGTGCTTGCCTCAAACTGTGGAAGCCCCAAAGGCAGCGCCCAACTCACCTCTGCTGCCCGCCTTGCCTCCGCCTCCCACCCTGCCACATCTGCTGCCAGGGGAGAAGCTGCGCCAGCTGCAGCACCAGTTTCTTTCAAGATCTCATGAGATCTCAATGAAATCTTGGGGGACTTCAGTGAGATCTCGCAAGATCTCACCAGAAGCCACCGCCACCGCACAGGTCGGAGTGGTGGGGAGGCAGCAAGGGGGCAGGGCAACAGCTAGTGGCAACATTTTCCCGGTTCACCTCAAAATGGGACGTGGCACCCCTGGTCTGCTGCAGCAAGGCTTTGGAGAGAGTGAAAAGACTTGTGCTACCGTTTTAGGAGCAAGAGCAGCCTAACGGCAGAGGGACGGACTTATGGGTTCATCCTCTTCATATGCTGATGGCAGATCCTTTTTCCTTCCCCCAGGTTCAGTTTATGTGAACGCCATCCTTTTCAGCTTTCTGAGTTTCTTCTCATTCTATCTGGGCGCACTGGTGGTTGCATTTGTGCACTACGTCAGGTGGGTGAAGCATTCAGCAGTGTCTGCGTGGAGGGCAAGCCAGTTGCCTCATTTTCCATTTACTGACATGCCTGACCCTGCAGGAAGTCAGGAGAAGAGTTGGCCAAAGAAGTTGCCATCCCTTTAAAGACTGGTATAAATTAGCTTGGCACTCTTTGTACTCTCTTTCCTTTTTGCCACTTCCTCTTTGACTGTAACGTCATCTTCTTTACACGTGACCTTTCACCTATGGAGCTTCTTGATTCCTCCCATAATTCCTCCCTGCACAAAAGAGAAAGTGCCCCCCCCCAAAAATTCTCTCCACGCTTTTGCCCATGGTTCATTCCTCTTCCTTGAAAAAGGATTTGTTTTGCACCTATTTCTCCCCCAATGTCTTCTTTTGGCTCACATCCTTTCCATTTTACCATGGTTTCTAGATGAAATGATTGCCCCTGGTTTGTAGTGTAGGAAGAAAACTCTGTGCATGAAGGAAGATGGGCCAGGACTTTACAAATACCAGTTCCAGCGTCCTGCTTCTGCTTCTCCAGGAGAGCATTTTCTTTTGATTAACCCATGTGATGTTAAAAAAACCAGGAAATAATCCACCAAGACTTTGGTTCGCATGGTATCTAGAATCAAATTTCTCTGCTTTGTAAAGCATATGTGGACGATGGCACTGGACATCTCACAGATGAGGGTAATAGCTGCGTAGCCTGATGGATAATTAGCCATGTTTGTGCTTGATTGCAGGAACCATAGGAAGCCTTCAATTGCCGGACACAGTCCTGATGATGGTAACCTTCTAGTATACTGTTCTTATATCACAGACCTGGAAGGCACTTCGTGGGTTACTGGACCCAAGCTCCTGCCCGCTGCAGGAGTCCTATCTAACACACACACGCACACACACACACACACACACACACACAGTAAGGAAATAAATAATAGCCATGGACAACACTGCAGGGGTGTTGTAAACCATTCAGAGACTGACCTGTGAACTGAAGGCCCATCACACTCTCACCCTTCCAACATACAATTTAAACTGCATTTGCATGAGCAAAGTTCTTTGTAAAAATGTTTTACCCTAAATAAGAACTAATAAAGAGCAGGGACTTTGTAGTGTTACCTGTTGGTTTTTTGTTTTGTTTTTAGGAGTGCTGCTAATCTCTACCATAGTAAAACCTTGGGTTTCTTGATGGATTTATTTGTCCCTGGGGGCATTTAAAAATAGTGTGTGTGTGTGTGTGTGTGTGTGTGTGTGTGTGTGTGAACCAAGAAGTTACCTGTCCATACAATGAAGTATTTCTCACTATAATTTTTGGAACTGTGTATGTCTTCCTCGACCCTCTTTTCCCAGTATTCACCATTCCTTTTTGGCTACATAAGTGTCGGCATTCTCAGTCTCAACTGAAGGGAATGGCAATACGTACTGACCTACAACAGAAATCAAAACAATGTATTCATAGCCTTTCAGCATTTGAAATAACCATCCCTGCCCAACGGCCCTGCTGGCTGCAGTAAATGGGAGCTGGAGTCCATCAGCATCTGGAAGGCCAATAAGTCCTCTATTCCTTCTATAATGGTTCACTGCTCACTTTGCGAATGGCATGCATTACTAAATGCTTTAGGCCACCTGTTCCCCTTTCCTGAATATTATGTGCAATCCAGCTGGGCTTTGTTGACCTTTTTCCTTTTGTAACCTCACCCTCTGATTGTTCCATTCTTTGGGTTCCTCCCATCGCTTACACTGAGGAAGATGGGCTGCAGAAACCAGTTTTGCTTCATCACACCTTGTTAAGCAAACACTGGTGGTACATTCTGCCAGTTTGCCGGAGGAGACTTGTTTGAAACGAGCCTCCTGCAAATGTCTCCTATTTGATGTCTCAACTGCTCTCGTAAAGCATTCTTACTCAGAACTGATAATTTATGCAGTGACATGCCAGGTATATCCACATGTACAACACTGAGGTGCGAGTGGGCAGTGCTTTTTCCTGGGGGGACGCAGACCCCTCAACATTTTGTGAATCTAAGTTTGGCCTCATTGAAGGGCAGTGTTTCAACATGAGTAGGAAAATGACAGTACCCCTAAACATTTTTTTAGGGGGAGAAGGCACTGCAAGTGGGGCAGTGCTGGCCCACCCATGAGGCAAGGGGAGGCGGCTATCACAAGCGGTGAATCCACAGGGGGAGCAAATCCCAATGTTGATATTTCTTCCCTACTTGTTCTTGATCTTCCCTCACCCCTTCTTCCCTAGCGGGGGGAGGGTACCGCCTCAGGTGCCAAAATGCATTGGGCAAGCCCTGTCTTGGGGTGGGCTGGGGATAAAAGTTGGGGAATGTGTTAGCATTCTCTGGTTCCCATTGTGGCTCCCTGTGGCTTCAGACAGAAGCAAATGAGCTAACAAGCACACTATTCTTCACCTCTTCCATGAGGCAGCAACCTCCATTCCTTGAGCTCCTTCCCATCAGTGCCAGAGGCCCATAGAATAGGAAGCACCTGCTCTCCATTCCAAGGAGGAGTCTCCCTGCCAAGTCTGTGGGGACCTTTGACCAGTCAGATGAAGGCTATTCACATGTTTGTTCCCATTGCAGGGTCTGGGACTGTGGCCTCCTCTCATCCGATCACTGCCAGCACTCCTGAGGGAAGCAGCTATGGAGCTATTGGTAAAGTAACTCTGGAATTGCAAAGGCACAGCTAGATATATCTCTGTGGCTTATAAAGCAGGTAGTAAAGTTACATTAGAACAGTTAGTTAAAGTATGTGATAGCAAGATGTGGAACCATGAGAGTACTTTTGGGGCTACCTTTGAAAGTGACTCGGAAACTACAATTAATCCAGAATGCGGCAGCTAGACTGGTGACTGGGAGCGGCCGCAGAGACCATATAACACCGGTCCTGAAAGACCTAAATTGACTCCCAGTACATTTCCGAGCACAATTCAAAGTGTTGGTGCTGACCTTGAAAGCCCTAAACGGCCTCGGTCCAGTATACCTGAAGGAGCATCTCCACCCCCATTGTTCAGCCCGGACACTGAGGTCCAGCTCTGAGGGCCTTCTGGCGGTTCCCTCACTGCGAGAAGTGAAGTTACAGGGAACCAGGCAGAGGGCCTTCTCAGTAGTGGCACCCGCCCTGAGGAACACCCTCCCATCAGATGTCAAGGAAATAAATATCTGACTTTTAGAAGACATCTGAAGACAACCCTGTATACAGGAAGCTTTTAATGTTTGATGTTTTATCGTGTTTTTAATATTCTGTTGGGAGCCACCCAGAGTGGCTGGGAAAACCCAGCTAGATGGAGGGGTATAAATAAATTATTATTATTATTATTATTATTATTATTATTATTATTATTACTACTACTACTACTATTACTTGTTGAAACAGGATGTGAGGTGAGATGCAGACACCCAAGAAAACAGCTGGTACAGATAAGCAACGAAAGAGCAGAGCACCTCATTCTGCAAATTATTATTATGAGTTAGATGCTTGCAATACAGTGCATCTATGCCATGAAATATAAGAAACGCAACATCAGTTATACAAGTTTGGACAACTTCCTTTGTAGCTTGATGTCTTTCCGCATCTTGAGGAGGTCTTGCTCGTCCACTTAGTCTTGTTCCAATAATACATGCCATTATTATTATTATTATTATTATTATTTGGCAGTGCATTAAGCCAAGAGGTTTATACTCCCGAGAGAGGCATCTCGTACTTTAAATATTCCTGTTTTCTTCCCAGATGAGTCAAGCTCCAGTGGGGGCCAGCAGCTGTCTCTGGAGCGCAGGCCTCGTCGTGGCTCTGACACAGACAGCTCAGTGGAAGAGGAAAGCGACTTTGACACCATGCCTGAAATTGAAAGCGACAAGAACGTCATTCGCACAAAGGTATTTCGTCCAGGATCATTTATGTAAGGAACTTCTCCTTCCAGGTGTCACACACAAAAACACACGCATCCCATCTGGCATTATAATTTATCTGGGAAGCAATAAAAACCGATAAGTTACCATTCATGAAATAAAAACAATGAAGGCGAGGAAGGAAAGACAGGGACTCTAGCGAAAAATCAAGGGTTATTTGAGATGAAAAGGCTTCCACCTGCCGCTGGTAAGCAGGGCGCCACATGACCCTTCTGGGACAGGCAGTTCCCTGGTTCCGATACCATAGTCAAGAAGGTTCACCTCCATCTCATCGCCACCCGCCACACTTCAAATGACAGGGGCTCTTGCAGTCCATGTTGCTGCATTTTACTGCAAAGCATTTAAAGAACCCAGCTGTTGTAAAAACAACAACCCACCAAATGAAAGATATGAACCCTGTGTGGTTTTGACCACAGGTAGCCAATTCTGGCCACAGCTCTAGATGGAGGGCACCATTTATCTCTTTGACTGCGGGGTGAGAGGCAAGTGGCAAGCGGACCCCAGGCACACACTCACTTTGTGCAGGACAGGCAACTGATGTCAGAAGCTGTGCAATATTCTCTTTCATGCTACTCTTGATCTGGTGAGTGCTGGTGCCATAACCAAAGTGAGAGCAGCAGTGCAGAAGACTCTGATGTGCACATGGCTGGGTCCTTATTTATGAAGGGACTTGTTGCTCTCAGCAGTTGTTGGACTCCTATTGTCTCTTTATCATTGGACATGTGGGTGGAAGTTGGGAGTCCAACAACATCTGGAGAGCCAAGGGTTCCCCATTTCTGCCTTTACACCAGTGTGGTGTAGTGGTTAAGAGTGGTAGATTCATAATCTGGGGAACCGGGTTTGCGTCTCCGCTCCTCCACCTGCAGCTGCAGGGTGACCTCGGGCCAGTCACACTTCTTTGACATCTCTCAGCCCCACTCACCTCACAGAGTGTTTGTTGTGGGGGAGGAAGGGAAAGGAGATTGTTAGCCGCTTTGAGACTCCTTCGGGTAGTGATAAAGCGGGATATCAAATCCAAACTCTTCTCTTCTTCTTTCTTGCTCCCTGTGTGTCTGTGTTCCTGTTCTTTTTCATGGTCTCAGTGCATGAATGCACATGCCTTTCTGAGCTTGTGCAGGACATGCACAGGTAAATTATGTGTGTGCTGTCCTTAAGGGAGGAGCATTTCTTCATGTGATTATCCTGAGAATAGGGATGAGGAGGGTTCCAGTGCATTCTGCATTTTGGAGCGAACTCTCGCATTTCACATGCATCCCTGGCCTATGCGCAGATCAGAACATTGATCTGCCGATTAACCCATCTAATCCACTGATCAAACCACACACAGATCCGTGCAGTACTTTTGCCTTTTTAACATGTTTAACAATTTAAGGTGCTCAGAACAGCTCCATGGCCACATGGTAAAATATCTCTTTGGAAAATGCTCCCAGGAAGTGACTGTACATCATGTTGTGGAATCCTTTCCAGAACAAAAGATGGCTGCCCCCACAATGTCACTATTTTTTTTCTTTTGTAAGAAATCGGCAATTTTTAAAGTGTTTCCCCTTAGAAACCCACCTACACAAAGACATGACCTGGAACCGGTTTTGCAGAAGCAAACAAACAAAAACTAAAGCAGCTCAAGGTGGCACTATGGTGATTCATCTATTCTTACCTGAGTTCCTTCTTAAAAGTTCTTGGCGCAGCTGTCCTGTCCTAGGCCTTTTGCTAGCTTGCATGCCTTTAAATAAACTGTCACAGAATATTTTTTTTAAAAAGTTGTTCTCTCTCTCTTTTTAGAGACTGCTATATCTGTCAGATTTATCCAGGAAGGATCGGAGAATTGTCAGCAAAAAATATAACATTTATTTCTGGTACGTAGCTGATAGCCAAAGCTCAGCCTTCTATATCTTAATTTTAGGACCATGCAGATGACCCAAGGTTTTCTTGGTATAATAAGAGCTGCCTGCCTAAATCCAGCATTAGTGACATCCTCCGTCAAGAAGATATTTTGGGCATGTGTAGAGAAGCTGAAGAGGGAGGTGGAATGGTGGTCATCTAGGAGTGGAAGGGAAAGTTCTACACCCTATAAAACCTGGCTGTTGCTCAACACAGAAATTGCTGTATGAGAAATTTCAAGACACTAAGATCCAGCTTCAAGTTTTAAATGAGCAGTCAAGAAGTAGGAAGTCTTGAAATTGGAGGATTGGTATGGCGGTGTGGAAATAATGGGATTTACAGCACAGGCAAATTGTAGGGTCCATTTGCCTTTCTTAGCTGATAAAATACATGCCGTTGGTTAAAACTCGGTGGAAATGTGTGTGCATCTTCTTATGCCCATTTATTCTCTTCCTACGGTCTCTTGATCCTGAAGGAACATCATCACAATAGCAGTCTTCTATGCCCTGCCTGTGATCCAGCTGGTGATCACATACCAGACGGTGAGTTTTCTGCCTTCGCTCCACATCTTAGGACCAAAAACTCATCTTGGTGCTAACATCTTGATGACTTGATAAATTTACTAAGGCAAAAGATTTTGGGGGCTAAAATCCTCTTCATCATACTTATAATTTTTGGTAATCCATGAAAGGTTATGGGATAATACATTTCCTAGTCTCTGAAGTGCTTCTTGACTATTGTTTAATTTCTGCTGTAAGTCATGGCTAATTGGCTACCCCTTTGATAGAGAGGATACCAGAGAACCAATGACAGAGAGGATGACATTTAAATTAGGTCTCCAGATCCCCTGTTACCTCTTGTTTTTTAAAGGTATAGGGACCCTTGTTTAGACAACTCCACCTTTTCTCCAAATCTCAGGTTGGCTGAGGTTGGTCCTTAGTCCTCACAGCCAATCCCCTTACAGGCGCACCATCATTCTCAAACCATTAAGATGTTGAGGTCCGGAAGGCTACAGTGTCCACAGTGAAATGTAGCCGGGTTGTGCAGGAGGTTTGAAGGCTGTGTCTTCAGTCCTGCTTTTCATTCTTAGGCTGTTTTGCCTCCCTTTCCATTTGCTCATCATCTTTGGGATGGTGCGTTCAGAATGCAAGTGACGCCTTCTCTACTGCTCTTCCTAGGTGGTGAATGTGACTGGAAACCAGGACATCTGCTATTATAATTTCCTGTGCGCTCATCCACTGGGCGTCCTGAGGTGGGTGTGGGTGACTCATAGGCCACTGCTTGGGTTTACGTTTTCTCTCTCCTTCCTTTACAATCAGGAAGTAGATAGTGATTTATTCCTGTTTGTAAATGGACTATTCTGTACAGGAGAAGTTTCTACATTTTTGAACTTCTGGTTTGGCTGGTAACGTTTACAAAAATAATATTTAATAAGATTTCCTTCTTTGCAGTGCTTTTAACAACATCCTCAGCAATGTGGGACACTTGCTGCTGGGCTTCCTCTTCCTCCTGATTGTGTTGCGCAGAGACATCCTCCACAGACGCTCCCTGGAAGCCAAAGACGCCTACACAACGGTACACATAATAATAATAATAATAATAATAATAATAATAATAATAATAATATATTATTTATATCCCGTCCATCTGGCTGGGTTTTCCCAGCCACTCTGTGTGGCTTCCAACACAATATTAAAATACAGTAAAGCATCAAACATTAAAAGCTTCCCTAAACAGGGCTGCCTTCAGATGTTGTCTAAAAGTCTGGTAGTGTTGTTCTCTTTGACATCTGGTGGGAGGGCGTTGCCATGGGGTGACCAGGACTGGGCAATATCTGGTTTTCAACATTGCAGCATATCACCAGCTCAACATCATAGTATACTGATATATCACAATGTCTGAAATAAGGGTGGAACTATGTAGAGGCACTGGCTGTCTTCACAGTTTCTCCCACATTGTGATTTTTGCATAGCACACCCCAAACATCATGATTTGCAATATATTGCCTGGTCAAAAATTATGAAACCAATACAGTATACAGTATAAGGCCTTCAAAATGGTTTTGGATGATATACCTAGCGGTGACTCTAATCACATGGAGGGGTGAGATTATCTGACGTTTTCAGCCACACAGTAAGCCTAACATTGACATTCCAGGACTTCCTTGGTTTTCCAACTAGGTGTGAGAGTATAGCAGTGTTGGGCTTACCATATAGCTACTACCCTACAGAGGCTGCTACATGTCATACAATAAGTTTTCAAGCAGATATTATGTGTTTAGTGGCAATCTGCATCCACCATATGGCCTTAATCATTTAGTAACTTGCCGCTGAATTGTACACTGCAATTATTTATCTTTGTCAATATATCGGTCCCAACCCTCAGTGCGTAAATATTCATTAATCTGGCTGAACATTTTAAGCAGCAGCACAAATAAGGATGTATATGGCAGACTACATTTCTTCTCGTGAAGGTGTCTGGTGTAAAAGAGCAAGATATTTTTCAAACAGAGTTGCTACCACAGTTGTCGCATCCAGCCAAAACTGCAGTGCCTGTTAGTTAGACAGATGGATTTTTGTCTGCAGTGTTGAATGAAAGACACTTTCCAAGCTTATATGCACACTACCAATGTAAGATACTGTTCTTGGTCCCTCTGTTTCAGGAATATGGGATTCCCAAGCACTTTGGTCTCTTCTATGCAATGGGCATAGCTTTGATGATGGAAGGTGTCCTCAGCGCTTGCTATCACGTCTGCCCCAACTACTCTAATTTCCAGTTTGGTAAGTGCGTGGCTTCTTCTAGCCGAGGAGCTAAGAGGTTTGTTTTCTTCTATGGATATTTTGAACAAAGTCCCCAAGAAGTGATTTCGGATAGCTGAATCAGTGGCGGATCTTGGGGTCTCAAATTTCAGCGGCATCCCGTGCGACACCAATATTTGGCGCTCCATAACATATCATAGTTGCAGCAGCCCCTGCATCTCCCCCAAGGCAACCAAACCGGTTCCACTTCCCTGAATCTGCCTCTGGCTGGATGTTTTGGGTTTCAGTGTGCTCGAGGTCCTCTTTCAGTTAGGGTGAACATAGATCTGAACACTATAGTAGCTGGGGAGAGATGTTGCTTTGAGGACTTAAGAAGTGGGGCAGGGGAATCAGTGGCCACATTCTTTAGATAATGTGTTGTTTGGGGCACTGGAACAAAGACTCTCCTTCAGTCACATTTTTACGATTTTTTGCCACACCCACGGGTGCCCAGAACTCTTACCTTGAAGAAAAATAGGAACCCCACTGTGGTGGTCTTAGTTCACAACAAGAACCTTACGAGCCACAATGGGGGGGTGATAGCGCCCTCTGGTGCAAAGAGAGGATTTCTCCCTTAGAAAAAGATTTGCCAGTAATACCACTGTTGCCAATTTGTAAGATACCATCGATATATCATTTTCATATACTTTTCTCTTAGACCATAACATGCTGTAAATTTTATCTCCATATTCCACAATCGTTTCCATGCTTCCTTGTCTATATTATGACCAAGATCTATTGCCCAGTGTATCACTGAGGATTTTACTTGCTCATCCTTTGTCTCCCATTTCAATAATACTTTATACATTCTAGACAGTACTTTTACATTACATTCCAACAGGTCTCTCTCCAGTTGTGATATTTGTTCCCCAAACCCTTGTATCCTATCTTTCTTAAATTCTTCATTAAATGATGATATTGTATCCATGTTGTTAATTTTCCTGATAATTCCTTAAATTCTTTTAATATGTACTCTCCTCCCTCTTGTTTTAATAAATTTTAATAAATAATTTGTCCATCCTTCTATCATATTCTCTTTTTTTTACCGCTATAGCTTCCAACGGTGAGAGCCAAAGTGGGGTTTTTTACCTCTAATAAATTCTTATATTTATCCCATACTCTATACAGATTCTTCCTAATTATATGATTTGTAAATCCCTTTATGAACTTTCACCTTTTCATACCATAAATAAGCGTGCCAACCAAAAATATTGTCATGACTTTCTAAATCTAGAATATGTGAATTCTCTAATGTCATCCATTCCTTCAACCAACAAAAACAGGACGCCTCATAGTATAGTCTCATATCCGGCAGGGAAAAATCTCATATTTCTTTTGCATCTATCAATATTTTGTACTCGTTTTTCCCCCTTGCCAAATATATAGAGAAATATATTTTTGCCATGTATTGAAACGATCTGTTGCCTTTTCTCCTCCTTTGACAGACACCTCCTTCATGTACATGATCGCAGGGCTGTGCATGTTGAAGCTCTACCAGACCCGCCACCCGGACATCAACGCCAGCGCCTACTCTGCCTACGCATCCTTCGCAGTGGTCATTTGCCTTGCTGTGCTCGGAGTGGTACGGATGCATTCGACACCCTCTGCCCTTCAGAGAGAGGGACCGAATCAGCAAAACTTGGGGGAGAACTCTGAGAATGGGGTCAAAGGCAAATAGGCTGTAGCATCTGCAACAAAATTGCCTGTGCAGCCTTACTCTCAACCTCTGCAGGATTCTCGTGGTTTTAGGTTCAGGTTCTGCAGCAGCCAAGTATTAGAAAAACAACTGCTACAGTTCCTTCCATACTATCCTAACACTCACGGCCCTTTATACAAAAGAAGTGCTCTGATTAAAGCCCATTATTTTGCTCTAACTGCTTTGGGAACGGTGCTAGCCTTGGTGCATGTCTCTTCCTCGTACTTCGGCTACTTGTCGCAGATGCCGGGAAAGGTGCGAGGTCTCCCGGGACATGGGATGGCTGTTTCTGTACTCTGGGTTATTTGAGTATTTACATCTTCAAACCATTCTAACAACCAGACATAGATAGGTTTGGAAAATGCCACCTGTCTGTAGAGTATCTATAACCTCTCATTGCAGAGAAGGAGACCTTTTTCATAATTGGACATAACGCACAATAATTCTTTTTTTGTTTGCTGTCAGGTTTTTGGAAAAAATGCTTTGTGGTTTTGGATCCTCTTCTCAGTCATCCATGTTGTGGCCTCACTTGGACTCAGCACCCAGATCTACTACATGGGCCGTTTCAAGATAGGTAAGTTTGATGACAGGTGATTGACACTTCAGGCCTCCTAAATATATTCACCTGGAGGTAAATCCATGGAACTGCTCAGCCTTTTACCTTTAGGATTGTAGCCCCAGAGATAGAATAGGAGTGGTGCTTATTCCCTTCATACTGTTTGTTTCTGGTCTATTAAATAAAGGGAGTTTCACCTTGACTCCCTATGAAATCTTGCTTTTTTAAATAAAATTATTTATACTTTTCAAGTTTATACATTTCACTAATTTTACAATCATTTTGACATTTCAAAACTTGACTTCCTTCCCCCTCTTTCTGCGGTTCCTTAAGTTTATTTTTAATATATTCTGCATATCCAAATTAACTTAATTTTCTCATTTATTCATCTTCTTTAAATATATATTCTTATTAAATTGCAGGTTATTACAAGAATCCTGCCAATGTTCTTATCTGTTTACAATTTATCTGTAAATAGTCAATAAACCATTTCCATTTTTTTATAAAAAGTTTATTATCTTGATTTCTATTCTTCCGGTAAGTTTCACCATTTCTGCATATTCCATAAGTTTTTGTATCCATTCTTCCTTTGTCGGGACTTCTGCTTCTTTCCATTTTGGGGCAAATAACATTATTGCTTCTGTAGTAGCATACATGAATAAGTTTCTATACAGTTTAGACAGTTCTTTCCCTATAATTCCCAAAAGGAAAGCTTATAAAGGTTATTTTAAACATCATTTTCATTTCATTATATATCATTTCCCACTAAGCTTTAACTTTACTACAAGACCACCACATACGATAAAAAGAACCTTTTTCTCTTTACATTTCCAACACTTATTTGATTTAGATTTATACATTTTTGCCAATTTACTCAGTGTTAGATACCACCGATATATCATTTCCATATACTTTTCTGCTGTAAATTTTATATCCATATTCCACAATCGTTCCCATGCTTCCATGTCTATATTATGACCAATATGGATTGCTTTGCCTCTGCCTAATGTACTTAACTGCATGCTGGTGCTGGGCTGCGTGCGAGGAATTATTCACCTTCCTGCCAGTGGCCCTTTACTCAGGGGGGAGGCTGGTTGGGGGATGTGTGTCTGTGTAAGTGCTTCTGCTTTAGTGGGCATTTGGGGGGCTGGGGGGGTCTTTCCAACGGCAGCACATACATTTATCCTTCTTTGCTGTGCCGTTATGCTCCTCTCACTAGCATCTTTTCCCCTTTCTCTTCTGCTTCGCTTGGCTGCAGATGTCTCTGATCCAGGTAACCAGCCCTTGATGTGAATCCTCTTTCCCTTTGGGCTGAGCATGCAGAAGCCTTGGCAGCCAGAATAGGAGGGATGTTCATTCTTCTAACGCTTTAGGGGAAGGTCAATAGCTTGGGCTAGGGCTGGGCAATACCTGATTTTCAACATCGCGATATATCACCAGCTAAACATCACAATATATCACAATGTCTGAAATAAGGGTGGAACTATGTATAATGGTACCTTGGTTCTCAAACTGAATCTGTTCCAGACTTTTGGTTTTGGAATGCTTTGGTTTTGGAACAGACTTCCGGAACGGATTAAGCAGCAGGGCAGTGTGGCACTTCCCATTTCAGCTCAAGTGCTGAAACAGGATGTGCCCCTCTACCCCCTGGCCATCAAGAAATGGTTCTGGATCAAGCAGGGTCCAAAATGCAGACCAGATTTATGTGAGGGAATGCAACTCCATTCAGAACAGGTTGGAAACAATTTCTTGTACCACGTTAGGCCAACTAGTAGTCAGCTCACAACACTATTACATTATTATTACAGTGGTACCTCTGGTTACGTACTTAATTCGTGAGGTCCGTTCTTAACCTGAAACTGTTCTTAACCTGAGGTACCACTTTAGCTAATGGGGCCTCCTGCTGCCGCCGCGCCACCGGAGCACGATTTCTGTTCTCATCCTGAAGCAAAGTTCTTAACCCGAGGTACTATTTCTGGGTTAGCGGAGTCTGTAACCTGAAGCGTATTTAACCTGAAGCGTATGTAACCTGAGGTACCACTGTACAGTGGTACCTTGATCCTTGAACAGCTTGGCTCCCAAACAAATCAGCTCCCGAACGCCACAAACCCGGAAGTGAGTGTTCTGGTTTGTGAACGTTTTTCAGAAGCTGAACATCTGATGCCACTTCTGCAGCTTCCAATTGAGTGTAGGAAGCTGCTGCAGCCAATCGGAAGCCACGCCTTGGTTTCTGAACTGTTTTGGGAGTTGAACCGACTCCCGGAATGGATTAAGTTCGAGAACCAAGGTACCACTGTACATTATTATTCTAAGAACCTTTGCAAGCCTTACGGCACAGTTGTTCTTGAGCTACAGTTTCCATCCTGCCAGATCATTCATTGGCCATGCTGACTGGGGCTGATGGGAGTTGTAGTCCAACAACATTTGGATCTCACCTTGTTAGCTACCCCTGCCTTACAGTGCTGGGATGTTTTGTTTGTTTTTGTGGAATTTATAACCTGCCCTTCACTATCTGGTCTGAGGGCAGGAATGCAGCACCCTTAACACAATCAATAGCAATAAAACCAGAAACGCATAGAAGTCGAAAACTCGGTATAATAAGCAATGCCAGCGAGACACTGTACTCCTCTATTAAACAACAGCACTACCGGCCCAGAGTTTTGGCAAGAGCGCATCTATTTGGGGCACGATCTTGCTGAATGTGCAAGATCTCACAATTTTGGGCGAGATCTCAACCAAAATTGGCATGGAAATTGGCCGGAAATCGTCAGTGCCTGGCAGGGTACATCATCATGGTAGTGTGGGTGGTGTCCTTAGATAAAACGAAGCTCCTTCATAGGAGCTGTGCTCTGTTAGGTTTTCACCCCCTGTGCTCTCAATCTCTGGCAGACTTTGGGATTTTCCAGCGTGCGGTTATGGTCCTCTACACAGATTGCATCCAGCAGTGCAGCTGGCCAATGTACACGGTACGTATTTCCCTTGTTCTCTTTAGCCATCTCTGGCCGGCTTGGAGAGCTGCTTATTCCCTTTTGCATCTGAGCATGCAAACATGGGTGAGAGAGAAATTGCTATCTGGCTTTTATTATCAAATGGAAAGTCCTCAACTCTGAACGGATCATAGGTAAAGGTAAAGGGACCCCTGACCGTTAGGTCCAGTCGTGGCCGACTCTGGGTTTGTGGCGCTCATCTCGCTTTATTGGCCAAGGGAGCCGGCGTACAGCTTCCTGGTCATGTGGCCAGCAGGACTAAGCCGCTTCTGGCGAACCAGAGCAGCGCACAGAAACGCCATTTACCTTCCCGCCAGAGCGGTACCTATTTATCTACTTGCAATTTGACGTGCTTTCGAACTGCTAGGTTGGCAGGAGCAGGGACCGAGCAACGGGAGCTCACCCCGTCGCAGGGATTCGAACTGCCAACCTTCTGATCAGCGAGTCCTAGGCTCTGTGGTTTAACCCACAGCGCCACCCGCGTCCCCAAACGGATCATGCCTAATCCTTATTATAAAAACTTAGAAATTTCAAATCCGTGCTTACTTTCCTGCTCCCCTTGATGGTCTCTGGGAGTAAACTGAAAGAGGGCCCGACACTCACCACACACAGAGCAAGAGTGGTGCTGGCAGGATCTTTGCAGCCAAACTCCAAGAGAGACTGACACCAGTGAGATCAGTGTGGAGTGGAAGTCTATGTTGTCAGCAATTGACCTGGCATGGAGCAAAAACATCTGGAAATCAGAATTTTGGAGTGGGGAATGAATGGAACAAGAGAAGTTGTTCTTCCTGGTTAACTTTTTCAGGAGAAATGGTGTATTGCAATGGTTAAGAACACAAACTTAGAGACAGAAAGCCTGAGATTCAAAAGTCACCTCAGCCATGAACCTCCCTAGGTGGTCTTTTTAGCCAAGTGATTACTTCTTAGCATGGTGGATTTGATTTAAATCAAATCAATTTAAATCACTGGTCAGTAAGACTTGATTTAAATCATTTTTTACACAAAGATTCATTCTTGCTGGTATCATCTTAATATTTACAACCAGAGGAAGGTTTCATTTTTTGGAATAATAAATTTTCAGAGTAGTATTTACAGTTACATCAAAAATTACTGATTTGGCTATACTGTTAGAAATACATAGACACCTAGTTATGAAATTATTGTGAGGTTTAATAAGTTAACTTTATATTTCGACAACTTTTCTGCTGTACTTTATTGGAAGGAGAAAAAGAATCATTTCCTTAATAACAATTTAAACAATTTATTTAACTAAAACAATAACATTATAGCCTATGTATCCATGTTTGTTAACTGATGTGGTTAAACAATTAAAAAAAAAACTTAGACTGAGTTTTAGAACACATGAAAAACTTAAAAACAAATCCTTATTTCCTGAAGAATAGCCTTTGCACTATAATGTAACTTAAATAGAAAACTATCTTTAGAAATATTTTTCCTCCAAAAGCATTTTATTTCGAACACCAGGATAACATGGGCTGTCTCTTGCTCCCTCGCTTTGCCTCCCTCTTTGTGAAAGATCAGACAAGACGTGCAGGAGGTGCTCTTCATTAGTTTGTTTAAAACCAGAAATGAAAGCTTCTGGTTTCCCCTTTGTGGCCACAAAAGAGGAAGCTGCAGACTTGTTCGCTAGTCAGAAACTATTGTTTTCCATTGCATTTGAACCAGGCACATAACCTCATAATTATGTGGAGTATTCAGAACATTCAATTTTTTTTGGTAAATGCTTAGTAGCAAAACATCAACAGTTACCTGAAAACATTTTTAAGGTTACCTCGCAGGTATTTTGGAATCAAAAGGATAATCCAGCCCAAAGTGAGGCATTTTTCTGTCCCAAAGTTAAGCATGTACTTAACTCTCTCCCTTTGAAACCAATGGGTCTGATGTTTATCAGACAAGGTTTTAAAATGTCTAGTATGTTTGGATTGTCCCTTGGGCCTCTGAGTCTCCAGCTCCAATGGCAACTGTGACTTGACACACATTTATGGTTTTCTAACGAGGGTTCTTGCTTCTTTCCTCTAGGACAGAATGGTCCTGCTTGTTGTTGGGAATCTAGTCAACTGGTCCTTGTAAGTAGGGGGCTTTGTGGATGTTTCACATGCTCAGGGAATACAATCAGAATGGTCTTACATGGATTAGCCCCAGAAATGCCCTCCTCATATCTGAGGTTTATTATATACTTTTGAAGCAGGAAGGTTAGAAATAATGTAAAGATTTTGCTCTCTGGTCGTTTTGTCTTCTTCTCTCCAGCCCTGGCCCCTGATAAATTTAAGACATTTCCCAAATATCACTCTGATTATTGTTAGTGGAGAAACCTAAGTTCCCTTAAACGCATGGTGGGGGAGTCACTTTTAGCCTGAGGACTGGATTCAGACCTGGTCGGCCTTCTAGGGCTTTGAATGGTGAGCAGGGCCAGAGACAAAAAAGCAAATGTTGCATACTTTAAATATATTTTATGTCCATTTTATGCATTTTTCATTCAATCCCCCCTTAGTTTTGGGGAGAATTGCATGTAAAATACGGGACATGTGAAGTATGTAACGGACAGGTGTCAAATGACATCACATGTTTGGCAGGTGGTCGGAGTCTGCTCAGAGTTCCCTCGTCAGCCATTCAGAGGGGCCTGATCCTGCAAATTGGCCCATGGCTGGAGGTCCCAATGCTGTAAAGGGAGACCCAATTAGAATAAGTACTAGTTGCTCCTTAATTCTATGCAAGCATCATCTTATATGCTTGATCTGCAAGATGGCAGCATCCCTCTTCAGTATGTGCAGTGTGGGTGGCGGGTGATATTGGTATCATGAGCTATGTACCAGGATGGCAAGTTATGGGGGGCCTATACCTTGGATAACATAACCCTTTTCCTTTTCCTTTCTTAGTGCCATTTTTGGACTGGTATATCGGCCGAAAGACTTCGCCTCTTACATGCTGGGCATCTTCATTTGCAATCTTCTGCTGTATCTTGCTTTCTACGTCATCATGAAGGTAAAGGAGTATCACCTGCAGCTCTTTTCTGTCATTATTGTGAGAACTTTAACAACTAGCTTTCATACCTGAGCTCAAAAGATGCACTGTGTGAACTTACCAGTTCTACCTGTCTTGTGCCAAACTATAGCAACGCAGGGCGTGTTTCTCACGTCTTATTGATAATAAGTTTTATTGAGTTTTCGCTTTACAAATGAATGGCTGTCGTTGAACACACAAACTAGCATAGTCCCCAATCTGTGTGATAGATTCCCCAAAGAGAGAGTTACTAAAACTTAAGCTGTATCAAATACCCTCTCCAAGAAGACTGGGAATTTGGGGAGGGGGCTGATTTTTTTTGGTTATTTTTGACCAATAACCACTTTCAATTAAATTTATCATGTCTTGCCACCTTTCGCTATTTTGTATTCTGTCAATTTGTGTCAAAGTGCTATCTCCCATATTATGTCATAGCACGTATTTGCAAGAAGGCAATTTTAGATTGAACATTTTGCTGGGCTATAATTACCTACTGCACGCCCACTCTAGTGGTAGATTTACTTTCTGAGGCTCCACCGTAGATGTCATGGGGATTATTGGATTCCTGTTGAAAAGATAAATCCCTTGCTATGAATTCCAGTTTTCTGTGGTTCCAGGAGGCTATTCTAACCCTTAGAATAGCACTGCACTTGGACAGGAGGCAGAACCAAACATCTGGTTCTTCTTCCTCCAGGGTAACTCTCCCGTAGCCATTGGAGAATGTGGGGTTCCCATGGCCATCTGGCAGCTGGCATTGCCAAGGACACCACCGTATGAAAAGTAACTTCCAGCAAACTGAAACCCATTTCTAGCACTCTAGGTTCAAATCAGTGACTGGCAAAAAAGAAGCAGCAGCAGCACCGATTTGTTTGGGTGGGGATCCAAGTCTTTATGATGCACCCCTTTGGCTTAAATGTTCTCCTGGGAAGTGTCTGCTCAAATATCATTTATTTGAGGGTATTATTTTAAGGTTTTTCCCTTTTCAGCTCCGCAGCTCAGAGAGGCTTCTGCTCATCCCTCTATTCTGCATTGTGGCCACAGCCGTGGTTTGGGCTGCAGCCCTTTATTTCTTCTTCCAAAACCTTAGCAGCTGGGAGGTAGGTTTCCTCATTTGTTGCCCTCTCTTGCGCTTCAGGCACAAAATACATAAATTTAGAAATACAGTGTATAATTGATTTCCTCCAAGCTTTCTAACGCTTGCAATACTCACGAATTTCCAAAATGATCTTAACTGCCCAAAGCCACCCCCCACAGCCCTATAATAATAGAAACCTGCACATGATCCACATACTTAAAGTTTAATCCCTGGAATTTCTGTTAAATTCTGTTCTGTTCTTCTGTTAAAGAAGATCTTGGGGAAAGAATTTGGCAAGAGTTGTGCTGGAGATCTTGAATAACTGCTGCCAGGCATCAGGCTAGATGGGCAAGGCCTTCCAGAACTGTCTGCTTGGCATGGCCTTTGCAATCTTGAAGACTTACTGCAGTAAACAGCTGCATGTATTGGAGGGAGCAGCCTGGTTGCTGTAACTCTTTATTTGCTCTGCCTTCCAACTTGAATCCCTGTCTTCAGACTTACACCTCAAGCTCCTGGGCAACGTTTTATTTCTGCCACCCTGTTGTTTCAAATGCTGCGACACAAGAACCAGTTGTGCAGAACCTGCCCTTTATTTATGCAGAGTTGTCCACCTTATGCTCTTGGGGAGGTCTGTGGAAAAGTTTATAGAACGTACCCGATATCCTTGCTATTCAGGATTGCAGGAATGAGTGGGGTTTGCAGCCCAATGCACAGGACATCCATGGAAGTGATAATCTTACAACTTTGCCTCTCCCCAAGCACTACAGGAATAATAGTGTTGCAAGCAATGAGAGCTGTTGCACAGGCATCCCCGTTAACACATATTAAAACCACACGACCCCAGAAACCCGGAAGTGGGGGGAAAGACTTGAAGAGCCTCAACAAAGCTCTGCCTCACGAGTCGGAGGTGCAGCGGGGCTTTGCTGAGGCTCTTCATCCTCTTGGCTAACAGCTGATGCACAGAAAAGCAGATGCTGCTGCTCCAGTTCCTGTGCATCAGCTGTTAGCCAAAAAGCCCCAGTGTGCTTCTTGGCTTGTGAGGAGACGCTCCCTGGAGCCCAAAGAGGACATCCCGTTTAGGCTCCGGGGAAGGTCTCCTCACGAGCTGGAGGCGCCGTGGGGTCCTCCTTATTTCACTTCTGCATGCAGGGGGGCAGAACGTAACCCACGTGTAAATGGGGAGTCGCCTGTATCCTAGTCAGCCCCAGTAGTCAAGGGATACGATACCGCCAATGGTTTGCTGAAGAATTATTAACAAGGCCTCTTCCAAAGTCATGATTATCTGCTGAAGGCATTGTGGCATATTATCCCCCTCACTCTCCCAAAAATTTTCCCCTCTGCTTCCGGGGGTAGCACACATGTGTTAGGAATTTCTCTACAGCACCAGAAAGACAGAACTGGAATTCACTGCCTGTGCCCATTTTTTCTGTAGGAAACTCCCGCAGAGTCCCGAGAGATAAACCGCCCGTGTATCCTTCTGGGATTCTTTGATGATCATGATGTCTGGCACTTCCTCTCAGCAGCTGCACTGTTCTTCTCCTTCTTGGTGAGGTTTTCCTTAAGGTCCCTCTATCAATGTTATGCTGGATAGGCTTCCTGTCTCACCTGGTTCCATGTCATAGCACACTCAGTGCATTCGCACACATTACCTTAAATACTTGTTGTGGTTTTAATGGACATGCAGGTCAGACTTACAGTGGCACCTCAGGTTACATACGCTTCAGGTTATATATGCTTCAGGTTACAGACTCCGCTAACCCAGAAATAGTGCTTCAGGTTAAGAACTTTGCTTCAGGATGAGAACAGAAATCGTGCTCCGGTGGCGCAGTGGCAGCGGGAGGCCCCATTAGCTAAAGTGGTGCTTCAGGTTAAGAACAGTTTCAGGTTAAGTACGGACCTCTGGAATGAATTAAGTACTTAACCTGAGGTACCACTGTACTCATTTCCTGCTTAAAATAATCACACAAGAGAAACACAAAGATCATTTACTTCCGTCCCCTGCAGTGCGGGAATCTTTCATCCAACACGGGGCTCGAACCCATGACCTTGACATGAGGAGTCGCATGTTGTATCAACTAAGCTATCTCCCCACCGTTATTTGTTCCCAAAGGTTGGTGGAAGTTGGGCAACACCATCTAGAAACTGAAAGGTTCCTTTTTTCTGGGGCACCATGGGTGTTGGCTCTGCTTCCGCAGGGGGCTGAGTTGACCTTTGCCTGCCTGCTTTTGGGTTTGCTGACCCGGGAGTGTGTGTCCTGCAGAACCACCCGGAAAAACCAGACTCCAATCTCTGCTCTGCTTTGTTCTAGGTCCTGTTGACTCTGGATGACGACTTGGATTCTGTGCGGAGAGACAAGATACCCGTTTTCTGAACGGCAGGAAGTTTTGGTGGTGCTTGCTCAAACCCATTGTGTTGCCAGCCCAGGACAGCTGACAGAAAACAAATTTGTTAGTGTGCACAAAGCGCATCAAGTACACACTGGGAAGAAACATGTTCAGCTGGCAAATAAGGAAGATCTGAACAGAGGACAAGAATCTTTTTGCAACTGGAGGGCTCAGGCTTGTATGCCAGATTGTTGGTAGAAAGTAGAGAGATGAGAATAATTATCTGGGGGTTGCAGATCTTTTTCAGCCATCTGATGAAGAATAAAATTTACTCCCCAGTGTTAATTTTAGTGGTGGAACTTACGCTTTCGCTCACTGCCTAGAAACAGCGGGTATAAGTGCAATAGTGATGAGACTTGAGAGATCTCTTGTATTGAAAAATCAAGCATGTATTGGCCATTGAAGCCATGGTTCTTAAGTCTGATTCTTCTGATGTTTATGGTAAGCTGTTATCCTTTTTACTACTCATACCCAACTGCTTAATTTATCACTATTAGTTTACAATGGAGCAGCATCTTATCTGCTCCTGCACAGGAATGCTTTGACCCCACCCTGGCCTGCCAATAACAGCCCACCACCATTTTCTTTAAATTCCGATTTAAAAATTACACACCCCCTGTACCCTTCTACCTCTGCGAGGCATTTCTTGGCTAATTTGAATAGCACAGCTGAAAGGGAAAAGCGCACGCCTCAGAAAGGAGCTTTCCAATCTGGGCTACAGATGTTCTCTTCCTCATCCACAATCTGCCGCTCCTCTCCCTGCCATCATGTTATTATTTAGAAAGCCATTTTTCAGCCCCCTGAAATGAGAGAGTTGGTTCTATTCTCAAAGAGGGTAAAAGGCTCTGTGTATTGCAGTGTTACGATACTTCAAGGTCTGTGAGTCCCCTGTCTCTTCTGGCTGTTGCTGCAGCAGACAGCTCATGAACTCTTTTCAGAAAGCTGCAATTATTATTATTAACATTTGCTGTGAATGCCAAGTGGATTATTTTCTTAAGTACGCCTTTCTCTTGATAAGAGGAAGAGGAATGGTTTTAGGAAGCAACTCTTACATTTTTCCTAAATTGCTTTATTTTAGATTATACATAGCAGGGCACTGCGTTTCTTGTTTGTCCCCTGCTCTGCTAAATTTTTGAATCAAAAGTTGGTTCACTATGACTAGGTAAGGTAGTAATTATTCGAAAAGTGTATCACTGGAATCTACCAAAATATCTGCCCATTCTGCTGTTAATTCTGAAACCAGCTATTAAACCAGCTCAGACTGTGCTGTCTGCTTACCTAGGTAAAAGTACTTTTGTATCAAAGTACCAGGTGCTGAAATGCTGCACTGATGTGCTTTACAATGTTGTCGTGTCAAATGCAATCAAATGTTTAAAAGAAACCTGAGAACTCAAAACAAGTTTAGTTCCATTATTATATCAACTAAAAAACCCAAACCCACCCAAAGCTTCTTCTGCACCCCTAACTTGTACCTCCTCCATGTCTGCTGCCTGGAGGTTGAACTCAAGAGTCTGGAGAGACGGTATTCTTGAACCCCTTTTCAAATCCTTATCAACCTTTGTATTTCATAAAACGTGTGGCCAGCAATGGACAGTGTGAGGTGGAAAGGCTCCGTTTCAGATTCCACCTCAGACATAAACTTGGTAGCTATGGGGACAATTCTGTCTCTCAGACTCAGGACGCCTTCCATTGTCAATGGGTAAAATATCAGCCTGCCCTTCAGCTAAGAACTTCTGATAGGATGTAAGTGAAGCACTGTTGTTACTTCGTATGTATTATACATTGCATTTTTTCAGTGGTCCATTACCTAAATAGAGGTTTAAACAGTAGTTTCCTTGTGCTTCTGATTTGTAAGTTTAGAGCATTTCATGTTCACACCAGTCTTTTCTTTCTTTCTTTAAAAGCACAGTCCAAATACTGAACAGACCAACCATATGCTATAAAGTTCTAGAAGGAAGGGAACCCAGGAGAATAGGCCAAATCAGGCTCTTTCTTTTGGTCTCATCCCCCCAAACTTTTAGCCAGGGTTGGGGTGACAGGCAGAATTTGGATCAGCTAGTCAAAGTTGCTAACAGATAAAAAAGGAACATGAGAGTATATGGACCCAGATTGTAAACATAGAGGCATTCTTAAGTGAAACTTGCTAGCCCATTTAAAATGATAAATATATCTACAATGCAGAAGTAGGCAGATCAAAGAAGTTAAAATTAGTTAAAAACCACAAAAAGAATTTCTTGACTTTAAATTCTTTACATTTTTTCTTTAAAAAAATTACAGTTTATAAACTTTGGCTGCAACTTGCAGCCAGGATTTAAGCACAGGATCACAGGCATTGGGGTTTTTTTCCTGGAAGGGGGACAGGAAGTGGAACTAGAAAGTATCTAGAGTACGCAAAAATGAAAGTACACAAACTGTACATTTTTAAAATAAAATACCATTTTGTTCATATCTATACAATTTTTACAATCAATAAATTGTTACATTTAATAAAAATCTGAGACCTTTCATCAAAACCACTGTTGTAAATATTTACATCTGAATGCGACGAATTTGTAAAAAGATGTCAAAATAAATGGAACAAAATCTTATTTGCAATAATTTGTGTGCCTGATCAGCATCACCACACATTTCTGTACTAGGGCTTGAAAGAATCTAGAGGCTGTATGTAGGATTTTAGGGGATGCACTGCAGAAAAACTGTGGCGCAAATCAAGGGAATACATTTGTTACTTTCAAGAGAAGAGGGAAGCGTAGCTCACTCTGAGATGTTTAAGGGAATCATAAGGGTATCGGGATGTCCGCTTTCTGGCTTGGAGATGAAGCAATTTACCAAAGCTGGATGCCACACGACCTATAATCTGTATGGTATCCAGTTTTCCATAATTGCTCCCATTAAAAGGGGCTGTCTGCTTGCACCCAGCAGAAACAATACAAGATGTGATATGCACACTCCGTTAAAGCTTCTATATTTACATGCAACTCATTTGCATGTGATAGTGAGAACAGCACAATGGTTCATGTGTCCAGTATGGCATCCCATTGGACCTACAAACTGCCAAGTGTTGCTTTTTTAAAACTCCCTTAAGCAGCCCTGGTTAGAAGGTCACTCATAATGCAAAAGATCTTGATAAGATTACAAAATTGCACAGCAATGTTACTAAACTGGACAGCGGTATTAAGAAAATAAAGCTAAGAGATTATGAGTCAAATGGCTTGCTAGTACATAACAGACCAATTTGTTCAGCACATTCTGCAAAGGAGAGAGAGAAGATCTCTGCATGTTGGCTCTTTAGTGAAGAACACGACCGCCTGAAAGGAGGAGATAAGATGTGATTGAATTTATGGACTTTGCATCAGTTTGTACTCCAAGGATTCTACTGAGACATGACAATTTTCGGCTAAACAGAACTCCCTGCGATTGCTCAAGCTCCTCCAGCACTTATGACAGCAAAACTGCCACCACAGACAATGTCAAGACAGACATTTTAAAAAGGTCTTAACAGCACTAAGGTTCACATTAGCAGCTATCTACCACAGTTGTGTCTACCAGAAAGTCCTTGTAAGAAGATTCAATATAGATAAAGCCCACAGAAGTCATTGATCTAGCTTATACCACAGAACACGCTGAACGGTTTAGCAGTCTTAATTTTTTCCTTTGTCAGAAAAGTGGGAAATAGACACCAATTTACAGAATTTAAAACATACACCCTCCCAGCTCTGTAGATGTCTTGCTAACTTGATGGCGGAGGCAGAACTAAAATAAAAACCATGGGGAGGGAAGGGGAGGGTCACAATAGATAATGGCTCAGAAGAAATAACACGCAGAAGCCTTTTCTCATATTGAATGGCCTGTTTTCCGGCCCGTCCCCATTCTCTGCACTTAAACCACATCTAACCAGTTTACAGAATTCCCAACCTAAGCACACCCTTTTGCACAGAAATGAACTTCTATGACAAATATAGAACAGTATAAAGGTAACCCAGGAAAACTAGGATTCTAACTTGCCATGTTTGTCTTGGAAAGTCACTCTTTATGTTGCCTCAGCTCCTCGTTATTTGAGTGTTTAACCTGAATTCCTCTGATGCAAAATGATAAGAAAACTGATTCTTCTCAGTACTAGGAGTACCACTAACTGTATAGCACAACCAACTAAAAACGGGGGTGGAAGGTGGTTAAACAATGTATGTTATAGAACAGTCAGGCAATACCGACGCAGTGTCAAGGCACATCATAATTTCTATAAAGTAGCAGTTTTCTTTCCCTTCCATTTTCAAGACCAGAATATTTTCTTGAAAAACCAGTGTGTACTAATTATGAATATTTTTTAAAAAGAAAATGTTCATAGTTCCATAAAGTTTAGTCCAGACACTGCAGACTTTTTCAAGTGCTTTTAAAAATACTTGACTAACCAATGCAACACAGAGCTCTCCATTTTCACTGGGACAAAACAGAAACTTGGCATGTGTCTACAACACGTAGCACAGCCAAGTGCCTCTTCTACCCCCTAGCATGGGGCCCACAACAGAAAAGAGTTAACCTGCTATGTCCTCTTTCATTACAGAATTAAATTACTTGCAGAAATTTCAGGAACTTGATGTGAATGTTGTCCTAGGCTCCTTCAGTAGAGTGTGTTATAAATTTAGCAAATAATAATTGATTTGAATTTTTAACTTTTCTGTCGACAACCAAAATAGTCCTTCTGATTTCTGAACTACAAAAAAAAAACCCCTCAAACACAATTAGCGCATGTTTAACAAACTTAAACAGGCTGAATAGTTAAGGATTTTTAAGGGGTCCTGCAGCTTTCTGGGGGGAGCAGAACACTAAGGAACAACTCCACATCCTTAGGAAATGAGTTATGTGGAGTAAGGCATGTCAAATACACCACTTTTACTTATTAATCATGGCAAATGACAAGACTTTTATGCAGCAAGAGATAAAGCCTACGAAGAAATAGTCCGATGTTCATTTCAGATATTATCCAAGTGATATTATCAGAAACTCAGAGACAATTCTATGACATCTCTTAAGTAGTTAAATCATACAACACAGAGAAGTCTCCAAACTGAACCAAGTAGCTGGAATGACGTATGGAATGAAGAATCCAAGTAAATGGTTACTTGACAATTGCTTTTGAAAAAATTATGCCAGGAATCCATATGTTTTTTATGTCTGCACATACATACACATATGTCTTATCATGCTAGTTTGCCCTTTGAAAATAATTACTATATCCACCCTTTTCTTGAGACAATATATATGGAATCGAGCTCTTGATTACAACTATGGTAGCATACATTCTTTCACAGTGATGAATTCCCCAAGCACTTGGAGACCCAGAGAATGACCCTGCCAAGCCAATGAACTGAAATCACCATGAGGCTAGATGCTTCCCCCAACATGCTATGCACAAACTATGGCCAAGAGAGCTGTTCGCAGTTTTAAAAATAATCTGGATGCCCTGGGGTTCTAAGTTTACCTTCACACACTGGATTCTAAGAGGAAATGGCTTGCTTTGCCATTGCTGATGGGCAAAAATGTATGTTATGTGGCAGCTACTATAGCTGGAGTTAGAAGAGAGCAACAAGCCATGGGTCCTACCCTGAAAAGGTGAGCCAAGAGGATAGCATTTTGAAGCACATAAGGACACTTGAACTCCAGGGCAAACTGAAGGCACATCCTTCAAAACAGAAATATGCTATTATAAATCAATGGTAAGCTTGCACACCCTTCTTTTAGATGTACACAGAAAGTCAGAGTCCAAGATTCAAATTCCCTCTGTTTTCAGGCATGTGTCACGCAGGTCCATGGAAGAGCTGTTCCACTCTGTCTTACCTTACCCTTTGTGAATCAGCCATTGCAATACTAGAAAGCTAACTTCCAGTTTGGCCAAGTGAACCATCTGGGGAACTCATTAGAAAGCTGAGCTTGTGGATATTCCCACAGTTCTGATTCTGACCAAGCCAGCCACTTCAGATTTCCCACTGGAGATTACAATTCCCATGAGGATCCCTGTTCTGAGACAGGAGGCCATAAAAACAGCTGGTGCTGCTGAGGACATTGTTGAATCGCTATTCCGAGACAGACCCACGCTGTAACTTCAGCACATTTACTAAGCAATGACTATATACTATACCCATTCTAAGATCCCTTTATATGCTACCTCTAAGGTTCTTCCGGCTATCTAATTGCCTAATTTTCCCCCCCCTTAAGTCCCACAAAGAAGTTAGCAATCACCAAGGAAGAAGCCCAGGCCATTTTTTTTTACTGCCAGAGTCATAGCCTGGCTACCATCAACTGAGGAAGACTCTTTGAAACAATATTGCTGTATGTTTTAAACTATCTAAAAGGGTGCAAAAAAAAAAAAAAGCATTAGTAACAATTACAAGAGAAAATGAGCCATTCACCTGTTACTTGCCACATTTCATCTATTAAGTTACTGACAAGTGCTTCTCCGCTGTAACTTTGCCTCATCAAGACCATCCCATTTTGCTAAGTGCTCAAAACTTCAAACGCTCCTCTTTCTGTTCCCAGCAAAGAGTTTCTGGACAGAAGGTGCTTTGTAAGTGCAAACGAATACATTTAAATAAGCACTTAATACTAATGTTGTATTTGCCTACAGTTTCACCCAACAATATTTGTCACGCAAAATGTTCCTATTACATGCTCTCAGGTTACAAGAGTTATCTGAGGGAAAAGGAAAGAAAAACATTACAATGGTAAAAATGGAGATAATTCCCCTCCTCAAAAAAGTGATAAGCAAGACACAAAAAGGATACCCTGAGAAACTCGCAGCATACAAGCTGTGGGGGAGAAATCAACATGTATGAACTGAACTGAACATAAATGATTTTTTTAAAAATTCTATGGATTGTTAGCAGAAACAATGCTAAAAATAAAAGCCTCAGGAGGAGAGCATTAAACTATATGTTTCAGAAGAGAGGCAGTATTTCCCATTACACAATACGTTAATACAGTTCCTCAGAAGCTAGGCATGGCACTAAGCTTTAAACGCCCATCAGAAATTATCACGTGAAGTCAGCCCGATGAAAGATGTCTATGATAAACTTCAACACAAATAGTAAAAGTGATCTAGTGTGCATTGACTCAAAACCTTTGTACCAATCTGAGGTGTGTTTGAGACCCTCACGTACCTACTTCCTGGGCAAAAAAATCACTCTCCAAGAACTATAAATGCAACTCTTCAGTTTCCCTGGACTTCATTTTGCACAAGGCTCATCTTGGCACAGGGGGCGATGCTCTGGAACTCTGTTAAGACAGATCAAGGTGTTGGATTCTTACTCTTGCTAGTAAGCATTGAGATAGGCACCTGCTACTTTAGCAACATGGGTATGTAGAAATACAGAAGCACCTGCTATTGTATGTCTACTCCCCACAAACAGTGATGCTACGAGTGGTCGTTTCAAGGATGGCAATCCCAAATGCATACATGGACACATGCATGTATATACACAAATATGCATACTACACACATAAAACAATTCACCATTCTAACTCCTGGCCACAGCCTTTCATACAGCCGAACTGCAATCATGACCTAGAATATGGCTTATGTTGTGAGCAGGCCGGTTGGATGATTGCTTGGAAGAATCAGAAGCAGATGTGTTCGCTATAGAGAGCAGAGGCGAGATTGCTGAACCATCTGGAGGAAGAGCTGTAGCAATCTCTGGGAATAAAGAAGTCAAATTAAAATTGGACAAGTGAGATGAATTGGCCATATGCATTGGGGGCATGTCTGTCAAAAGGGGGAAACTTGGCTGGGCAAAGCCCACTGGCCTGGGAGGAGACAAGATGGAGCCAAAGCGATTGTTTAGACCTCCACCGCTTGGCTTCTCTGTGCTTGGATTAGGAAACATCTGGTTAGAAAAATAAGGGATTGAAATGTCATTGGAAAGGGTGGGATGGGCAGGAGAATATGGCGGATAAAAAGATGGCAACGTATTTTGAGGATCTACTGGAATCAGGGCTGGTGTTCGAGTAGTACTAGACTGAGTCACTGGTGGGATGAACGGTGCGTTGGCATTTATGGGGGGATTCATTCCACCCTCTGGAATAAAAGGGAATCCAAAATTTTGAGACAGACTGTGCTGATCAGGAGCTGCGCTATCATTAGTCATTTGTGGTCCTTCCGGCATGAATCGCACAATACTGCCTCTTTTTTCTAGAGCAGGTTGTTGCCTTCCAAGGATCATACTACCACTGGCAGCCAAAGGAAGGTGGGGAAGACTAGGATCAAAGACATTTCCGTGTCTTTGATTTCCAGAACGATTTCTTTCAGGCTGGCGAATTTTAGAACCACTGTTATCCTGGAGAGGATGTCTTGATCGCTGAGTAACTGAAGAATTTGGTTGACGAACTGATGGTGGGACTTGCTCGGCATTCCGAGAGACGGGCGGGTGGGTGAGAGGAGGTCGGACGACTCCATGCACATTGCTAGAAACTGGAGCATTCATGTGACCCTTGGTTCCATGACTCTCTGTCATTCTCATGGGATTGGATTTCTGAACAGAAATATTGGGGCTTGTATTGCGACCCTGAATATCTCCAGAGGAACTTGAAAAGGGAATATTTAATGTATTGTTCCTATTATTAATAGCACCAAGAGACATATCGCAACTTTCCCTGTTCTGACCATCACCTTCTCTTCGAATGTGAATAGTGTCTCTTGCTGGGGGGCAATTATATTCAACAATAGAAGTGGCACACTGTGGATTTCTCTGGTGCTCTGCAATTGGTCTTTGGCCTCCACCGACTTGCTCTCCGAGATGAGGGACAAGTAAACTCTGCATAAAACTTTGGTGGCATGTATTTTCATTGTCTCTTGGGGGAGGAAGGACATTTCCTGCTGAAATGCCCTGAACTGGCTGATAGGGCAACCTCTTCTGTCTGTCTATGGGGGGTCCAGAATTCTGAGCAATTCGAAAAGCCTGTGTCTGCATACCTCTGAGGGATGACATTGAGGTCCCTATTTCACTGTTCCTTGAGGACTGCACATCAAACTGCTGGTTGGCGCCATTTGTCTTGAATGTCTGGCACTCCGAGAGTCTTTGAACATCTGCTCCAACCGTGTGGTCTACTGACATGCGTCCTTGCATGTTATGGATTACCAATCCTTTATTCCTAGACACATCAAGGTAATTTCTCATTTCAAGATTATCTGAAGCCCTCAAGCTCTGAATGGATATTCCTAGTCTCTGCTCTGAATTAGAGGGAGTCTTTCCAATAAGTGCTTCTGCGGAGTAGCTGCTAACCCTATTTCTTTCTTGTCTGTGGGGGACACAGGTCATGTCGGATGACCTGGTGACAATACTAGGCTGGGACACCATTTGCTGCTCCAAAGCCCTGGAGGTCATAAGTCTTTGCATCTGGCCATGTCCTGGCACATGTTCAGAAGAAACTCCAGAACCTGTCTGTCTGTTGCCCACATCCGGTGCTTGCTGGTGCAGAATGTCCTGGTTCAGATGGCTCTGAGGATGGTTGTGGTGAGTTCTGTTTGCAGTGGGGTTCTCGCATGTCTTCTCAGGCTGAGAAGATGTATAGTGCTGCTGCATTTGCTGCATCTGTGGGTGATGGGGGTGGGGTTGGCTGCTCTTTGACCGCGACTGGTCGTTTCCATGATGCTTCTGCTGTAAAGCAAGTGTGGTGGGCTGGGCTGCTTGGATGAGGGTCCTTTTCTTCTGCATTTGTGCCTCTTGATGCATTACTCTTTGCTGGTGGACGCTGAGGGCTTGGGAATGGATAGGGCTTTCTGCATGAGGAATGTGATGCTGGAGTTGATACAACTGATGTCTTTCTCTTAACTGTCCAGCCTGTTGTTGTTGTTGCTGCTGCTGCTTTATATACGGATTGCTATGAAGGTGGGTCATTCCTTGAGTGGGAGCATGTTGAATAGGTTGCAGGTGCTGTCCTGTCTGATCCGGGACAGAAGGCTGAGAATTACACTGGATTTCAGCTTGCCTCAGAGCAGGTGGCACAAAATTGCTGGTTGGGAACAACCGGCTAAGACTATCCGTGTGCCCTTGACTGCTCCCTGATACTGCCATATTGGAGGAGTTGGGGGGGATCTGGTTGACAAGGATTCGACTTTGATCTGAAATATCGTCAGCTGTTTGGTTCAGCAAAGCCATCCCTTCAAGCTGCATAGGTGCCGTCTGGCAGTGTTTCTGTCTCTTCGACGTGGAAAGCAGGTGATCATCTGGAACAGAACGTTTGACAGAGTCTTTGCGGCTTTCCTGGCTTTGCTGCTTTAAGTGTGGCTCATGCATCTGAGAAGCCTGCATGGTGCTGGTCCGAACAGCAGACAGTTGTTCTGAAGCATAATCTGTCATTAGCACTGGAGAATGTCCTGGAGACTGAGTCATATAGGGATTAGTGGGCATGGATGGAGTCATGGTCACAGGAACAGCTGATTGGTCTGAAGTTGGGGGTAAACCTGAGCAGCTCACAACAGGGTGGATGATGCAGCTTTGATGTATGAGATTATTGACGCTTAAGCTTGATGTGCTTGGAGACTGGGAGGCTGGAATTTGCAAGGTTACACTGGGCACTTCCACTCCAACGGAACAGCTTTGTTTTTCGACTGACCTATCAACGTTTATTTTCACTGCATTCTGGGTGCTGAAATTTCTTGGCACCGTTTCTATCTGGTCTGCATCTTTAATGGTGTGAGACTTAAAAGACTGGTCTCTTCTTAGAGATGCCACTTCATCATCCTTGGAAACAGCAGCTCCCGACACTGATGCTTTTGCATGGGCCTCTTGGTCAAAAATTGCTTTTGCTGCCAAAGCTACAATATCCGTTTGCTCTGAAAACGTACAGCTGTTGCATGTATTCACTGAAGTGTTGCTGGGAACATTTTCCCTGCATGTGTCTGGCAACATGGATGCAACTGAGAATCCACAACTGCTGCCTGAGCTAGTTGACATGGGAGAGTCTGCTTGTCTGTTAGCAGTGACTGTTTCTTGTTCAGAGGTACAGGAATGAGACTGTGCAAGGTTTTCCTCTTCAGTGTTCACCAGCAAGAGCCCCTCTTGCTTCTCTGCTAAGTCATTCGAGTCTATAATTGATTTAGTGTTTTGGGTGCGAAAATTAGGGTGTTCAACTTGGACCGAGAAGTTTTTTTCTACAGCTTCTCCCACTTTACTGAAATCAGAGAAAATCTTGGTCAGGCCTTGCTCTTCTAACAAATCACTGGCCTGCATGACTATGGAACAATTTTGTTCCATTGTGCAGATTTCAGACACCTCTGTTCTGGGAACACCCTCTGCACTCGCCCCACTGTTTGCCACAGATGTCCCAGAAATATGAGAAGCTGTCACCTGAGAGTCAGAAGATGTTAAAGGGCTGGTGGGGATGCATTTGGATGATTCTGATAACTTAGAATTTGTTGCTGAATTAGTTTGAGGAGGCAGAGATGCACACTCTCTGGAGACGGGAGCAACCACTTCAAACTGTTCTGATGAGGCCGATTCGAGTGGCAAAGATCTCGGCACTATAGCTGCATTCAGGTCAGAGGCCAGGGTAGTTTCCATGTCTTGTTCAGCCCTCAGTCTCTCTTTGGGATGGGAATTGGAAGCATCATTTTGGGCAACATCATTAGGTGCTACCCTATTTGCTTGTGATATGGCTAAGCTTTGCAACACCACATTATCAGGCATGTTTTCAAGCAAGATGTCACTTCCTGAATGCTCAGGGGTAGCCTCCACATCCCCACTATCAAGTTTCTTCAAATCTTTGCAAGAATTCACTCGACATGCAAGATTGCTACTGGCCACCAAGCATTTTTTAGTACTTTTGTTAGACCATTTTGAACCCAGACCAAATGAGGTTTTGGGGGGAGCAGCACCCATTGAGCACGAAACACTGGTTAACATTACATTCTCAGCAGCAGAAGAGGATGCTGCTGTAGCTGCCAGCAGAACATGGGTACTTGGTGTGGTTTGGCTGCTGACCGTTGATGGATTTGTAGGCTGGCTGGTAGACACCTGCAGACAATTCTGTCCAGCCATCTGCGATATGCTTTGATTGAGGCTAGCTAAAGCACCAAATGTATTGAGGGCAACGTTTGTATTTGGATCTTCACTGGTGGTAGGCTGAATAACTTGCATAGGGGTTTGATCCGAACCTCCAGAACAGGACTTCACAGGCTTCAATGCAAACAGCTGCCCATTTAAAGAAATAGTCTGTGGAAGATGTTGGTTAGCCATTGCAACTGAAAACGTTTGTGTCGAGCCAGAAGATGGTGCAGAAGATGGCCTTGGCAAAATATGGACAAGATGCTTCCCACCAAACATATGAGGGCCAGAGGCATTTTGCATAGGATTACTAGCACTTGCTGAGGGAGCGGCTCCATTTATAGGCATTCTGATAGGAGGAGGAGGAGGAGGAGCAGAGAAAAGGGAGAGAGGATTTGGGTTAGCAGTCTGTATAATTACAATCTGCTGGCTAACAGTTTGGTTGGGGATTTCAGTTCTCAACACTGGTGGACCTGCACTGGCATTTGAAGGCTGTAAAATGACTACATTTTGTTTAGCAGGTGGTGCAGTGACAGATGGACCTACTGGCTGGGGCATCTGAATCAGCTGCATAGGTGGATTCAATGGAAGGAGGCCGTTTGCAGGTTGTGCTAGAACCTGCGTCTTAGTGACTAGTGGCTGCATAGGTAAGGATGGGTAAGATGGCAAAGTAACCATGATTTGCTCAGCTGTTTGTTCAGCAGCAGGTAGAGGATTATTTAAACTGGGAGTAGTTGCCAAAATCCTGTTAGGAGTGGGTGCTGTAATGCTAGCATTGTGAACTGGCTGATTTAAGAGGGCTGCGTTTATGCTGGACAGAGTACGGTTTAGAGGCTGAACAGTATTCCCTGCTAGTTGCAAAGTAGTCCAAGTAGTCTGGGTGTTTCCAGCAGAAGTCATTCGCGTCAGGCTACCCATGGTTTTGGAATTTGAAGTGCCAGCAGCTGAAGAACTGGAAAAAGGCCACTTATCTATAGAAGCAGCAGGCAAAGTGTTAATTTCTGTTACAGCCTTCTGGATTTCTACAGCAGAGGCTGCCGGTCCTCCGCTGCTTTTGAAGATGTTTCCTGCAGACGGCTTTCCATCAATGGAGAGCATTACAGATGGAGTACAAGTGGTATCAGCTGCAGAAACCACACAGCTTTCTAGGGATCCATTTCTTGAATCCTCTTTAAGGGGCATGTCTGCCAGCTGAGCCAGAGATCTGTCTACACTAGCACTGACAGGAAGGCTGTTGCTAGGCAAACCCGCTTTCTCAATTAACTTGAAAGTCTCTGGTTTATTTTTAGATTTGGAGATGTCATCTTCATCTTGTGGAGAACTCTGAATTTCAGGCTGTAGCCTCACTAGCTGCAAGGGATTCAGCGAGCTGTCAGCACTAGAACTAGTAGGTAGGCCTTGCTCGTTCTCAGAGGTAGAGTGCTCAATAATTTTCTTGGCTGGATTTGATGGGCCGGATACCAGTGGAGAAACTGAAGTCTGAACCCCTGATTTGATTTCTGTGGAATAGATACTAGAAATGGTCACAGGAGTGACTAGGTTGCAAGTCCTCTGGACAGGAACAACATTAGCAGTCTGCTTCTGTAAATTGTGACTGATATTAAAGGTTATTCCTTGGACTGATGCCCCCTGGGTGCTTCCACCAAGCTGACTGCCGTTGGAATATACAATGATGTTCTTTTGCAGCTGGTCACTGGGGATAACAACAGACACTTTTGCATTTTTCAGGTTCCCTTTCTTCTTTTGCTCCTGATCATTGGGGATAACAACAGAAACTTTTGCGTGCTTGAGGTTCCGTTTCCAGTGGACAGTGGGGTCATCATAAAGGCAAATGTCGTTGGCTTTCAATAATGCAATGTAGCGCCCATTTTCTTTCTGAAGTTCATCCAACTGCTTCCGGAGCTTTTTTATTTCTTCAGCTGCAGAGAAATAAAAAATTAATAAATCCGAATGACCAAAGGTTCTGCAAAAGTCTAGTACGGCTGACTTGTTTTAGGAGCAAGTGAAAATAGCATTAAAGAAAGCCATTTCATCACCTCAACATAGGTTTCTGCTGTAATATGCAGAGCTTTTTTTCTTTAAAAATGTTTAGGGGTACTCTCATTTTGACTCAAGAAAACCACCATTTTATGGTTCAAATCGGGAACAATAAAGACAAATAAATGGACAAAAGTACAAAGATTCACAAAATGTTTAGGGGTATGTGTACCCCTGCATCCCCCCAGAAAAAAGCACTGGTAATATGTACTCAAACTCAGATTACATCCTTAGAGACTTAGAATTAAAAGGAGAGCACACAAGTTGCATGCAACACATCCCAGGCATCTCTAGCTACAATATTTATAGGTAACAGGAAAGAAAACCCACTGCAAATTGGAGCCAATCATTACTGGGCAGATGGGTCAAGTGTCCTGAATCGGTGGAGAGCAGCTTCATATGTTAACTGTATTTCACAAACTCATCATCTGAAGAAAATTACAGCCTTATAAATACTCTCAGCAAGGAAATATTTCTATTGCTTTCATTCTATTATTTCTTTATTGTTCCAGTTCACACTTTTTTCCAAAAAGGATAATTAGTCGTATGAAAATTAGAGAATCATAGAATGAACAGGCGTCATCTAATGTAAATCCTAATAAACAACTACTACTGGAACTTGGATTTCATCCATGTTGAAGAATATTCAGAAATACCCTATTCTTTCTGTTTAGTTTGGATGAAGAAAACAGCTCCAATTATAGCTGAGAGGCAACTTCACTTAGAAAAACTATCAAATTACAGTTCTTCTATAACTTAATTTACAAGTGTGGCAACATTTTTTAGAATTAACTTTACTGTTGCTTTTTTCAATCATGTTCAACTTCTTCATATAAAATTTGTATTGTGAAAGAGAATTAGCATACCGGACACCAAGAGTATGTTGTTAGCAAGGTATAAAATTAGCAAATCTGCTTTTTAATAAAAGATTGGGACTACTTTTATTAGGATAAGGAAAATTACAATCCGAAACACAAATATTAAGCAAACAGCATTCAATCTGCAGGATAGCGAATCTATCATTTGATAACAGTTCCGGAGGAAAGGTGGAGTAGCAGTTAGACAAAGAATGTTTAGTTTGAAATGTATGTACAATAAAAACAGAGGTATTCTAGCGAGAGTATTCTAGCCAGTCCATTCACCTTGCTCATTGTTTCCTCCATTCAGCAGGAGCTCGTCGTTTTGCCTTTTCATTTCTGTTATATATTGATATGCCTGGTCAAGGATCATGTTCTTACTCTGCAAGGGAACATGTGGATAATTAGGAAAAACATTCAGAGACTCAGTCTTAAATACAAACAGGCCTACTTCTTATTTATTATTATTATTATTATTATTATTATTATTATTAAATTTGTATACCACAGCAGTTCGGGCACTAGCAACTTCAGTATTGGATTACTGCAATGCAGGGTTGCTGAACAGAAGTGAGACCCTGTCAGTATCTAACACCTATGTTCAATGGTTGGCAATATGTTTATGGGCCAAGCTTTAGGTGTTACTATTAGTATATAAAGACATTAACAGTTTGAAACTAGTTTACTTGCTGGAGCATGTCTCCTACATATGCCCACTTGACTGGAACTAGCACTGCAGGTGCCACATAATACTCATTACACACTTGTAAGAAATTGATATTTTTGTGTGGCAGCACCCACACTTTGGAAATCCCTGCCTATTGACATCGCCCAAGCACCTTCGCTGTACTCTTTTCGGTGACTGCTTAAATCATTTTTGTTTAGCAAGCATATCCACATGTGTAGATTTTGACGTCTTTTCATCTCTTTACTGATCATTCTAATAATCTTTAAATCTTTAAATTGTTTTAACTGTTTTCATTGATAATTTAAATATTTCATACTTAGAGGTTTTATTACAGCCAAGCGGTATATAAATTCTGTTAAATAAATAAATATTCAGCCGCCATGAAGAGCAGACTAACTTGTTTCAGCGCTGGGGAGCATGGAATTAGTTCACCAATTCGGTTTATTCCAGCATTGATTTTCTTCTTTCGATGCCTCTCCACTAGCAAAAACAGAACACATAAGGTGTATAACAGTACATTGATAGCATATCCAGAAACAATAAGACTTCTCTTTTGATTGTGAAGGCATATATTTGCATGCTTGGTGGAAGGAAGAACCCGAAGAGGAATGCTTGCTCCATTCTGACAACAGCTGCACTGAAGCTCTTACCTGCATTGTGAGTTTCACGGTTTTTCTTTCTGTTAAAAAAAGGGTAACATGTAAATGGCTAAATTACAATATTTGCTATCTAGGAAGTTTTCTTTAATCAATCTATTTTCTTTAATCTGCCAGTGAATGCACAAAAGGGAGAAGAGAAATAACCACATTTGCTGTAAGGATCCCCAAGATATATATCTGGCTTGCATTTTTTCTGTAAATATAAATTATATATATGCCACATTTTGGGACACAGCCTAGCCAAGGCAGTTTGCAATATCATAAAAAGAACAATAAATATAAAACAACCTAACAAAAGCAGCACATTAACAAAGGCCATTTGAAACAGTTACAAAGATTAATAAAACAGGGCTACATTTTGTAGATACCTCTGTAGAAAAAGCCTTTAGGAAAAGGCAGAAAGAAAAAGGTGAGTCTGTAGAGCCCATTTAAAAATCCACAGCATAGAGGCCATGCTAATCTCTATGATGAAAAAAGTTTCAGAATCTGGGAGCCACCCCAGAAAAGGTCCTACCACTTTGGCTTGCCAATTGCCTGCCAAAGGCATAGTACTACTTAATGATGTGTGTACTGTGTTATATAAGGAACAGCCATCCTTTACTTCAAAGCAACTCTTGCCCTGTTGGTGCTGTATTTTTCCTACTGATGGAAATTATCATAACTTTATGTATTCTTACTATCCTAAGCATGCTTTTGCACTAAGTTTCCTTATTTTGTAGGTCTGACTGCACACTTGTATACCAATCATGGGACTAGAAACTTGACCAAAGAGAACAAATTAAGTTATAACTACTTCTCATCATGTGCAGGCTATGCAGAGCTGGGTAAAGACAACAAAATACCTTCTCTACCTTACTGAGACCCACCTTTATACGGAAGTCCAACCCTTCTTAAACCAAGGCACGCTTTCCCTAATGAGGCCTCCCGCCGCTGATGCCCTTCCACTGTTCGGCTTCCGTTCTTAGACCGAGGTAAAGTTCGCAAACCGGAACACTACTTCCGGTTTTGCAGAGTTCGTAAACCAAACAGTTCGTAAACAGGACTATTCTTAAACTGAGGTACCACTGTACTTATTAATGACTAATGACTAAGAAACTCAGCAATAAGAACAGTGGTGCAGCTGAGCTTCCATTTCTCTGCAGGTGCATTAGTGAACATGAGAAGTAACATAACCTATCTGGAGAGGTCTTGTATAAGAAACTTGGCAGATGCAAGGATATAAAATGTGGGTTAAAAACACTAAAGCACATTCAACTCTAGGGCTTGGAAAGTACTGTTCAGATGAATAGTACCAGTGTACACCAGTGGTGATATGGCACATAAGTATGGACCTGTCCCCACATTGCTGGCAGATATCTTTTCCTTATCTTGTTATAAGGGAAGTTCAGCAAAGGGTTAGAACAGGAGTTTATTATTGATTGGTCATATTTCATGTTGCATGTAAATAATGCACAGGTGTACTGGTTTGTTTCTTTGATTGTTCATTTAACACACTAAAAAAATTTATTTAAAAATTTTAAAATGTCAGATGTGACATGGAAAGCACCATACAGTGGTACCTCGGGTTAAGAACTTAATTCATTCTGGAGGTCTGTTCTTAACCTGAAACTATTCTTAACCTGAAGCACCACTTTAGCTAATGGGGCCTCCTGCTGCCGCGCGATTTCTGCTCTCACCCTGAAGCAAAGTTCTTAACCAGAGATACTATTTCTGGGTTAGTGGAGTCGGTAACCTGAAGCGTCTGTAACCCGAGGTACCACTGTAACACTGAACATCATCATCTTTGGAGAGTCTTTGACTTCACCTAATAGCAACACTTGTAAAAGCTTAAGTTGTTATGCTCCCGTTACCACCACCTGCCTAGAAAACTATTTTACATTAGACTGACCTACACTTAATCTGATGCAAAGGCTGCCCAGGTCATTATCTGTAGTGGCTTTTTACAAGGAGCTGACACATAATAAGAGAGACTGACAAGGATGATCTTATTTGTGAGTAAGGTTCACTGAACTCAACAGAGCTTGCTTCCAAATAGAGAGGCGAAGAATTCCATTGTAATTCTATTTGTGAACAGGACACTTACCGGTGTTGTCTCTTAAGAGGACCCTTCTCTGTCATCTCTGGCATAGTTTGAGAGATGAGGATCTAGAAGAACAGAACCAAAAGTAACGATTCTAGAAGCACCGATCATTATTGTTCCATCTGAAAACCCTGACTCTCAAGTATTTTTTTCTTCACAGTTAAACTTCCACTGGCTTCTTTTAGATCAGCATAACCTAATAAATTGCACCACAAAGGACATTAGCTAGCCTGCTAGGCCTCATTTGTAGCCTAAAAGAAGATGCAACCATGCAAAGCTTCTCTACAGGTGACTAGGTAGATAATATTTATACTCACCACTGGTGAGTGGCTGTTTACAAGACTGCAATAGTACTCCAGCTTCTACTGTGTTGATGTTTCTCAAACCATACTTCACAATCCTAAATGAGACAGATAGAATTTATTGGAATTCTAAGGACCTCTGCTTACATTTAAAGATTACAGTCATTGGAATAATTAAATACATTCTTTTAAATGAAACTTGAGTAATAGGAGGGGGAGAGAAACCAAGCTCTGTTTAGTTTACTGTAGTTAAATAGATTTTTTTACCCCACCTTTCAGCATATCTGCCCTCCCAAGACACATTACAATATAATGATACAATGATCTGGTTTGTGTACCACTAATAACCATTAGTATGGCTTAAATTTGGTTCAACATTCTCCCTCTTTGTAAAGTGGAACTCCACAAATATTTATGAACTTCCAAACTCAACTTTTCTTGGGTTTGAGTTGGCTACTGAGACTCATGTGCTGGTAACCTCACGTTTGGATTACTGTAATGTGCTCTATGTGAGGCTGCCTTACAACTAGTCCAGAGACTGCAGTTGGTACAGAATGCCACAGCCCAGGTGGTTAATTGTGCTTCTTACTGGGCATGTACTGGGCAGCACTAAAGGTTCTGCTATGGTTCTATAGGTCAATGAACCAGTTTTAACATCTTGTTACCTACATATACAGCCCTAAACAACACTGGACATGGTTACCTGAAAAATCAGTTTCACCTCCACTGCTCAGTAAGACCATTAAGATCAACAAACAGAACCTGATTAGTTTTATCATTCATGCCCTAATGATGTGGTGTCAGGCTTTTTCACTCGTGGCACCAGTGTTGTGGAATGTACTGGCATCCCATTGCCTTTTGAAGACACACCTGGCATACCCTTGATCTCTTCACCTAAGTCTCCTGCTTTAATTCTTGTGCTGTTTTAATGGGGCTGTTTCAATGAATATTTTAATCACTGAAGTTTGCATTTTAACATCCCAATTGGATTGTTTTCCAGTGGACTTCAATTATGGCATACCATTATGTATTTTTACAGTGTTGTTTTTTGTTTTGTAAACTACTTAGAAACTAACTGGGCATTAAGTGGTATATTCATTATTAATAATAATTTCAGAGATTAAGGCACAGGGCCAAGCTAAACATGGCCAGACAGCCACATTTGTTGTTCATGTGCCAGCTCCATTCATGTATAAGGCCTGGAAGGGTGATCATGGTTTTTACATCAAGAGAGATACCATACTGGCCCGAATATAAGCCGCCCCCCGAATATAAGCTGCACCTTTAAATGTAAATGGGGAAAAAGAAAAACAATAATACCCGGGCTGCTTCCTGGGGGGGGGGTCCCCACACCACTTTGCCAGTGGCCTTCCCCTTTCTCCCGCTTGGGAGCGGCGGAGAGGCAGCGCTTTGCTGGCGGTGTAAGGTAATGAATGTAAGCCGCACTTTAACTTTTCATGGTCAGAATTTGAGGGGAAAGTGCGGCTTATGTTCAGGCCAATATCGTACCTGGTTCTCTTTTTCTTTTACTTGCACCTGTTACTTCAAATCAGACCCCCCCTCCACCCTAGTATCCTACTAGTAAGGTAAAAAGGTAAAGGCCCCCTGGACGGTTAAGTCCAGTCAAAGGCGACTATGGGGTTGTGTTGCTCATCTTGCTTTCAGGCCAAGGGAGCCGGCGTTTGTCCACAGACAGTTTCCTGCTAGTAGCATCTAGTAAGTTAGCATCATATAAATCATGCTTGGGGATAAGGAAACTTTATTTCCCTCTGCCTTTGTACCTATTGCTGAGATCTTGTGAGTTTAGTAGAAGCCAATGGCAAGCAGTGTTAGAGCAGAACAAGCAACTCTGTGGACAAAGCATCATAATAAACAAAGACATTGATTCCAGGGACAGTGGGACTCAGCATTGCTGGTAGAATTTACAGGCTCTTGCAAGTACACTCTAGATCTTTTGAGTATTTTCCTTATGATATGTTGTTTGAGGAGAATATAAACTATCCTCACTTCTTATTAAATGCAGTTCACACAACACTCCAACTGCGATGAATTTTCTGTAAAGTATGCAATGCTTTGTGGATTTTCTTAACAATTGGAAGTGACTCTTGTAGAAAATGAATTTTGGTGAGCTAGCAGTCATCAAAAACTGCAAGTGATTTACAGAATAAGAATGGTTAACCAATGTACTTACTTTCTCTGAACAAGAATGAGTTTGCAAGAGAAATTTACTTTGAGGAGTTAATTAATTTAGAAATGAAAAAGTACACAAAACACAAAAACTGGTCTATATATAAAATGTTTGTACACATGCTGGTCCATTAGAATAAAAAATAAAAGCACTGACAGGATACTATATTCATAAGGACCAACCAAAAAGTTAAAATAGGCAAAACCATTTATAGGACTCATATTCAGGCTAGGCGTTTGGGGGCATGGCTGAAAAGCCTCAATTAAGGTAGGCCATGGTATAATTTTGGAAATGCAAAAAATATAATTTCAGAATTAAAAGACAAACTTTTATTTAATGCCTCATGCAACTGTATGTATTGGATGGGATTATGGGATGCGTGTGGGAGGGGGTTGGTGTTATAAATTTGTAGCGGGACCAGAAAAACAATGCTTGGGCATGCTACCAATCAATCTTAATCCTAACCATGTTGACTTGAAAGTAGTATTTACTGATTTACTTTTGAAGAGGCTGCAATCCTATACAATCACCAGAGAACAAATCCCTCTGATTGTTCAACAAACTGACACAAGTGGAACTGCATTGTTAGGACTGTAGTCTGTGTTTCTTAATATGGTTGTCAGAATGTAAAGTTAAGTATATAGAAGAAAATTTAAAAGTACAGGCGACTCCCAATTTATGCTGAGGTTATGTTCCATGGACAATGCCTAAAGCCAAAATTGTATATAGTCAAAACACACTGAATTCAATGGCGAGTGAGAGTACCAAAACTTCCCCCAATGCTTGCCCCCTTTTTCATGTTTTTTACATTTTTTTGCCAAGCATTTAAACACAAAATATAATTGCATTATCACAAAAAGCTGTACAGAGTATGTCTGCCTATGATGAGTAGGAGTGTGTGTGTGTGTGTGTGTGTGTAAATAAAACATGAAGGGGTTAATTAAAAAATGGGCACAAAACAAGAGAATAAATTTACCATTAATACATTTAGCTTGAATAATGAAAGTGTATGTCCTAACTATAAAACAACAATAATACCAGAACAGTGTCTCAGGAGAGCCATGTGAGCAAGGAAACTCACTAGTCATACAAATTAGGAGGATGTGATTTTTATATGGCATCTCATAACTTCCAAAACGTTTCCATATCTCAATTCAATAATCTTCACAAAAGCCCTGTACAAAAACTTAGCATTATTATTTTCTTCATATTGCCAGTCCCAGACTGAGATTATATTATATTATTATTATTATTATTATTATTATTAATATGCACTACTATTGCCAGGCTTTTTTTTCTGTGGCACCCAACATAGCCATGTTATCAAATGGGTATTTTGGTAACTAGACTCCTTGCTCCCTTTCCTACAAGCAAAATCCAGATTATAATGCATTATACAGTCCACTGCAAAGTGCGTAGCATACTGCAGTCTTTCTATCTATCTATCTATCTATCTATCTTGTATGGATAACAGCTACACAGGGAGAGTCCCACTGCAACCGATCACCTAGTCCTGAGGTCGGTTTCCGACAGCAGCCACCCAGATGCCTCCTTCCTGCAAAACTTACAAACAAGGCACAGAGCTACAACCAATCTTCCCTTGCGCATCCCCAGCATCTTATCTGCTCCAGGGGCTACACTGCCTCTGCACATGGAGGTTTCTGCTGGCCACCCTGTTCAGACCTCCCCGGTCCAGACACGAAGTGCACGGCCTGCAGCACTTCGGGGTCAGCCTTGGAAGCCTAGTCCCCTCAACACCCCCCCACCCTGCCCAGCAAAGAAAGCCGCAACCGAGAGCACTGGATATTTGGGGCAGCCTGGGGGTGGGAGGGCTCCAGGGCCCCACCATCCCAAAACCCAATATTGGGAGCTGGGGAAAGCCGCAACAGGGAGGAATGGACATTTGGGGCAGCCCAGGGAAGGGAGGCCACCCCACCTCCACAAAACCTATTATTATTATTGAATTTATATACCGCCTTATACCTGGAGGTCTCAGGGTGGTTCACAGAACAAAATCCAAATATAAAACCACAAAAGGCATCATCAAAATAAAAGCAACAACCCAATAACCCCGTCTCCGGTAGTTGGTTGTCTCATAGCTGAACTCTTGCAGAAATATAATGTGTGAATCTGTGAAAGAAGAAGGGATTCGCTTCTCACCCCACCAGATGATAATTCCAGTGCTTTTTTTCTAAAAAAAATGTTTAGGGGTACAGTACAGTGGTACCTTGGGTTAAGTACTTCATTCATTCTGGAGGTCCGTTCTTAACCTGAAACTGTTCTTAACCTGAAGCACTACTTTAGCTAATGGGGCCTCCTGCTGCCGTTGCGCCGCCGGAGCACAATTTCTGTTCTCATCCTGAAGCAAAGTTCTTAACCTGAAGCACTATTTCTGGGTTAGCGGAATCTGTAACCTGAAGCGTCTGTAACCTGAAGCATCTGTAACCCAAGGTACCACTGTATTGAGCTTCTTAATGCATGCCAGCCTTCCTTCTGGATCGTGTTAGCGAACACCTTCTACCCGAATACCTCGGATTAAGTACTTAATTCGTTCCGGAGGTCTGTTCTTAACCTGAAACTGTTTTTAACCTGAAGCAGCACTTTAGCTAATGGGGCCTCCTGCTGCCACTGGAGCACGATTTCTGTTCTCATCCTGATGCAAAGTTCTTAAGCCGAGGTACTATTTCTGGGTTAGCAGTTAGAGTCTGTAACCTGAGGTACCACTGTCCTCTCCTTTTCCTACTCATACTGAAATACTGCCCCTCAATGAGGCCAAACTTAAGATTCACAAAACGTTTAGGGGTCTGCGTCCCCACAGAAAAACAGCACTGGATAATTCCCAAAATACAACACTATGTATTGCAGCATCAAATACAGTGGTACTTCTGGTTACGTACTTAATTCATTCCAGAGGTCTGTTCTTAACCTGAAACTGTTCTTAACCTGAAGTACCACTTTAGCTGCTGCTGCCTTGCTGCCAGAGCCCAATTTCTGTTCTCATCCTGAAGCAAAGTTCTTAACCTGAAGCACTATTTCTGGGTTAGCAGAGTCTGTAACCTGAAGCGTATGTAACCTGAAGTGTCTGTAACCCAAGGTACCACTGTACTCTCCTTTTCCTACTCATATTGAAATACAGCGGTTACAGGTTACAGACGCTTCAGGTTACAGACTCCGCTAACCCAGAAATAGCACCTTGGGTTCAGAATTTTGCTTCAGGATGAGAACAGAAATCGAGGCCCCATTAGCTAAAGTGGTGCTTCAGGTTAAGAGCAGTTTCAGGTTAAGAACGGGCCTCCGGAACGAATGAAGTACTTAACCCGAGGCACCACTGTACTGCCCCTCAATGAGGCCAAACTGAGATGCACAAAACGTCGAGGGGTCTTCGTCCCCCAGAAGAAAAGCCTGGCTACTTCCCCCAACACACCGCCATGTATTGCAGCAGCCCCTACTGGGAGCGGGGGTGGGATGGGGCGCCCCCCCCCGCCCGACGCCCCTCAGCAGCTCCCCGGGGGAGGCGTCGAGGGCGGCCCCGCAAATACACACGTCTTGAGGCGGCCCCGAGCTGAGGCGGCCCCGGCGGGCCCCTGACAAGCGGCCGGGCGAACTGTCACTTTGGCGTGAGGCGGGGAAGGAGCGGGCCGGGCCGGGCCGGGCGTGTGAGGGAGCCGGCCTTCCCCTCACGCCGCGACCTGAGGGACTCACCGCCGGAGCGCCGGGCGGGCTGAGCGGCTGCGGCCCCACCGCGGGGACCATCCTCCGCCTCTTCCTTCCCTCCGCCTCCCCTCGCAGCGACTCCGCCTTCTCCTCGCCACACCGCCGGGACCGTCTCCTCAGGTGCCGAGGGTGCCGCCCCTCCGCTTGCACGACAGCCAATGGAGAGCCGGCTCGGCCGCCCTCCGACCAATCGGCGACCGCGAGAGGTGGAAAGGGCAGGTCGAGCCCGGGAGGAAAGGCTGAGGCCCAGCCCACTTCAAGCCTTATATGGCGCGGACGGAGGCCCGCACGGGCTTCGGGCTCAACGCGAAGGTTCGATTGACGTGAGGCGCGGGGGCGGGGAGAGAGGGAACAGGAACTGCGGGAGAGGCCAATGAGCGGCGGGGAGGGCGGGGCGGAGGAGCGTTGCTAAAGAAGCCGAAATCTGCCGGATAGAAGCGCAGCAGGAAACATATGCGCGGTAATAGGATGCTTTCGTAGTGATGTATGGAAGGGAGAGCTGGACCATAAATAAAGCTGATCGCCAAAGAATTGATGCTTTTGAATTCTGGTGCTGAAGGAGACTCTTGGGAGTCCCATGGACTGCAAGAAGGTCAAACCTCTCCATTCTGAAGGAAATCAGCCCTGAGTGCTCACTGGAAGGACAGATCCTGAAGCTGAGGCCCCAATACTTTGGCCACCTCATGAGAAGAGAAGACTCCCTGGAAAAGACCCTGATGTTGGGAAAGATGGAGGGCGCAAGGAGAAGGGGACGACAGAGGACGAGATGGTTGGATAGTGTTCTCGAAGCTACCAGCATGAGTTTGACCAAACTGTGGGAGGCAGTGGAAGACAGAAGTGCCTGGCGTGCTCTGGTCCAGGGGGTCACAAAGAGGCGGACACGACTAAATGACTAAACAACAAGAAAGGATGCTTTCGAAGTGGCGCATGTGAAAAAAAAACCCGTGTGGCCATGTTTTCTTTCCAGATTCCCGCCAAATTATGCCAGCCCTTATTGAGAACTTACTGATGCCCATGGCTGGGAACTGGGAAAGATTCCATCAAGGGTGTATCTGAAAAATTGTACACATCACTTGGGAAGACAGGCAAACTGGAGGAAGCAAAGATCACCAGTGTCAAAGCAATGATTCTTCAACATCAGCATCATTGGACTGGTCATGTTGTGCGGATGCCTAATTATCTTCCGAACTTAAAAATGGAAAGCGGAATGGCAATGGTCAACAAGAGATTTAAAGACCCTCTCAAGGCAAATCTAAAAATAAATGTTGTATAAACACTGACAACTGGGAAACACTGGCCTGCAAGCGCTCCAGTTGGAGAACAGCCTTGACCAAAGGTGTCATGGACTTTGAAGATGCTCGAACTTTGAAGATGCCCAGCACATGTAACAAACTACAACTCCCAATATTCCTTTCGGGGTAATGTTATTTAAATGTTTTTTAGACTGGAGTCTTTCAAGCTTCTCTGGCCTACCCCCATGTAAGTGACTGTTGGAGCATGAAAGAGATAAATGGTTTAGATATGCCAAATGGTCCCTTAAGAGCAGCTGGTCACGAAACCACACCAGAACAGATGCAACCCTGGAGTTAATCCAAATTATGCCCAGAGCCTGGTGCACACACTTCAGAACTCACTGGGAATGATGACTGCTTTGCTCTTGCATTTGACATATGTGTGTGAAATCGCCCAAAAAAGTATCACATTTGCCATCAGAAGATAAATTTGAGGGCACTGGTTAAGGAAATATGCTAAAAACAGAGTCAAATTGCTTTGATGTTATTTTAAAACCATAATAGCTCAGGAAGAACGATACCATCAAGTGTGAAAGAAGTGAAGGTGGTTTCCTTTTTTTAAAAAATGAAGTTTTTCTCAAGTGAGAACAAAAAAAAGAACATACTCTGTACATGTAAACTACAACAGGGGAAGCTAAATATTGAGAGCAAATTGCTAGAAATAGAATTGTAGAGTTGGAAGGGACCCTGAGGGTTATCTAATTCAACCCCCTGAAATGCAGGAATATGCAGCTGTCCCATACAGGGATCAAACCTGCAACCTTGGTGTTACCGGCACCACGCTCTAAGGAACTGAGTGACCCACTTGGATCATACAACGTCTTTATCCTCAACATGTCTTAAGCTTGTTCACGCCTTGAAAGGTCATTTTTAACAAATGAAGTGCTGTATACATTTTGCTAAATAAAATGCCATCTGTGAAAGAACACAGCTCAGTAACCAATGTGAGGTTTTAAGCCTGGTTTGACTTGTCCTACCTTGAATATCCTGTTGGCAGGGACCTATGATTTTATTTGTTTGTTCTTTTTCAGACCATAAACATTTCAAAGCGCTGTACAGCAGATACAAAAACAATACAAACAATAAAACAGAATTTAAAACCAATAGAAACCATGAGTGACCAAGTGGCTAGGTTAGGTCAATAAAACAGGAATGCTTGGGAAGGCAAGTTTTTAATGTGCATTGAATAGTTAAGACTGGCAATAGTTTTTTCTTCTTTGGTAATCACTCGTAGCCGAGTAAGATTGTCTTCCATAAACATGGGTTTTAACTGTGGAGGCCAATTCTGGATCCACACGTCCTTCCACAGTGGGGACATAGGTTTCCGGGTGGGAGTTGATCACGGTGAGGGTTTGCCAAGCATGCCTTCCTCTTTTTTTCCCTTTGTCCTGAGTTCAAGCATCTTCAGAACCCATGACACCTTTGGTAAAGGCTGTTCTCCAATTGGAGCACTCGCAGGCTAGTGTTTCCCAGTTGGTGTTTATACAGCAATTAATGTATGGTGTCTGGAGAAGGTATTCCATAAGGGACAAGGGGTGCTGCCTGTTCCATGTCACTCCAGAGGATCTTGACAGCAGGCAGCACCACTAGGACCTCATCAGATGACCTCTGTGACCTGGCAGGCCTATAAAGGAGAATAATCAGATAATCTTGTTCTAAATTCTTTAGGATTCCATATTGTACGCCAACTAAACCTTATTGAGTGCTCCCTATCTCTCTCCTGTAAATCTAGTTGTGAGCTACAAGCTTACTTTGCTGGAGTCTGTGGAAATGAGTTTCTGGCCTTCTCCCCAGATAAACTCATCTTCACTCAAAGCATGCAAGGACAAAGCTAGCTTAGGTGGGAAGTCTCCTTGAGAGGACTATCCAATTTGTCAAGCTGCACCACAGCCTTGTTATATGGAGGATTTGACAATTGTGTCAGTGTATGGACAGTTTGTGCCTGCGAATTGGGTAGATAAGCTTCTGGTAGAAGTTCATCCAGCCTCTTTTTTTAATGCTTGCATCCTGTCTACATCTAGTGATATTTGTTTTCTGAGCCCCTTTTGTGGATTCTTACACAAGCATATATATATCTACAAAGAGCTGCTTTATTAGTCTCTTTGCTGTCATTACCCCCACCAGGAACAGTACAGCAATAGGCTTTTCACCCAGTTTAAAAGTTAGGTGCCTGATTCTCCCAGAGACCATGATAGTGCAGTGAGGTCTCTTCTGCACAGTCTTTCTTATTTATTAGCAGAATCTGCATTTTGGGCTTTCTGTAAATCCTCTGACCCAACTATACCTGCTTCAGAAGAGTCTCTGCTTGCTAGCATGTTACTATGTCACATACCTTGCAGGGTTGGAGAGCGGCAATTTCTCTTGCTGGGACAGAGGAAGGGGTGAGAAGTGAGACACAATTCAGGCTGTTGCCTGACAGTCAATGCAGCTTTTCTCTGCCTGCCTTAAGATAAAAGGCATGTCTGGGTTGAGGAGTTAGTCTGCAAGCTGGTCCTACACTTACTGCATGAGGGTGGTAAATGGAGAATGCTCCCATCTTTAACAGAGAAAGGCAGGTAAGGGAGAAAGGAAGCCAAAAACACAAGCTCCTGGGCCATGTAACTTGTGGTGCACATTTATTAAGAATGTTTTTTTTAAAAAAAATATCTTTAGCTTCCTAGGATTTCAGAAAGGTGAACTTGCTTCTGATGTACAAAGGCGGCAGCCTAAAATTTGTGAACATGTTTTCCTTGCTTATTCATGTAAGATTTAAACAAGGTGTTCTACTTTGTGAAATGCCCCAGCAATAATCAGTCATGTCACAAAGCACAAAGAAAACATCCTCCTTTTTATATGCCACAGCATCCCTTCTCACATAATTGCAACAGGCTGCCAATTAAGCAAGAATAACTTTTATCCACGAAGTGAAGGATAAAAGCAGTTTCCGTTATCTAGGAGTAGACAGCAAATTTCCTCCAAGATCAAGATATGTTCTCAGCATGGTAACTCATTGCTACGTAAGATGAACATTAACATATTCAAAACAAATCCTAAATCAATATACCTGGGGCAGGAGAGGAGTGGTTTTAGACAATCCCTGCAGCTGCAGACTAAAACTGATTTTGTGCAGAGGGTAAAAAATATATAATTACGTTCACATTTACTAGACATCACAAGGAACCATTAAATGTTAATGAAAACAGAACTAGAATTTATTTCAGCTGTAACAGTATGTCATCTTTAATGGACATATTCAATCATTAACTGAATCAAGTAATCCCAGCCACTTTTATGTATACAAAAATATTCCCCCTCCCATGCCAAGTAAAGGGTGTCTGTCCTGGGTGCTTTTTTCCCATTCTTGTTGCATATATCAGTTACCTAATACTGAAAAAACATATTTACGAAGTCCAGCAGTTTCATAGTTATATGATGAGAAAAGTACTGTGCTGAGCCCCTTTACGTTTACCCTGCTATAGGATACGTAAAGTATGCTATGCGCATTCTCCTTGTAAACGTCTACAAGAGAAGCACTTATGATGGTAATTTAACTGAACCTCCCAACTAATTACTGCAGTTGTGCATACGCTGATTTGCAAGAGAATGGAAAGTACTGACGAGTCACACGAAGCATTAAAAAACACCCATTTTAGACAACCCCCTGCTTGACTATTTCAAAAGACAAGACATTTCCTCCAAATTGGCAAACTTCTGCAGCACTCAAAGAAAGGAACCATCCAAACTGCTGCTCTTTGCCACACTCAAGCAGAGGGGATGCAGTTCAAGGAGCTAGGGATTAAAACCTGTCTTCTTTTTAAGCAAGGAATCACTGGCAGGACTGATAGTCATGAAAAGTGGAGCTTTGATTTCCAATTTCTTTTCCTCCTACCTCCTGTAGAACATAGTTACTAAGGAAGGTTGACTGCACAATGGAAACCCCAAGAAACGTTGAGAAATACATTCACAGAATGACAGTTGATTAAAAAATATATAAATGGGTTTTGTTTTGTTTTTAAAGTCTAAGCGGAAAACTACCTGTAAGTGATTTGTAGATCAAGAGAAGCCATTGACTTCCCAACCCCCAATTCCACTACCATTCGGTTCAAAAAAAAAAAAAGGGACACACTTTCCTTAGCACCAGAAGATAGTTGTGAGCAGATGTTGACATGGGCTGTATATACATTCTTTAATGCAGTACCTTCCCCTTTGAACTTCTTTGCCTTATCTACAACTGATCAGGGAAAACAGTGTTGGCACTTGAGATTTAGATGTGCTTCAACATCTTTGCAGAAGGAAAACAAATCCTCAGGAAATACAATATAAAACATAGCAAACTATGGCCAGAGAAGCAGTACAAGAATATTTCCTGTACAAGGATTCGGAAAGGGTGAACTTGCTGTTTTTTTTCTGATCAAAAGAAGAAGCATGCAGTTGGGCAAAATGTCTAATGGACCAAATAGGTGTCAGGATATTCTGCTGGCCTGATAAGGAATAGTGTTTCCTGACTTCTCTGCAATTAAAGGTTGCGCAATATTGCAAATTGCTTGAACTTTCCTGGTCTTCATGTCCCCTTGTTTCTCAATTCAGCATCACAGTGAAATTACAACATCTGCTAGCAAGGTTACATTGTAACCCCCACCCACCCACCCTCAATAAAGATTTTTCAAAGCAGAAAAGCGCAAGATACAGTTAAAAGTTCAAAATCAGGAAAGAAATGCAGTTTAATATTGATTTAGGTGATAGGGCAGGTTCCCTCCCCTCCCTGGTACGTTTCCCCAGATGGAGAGGAGAGTTGTAATGTTAAGCTGGCGTTGCTGTACTGAATTGCTAGAAGCGCAAAATGAAATTGCAAACAAAAGCGTAACAAAATACAAAGCAAAGAGCTTGGTAAAGTAGGCTACAGTTCTTACATTACAATATCAGGAGAAAACCAGTTATTTTCTGAATCCTCACAATGCTCCCCGATAAGCCACTTCCATCTGGTGTTCCGTTGCATCCCCTTTTAATATTCTTCTAAGACGAGTGCCAAATCTTCAGAAGTGTAATGGAGGGGGGTGGGAGAAGCAGTTTCAATCATCTTCTATCTTAGGGAGCATATAATCTCAGCAAGCAAACAGAGTTCAAACCAGCAGAGCCATTCAAAGGCAAAGCTTCCTTCCTTCTCTTTCTTTCTTTCATTCTTTCTTTCAAAGTAAGAGTCACAGACTGATCTTCTTTAGTAATCTTTAATGTTTGGCTCCTCCACCGTTGCCAGAGCCAAGGGTAGTTCTGTTGTTAGTGCAATACCTATAACGAATGAGAGAAGAGTGGAAGATGGTACAGTCCACTCTGAATCCTCACCTACATCCCGACCGCTCAGCAAGTTGAATCTTCTCGCTGGCCACTTTGTCTCAAAACACAATGAAGAAATGGCAGCTCAAATGCTCTGAATTAGCTTCCAAACTGATGCATGTTCAAATAGTAAACAAGGCCAAAACTGCCAAACCAAGTTCAAAACTAGAGACCGATAGACTCCATTACAAAAAAACACAAAAAAAAGTGGCATGGTATTAGGAGCCTGGATGCAAGGTATTGCTTAAACTCTGCCCTTCAATGGGAATGCAGGAGGATCACACACATACCAAGGAAAAGCTGACCTTTGGAAGACCGAATGAAGGCCCCACCCCAGCTAGAACCGCATACTACTTCCATCCCAAAATTGCAAAGAAGTAGAGCTATAGAACCCAAACACACAATTTGACAATCCTTGGGAAGTTATTAATTTGTTGGAGAGGATACAACACACATTAGGAGCAGGGGGGAAACCAAAAACAGACACCAGGCCTCTCTTTCCCTATTTGGTGACAAGAAAGTGCAAGAAAGCGTTCATTGGGTTTTGTTCAGTTGTCAGACTTTTGCACATCTGTGTTCTGGCCGAGACAAGGGACTTTGAGGTTTTTTTGCAGCACATGAGCATCCGCTGGTTCTATCCTCTTGTAGTAGTTCTTCTTCGTCTCAATGATCTCAAATCCAAACTTTCTGTAGAAGTCAATAGCAGATTCATTGCTAATCTGGACATGTCTGGGTAAAAAAAGAAACCAAGGGAGAAAAGCATTACCATTTATGAAGGCTGGAACTTGCATCTATATGCTAATGAACTGTTTATCTGAAGATTGGAAGGGAAAATGGGAAAGCAAGGATAGAGAAGAGATTAAAACAGACGTTACTAAATGTGATAATAAACAAAAGACCATCCAACTTCTGTATCCCATGTTACTTTCACCTATCATCTTTACTACGGCTGGGGGAAAAATTTTGCATGCCAGCTTATAACACAAGTGCCCAGAAATCAAGCACAGTCGTACCTTGAAGTTGAAATGAATCCGTTCTGGAAGTCCATTCAACTTCCAAAACATTCAGAAACCAAATTGTGGCTTCTGATTGGCTGCAGGAAGCTCCTGCAGCCAATCAGAAGCTGCAGAAGCCCCGTTGGACGTTCAGGTTCCAAAGTTCGTTTGCAAACCCGGACACTCACTTCTGGGTTTGTGGCGTTCGGGAGCCAAAATGTACAAGTACCAAGGTGTTTGGGATCCAAGGTACAACTGTCTATGACCATCCTATGTAAACAACTACCTACCTTTTGCCTTTCTGATTTCAGCGACAAACAACTACTATTCTAACACAAAAAAGCTACTCTAGAGCACATGTCCTAACCTGTTGTCCGCCAAGTACTTTGGACTAAAACTCCCATCAGCCTCAGATAGCATGGCCATCCCAGGGATGATGGAAGTTAAGTCCAGGATGGGAAGGAAAACAACATACAGTACTGCAGAGCTCCCATAAACCAGAAGCTAACAATACTACCAAACTGGCCCCCAAGAAAGTTATATATATCTGCGCTGCAGATGCACAGCAGCAATTGCACCAGGTGGGCCTTCTTTGAGAAGGCATCCCACAACTGTGGTGCCATGATCAAGCAAGTCCTATCCTACATGCTCATGTGCTGTATCTCAGATTGGGGGACAGCTAGTAACTTTAGAGGACATATTTACAGGGTTGGGTTTACATGTGAAGAATTATGCTTAGGAGCCTTTTTAACTGCTGTTTATTTATAAGTTTAGCTCTTGCAGAGCTCAGCATGTCCCTGGTCAATGGATATGGGCACTAATAATAAACAATCCAGACACAATACTGATAAAATAAAGAGGGCATCACTTACAAAAAAGTATCAAGACTGTACAGTCGCACCTTGGTTCTCGAATGTAATCCGTTCCAGATCCGCTCGACTTCTGAAAACAATCGAAAACCAAGGCGCGGCTTCCGATTGGTTGCACAAGCTTCCTATACTCAATCGGAAGCCGCATAAGCTGCGTTGGACATTCGGGTTCCAAAAAAATGTTTGCAAACCGCAACACGCACTTCCAGGTTTGTGGCATTTCGGAGCCAAAATGTTCGAGTCACAAGGCGTTTGAGAACCAAGGTATGACTGTAATGTATGTACCTCCTGTGGTTAGCATTTGCACTGCATTGTAGTGTCAATATAATTAGTGCCCCTACTGTGTCCCAGCAAACTCTAGTACTCGAAAGCAAAAGTCTTATATTAGTTGTTCTTCAATACTATGCACAAGACTTGAGTGCCAACATTTCCATGCATGCCAACTAAACGTGTAAGCAACCAATTCCTCCTGCCTAGGCCAGCAATGTCTTTCTACTTACAGATAGATATTGTCGAAAGTGCCATCTTTTTCACAGATGTTTAACACATGATTCAACATTTTAGTTCCTACAAAGGAAGCAAGACAAAATGGAAGAAAGTTATTCCCAATTTCAAATACTGCAGCATCTTGCAATGTTTGTTATTTTATAAACAAGTACTAAATTTTGTAAACTTTAGAGCCACATGTTCCATAGCCAAGAGCAACCTCATCATTTACAAAACAGCCTTACCTATCCCCAACCTTCGGTAAGGGGCCAGACATCCAAGCGTCATGATGTACAGTCTTTTCTGATTCTGAGAATGATCTACTCTACAGCACACTGCACCCACTGCAATATCATTGAAATAGGCTGCCAAAAAGAGGGGTGGGGAGAGGAAGAAAGCATATTATTTTGGGTTTTTTAAATCCACCATATCCTGAGGGTTTCGGATATATAGATTTAAGAATACTGCATAATTAGAACAGCAAGACACACTTTCATATTATATATTAAATATATAACAATAAATGTGATCCCATCCCTGCTTAACTCCACGCCTCAAACTAAATATGTAACAATAAAAATAATCCCATCCCAATTTAACTCCACATATCAAATATCAGGTCAAACAAGGTCTAATTCTCACTGAAGGGAAGTCTGTACTATGCTGGTAGAACTCCAGGCTGAAGGGGACAGAATAGTCCCTTGTAAAAATAAGATCTATAATCCTGCATGCATAAAACTAGCATATTAAAGAGAATGCTGGGGTACAACCCTTTCCCCTCATATCCTATGTGCCAGAAATACTATGTATAATGGACAATTCAATCAGACCTGAAGTACAGCCTAAAGTGATAAAATCAAAACAGAGTTCTACAACTGCAGTAAGAGCTAGATCTCACAATACTTTAGGAAAACATTCAAGCGTAACTTGATGCACAGTGGTCCATAGTTCTGCTTGTCACCCCCACCATAGTGAGTGTTTCATTACCTTATGGCAAGGACAATGAGAGGGGAACAAACCTCTTTCTACCTTGGATCATCAACCGAGTTGTGCTGAATTTCAAAGGGTGTATGTGACTGCAATAAGGGGGATGACCTCAACCCCCTCTCCAGGTCCAAGCTAAACAGGAAGGCTAGAGTTGACCATGGCACTCTTCTTGCTTCTGCCACCAAAATGTTGGTGGATAGTCAAGGCACTCAGAATGCCTCAGCCAGCTAGCTCCAACTCCCCTTCCTCAGTTCTGAAAGCCTGGAGCTAGAGAGGGAAGCTGGGGCTTGTCCCTGAACGCCTGCAGGGGTGCAGCAAGAGGTCAAAGTTACAGTCTTATGAATACCCACCTCAGAGTAGGACTCATTGGGTTGAATCCACACTTAAAAGCAGACCCACTGAAATCAACAGGGCTTATTTTAGTCATGGACCAAGATTCCAATGGGTCTGCTCAAAGCATGACTTATTTGGGACCCAGTCCATTCAGTTCAGTGGGACGTACTTCTGAGAAAGCATGCATAGGCTGAAGGGGAGGACCAAGGCCACCTTAAAAAAAAGCTGTGAAACCCTGTTGTGTGTGCAGGAGGAAGGTTTACACCTGAGGAGTTGATGAATGGGTTTCTCTCTGTGCATATCACTGAGACACGTGACAAGATATGTTAAGCATTTGAGCAGAAAAAATGATATTATTCATTTTAAAGGCCATGATGTAGTATAAAGGGAAAACGGGTTTCTAATGTAACACATGAAAAGTAATTTAGGGCTGCATAAGTTGTCAGTTCTGTATACTGCAGTCAACATGCATCTAGTGGTGATGCTAAAACACTCACAACTTGGCATGAAGGATCTTCATGAGGAAATGGGCCACTGCTTCCCACACTTGCTGAAGCTTTTAAAACAACCAACAAGGGCACTAGTTTTCCTGAGCAGCTATGGAAGGTAAAAGCTGGTAGCTCTCTATGGCTAGAACAGGAGGAGCTGGAGGGGAAGGAAAAGGCACAGACAAGGGGAAAAGAGGATGGACAACTATCTCAGGCCAAAGAGGTACATACCTGAGGAAGATGGCGGAATAAAAGGCAGTATCTGCATTGTATGTGCAGGCCCAGGTTGCATGGCGTGCAAGGCTTCATACAGTCAGAATAATTAAGGTATCTGGTAAAGCTATCCTCACGTAACAGATGATGTCCTGAATCTAGCAGATAAACCAAGAACAATGGGAAACCCTCTATCCACCAACCCTCCGAATAAAAAAGCAAGGTACTATACCCAGTTTGGCGAGCTCGCCAACCTCTAACACATCCTTGTAGAACTTGTCATTGTAGCTGACGGGGAAAATGACTTGGTTTAACCGCTTCAGCTGCTTAATGTTGTGTGGCGTCACATCACCCAGCTCGATCCGGCTACTGGAACAAATCAAAACATGCTTAATACCCCTAGGAATCCCACTGTGATTAAGCTCTACTAGAAACAGCAGAACTGGTCACCTTGTCATGTCCAAGCACTTTGGTGCAATATCCCCATTCTGCACAGAACCCTCCTAAATCTACCATGCAGGATTTAGTAGGACTCTTTTTTTAAAAAAGCAAACACCTTGCAGTTACTCAAACTGAAATTTGGCCCGGTGCTTTCAGGTTACACTGATCTTACGACAATTTAATTTATACAGTGGTACCTCGGGTTAAGTACTTAATTCGTTCTGGAGGTCCGTTCTTAACCTGAAACTGTTCTTAACCTGAAGCACCACTTTAGCTAATGGGGCCTCCTTTGCTGCCGCGCCGCCGGAGCACGATTTCTGTTCTCATCCTGAAGCAAAGTTCTTAACCCAAGGTACTATTTCTGGGTTAGCAGAGTCTGTAACCTGAAGCGTATGTAACCTGAAGTGTATGTAACCCGAGGTACCACTATACATGGATTGTACCCAGAGCAACAGGATCAAACCATCATCTATCCAGCTTCTCAAGGGCAAGTCCTCTAACACTGCAGAGAACATGGAAGTCGTGTGTCTTGCTTCACACAAAGCCACAGAAGAGGTGAAATACTGGCACATGTGACTTTTGGGAGTTTCAGAGGACAGAAGACCCATAAGTCACACTCACAGCTTGCTTCCTTCCTTCCCCAACACATCTAAAGATGCCAGGAAAGAAGCAAGAAAAACTTACTTTGAAACTCATCAGAAAGTGAAACAGGACACTTTGCCTCTTCCACGATTTTGTGGCATGTCTGCAAGCCTCAGTGAGAGGGAGAGACTGGCAGTGGTAACCACAAATAGCAGCTGCCTAGTAAACCAAGCCATAATGTGTGGATCCTGGGAAGCAACCTGTCACTTTAGAGTTGAGAAGGAAGCTAAATTAGCTCCTCAGAATGGCAGGAAGTAACATGAGCCATGCTGGAGACTTGAACCACTGGCTGTACGAAAAGAATTCCCAAGTTCACATTACAAGGCTCAGTCAAACATATAAACAAGACAACAGAACAAGAAAGCAGGAACATACATAAGATAGAATACATTTTCACATATAATAAGCCATTACCCAAAACACATTTCTAACAGTGAAACCACATACAGCCATAGTTTATTGTTCACATTAAGAAAGTTAACACCCCCAAAAGGAGTCAGGGTCTCAGGGACAGAGAGTGGCTGGAAGTGGGGAGGCAGAAAAAGGTCCTCCTTTCCTTCCACTCGGCAGACAAGCCCTGGATTCTCCCAACACCCCCTTTCCTTCATATAAATATATCTTTTTGGCACCACAATTAATACATATTAAAGGCCTATACTGATGGCAGAGACACCCATCTTGAGTGTCCAGTTTGCAAACCTAAGACTTACTGTATTTTTCCAAGTACAATCATACCTTGGTTTTCCAACAGCTTAGTTCTCGAATATTTTGTCTCCCAAACCTGGAAGTGACTGTTCCAGTTGGCGAACTATTTTTGGAAGCCCAACGTCCGACGGGGATTCTGCAGCTTCTGATTGACTGCAGGAGCTTCCTGCAGCCAATCAGAAGCCACGCTTTGGATTTCGAATGTTTTGGAAGTCAAATGGACTTCTGGAATGGATTTTGTTTGACTTCCAAGGTACAACTGTACAAGATGCCCCCAAGATCTATTGGAAGTCTAGCGGGGAGAAAGTTCTCCTCCAACACCCTCAGCATCGGCTTTAGTCTGAAATCTTAGGCGCAGTACTGCGCCCAGAGCTCAGAAACTGCTCACATTTATGAAATTCCCTGTCACAAAACGCTCCTAGAACAATGGGAGTTTTGAACACTGTCCATGTGGTCACAATTAGACCCACGCCAGCAGTAAAACGTGTCTGGCACATGGCTATTTCCTATGTGCTAGGGCAGAGGGCCAGAGAGAGTCCATACTGTGGGTCTAATCACCTGACTTCTGCTCTCACATGGGGCTCATACATTACTTGAGATGTGCTGCACCACTGCAAGGTTTAACTCTGCAATGAAAGCCCTGCCATTCCAAACTGGACAAGAAAGGGGGGGGGGGTCAGTTTCCTATCCAATCACGGACTTCACTGAGAGGGATAATACTTGACCTGGCAAATATTATTACTATTTATTATTATTGTATGAGACAACTGAGAAGTAGCTGTGTTGAGCTCTCAGGGACTGAATCCAAATGCAATGACAGAATAGCAGAGGTTGAAAACATTAACAGGCTTGCTCATATTAAGCACTTAGAAAACTGGTTATATCAGGAGATATGAAATGAGAAATATAGTCAAAGAATCTCAAGGCTAGCTACAGCTGTGTCTTAAGAAAGAACTTACAAAGAACTTTATACTGCTTTCTTTGATGCTTTTCAGATTTTAAGTGCAATTTCAGATTTCTATTCTATGCGAGTGTCTTTGTGTGTGTGAGAGAAAGAGGGGGGGAGAGTCATTATTTGCAGGTGTTTTTTTAATAAAAAAAACCCTATTCACTTAAGTCTTGGAGTGTTTTGAAAGGAACACCTTTTAATATATAAATAAAACTTGTAGTTGCTTATTGCAGACTAAGAAAAGTAGGCAATAACTGAAAAAGCATCTATGCATAAACTCATGCTCCAGCCACTAATAACAACTTTGCAAAAGGTTTTAGATTAGTCAAGTTCTTTTGAGTTGCTTGTCTATGTGTTTCTAAATAAGTGAGAAATTGTAGTAATCTTTCTGAAGCTGCAGTTCTGTCTGTTATGTACTGAGGGGGCTGAACTGGGAATGTATATGATTTATCTTGATTTTACAGTCAAATTATACAGCTGTCTTAAAAACAATGCATTTTTAAGTGCCAGACATTCCTCTTATTAGAAAGAGAGTAACTCCAAAGAGGAGAAATAATGTTTTATTGGCCAGTTGGAAATGTCACCATGTACAGACTTTTAACACACTGTGAGAGCAAATTAACAATCTGCTTTCCTAAACAAAGAACCAGGAAGTTATTTGCACACTGTGGCAGTACATAGGAGGTATTTCTATTTATTTAAGACAGAGTCCACCTGTTAGCCAAAAAGGCTTTCAGTTCAGCTTTCAAAAATCAGTACTAAGACTCAGGCTCACAATTGAAAAAGACATAACACATGAGTAAAAAGGAATGGGTGGGAGGAAGGGAATATAAATTCAGACCCTTGAAAAGATACCATTTTTATAATATGGTTATGTCTATTCAGATTCTGGCTGTCTAGAGCAACAGCAACTACCGGTACTTGCTGATGCCAGTGGCAATTCTGGCAGTCTTGTCCTTGCTAAAGTCAACAATGATAGAACAGTATGAAATCTGTATTGCTTCACCCTACCATACATTTAAGAAGCTGGCAAATTCCCCCATATTAACCATGGTGTAAGCTGATTTGTCTGAATCACTCTCAGTGCCTCGTGGCTGCCTGATTTTGGAAGCTTTGCGACCATTATGAGGCTGCCTTCCTTGTCAGTGAAGTTGCCCCCTGAGCATGAAAAACCTTTAATTCCCCGCTGCTGGACTGTAACTCTTTGCTTCAGCCACGACTTGGGTGAAGCCACAGAATGCTGTCTACTTGTGAATGATGAGCCAGTTCTTTAAAAAGTAATTAGCAAAAATAAACCAAGACAGGGATCTAAGCCGCCACCTTAACACAGCAATATCACAGCTCCCAGCTCTGCTCACTTCTCAATATATTTATAGCCGGTTACCAAAACGGACCACATGCACATTTGATTTACACCATCATGGAAATAAACTCATGTATCCACAACCTATCTGTCATTTCTTTTGGGAAAGTTTTAAGCCTTACTCTGTAAGAAAGTGGCCCCAGTAGTGTTCTTGCATGTCTAAGATTCAAACTTTCTCTGCTAATTTTCCAGTTGTCCCCTCCATCTCTAGAAAACTTTGGACTGCACAAGTTGGGCCTGTTACTTTGATAGCACGTTCTTTACTTTAAAGCACTGCAAACTTTTGAAATAGAAAACTTCTGCTGCCAGAAAAGCGGCAGAAGTATTGGCAGCAGAAACACCTGGTAGACAAGGGGAAAGACTCCAAACATCTGCCTCCCACAATACTTTAGCACCACAGACTTTGAGAGGAGTAGGAAAACTGGTGAGACAGTGGTATCAGAAAAAACCCCAAGAAAAGGAGGTGTCTCTAAAAGCCACTGAAGCTCTGGGAAGATGGTATTGCTAGCAGAAGAATGCCCCTAGGTGGACCAGGGAAAGCAAAATATGCAGGGACTTTGCATTTTGATAGTTACATGCTCTCCAGGTACTAGGAAACAATTTGACTTCATCTGACTCTTACCCACACCACCACCACATAAAATCATTCAACAGCATTGTCAATATAATGACCACCAGACTGCTCTTTACATCTGCTTTCCACCCAGCCAGGAGCCTGTGTCACTAGAAGCATGAGAAATATGGGTAACGGTTAGCCTATATATATATATTTTTTAAAGGATCAGCAATTCTCCATTGAGTGTCAGTTGCAAATGATAGTTCATTATGTTGTTTTGCTTTTGCATACTGAAAATAATTTTTAAAAATTGGGATTAGCCATTCTTTCTTTATCACAGAATCCTAGACATAACCAGATACCTGCAAACACCTAGCAGAGATTAAATCAGCCTGCAATTTTCATCATCCGACTAAGTCTGAGAGCAAGGCTTCAATGTCTAATCCCCCACCCTGTACTCACATACTCCCAATCCCTGCAGAAGATTTCTGGAGAAATCAAACATTTGAGCACTATTTTGTGACACTTCGTTGTGCTTAAAAAATGTATTACACAACCATGGATTTTGGAGTTAAATGTTTAATTTATAGTATACTCTACGGTTGTATAAAGGGTCTTCTGAATTTTATCAATGCGTTTTACACTTAAAACACTGAATACTGTGCACATTTACTGATAAAGTAGAGGAAGCTTCTTTATACTGAATCATACTGTTAGTCCATCAAGTGCAAATGTCTACTCTGACTGGAAGTGGCTCTTGAGGGGTTCAGACAAAAGCCTTCCCCAGCCCTACCTGAATATATCAGGGATTGAACATGAGACCCTCTGCATGCATAAAGCATCTGATTTAGCATTGCCTTCTTTTAAACCAGCAGTCTTCAGCCTTTCAGATCCAGCCTTGCATTTAACTTAAACATGCATTTGCGGGCCAATTTCTTAATATTTTACCATATATCTGTTGTATACTGGTACTATTGTTCTGACTCAGATCAGTCTACAACCCACTAAGATCCTGCCAAAAATTTCCATCAACGCCAAGTCAAAAGACAATATCTGAGTGTAATAAGGATAGATCAGAACAGAAAAGAACACCAAAACCTCTTTCAAGAATTATAGAGCAAAACTGCAGGACCACCAAAAGAGAGCCTGGGATTAGAAAAATAATGCATAATAACAGACCTTCATGACACTCACCGACTACTAGCACAATGCACAGTCAAGGAAGTTTGCTATTGCTCATCAGAGCCTAAGGAAAGGCCAACTCTAAAGCAAACCTATGGTGCTACAATAGTAGCTGCTAACATCTGTGTAACATCAATATACAGTCATACCTTGGAAGTCAAATGGAATCTGTTCCGGAAATCCGTTCAACTTCCAAAATGTTCGGAAACCAAAGCATGGCTTCTGATTGGCTGCAGAAAGCTTTCTGCAGCCAACTGGAAGCTGCAGAAGCCCCATCGGCTTCTCAAAATAGTTCGCAAACCGAAACAGTCACTTCTAGGTTTGCGGCGTTTGGAAGCCAAAACTTTCGAGAACTAAGATGTTTGAAAACCAAGGTATGACTGTAGTTCAGTTAGGATCTTTTATGCTCTCAGAAGCAAATTGGCATCAACTGAAACTGAACTTATCTCCAGGTCACTCTTTTAGTACGCATGGCGAGACCAACTCCCCTGAATCCATAGAGCAGCAGGCTTCTAACACCATGTTCACCATCTGTGCTAATCCACAGCAAATGGCAAAATGCCTCCATGATGTCACCCTACAGGGCAGATGCACTGACCTCACTGCATCAACCAGAGTTGCAGGTGGCAGGAATTCAGTAAATGAATTATCTTGCAATTCCAGCAGACGTGGGTCAGAATCCAATTATACAACATACATAGGCTGTGAATAACCACCCTTTTGATGGATTTCAGTTGTAATCTGAAAATGCTGGCGACTTGGCAAAGCCTGTCAACCCAACACAGGGCATTTCATGTAAATGGTAAATTAACTCATGTAATTTCTGTAAATGTAATGTATTTATACATGATACATATATGTTTGGTCTTGTCTTCCACCAAGGAAACATCATATATTAAACAATCATTAGATTCTTTGTAACGAGTGATGGTTAGATATTCTGTATTCTCTGAACAAATCCTGTGTGGGACTTAACTTGGCAAGGGAAATATTAAGGTTTTAAAATTGATTTTAACTGTAGCTTGTAAACTCCCTTGAATACTCTGATGAAAAAGCAAATGATAAAGTAAATAAACAGTTACCCTGTTGTAGGTTTTTAACGCAGTTTTTAAAGTTATTTCCAAGCACATTTTTTTAATTGATAGCCAAACCTTCCTCAGTTCATTTTGAAATCAAGCTTCCATGGAGAACATTTTTTAAAAACTTCTGCTTTTCAAGAACTCTCTCCAAAACTATAATGTTAGTGATCTTTTTGGCTTTATGGCAACCATGGTGAAAGCAAAAGCACCTTCATGTTTCAATGTGTATTCAACCCTCCTTCAATATTTCATCTATTTTTCATCCAAGTTCTGGCCATTAAATACAGCTCCCCCAGCTGATTTTAAGGCTCTAAGTAAGGAGTCTTGCAGTTTTTCAAGCTACTGACGGATCTGGTCTAGTCAGCGTACCATCCACACCAGGGGTCGGCAAGGTTTACCTCACCTGGGCCGGTTCCCTTCAGTGGAGATCCTTCCACAGGCTGGATCGCGCACGCGTGAGTGCGCGTGGCCACGATTTCCGGTGTCTGCATCTACGCAGACACAATTTCCGGCATCACGGAAGCGAGTCCCTGCACCGCGCTGCACCGGTTTAGTGCAGCATATGGGGACTCGCCAAGTGGGCGGCTCGTGGGCCGGTTAAATGACCCCTGTGGTCTGCTTGTGGCCCATGGGCCTTAGGTTGCTTACCCCTGATCCACACCATGACTTGCTTGTTTGCCACAAAAGAGAGACTTTTAGGTAGGGGGAAATGGCAGACCACTTTTGAAGAGAGCCTATCCAAAGGGGATGTCCTTTTGGGACCCAGCAAGCCCTATGCTAGCATTATGCCTATTGTGGTAGTGGGTTTTGAGGATTTACTCTCCTTGCCTTATACCTCTGTGTTACTGGAGGGAGAGCAAATAAGCCCCTTTCCAGCTTACTGACATGGCTGTTTGGGGACCACGGCTCACTCTTTGTGGCCTCTGGGATTTTAGGCGATACTGAGATGTTCTATCAAAAACTATTCTTACAGTCTCTTCCAAAACAAAGATACAGCTCAAGCCTGGTATTAATAAGCCCAGTTACAATATCTATTACATGTGTAAAAGGTCAGTAGTCAACTGGTATCCAAAGCTAGAGGATTTGTACCAACACAGTGACACCACTATTTGAGTTACATTAGGGTCACATCTCACAATCATACTAGCATGCGCTCAGTTCTGAAAGAGCTGTGGTAGTTTTAAACGAACACCCAAACACATAAGCCCATACATTATATGGGTTGCCATCAGAAGTATATTAAAACTCAGTATTTCAAATGTTCCACCAAAAGCAGCCCACCCTTTGGCTTGCACACAGTAGGAATCTCTTCTTCTGTAAGCAAGAGTAGCTATTTTTCTCTATTACACATCCAATAAAACAGTCATTTCGAATCCAAGATGTTACTTCAGCAGCGCCAGGATGCCCTGATGCCTGGAACAGTTCTCCAGTTGTTTTAAGTTTAACCAAAGATGGAAAGAAGACAAAGTCCCTACCAGAGAAGAATGGCAAACTAAACTGCGGGAATATGCAGAACTAGCAAAAATGACTGGAAGAAATTAGAAACCAAGTAGATGAAAGTTTCAAAAAAGAATGGGAGAAATTAACACTTTATCTGAGAGACCATGTAAACAAATGAAAACATTAGCAGGTTTTTAACGCCACTTGTAATGTAACAAAAACTTTGGATAATGAAAATAGATTTAAAATATAGGTGATGAAATACATGCAGTTGAAAAGGACAACATAAAGACCCATGGAAGGAAAGGGGGGGGGGAGAGTCTGAAATTCAGGGGAATCTTGTATTTTGAGTATATTTGTGATATTGTAAAAAAGTTATATCTGTAAAATCAAGTAAAATGTTTCCAAAAAGGGGAAAAGGGGGGAAAGTTTAACCAGTCTTTTCAGAGGACTCACTTCTAGCCCTAACCTGCAACTTTTGGGGGGAGTTGTTTGTTTTGTTACATACATGCATCTTCCACACACCCCCCTTTAGGCTGACTAGATGTTGAGGCAAATCTACCTCTTTTAAAAGCAGGCACAACACAACACAACACAACACAAAATGTTGATTTACTACACAGACAAAATATTTATGTGCGTTAAGGGTTGCTGTTGCTTAAAAAAGAAAGCAAAAAACGTCCTGAATTTATTTCAACCCTGCGACCTCCTCCTTGGCACAGTTAAAATTGGGGTGGGAGACGAAACTGATGGACTATGCAGAAATTGTGAAACTGACGGGGAAAATCAGAAACCAGGAAGATCAAGTATTTTTAAAGGTAACTATAACAGATGGATAACGGTAAAAGATGCAAAAAAATTATGTAATCTTAAATATGGAACCCATGGAGGGAGGGAAGGAGGTCCAAAGGTTCAAAAGAACCTTTTATTTTAAGGTTTGAAATGGTTTAAGTTAAAATGTAAAAAATTGTGTAAAACCAGTAAAAAATATTTTTTAAAAAAAGTTGGGGTGGGTGCCAACAAAAGAAGAAGGGCAGACGAAACTGATGGACTATGCAGAGATGGGAAAACTGGCGGGGAAGATCAGAAACCAGGAAGATCAAGGATTTTTAAAGGACTGGAATAAATTCTTCATTTATTTAAAAGACCACTGTAAACAGTTAAAATCATTGGCAGGGATGTAATGACACTTGGAATGTGGAATTAGCTATGGAAAGAACCATTTGTTTTAATGCTTGGAATGGTTAAAGTTAAAATGTAAAAAAACTGTGTAAAAGCAATAAAAAATATTATTAAAAAAAATGAAGATAAAGTTGGGTGTGGAAAGGGAGAAACAACAACCTGCTGGCGCATTCGCGGAAATCAGGCCCGGCTCCCTCTCCCCGCAACCTTATGGCGCACCTTGAACCCAGAACCCGCCAAGTCCGAGCCGCTCCCTCCCTCCCTCGGAACAGAACCGCATCCTCTCCGGAGGAAACGGAGAATAATCCGGAGGGGCCGCTTCGCCTCTACTCCCCCCCCCCCGGAAAGAAGCGCGGGAAACAAAGACCCGCCGCCCCGGGGGGGAAACCTGAGGGGAAAAGCGACCCTGGAGGCGCCTGAGGAGACCGGGCTGGGCGGCTGGGCCGGGAGGCGGGAAGGAAAGGGGAGGGAAAGGGCTTGGCGGCCGCCGCCGGTCCCGCACTCACCCCTTCATAGCTGCTGCTGCCGGGGGCCGCGGGGTCCAGCAGCGGCGGTTCTGCCGCTGCTCCTGCTGCTCCTGCTCTCGCCGCCGCCGCCGCTCCACATGAGCCTCAGGCCGCTCCGAGCTCCCGCGCGCGCCTGCGCACAACGCCGCCCCCGCCTCAGCTCGACCTTTCACCCGACGGCGACGTGACGACGACAGCACGCTTCCCCGGCGCAACGCTTCGCACGCGCTCCGGCGATCGTCTCTTCGCCCCGCCCCCTCGTTTCGAAGTCACTCAGAGACCGACTTCCGGGTTCTTTCGTCCCGCCCCTCCGTTTCGAAGTCACTCAGAGACCGACTTCCGGGTTCTTTCGTCCCGCCCCTCCGTTTCGAAGTCACTCAGAGACCGACTTCCGGGTTCTTTCGTCCCGCCCCTCCGTTTAGAAGTCACTCAGAGACCGACTTCCGGATTCTTTTGTCCCGCCCCCCGTTTAGAAGTCACTCAGAGACCGACTTCCGGGTTTTTTTCTCCGCCCCGCGATTTGCCCACAGACGGGTAATAATCATAATCATAATCATAATTATTATTGTTGTTGTTGTTGTTTTGCAAGGCCGGGCTCAGGGCGGCTAACAAGCAAGTTGGAATGAATACAATTTAAAAACAAAATTAAAATACAACATTAAAATATTGAAACATTAAAATATTAAAAAGGGTAAAGCTTGTTATCAGCCTAGCCGCTTGGATGGTTTTCCGATTTCAATATAACTTCTTATATTTATCTACAGTATAGCTGTCAACTTACAGATTTGAAAACAAGGGACCAGCAGCCTCGAAAATAAGGGATCAGCAGCCAAAATAAGGGATTTTGCTTAACTTATACATAAATCCGCCACTGATGGAGCCAGGCTGCTTTGGCTGCCCCTGACTGTGTTTTGCAGGGGTTTGAACCAGATGATCCTAAGGGTCTACAACTCCCACCAAAGAAGAGTGGCAGACAAAACTGATGAACGACGTCAAGATGGCAAAGCTTACAGGCAGAATTAGAAACCAGGAAGAGGACCTCTTTAATCAAGAATGGGGAAAGTTTATAATTTATTGGAAAAGCTATTGTAAAGATTGGTAGGATTGACAGAAAACTTGTAGTAAAAATTTCAACTATGGATGGACAAATGATTTATAAAAATAGAGTTAGGAAAGGGATGCAGAGGGGGAAATCACTACATTAAGATGCTGCACTGGCTGGAGGGGATGCTAAGCAGCACGTTGCGGCTGCCGTTGTCCTGGAGCGAGGAGATCCATCGGCCCTTCCCCGCCCGAGAGAGAGGGAGGAAGGGAGACTCTTGCCCACGCTGCCAGTGAGCCCGGCATGAGGCGGTTGTGGCGCCACGGCGGCCACTGAAGTGCCGCCCCTCTGCGTCCCGAGCCGGGCGAGCATGAAACCCGGGAAATTTAAGGGACATCATCAGTCCGGGACAGCAGCGGGAAACGGCGCTGGGATAAGGGAGTTTCCTGCCAAATAAGGGACGGTTGACAGCTATGATCTACAGTGGCACCTTTGGTAAATCTTTCGTAATATGGGGCCCTGTACGAAACCAAATAGGTCTTCTCAATTATGAATCTTCTTAATTTTATGCCCCCTTGACTCTGCGTCCTGTGCAGAGGAGCCACTCACATCGCCCTAAATCTGGCGCTACTGCAATGCAGGAATCTCACCCAGATCATCCATGACAAGTGGTCGCCCAACCTGCTTAAAAACCTCCAAGGAAGAAGAGTCGGAACAGCTCTTACCGTCAGAAAATTCTTCCAGATGTTTAGTCGGAATCTGCTTTCCACTAACTTAAAACCATTGGTTTGGGTCCTCCCCTCCAGAGCAGGAGAAAACAAGCTTGCTTCATCTTCCATGTGGCCATTAGCTATTTGAAGGTGGCAATATGCAAACAGCTGAATCTTTCAGCTTCATGTGCCTCTCCCACCCTGTGTCATGGACACAGACCTCCTTCTGAGCTGACGCCGCAGGAGTTTTAGGGGCCTCTTCTCCCCTACCTCCAACCTTACCTTGTTTCGGGTCCATAGCTATGAGGTCTTACTGCTTCAGAGCCCCTGACAGAATGGGGCCCAGGAACGCCTCAGGGAGCCCATGGCACCACTCCCATAACAAAAACTACCATAGAGATCTGAAAATTTTCAGAAGTAGGCAGTCTATGGCTTGGCTTTTGAAAGAGGGGGTCCGCAGTACTTAGCTAATCGGAAACCACTGCTCCAGCACAAGGATTAACTCTAGTGTAACAGAATTTCATCCTTCTCCTCCCATGCTGTCCCCAAATCTGCTCTGGGGGTTGGGGGAAAGTCCAAAACAGATTTAGGAGAATGTAGGGTTCAAATCCCCATGACGGGGTGAGCTCCCCTTGCTCAGTCCCAGCTCCTGCCCACCTAGCAGTTCGAAAGCACGTCAAAGTTCAAGTAGATAAATAGGTACCACTCCGGCGGGAAGGTAAACGGCGCTTCCATGCGCTGCTCTGGTTCGCCAGAAGCGGCTTAGTCATGCTGGCCACATGACCTGGAAGCTGTACGCCGGCTCCCTCGGCCAATAAAGTGAGATGAGCGCCGCAACCCCAGAGTCGGTCCCGTCTGGACCTAATGGTCAGGGGTCCTTTTACCTTTACCTTAGGGGGAGAACAGGGAGAGAAAATTATGGTATGTTGTGCAGTGAGAAACCCTTGCACTGATGAAACATTCACCTGATTTATTTCTTAAAATATTTATAGACCACACTTTCATAAAATTGCAACAAATTACAATAAAATAAATAAAAACATCAGTACTGGTTGGTGAAAAGAAATGCTCAATGAAAACGTCTGTCTGAATAACTGTTTTTAGGGGATGTCTAAAAGAAGGCAGAATTTGAGAACATAAAAACAGCCTGCTGGATCAGGCTAGTGGCCCACCTGGAGCAGCATCCTCTTCTCACAGTGGCCAATGACATGCCTGCGGGAAACCTGCAAGCAAGATTTGAGCACAAGAGCGCTCTCCCCTCCTGTGGTTCCCATAAACTGGTATTCAGAAGCCTGGCTGCCTCGCAACAGTGGATGCAGAGAGGGGAGAAAAACTCTTCTCTCTCCACGCCATGCATAATTTTATAAACATCTATCATGTCGCCCCCTTGCATTTTCATTAAACCAAAATGTCCCAAATGCTGCAACCTTTCTTCATAGGGGAATCGCTCTATGCCCTTTTCTTAACTTTTCCAACCCTACAATAGCCTTTTTGAAGTGAGGCGACCAGAATTGTTGAGTCTTCTAAATGCGGTTGTACCATATATTTGCATAAATGGTATTATGATATCGGCAGTCCCCTTCAAATATTGGAGAGTTTCCATTTAATTTTAAAGGAAACACTCTGTTCTGCCAAAGAGAAGTTTAAGAATGGCTTCTCAACAGGAATCAAAAAATGGCTTATCTAGGTGATGAGATTTGTCTCTCAGATTCTATTTTTGTGCTCTTACCACCATGCACGTTGCAGAATTGGCACGTGACCATGCTCGCGTTTCTCATGTAAATGGCAGAAGACATGATAAATCAGTAAGTAATAGGTGTCTGAACCTGAGTGAAAGCCTGATAGCTTTTTCTCAAGCAGAAATGAAGGCTATCAGTATGAAAATTCAGGATTTTACATGACGTCACCTGCCATTTTCTGCCTGTGTCTAATCCCCAATCTGCAAAAAAGATAGAATTGCACTGTTATATTACAGAGCTGTTATGAAACACTCTCATCCTCCGTTTGACTCCAGGTTGCACTATGAACAGTGGATTACACCACAGGGCTGTCACAGCCCCTTCCCTATTTGCAACATGGAATCATTTATTGCATTTATGTTTTTGAAAAACAACTTTTGATTTTACAGTATATTACTACCAGAAGACTTTCCCCAGTATGACCGCTGAACGCAATGCCTTCCAAAGAGCTTTAAAATCAAGGAGAGAATCTTGCGAGAAGCTGATATACACTCTTTAGAGACTTTCTTTGCTCCTCCTTCAAGGCAGAAAAGTTACATTAATATAAAAGTGGGGAAGAACTCTGTGCTGATCATTTTACATATGACAAGTGAAAACTCACAATTACTAAACTGCCCCAGCACAGACAAACAGCAGTGTCAACATCAGCTAAAGTTTTTTTCCTCCCTGTTAAATTACACTTTGCATTCAATGCATATTTAATTAAACTTGTGTATGCATATGCTAGTTTAATTAAATATGCATTGAATGCAAAGTGTAATTTAACAGGGAGGACACGACTAAACGGCTAAACAACAACATACATATGCAGTACTTTTTTTCTTAAAAAAAATGTTTAGGAATACTCTCATTTTGACTAAAAAACCCCCACCATTTTATAGTTCAAATCGTGAAAAATAAATACATTAAATGGACAAAAGTACAAAGATTCACAAAATGTTTAGGGGTATGCGTACCCATGTGTCCCCCCAGGAAAAAAACCACCGTATATATGTGCGCGCGCTTGTGTAAAAGCGCATTAAAGTGTTTGCTTTGGTTTTGCATTTACTTTGGGAGGGCCATTTCCCAATGTTTAAAAACCTATTAAAAAAAATGTTCACACGAAATGAGCTTTTTTTTAAAAAAAGAAAGATACCAAGCCCTGCTCTCTGCTTCTTGGGCGTTGCACTCCAGCGTTCAAACAGCTATGATGAAATCCTGGATTTCCCGCCCCGGTTCCCACGACGGGCAGCTTTCCCTCTGCGGGGAAGTTTTATTCAACGGCGCGCGACGCGAACCCGGAAGCTCGTTCTCGGGCCGGACGATGCGCACCTCTACCCTTTTCGTACCTCAGCGGGGCTAAACCCCTGTCTGTGAGGCAAAGCCGTCAAGGCTGCGTCGCAACGTCAGCCATTGGCCCCGCCCCTTCTTTCCTTTACGACATTTTACCACCCCAAGCGCGCAGGCGCCGCGAGAAGGTCCTCCCGAGCCCGAGAGGCTCGACGGGAAGTGCTCGCGCGTCACTTCCGGAGGCGCCCGCAGGATTAGTCCGCCGGGGAAAGGGCGCGTCGGCATTCGGTGGTCGGCCGCTGCCTGAGTCACTGCGCGCGGAGCTGCTCCAGTCATTCGCCCGAGGTGAGGTGAGTCGCCGCCGCCTCGCCACCCTTCTCTCCCTTGAGGAGCGGGCAGCCCGAGCCGCTTCCCAGGAGCTGTCACGGTTCGCTCCCGCCCCGGCAGCCCTGCTCCCCCCTCGCCCTTGCGCTGAAGGGCGCCTTTCTCTGCGGGGGCCCCTCAGAGAGGGCGAAATAGCGCCTCACACCCCCCCCCATATAGGAGCAGAAGCTCGGCATCTCCCTCCCCACCACTGTCGTGGTTGAGTCGTGTCCTGGCTATTTCCTATGTGCTCGGGCAGAGGGCCAGAGAGAGTGGATACTGTGGGTCTCATCATCTGACTTCTGCTCTCACATGGGGCTCATGCATTGCTTGAGATGTGCTGCACCACTGCAAGGGCTGCAATGAAAGCACCGCCATTCCAAACTGGGCAAGAAGGGGGGGGTCAGTTTCCTATCCAATCACGGACTTCACTGAGAGGGATAATGCTTCACCTGGCAAATATTATTGTTGTTGTTTAGTCGTTTAGTCATGTCCGCCTCTTCGTGACCCTCTGGACCAGAGTGTGCCAGGCACTTCTGTCTTCCACTGCCTCCCTCATGCTGGTAGCTTCGAGAACAGTAATAATAATAAACCTTTATTATCACTACACCACCTGTGTGCAGTGAAATTAAATGACCCCCCCATACACTTAATTGCAAATTCAGGGGAGTAACAACGGATGGTCGTTAATATTTATTAAATTGATATACCGCCCTTCATCAAGAGATCGCAGGTACGTTTAAAACATTTGTTGTTTAGTGGTGTCCGCCTCTTTGTGACCCCCTGGACCAGAGCACGCCAGGCCCTCCTGTCTTCCACTGCCTCCCACAGTTTGGTCAAACTCACGCTGGTAGCTTTTGAGAACACTGTCCAACCATCTTGTCCTCTGTCGTCCCCTTCTCCTTGCGCCCTCCATCTTTCCCAACATCAGGGCCTTTTCCAGGGAGTCTTCTCTTCTCATGAGGTGGCCAAAGTACTGGAGCCTCAGCTTCAGGATCTGTCCTTCCAGTGAGCACTCAGGGCTGATTTCCTTAAGAAAGGAGAGGTTTGATCTTCTTACAGTCCATGGGACTCTCAAGAGTCTCCTCCAGCACCAGAATTCAAAAGCATCCATTCTTTGGCGATCAGCCTTCTTGATGGTCCAGCTCTCACTTCCATACATCACTACTGGGAAAACCAGAGCTTGAACTATATGGACCTTTGTTGGCAAGGTGATGTCTCTGCTTTTTAAGATGCTGTCTAGGTTTGCCCTCTCCTCTAGGCCAGTTCAAAAAGAGGGGGGGCTTATATGGCGGTGTTTTGGGTGCTTGTTCCTGACGAGATGGCACCAAACAGCAGGGGAAGTCTCGTAATCAAACGGATACCAAAAAAAAACACACCACCCTACAGCCAGTCACTAACCCATCATCATATTTATTTGTACCCCACCTTTCTCCCTGACGGGACTCAAGGCGGCTTACAGAAAAAAACGATGAAAATTCATATCACTACAGAGGTGGGGCATTTCCCTCCTCTGAAATCCTTGCCTCAGTTATGTCTTGGCTGTTTTAGTTAGAAATCTGTGGTTGAGGAGCTTTAGGGTGTTGTTGTTTTTGTTCTGTAAATAAGACTCGCTTTCTGTATTCATTCACTTGTGTAAAATTGCACTTTCACGTAACAATGCGGTTGACATTTCAATGTGTTGCATGAGGCCTGATAATGAATGCATGTGTGGTGGCCGTTGACATTGTAGAAGGAGAGGTGCATAAATGAGAAGTGCAGCAAGCTACTACCCACGTGCAGCCATGAAAACAAAATACTGTAAAAGCGAAAGAGCAGAGGTAGATTCCCCAATGCACCTGTGTCTCTGGGTGTGTATTGTAAAGGACTTGCACTCTGACCTTCCATAGGTTCCCAGGTGGTTTATAACAATTACAGGAAACACATTTTTTAAATAAAAAAACCGGTGTTGCATTGTTTTAAAGTGGAGCAGAGAAATAATCGGCAGAGATAAAACTGATTAGGTTAAAAGCCTGGGGAAATAAAGGGTCTCATTGATGTTGAGAGATGAAGGTGAGTCTCCCTGGGGAAAGTATTCTACAGCTGGGGTGTCTCACACTAAAAAGGACCTTTCTCCAGTAGTCGCTCACCACCCGCCTGATGCTGGTGGCACCTGAAGCACTTCCGTTTAATATTTTAACGTATAGGCAGATGTACTATTTTACGAAAGGAAGGAAGAAACTGCATAGGGTGCAGTGAACTGCTATGTTCTTTCCACCAGCACTTAGGGGGCATGGATAGAGTAATTGAAGGGAGGGGAGGGGAGAACACTGATGCACGCTACTTTGTGAATGTACAAACTTGTATGTACAGACAGCATATATAGAAACGCCTGCTTAAGGCAACATTATTGTGCAAATATATGTACAATTGCAAATTGTTACAGTGGTACCTTGGTTCTCGAACTTAATCTGTTCCGGGAGTCAGTTCGGCTCCCGAAATCTTTCGAAAACCAAGGCACGGCTTCTCATTGGCTGCAGGAGCTTTCTGCACTCAATCGGAAGCCGTGTCGGACGTTTGGCTTCCGAAAAACATTCACAAACCAGAACACTTCCGGGTTTGCGGCGTTCGGGAGCCAATTTGTTCGACAACTAAGCCATTCAGGAATTAAGGTACCACTGTATGTGCAAAAGTGCTCTGAAAAAAATGAGCCCTAGGCACTTCAAATCCTATGTGTTTACATAACCATAGTTGTTCCCCTGCACTTTAAAACAGGCCCAGGTTTTGAGCAGTGGTCTCTTGTCAGCTCAGGTAGGAATGAAACCACCTTAGCTTAGAAAACCTTTAAGGATGTTTACAAGCTGCTGAGAGGTCCAGGAGACTGAGTGGGATGCTTCTCCATAAATAAGCTTAGGTTGTGGACTCTACTTATTTGGCCACGTGACCCAGAAAGCTGTCTGTGGACAAATGTCAGCTCCCTTGTCTTGAAAAGCGAGATGAGCACGGCACCCCATAGCCGCCTTTGGCTGGAATTAACTTCACAGGGGTCCTTTACATTTTAGCTACTTGGAGGTTTTGAAGCAGAGGTTGGATGGCCATCTGTCATGGATGCTTTAGCTGAGATTCCTGCATTGCAGGGGGTTTGACTAGATGACCCCTGGATCCCTTCCAACTCTAAGATTCTATTATTCTAATTCAAAAAGCTGGGGAGAAATTTGGCTGGAAGAAAGCTTTCTAATTATCTCTTTTTAAAACCATGCCAAGAAGCTGGCTTTTTCTTATGTTTCTGATTTGGGGCCCATTGTGAACAATGAGGAGGTGTCTGCTCCTAGGTAAAATCATTTTTGTCAAGGTGTTGGGAATAGCCGCAGTCAAATGCTGGATAATATGACAGTTGCTCATAGTAATATTTTCCTTGGCATGACTGGTGGTTGAGTTGCTTTTGCTCAAGGTCTGGTGGTTAAGAAGGAGTTCACATTTCCAATTAGATTAATTTAGTGATCTGTGTTTTTTCTTATAGCTATGCCTCCCTTTGCAGCTTGGGGCTTGGCTTGCTTTCTTGAGTCATATTTCTTTGTAAGTTCCTCTTCCAGTTCACCCGCTGTAAGGGTTTGCTTCTTCCTTCTTTTATTCTGATGTTGTTGATAATTATAATATTAATTTTGTAAACAATATGAAATTGCTCAATAAAAAACAAACCTGGAAAGTTCATGATGTGCTAATATCCTAATTATATCTCACCTTTATAATGATGGGCTTTTCTACCTCAAACATCTTTTAGCTGTAATCTACCGTATTTTTCGCTCTATAGGACGCACTTTTTCCCCTTCAAAAATGAAGGGGAAATGTGTGTGCGTCCTATGGAGCGAAGACGCCATAGCCCCGCGACCCTCTCCCGGCTGGAGAGGTGACGCGCGGCTATGGCAGGAGCCTCTCCGCTGTGCCTTTCCGCTGCTCCCTGACCTGCTCTTTGGGGCTGGTGGTGGGCTTCCCCCCGCCAGCCCCAAAGAGCAGGTTGAAAGGAGCCTGGAGAGCGAGAGGGGTCAGTGCACACCGACCCCTCTCGCTCTCCAGGCTTCCAAGGTAGCCGCCTGAACGCACCTTAAACGGCACCTTGTTTTAGAGCGGGAAAACAAGAGGGGGAAAGTTCTCCCCCTCTCTGCGCAGCGCCTCCTGCCGCTTCACTGAAGGGGCACTGGGACACAAAACTGGATCCTTTTCACCTCACTCTCTACACATAGAAACATATAAAAGTAATAGGCCAACAAAGCAGGGGTGGTACTTCTTTTAAAATTGCACCTTCCACTAATACACTAGCTGGGTATTTTTACATGCTGTTTATTTTAATTTTAATAATATGGCATAAGATCATTTGAAGTGTCTTGTTGGATCAGACCAAAGTCCAGCATCTTATTTGGGGGTTTTTTTTGGGGGGGGAGACAGTTGGAACTTAGAATTTCTCCCTCTTTTTCTGTCTTCTGGCTTTTGTTCAGGTTCAGTTCAGATACCATGCAGTGCCGGATTTACCGTATTTTTCGCTCTATAAGACGCACCAGACCACAAGACGCACCTAATTTTTGGAGGAGGAAAACAAGAAAAAAAATATTCTGAATCTCAGAAGCCAGAACAGCAAGAGGGATCGCTGCGCAGTGAAAGCAGCAATCCCTTCTGCTGTTCTGGCTTCTGGGATAGCTGCGCAGCCTGCATTCGCTCCATAAGATGCACACACATTTCCCCTTACTTTTTAGGAGGGAAAAAGTGAGCCTTATAGAGCAAAAAATATGGTACGTATAAGCTAAACAAGCTGTAGCTTAGGGCCCTACTCTCTTGGGGACCCCCCAAAAATTTAAAGGAAAAAAAACCTTGTTGTACATTTCCAAAATATAAAATAAAAAACTAATAAAATAAAACCTACTTACAGCAACAGTGTTTTATGTTGTGTTGGCTCCTATGATGTAAGTAATGGGCCCCACCTGCTCCCTAAAATATCACTGGTTTGCTCCTTTCTATATATAGGGTGCCTACATTCTGCATGGATGGGTTGCAAATGTGCAAATGGCTTTAGATACGTATTGGTCCATAAATTACCATATAGCATACATTCAACACAAAAAACAGTGACAATTTGTTGTTGCCAAAAGACAGCTGGACATATAAAGAGCCCCATTACCTTCAGTAGCTTAGGGCCTCATCAAACCTAAATCCAGCCCTGGTGCCGTGCCAAACTACAGCTAATAATGTTTAGCTGTGATAGGAAGTCTGAATTGACTATAGTCTGCAATTACCTGTTAATCCAAAATAGAAGTATGATTGGAGGTGGGCTTGCAAGCCATCATTTGCACTCACTATATCTTGGTGTGGTGTCTGAATGAACTTAAGCTGAGAGAACAGAAAATGAAAGATGAGAAGCTTCTCTAAACCCTGGTTTGCTTATTGTGCATTTGGAAATTGAAAATGGGGGCTCTTAAATTGATAGATGTAATCTTACTTTATCTTAATATCTGAACAGAGCCTTACGTAATTATAAAACATATTCTGCCTTTTTTGGTTCAATTTCTCTTTATGCAGGTGATCCAAAATTCATTTTAAAAAGGCTACACAGTAATATGCAGTACATAATATGTTCATATATCCCCCCTCCCCCATTTAAACAGCATTGGCTTCCTATGGTGTAATTGATTGTTCCTGTATATGCAAATAGCTGCTTGAGTGCTAGTTCCTGTTGTCTTAATAAAGTTCAATAGAGAAAAAATTGAGAAGTGGAGGAAGTAACGTCAATATTTTCCATCAACTTAATGTTTAATTTGCCTTGGGAAAATTGATTCTCCTTTAGTTGCAAAGCAGTTTTTTGTATGGTAGAATGGAACAACTCAAGCCAAGCAATAGACTTAAGAGAATAATTCATGTATGTTTCACTGTTAGTCATTCACTGTTCATCATTCTTTCTGATCTAACTAGGGTGTCTGGGTTGGGGTGAAGTTTGAACCAAATTAGAAAGATTAGGTTTGGTCTCTTCTGAAACAATTGTCTCTAGTGTTGTGTCGCAGGAGTTTCGGTCCTCTGTCAATGCATATAGCCCCAATTATTCAAATTCAGTAGTCCAAGATACTGAATGCTGAAGGAGAAGTCTGTTGACTGAAAATTATATCTTTTTCTATGTGGGAGTTTGAACTAGCTTTTTAATTATAAAGGAGAGGGCAAAATGCATAATAGGCAATTGTATCACATTAGTTCACACCACCAAATTTGTACTTGAAGACAATAAAGGAAGAATGTGGTTCAAAATGTGTATATGATGGCTTGGATTTAACAATTTTTTGGCAGTGCCTGGACTGGCTGTAGTACAGTGGAGAATTAGAGCTATCCTCCCCTAAAGACTTGGAAGAATCAGGCTTGCAGATTGGGTCATTCAGTTGTCATAATGTTCCTTAGCTTTAGGCAGTGTTGATATTTTTGGATTAGGATTATTAGCAAAGTACAGTGGTACCTTGGTTCTCAAATGCCTTGGTACTCAAACTACTTGGAACCCCAACACTGCAAACCTGGAATAAGTGTTCCGGTTTGCGAACTTTTTCCGGAAGCTGAACGTGCGCCATTTTGAGTGCCATGCTTCCAGTTTGAGTGCCACACTTCTGTTTCACTGCGGTCTGTCTCCTTTTGCTATTTATTTTGCATTTTTGTTTTTGCAGCTCTTTTGTTTTTGTGACTGTGTGGAACTCACTTCAGCTACTGCTTGATTGATTGTGTGACTGCAGCACATCGTTTATTGCTTTCATTTTATGGATCAGTGGTCTCATTAGATAGTAAAATTCATGTTAAATGGCTGTTTGAGGGGTTGTTGTTAATTGTCTGGAACGGATTAACCCGCTTTGCATTACTTTCTATGGGAAAGCGCCTCTTGGTTTTGGAACGCTTTGATTTTGGAACGGACTTCCGGAAAGGATTAAGTTTGAGAACCAAGGTACCACTATAGTAATGGGAGGGGGCAGCTTCTTTTGTTACAGAGCAACCCCTCATGAGCAGTAAGGTTTTGTAATAAAATATGGATGTCCCCATTGGTATAAGCTGAAAGCACATGAAGTCCACCTTGCTGCAGCTAAGCAGGTCTGGATCAGTGCCTGGTTGTGTCACCACATTTGTTCATATATGATTGCAATAATGTGTGGAATTAGTGTTTTACAGCTCAAAAACATATTCTGAGCGAATGTGTGGGCAATGTTTCTGCCATATCTGGACTTAAAGGGACATGGGTGGCGCTGTGATCTAAACCACTGAGTTTCTTGGGCTTGCCGATCGGAAGTTGGGCGGTTGGAATCCCTGCGACGGGGTGAGCTCCAGAATCAGTTTAGTCCTTCTGGCCACATGACCTAGAAAGCTGTCTGCGGACAAACGCCAGCTCCCTTGGCCTGAAAGCAAGATGAGCGCCACAACCCTATAGTTGCCTTTGACCTGACTTAGACTGGACCCCTTTATCTAGGGGTCCTTAACCTGGACTACAATTTCATAGGGTCACCAGATCCCCATTCTTGCCCCACAAGGTAATTGCTGCAGTTAAAGTCAGTGGACTGGACAGTGACTCATTAGTTCTGCAGAAGTGAAGAATGCAATAAAACAGGCATTTTATTTTCTGACTTGATCGTTTTATAAATGGGCTCTTGAGACAGCAAAAACAGTGTCTCTCTTCTTCTTTGGGTCTTGCCCAAGCACGCAAACAGCTTGTGACTGAGAGTTGATTTTGCTTTCAGCCTCAGCACGATGGAGTGTGTTGAAATTCAAAAAGAGCACATTTTAAATTTAGTTGGGCCTTGAGCAGCGTGACTTGCTATTGCAGCAGTCCTTTTTGGGAGGAATGGATGACTCATCCAGTCAGGTGACTATCTTTTTTTTGCTGTGTCTTCCTGAAATGCCTTTTTTCCTATCTCTTCGGAGCCAGGAAGGCAAATCATTTGCTTTTTCCTGATTTCTTAGAGCTTGTGTTTGGATTCCTTCATAAGACTGGTGGATTTTTTTTTGTGTGGCTTCCCCTAAGGTATGGACCTTTTAGTATTTTACCATGCATTGCTTTCTGGATGATTGCTTCGGACGAGAATCTTGATTGCGACACACATGTGATTTTAATTTCAAACTGATTCAGATTTTGTTGGGAAAAATGGAGTCTTTTTTTAAAAAAACCTTAGGTCAAAACATATTGGGTGCCCCAGTGTGAGCTGAACAAGGTAACTCTCTTGTTGCACTGTAAAATGGTTATTTAGTTTGGCTAAAATTGATCTCAGGCAATCAACATGCCATGTTATGGGTGAAAATGTGTTTTAAATTTAATGTAGCAGAATTCTTTAAAGAATGTAGTAGAAATGTGTGTACAGTATTCAAGTCTGCAACTCCCATTTCCTGATCTCCAAAACAGTGTGTAACCTTTGTAAGTGGATAGCTTCATAAAATAGTGGGAATGTTAAAAACAGCTTTAAGGGAAAGAGGAATCCGGTGAAAGGGTCAAAACCCAAATATGTTACCATAATTTACTCCCTTCTTGTTTATGGCCAGAGTGTTTTCTCACAGTGTGCTAATTATTCATAGTTTTTCTCCGCACCCTCTGTTCTGGAGTAACTCCTGAATTATGCTTTGGAGGGGGGAAAGTTTGGCTATAAATGCAATAAATAAGCTCTTCTCCTTACCTGATTAAGAAATCTGGGGGGACTGGCCAGATGGAGATTTCATTCGCCAACCAGGCATCCAGAGATCTCCCAGGTGGTGGGAACTGGACCCATGCCAGTAGCAAAACGCACCTGGCGCCTGGCTAATTTCTAACACTTGTAGGTAGCCAGGGTTGTATATGGCTATCTTGGTGATGCTTAAGATCAGCACAAAGGAAGGCCTGCAGCAAATGTTTGAACCATAAGCACACTATTTTGTAGCTATGTCTGAATAGTGTTGAGAGCTTCCTCAACACCAAATACATTCCAGGGCTGCTGAGCTAGCAGTTGTGGTTGCATATTGTGCACCCACAGATTTTCACAGATATCCTTCTTGAATGAATCTTTATTTGCGTCAGCCATCGGCCATAGCAACAAAACAGCAGTGCAATAAAAGGTCAATTACATGAAACACACTTTAGGCTCCTGAATCAGCGGTCAAATAGTGGACCTTATTCTGATTGCCCCAGCTAAAAACCTTGCAACCTTTGCTGTCATCTGCTCCTCTTGATCTGCCAGGAGAAGGACGCTGTGGCAGTGGTTGGGCAACCCAGAATGGACAATAAGAGAGGGGTGATAATCTCATTCCTCAAGTCTTTATAAAGAGTGCAAGCCAGAAGGTCATTCCACAGAGATCAGCAACTAAAATAGGGAACTGAAAAGAATATTTACTGAGTTCTTTAGCGCTCTGATTATTACATGGCAAGATTTCGTATACACTTCAAGATGCAGAAGAACCTTGGTATACAGTCCTGCATAGTTGCTCAGCTACTTAACTGACAGTTGGGGGGGGGGGACACAAGATTCAGACTCAAAAAGTGAGGGAATGCCTGTAATGTGTGTGGGGGAATTCCACTTTGTGCTAATTGTGAGTGGCCTTGCTGTGATTTGATGTAGGCTAACCAAACAAAGGGACGCGGGTGGCGCTGTGGGTTAAACCACAGAGCCTAGGACTTGCCAGTCAGAAGGTCGGCAGTTCGAATCCCCGTGACGGGGTGAGCTCCCGTTGCTCGGTCCCTGCTCCTGCCAACCTAGCAGTTCGAAAGCACACAGTGCAAGTAGATCAATAGGTACCACTCCAGCGGGAAGGTAAACGGCGTTTCCGTGCGCTGCTCTGGTTCACCAGAAAGCGGCTTAGTCATGCTGGCCACATGACCCGGAAGCTGTACGCCAGCTCCCTCGGCCAGTAAAACCAGATGAATGCTGCAACCCCAGAGTCGGTCGCGACTGGACCTAATGGTCAGGGGTCCCTTTACCTTTACCTTTAACTGAACATGCAAACTAGACTTTTCTCTCCCCTTCTTCTCAGCTAGCTGGACAGTAAAGATGGATTTCTCCAAACTTCCCAAAGTACGTGATGAAGACAGAGAGGATGCCTTTGGCTATGTCTTTGGAGTTTCAGGACCTGGTAAGTGCCCTTGGTATGTCTACTTTAAATGAGCAGCAGTGAAATGGTGCTTAGAAAGAAGTATCTTCCATAGTCGTGTCCAGGAGAGGCATGGTCTGAAAGCTCTGGACAGGATGATAGGAGTTATTTGGGAACCTGCATCCTTTCATCTGACAGAGTCCCTTAAACGCCCCCTTTCTCAAGGAAGAGCACATCTGCATGGACTGAACATCAGGGCTTTTGTGACATTAGGAACCACCAGCCATCTCCTTTCTTGCTGACCCTACTGCATGTCTTAACTGCAAATCTCAAGGTCATGGGTTCGAGCCCTGGGCTAGGCAAAAGTTTCCTGCATTGCAGGGGTTGGACTAGACTTTGTGGTTTTTCCAGCTTTCCATCTTTATGATTCTGTGACCTCATGACAGTATTCTCCTCTGCGCACACACAAAAATTGCTCTACAAAGTAGCATGCCAGGGAGAAGGCTAGACTAGAACCCTGCTTCGTGGCATCTACCTTTCTTTAAGGAAGGAACATACATGCATCATTCTGTTTGTAGACTGCCTTTCCACAGTTCAAGCCATGCTCGAGGCAGCTTGCAAAACGGAAACGAATTGCATAGTTACGAACATAGCAAAAGTAGTTATAAAGCAAAGCGTCAAAGAGTACAGAACCAAATTGAACATTTCCATATAAATCATAAGATCTAAAATAAAGATGCAAAAATTAATATCAATAGCAGCAACAACTGGCATCCTCACAAAGCTCCCTAAATGACACCTCAGCCCACTCGTCTGTTCAGCAGCCCCAGATTTTGTAGCTTTAGTGAGTCGGCCCCCACCCTCCCAGGCCAGCTGGAAAAGGCTAGCAAGACAGGGAGCAGGTCTTCCAGGAGTCGCAGCCGAAAAGCCTAAACACGTGGTTACCTTACCACTTCAGTAATAGGAGTCTTTCATGCATCACAGCAATATTTTGGGCTCTACTTCCAGTTGTAAACAAAACACTGTATTTGCAGAAATTTAAAAATGCAAAGCTACTGAATTGTCCCTTCCTACCAACGGGAAGGGACGTGGGTGGTGCTGTGGGTTAAACCACAGAGCCTAGGACTTGCCGATCAGAAGGTCGGCGGTTCGAATCCCCGCGACGGGGTGAGCTCCCGTTGCTCGGTCCCTGCTCCTGCCAACCTAGCAGTTCGAAAGCATATCAAAGTGCAAGTAGGTCAATAGGTACTGCTCCGGCAGGAAGGTAAACGGCGTTTCCGTGCGCTTCTCTGGTTCACCAGAAGCGGCTTAGTCATGCTGGCCACACGACCCGGAAGCTGTACGCTGGCTCCCTCGGCCAATAAAGCAAGATGAGCGCCGCAACCCCAGAGTCGGCCATGACTGGACCTAATGGTCAGGGGTCCCTTTACCTTTACCTACCAACGGGAAATCACAGTTGGATCTGCATTCATCTCTTTCTTTTGTTTCCCCTAGTTGTCACTGCCTGCAACATGGCAGGTGCCGCTATGTATGAACTGGTACGAGTTGGCCACTGTGAGCTTGTCGGAGAAATTATCCGGCTGGAGGGAGACATGGCAACTATTCAGGTATATGAGGAAACCTGTATCCTTTTGGCTGGTGTGTGATTTCTGCCATTCAAGGGTATGTTGAGCAGCGTAAAAACGAAAACGGGGTGATGACTTCAGTGGGAGCCAAGATCCTTGGCTTCAAGTAGTGGGTGCACTTGGCGTACCAGCCAAAGCTTCCGGGCCAAAGTTATTGCCTAGACACTAGGACACCATTCTTGGTCTGGAATTACTTCCAGATTGCTAGTTTGATCCCGAAGGGCAAGTGGAACCCCATCCATAATGGGAATAATCCTATCTGTCTGGGGAACTGAGCAATTCATTTTGTATTTTGTATTTTTTTAAAAACAAAACCCTACCTCTTAATTATTATTATTATTATTATTAAAGTTTCTTGGGTGTACAATTGTATCTTGTATTTGAAATTGTAAAAAAAATAAATCACAAGTAAGCAAAACAAGGATGATGTGTAGAAGGTTAGAGAGACTCATATTACACTAGATTTATCAGAATTATACAGTTCATTGTAGTATGGCCTGCGACTCATTTCCTTTTTTTCCAGGAGGAGGCAAAAATAGCACCAACCTTTATTCTGCCCACCTTCAGAACCACATTGGCTTGCTAAACTCTCCGGGATGGTTTATGTTAAGTCAAAGACCTCTGGAGTTGAAACAACTTTGTTGCTATTCTCTGGAATGTCTGAAAATACAGTAATACCTTGGATCTCAAATGCCTTGGTTGCTGAACAAATCGGCTCCCAAACAATCGAAATCCGGAACTGAGTGTTCCAGTTTTCTAACAATTTCTGGAAGCCGAACATCCGTCATGGCTTCCGATTGGCTGCAGGACGCTCCTGCAGCCAATTGGAAGCCGCGCCTTGGTTTTCGAACAGTTCCGGACTCTCGGAACGCATTCTGTTCGAGAACCAAAGTACGACTGTACTTGTTGGCTCACCAAAATGTTTTTCTCCCTCCCAGAATGGGAGCCGTTGGCTGGAACAAGTTCCATTGCAAGATGTTTTTTGTGTCCCCCCATGAAGGGTAATTGGTTAGTGAACCAGTTAATACATTTCTAATTAGCTTGACACCACCTTTAGGATGCCTTCCTTAACCAATTGTTTAGCTGGTGTTTCTGTAGGAGACCCCGTACTTCGTACTGGCAAGCCCCTCTCGGTGGAGCTTGGCCCCGGAATCATGGGAGCCATTTTTGACGGTATTCAGAGGCCTCTGTCAGACATCAGCACTCAGACCCAGAGCATTTACATCCCCAGAGGAGTAAATGTGACAGCTCTGAGCAGAGATCTCAAATGGGACTTCTCGCCTGTCAAAAACCTGCGGGTAAGTTACGGAGAACATGTTTGCTGTTGATTGTATTTTGGCAGCGTTGTTGACCAAACTGAATTGACCCGCTTTGCAGTTGGGTATCCATAATGTTTTTAGTGCACCTCGCACTGTGAACATATAATACCTCTGTATATTAATACTAGCAGCTTCTTTGACTTGCAGGTTGGCAGTCATATCACAGGCGGTGATATTTATGGCCTAGTGACTGAAAACTCTCTTATCAAACACAAGATCATGTTGCCCCCGCGAAACAGGGGGACGGTGACGTACATTGCTCCACCTGGGAATTACGACGCATCTGTAAGTTTTTCAGCAAATAATAAGTTTTTCTCTGCTGCCTAATGTTTTGTCCTTGCATGATGCCGGGTTTTGTGTGAACTGTATCAGACATGGTAGTACGCGGGAGGAAACACTTCCCATTTCATAAATTTTTGCGCTTGCTCAGACGATGGAGTCTTTGCAGGTCTGTGTTTTAAGTAGGGGGAAGCAGTGGAGCTAGAGAAAAACTCTGCTCTCATTCTCCCTTTTCTAGCACCTGTGTTCTTGCCTTGGCTGGGCTGGCTTTCCCAGCAGCCAGGACACGTGTGTGTGTGTGTGAGAGAGAGAGAGAGAAAGAGAGAGAGAGAGAGAGAAAAGGGCCTGATTAGGGAAGAAGGCGGTGAAGGTACGATAGACTCAATTTCACTGATACACTTAGTGTGCAAGAAAAACTCCAGTGCTCTGTTATGAGGCCATGCACTCTGTTATGCCCTCTGTATAGACAACTGTGGCCCCTCCAGTAGACCTCCATATTCTACAAGCACTGCCTCAGCACTTGTGCAGAGTATGCAATCTCTTGGGCAGGGAAGAGACAGGTTACCCGGCTTGGTAAAATTCCCTCTGTCTCTTCACCCCCAGGGAGTCCTACTGACTTCCACAAATTCCTGGCAGATAAGGGTTGCTTGAGGGATGCCAAAATTGCCGTCAGCTTGCAGAGGTGGCTTGACGCAGGACCTACCACCACCAGCAGACCTCTTTGCTTCCTGACTATAAATGACACCAGGATCCCACTTTTTAATATCAACGTGACTTTGCTGAAGTCAGCAGCATGCCGTCGTCCTAGTTGACTTTTTGCCAGCAGAGCTTCCAGTACATCTTGTTTGCTCTTGGTTTCGCCGCCCTCTTGCAGGATGTTGTGTTGGAGCTGGAGTTTGAGGGAGTGAAGGAGAAATTCACTATGGTCCAGGTCTGGCCTGTACGGCAAGTCCGCCCTGTCACAGAAAAGTTGCCCGCCAATCATCCTCTCTTAACTGGTCAGAGAGTCCTTGATGCACTCTTTCCGTAAGTAGCAACTATGATCCCAAAGTCTGTTTTTTGCTGCTGCTTTTAGTAGAAAAGTTCTCCAGTTATGTATAGTAGAACTATCGCTGACAGCATAACTGAAATAAGTGTGTGTGCCATGCTTACAGCACTAAAACCACGATAAAGATTTTAATATTAAAAAGCTGAAGATCTTTCTGTTAATGCTGAACCACGTCTTTGGTTGTGTTTTCCGTTTAAATCTTTGCATATAGAGAGAAAGGGGTTTGGGCAAGAACGAGCAAACATATACAGCCCATGCAAACTGCCAGTTTACATAGGAGCAAGAGCAAAGGTTTCTGTTTGCTGCTTTTGCTATAACAGAACCATATTTCTTTGAAACATTTTTATTTCACTCTTTAGCTGAAGGAGCTCCAAAGTGGCTTTCAAAGTTCATTAAGAGTGCTCACAGGGTACAACTACTCTTCTGACATTTTAAATACTGCTGGAGTAGGGCAGGATACCTTAAATGGTCAGACTCAGCATGTCCTCTTTAAATCTTGGGACTTGTGCCAATTTAAAAATATATGTTGCACTTCCCTTCTATCTGTTTGTCCATTGTGTCTTTCCCTCCAAGTTTAAATACTAATTTAGTCTATATTCTTCATTTAGGTGTGTTCAAGGAGGCACAACGGCTATTCCTGGGGCTTTTGGCTGCGGAAAGACTGTGATTTCTCAGTCTCTATCCAAATATTCCAACAGCGATGTTATCATATATGTAGGCTGTGGGGAACGAGGAAATGAAATGTCTGAAGTCCTCAGAGACTTCCCCGAGGTCAGTATTGGGTATGGAAATGCTGTTCAAGCAAAACGTAGGCGGTGGTCTTTGTGCCTCAATCCAGTTCTAATCTAAGCAAAGTGTGTGGATTTGGGGAGGGGATTAATGTCCAAGTCGATTTAGCTTGACTTAAATTGAGTAAACAAAGCTATAAGGGGCAATCTTAATATTCCATTTTAGTTTTCTCCATAAACCGTGGAGCACATGTGAATAGGAATATAGGGCAACCCTGAGTTTGGAAGTGAAATGTTGAAGCAGTCCAGTTAGGACTCTTGCTGTAATTGAATTTCAATGTCTACTGATGACCCTTCATACTTACATTTAGAAGAATTCATGCCATTAGCCTTATTTAGATATTCTGCTCTCATGTAAAACATAACACGTGAGCAGGGAGAGCGGTGGCTGAGTATGTCAACCTCCACCCTTCTGTTCTCATCCCCACTCACGGATAGCCAAGGTCTGGAGCAGGGTGCTGAATCTACCTGTGGAGGTTTTGTGTGCATGCTTCTTCTGTCTGTCTGTCTGTCTGCCTCTCTCTCTCTATATGTATATATATTCATGTAGGTTTCACACATAAGGCGAATGCCCAGATAGGGTCATTATGTTCAGCAGATTCAGTCCTGTTTCTGGGGTTTATGCCATCTTCTTTTATTGATTCTAGGTTTCTTATCTCTATTACACAATTTATTGATCATACCTTGCCAAACCTTTATCTCTGTCTCCGATATCTTATTTGGTGGCATTCTAAATAAAAAAAATATTCTAGACAAAATTTTTAATTACTCTTCCAAACCATGAAAGCTTAATTTTCTTACATTCCTCCAGCTTTTCCTTAATTTCCTTTTTTAATTTGTTGAAATTCTCTTGTTCAAAATTTCTTGTTATTTTTATTCCCAATTACTTTATTACATTTCTTAATGTTATATCTATTTTTATTTCCTTCAAAAAAAATCATTTTTCATCTTCATCATAGTTAAATATCATCGCCTCTGATTTGGACCAATTAATTTGCAACCCTCTTATTTCTCCGAATTTTGTCAAATGTGCCTCTTATTACCTGCATATTTTCCAGCGGATTTTCAGTCCTGTTTCTCTTGCCTTTGCAGCTCACAATGGAGGTTGATGGTAAGGTCGAAAGCATTATGAAGAGAACTGCTCTGGTAGCAAACACCTCCAACATGCCTGTCGCTGCCAGGGAAGCTTCCATCTACACTGGTAAGAGCTGAGAATACAAAAGGCTATTTGGTCCTTAAGTTTATCATTAAGGATTTTACTCTGTGCTTAAGACTTGCTGTTTGCTGTAGAAGAGATTGGTGCCTGTAGTAAATTACCTCCCACTTGTTCTCCGTTGTGTTTTCTGCAGTCCCTCTGCCTGGGCAGAGCCTCAGTTGGGAAGGTTTTGGAGCTAGACAAGAGTTTTGGCAGGTACCTTGTCTCCTTCCCACCCCAGTGCCAGTGGCCTCTGTTCCAAATACTGGCGCTCTAGGCCCCTTCATTAGGATCAGAGATCCCCATTGTGCAGTTCAAGAGATGAGGACTGACATGGATATTTATTTTACCTGCACCTGGTCTCCGAGGCGGTACCTACCTCAGTTACTTGCCCTCCCCTCACCATTCCAGAAGACATGTGCCTACGGTTACAGCCTTTGAGCCTCTGTTGTCTCCTCTAGGAAGGTGACCCTAACAAAGTCATATGGCATCAGCACCTCCAGTTCTGACGCATCTGTGGCGGTTGCTACTTTTCAACTAGACGTGATTCCCTGGCTTGTCCTTCTCTTCAGTGAAGCTAAATACAGTGCTACCTTGGTTCTTGGACTTAATCTGTTCCAGGAGGCCGTCCAACTCCCAAAACGGTTTGAAAACCAAGGCGCGACTTCCGATTGGCTGCAGGAGCTTCCTGCACTCAATCGGAAGCCACGTCGGATGTTCGGCTTCTGAAAAACGTTCGCAAACCAAAACACTGCAGTGTTTGGTAGCCGACTTGTTGGGGAGCCAAGCTGTTCAACAGCCAAGGTACCCCTGTATTGGAGGACTAAGGATATAAAAAGAACTTCACACAGTGAAGTGGGACGCAGTTTTTTCAACAATGGTGCCAGAATTGGGACGGACTCTCTTTGGGCTGGCTTCCTATATAAATGGTTGGAACTGTTCCTACAGCTCTATCCCTCTGAATTGACTGGTTGCCAGTATTTCTGTGGACTGAGCACACCGCAGCCCGGTAACCCCATGGTGCTGCAAGACAGGCCCGGTTTGTTGTGTAGCTCAGACTCCTATTTTGCATCTCAGCTGTACCACTTTGGGAAGCCTTGCTTTCTCAGAAATACCTTAAGGGACTGTTTTTAGTAGTAGTTGTTCTTAATCTGTAAACTATAAACATCAGTAACCCCCAAAAATTGTAATAATCCAAAGCAATGCAAAACAACAGTGTTAATGTTGTGTATGCAAAGTGCTTAGAAAAAGGGCTATTGTTAACTGAGAACTACATGTGCTAAAAGAAAGTGGTCTGGTCCCTTTGCCCTACAGTATGATGGGTATTTCTATTTATTTCCAATTTTGTAATAAATAAAATTTAAAAATGGTGCTGGGTTTCTGTCTAGGAACATGTAAATACTGCTATGAAATACAGGCCTACCTTGGTTTTCAAACAGCTTAGTTCTTGAACATTTTGGCTCCTGAACGCCGCAAACCCGGAAGTGACTGTTCCGGTTTGCGAACTATTTTTGGAAGCCGAACGTCCGACGGGGCTTCCACGGCTTCCGATCAGAAGCTGCGCTTTTCCCCCAAAATGTTTTGGAAGTGGAACAGACTTTCGGAACGGATTCTGTTTGACTTCCAAGGTACGACTGTAGTGGTAAGGGCAAGAACACGAGACAAAATGGTCTGCAAATAATATTGTAGGGCACAGGTGAGAATTGAAACGAGTGGTGAAACTTTCCTCCTGACGCTTACCTTTCCGTTACTTTTTTACAAATCTGAGAGTCTATAAATGCTTCTAGGAGGTTTCTAAGTTAAGCCATCATCAGCCGGGATCTCTACTGTTTGTGACATCTGACCTGCCATTCTTGTTCTTTTGCAGGGATCACCTTGTCTGAGTATTTCCGCGACATGGGCTACAATGTCAGTATGATGGCTGACTCTACATCCCGATGGGCGGAGGCCCTTCGAGAAATTTCGGGACGCCTCGCTGAGATGCCTGCTGGTAAGCCTTCCGCTTCTGACGACCGCCTTGGGCGGCTTCTCCAGCAAAGGCCCTGAACCTTCCTGTTTTTGGGGAAGCTAACTTTCCCTTTGTCTGTGTTGATGTCTGCAGACAGCGGTTATCCAGCCTATCTCGGCGCCCGCTTGGCTTCTTTCTATGAACGGGCCGGCAGAGTCAAGTGTCTGGGGAACCCAGAGAGGGAAGGGAGCGTCAGCATTGTGGGAGCGTAAGTATAGCAAAGTCCCTTGGCCCTTCATTTCTTCAGCTGGGATTTGCAATGTCTGTCTTGTGCAAAGCAGAGCATTCCCTGTCTCCCGAGGAGCGACATAAGGAAGGCGAAATAGATAAGTCAGGGTCACAGTGGCACAAGGGTTTAGTCATGGGAAGCAATGCAGGGAAGGCCAAGGCCAGGACTAGTCAGTGGAGGATGACAAAGCCAGAGGGAGACATTCAGTCTTCAGTTTGTTGATTCTCTGCCATGCTAGGGAAGGTGGAATCCAGAGCCAGCTGCTTTAGTGGAACCAACTATGCAGTACCCATGTCAGAATTTGAACCTGTAGGATTACCATGCCATTTCTAGGGAAAACTAATGAGTGGGGGTAACCACCCTATCTCTTTGTGCTTTCTTCTTCAAAACTGGATAAAGGTCTTCAATTAGAATCTCATTAGTCTGACCCAGTCAGCTTTGATGTGTCTGTGTTACGGCTGCTTTCACTGAGCCTACTTGATATTCACTGCAGCTTCAAAAAAGGAGTAAGTCACGGATGGGGTACCTGTGGCCCTCAACAAGTCGTTGGACTACAAGTCCCATCATTCCCAGCCAGCACTGGTCAATGGTCAGGGATGGTGGGAGTTGTTGTCACATCAGCTGGAGGGCCGCTGGTTCCCTAAACCTGATTTAAATATTAGGAGCGCCTCTCCTTATATCAACCTCCCCCTCTATTAAGATCTGCTGAAGGGGCCCTTGTTGTCCTACCTATTCCTGGAGCACGTTGTGTGGGGATGGGGCCTTTTCTGTGGTGGCATCCCAACTATGGAACAACCTCTGTCACAAGATTTTGGCTATTTTCTGACACCACACAAACATTTTATCCTTCCAGACTTTTACTGGGCATTGCTCTATGAAGAGCTGAGGAGTGTCACTGGGGGTGGATCTGATCCTGAGTCATAGACTGCTGTGGATCTGTTGTTTTTACTGAATTACATTTATTGTGTTTGATAATCTTCTTGCCAGGTGACCCGTTCTGTGTTCCTGCTTCTTTAAAATATTTCGCTTTGATTTCATGGTTATGCTTTGAGTTCTTACGCGCCACATAGATACATTTTCATTGTGGACTAGAAAGGAGTAAAATGATAAATGTGGCTTGAGTGTGTGTGTGTAACTGCACTGAATTAGTCTTAACCCTTGGTATGGTACCAAGGAGGGACGCGGGTGACGCTGTGGGTAAAACCTCAGTGCCTAGGGCTTGCCAATCGCATGGTCGGCAGTTCGAATCCCCGTGACGGGGTGAGCTCCCGTCTTTCGGTCCCAGCTCCTGCCCACCTAGCAGTTCGAAAGCGCCCCTAAGTGCAAGTAGATAAATAGGTACCGCTTTCTAGCGGGAAGGTAAACGGCGTTTCCGTGTGCTGCGCTGGTGCTGGCTCGCCAGAGCAGCTTCGTCATGCTGGCCACGTGACCTGGAAGTGTCTCCGGACAGCGCTGGCCCCCGGCCTCTTAAGTGAGATGGGCACACAACCCTAGAGTCGGACACGACTGGCCCATACGGGCACGGGTACCTTTACCTTTATGGTACCAAGGACTGGGCTTATTTCTACAACATCTAGTTCATGCTAGACTATGATTTACAACACTGCATCAAGGATGAAATCTGGGTTTGGCATTTCCCCCATCCCCTTGTCTCAGATTGTGTTTCAGAAGAAGTTGTGTGTGGGGGGGTGCAAATATGAGCACCGAGTTGCCAAGTCACACAACTGCTGTTCCCCATGAAATGTCTATTGCTGCTGTTCATATCTCTCTCTCTCTCTCCTTCTTTCCTACCTATGCTCAGTGTCTCTCCTCCGGGCGGTGACTTCTCTGACCCTGTAACTTCTGCTACTCTGGGCATCGTTCAGGTAGGTTGAGGTTCTGGTTCCTTAACTGAACGCAAGCTTCACTTTCCAGTGGTCTTCTGCTGCCTGTGCCCAGTGACTTGATTCATCTAGCCCAGCGTTGTCCACTATCAACAGTGGCTCATTGGGATCTTGGCCAAATGCCTTTCTCTAGTGGTTGGGCAGTACTTATTTCTGGGAATTACCTTCTCTTGGGCTGATGGGCAAGATTCTCTAGCAAGTACCCCCTTAAAGGGGAGCGGGGTCTTCCCTCCACCCCAGGACTGACTCTGCCTAGCTAGAGGGCAACAGAAGTTTGGCGCAGCTCATATCCAGGGCACAGGACACCTGAAATGAGAGGGGAGCTGATATTTGAGGGATTCTCTTTAACATCTGAATCATGACAGGGCCGTGCATTACCTGGGCTGATGGGCTAGATGAGAGCCAATCATCTGAAATTGAATCCTTATGGTGAATGGTTCCTGGGTTCAAGAGTTGGGAAACTTCCTATTTTGGATGGGGTTACACTCCCTCTTGACTGGGACGCGGGTGGCGCTGTGGGTTAAACCACAGAGCCTAGGGCTTGCCGATCAGAAGGTCGGCGGTTCGAATACCCGTGATGGGGTGAGCTCCCGTTGCTCGGTCCCTGCTCCTGCCAACCTAGCAGTTCGAAAGCATGTCAAAGTGCAAGTAGAGACCAGGGAGAAGAGTCGGTGGAAGAAGATTGGAAGAAATTTAAAGACTACTTACAGAAATATTGTAAAATTAATGAATGTTAGAATGATGACGGATTGAAGTTAAGCGGTTTCTAGCGGTAATGGTATAAAAAAATATGGAAAAAATGGTTTTTAATATGTAAAAATTTAATGTTATAATATATCAAGATTAAAGATCAGGATTAAAAAAGAGGGAAAGGAATTGCTGGACTAACATATTGAATTGGAACACAAAAGAGTGAGGTATGAGGAGGTCCGGGAAACAAGTAAATGTAAAAGAAGTGATGAAAAGATGGAATTGTTTTTAACTGTTTTTTCTTTTTTGTATTTTGTATTTTGTATTTTTCCTTTTTATTGTTAATTTTCTTATTAATGTGATCTTTTTCTTTTGAAATTTTAATAAATATTATTTAAAAAAACAAAAAACAAAGTGCAAGTAGATAAATAGGTACCGCTCCGGCAGGAAGGTAAACGGCATTTCCGTGCACTGCTCTGGTTCGCCAGAAGCGGCTTAGTCCTGCTGGCCACATGACCTGGAAGCTGTACGCCGGCTCCCTCGGCCAATAAAGCGAGATGAGCGCCACAACCCCAGAGTCGGTCACGACTGGACCTAATGGTCAGGGGTCCCCTTTACCTTTACACTCCCTCTTATACATAGTTTCAGGATACCCCCAAGGTCAGTTGTAGTCATTAGATGACCTCAGTAGCAAGGAGTCAGCTTCACTTGGTATGTCAACTGTTGGACAGTGTTAGATACTGAATGAAAAATGGCCTTTTTCGCTTGGGGGTTTCTCAACAGTTGATCTCTGGATCATGCGATTATACTGTTTATTGTTTTTAGTTTGTATCAGAAGTCAATATTTCTTCTTTTAAAAATGATTTTTTTATCAGTGGTGATTTATTATTATCATCTGTATGTGTGTATTGCTCTGCTGTGTGTTTTAGAGACCTTGAACCCTGGTTATTTTAGAGTCTCTGACTTTCTTATTGCAAACTGCTTGGAGAGAGACCCGCATTGTGTAGCAAGCCGTCTGTAAGTTGACTAAATGAATAAAAGCCTGGTTGCTTGGCAGGTGTTCTGGGGCTTGGATAAGAAGCTTGCTCAGCGGAAGCACTTCCCATCTGTGAACTGGCTGATCAGCTACAGCAAGTACACACGCGCTCTCGACGAGTACTATGACAAGCACTTCCCAGAATTTGTCCCCTTGAGGACTAAAGCAAAGGAGATCTTGCAGGAAGAGGAGGATCTTGCAGAGATTGTTCAGCTGGTGGGGAAGGTGAGGAGCGGCAGGGGGAGCAATGTTTTGGGGAGACATTTTTCCTCCATATTCTCAACTGCTATAGGCATGTCTGTGGGATAATGCAATACAGTCCAGCGACGGTGCCTGCCTCTTGGCATCAATGGGGTGGGTGAAGGACTTGGGCGAGGATAGCGGCAGGACTAAAACGGTTTAGTTAGCATCTAAAACAGTGGTAGGTGCTGGTACGCAAATTATAAGTGATACGCTCCCTCTCAAAGGGGGTTTTTCTCCCTTATTGGCAAAACAAGGCTTAGAGTGAGCAGTTTAGGACTGGCAGTGAGTAAATGAGAAGCGTCTGGAGATGTGGAGGTTATCAGAAGCCGGAACAGAAGTTGTAGTTGGGAAATACGGCGGACAGATGATTCAGTAACAGGTGGACTAGAGAATTTTTTAAATAAAATAAAAATAAATGAACCTGTAACATCAGGAGCAGCAGGGAGCCAGGAAGCTAACGAGTCTCTTTCACTTCTAGGCTTCCTTGGCAGAAACAGACAAAATCACATTGGAAGTTGCCAAGCTCATTAAAGATGACTTCCTGCAACAGAATGGCTACACTCCATATGACAGGTTTGCAGCTATCTATTTTCACAAGAGTTTCTGATGTTTCAGGAGCTGAAATGGGCACTGAAGAAGTAGACAGTGTTACGCTAGACTTTTCCCAGTTAACTTTCATGGGGGAAGAAGGGCATTAGAATTTTGGTCTCTTCCTGCAGCAGTTTGCTGTTCCGTGACTCATCTGCTGCCGAGAATAAAATGTCATCTCCAGAAAGCAGGAGCAAGAACAGCTTTCAGATTTGCTTAGCTGCCCTGGAACTCCTTAACCTGTAGAAATCTGTTGAGCTTATGGTAGCGTTATAAGAAAAACTGCTCCCTTTCCCTTATGGGATATTAAGGAGCCCATAAAGAGTCCTTAAGTGGGTTCCCTATTGGTAGGAAAAAACAGGGGCCACCCAGAGAATATTGAGAAGCGGCTAGTAAGCCTGATCTTTATTCAAGGAACTGTTGCAACAGGGTCCCCACTCACCACACGCAGGAGGGAGGAGAACCCTGAACAATGGTGCGCAAGCCCTTATATAGACTTTGGAAACTGCCCACCCTGTAGCCCCAGACCACCCCTTGAAACATCATAGATACATCACAGGAGGTGGTCTACAGCAGAAATCCTGTCTGCCAGGATACCTGATAATGGTCACTGATTGCCCTACCTGGGCAGCCTGGCCATTCTTTTATGATGGTTAATATTTTAGTTCCTGAGTCCAGGTCACAGGCTCACCCTATTCATTCACAAATGCGTCCTTAAGACAGGACTTGCAAGCCTCCTCTGCTTTTTTTCTGTTAGGTTCTGCCCATTTTATAAGACAGTGGGAATACTGTCCAACATGATCGCCTTTTATGATATGGCACGTCGAGCGGTTGAGACCACTGCCCAGAGTGACAATAAGATCACTTGGGCCATCATCAGAGAGAACATGAATGAGATTCTTTACCGACTCACATCAATGAAATTCAAGGTATGTCCTCTGTGTGAGGGAGAGTTACAGCAAAACAAACCGAGATTCCTTCTCCTGGCTGTGTTAGGCGGTCTCCATTTTTGGGTAGCGTGAGGACATTGTCAGAATGCCCCCTATTTAACTTGGCAAGCATTTGAGGCCCAACTTGGCAGTGTTGTGTTTTTATATTTAAGAGAAAACAAAAAGATGAAGTAGGCAATTTTCATATTCCATTCTTCACTCCCACTGCCAGCAGGTTATTGTGTCATAGAATTCTACTCAATAAATAAGCCCGAGCAGATTCCAATGTATAGTTAGCAGAGTAAAAACTTAAAACACATTGCGGGATTCCACCAAAATAGACCAGAGGTAATTAATATTTAATCCAGCAGAGCTTTACTACTACTGAAGGCAAATAAGCATAATGGCCATTGTGTTATTATGTGGTCGTTTGACATGAGCTATAAAGTAAGATTAAAATTGTCTCCAGTTGAGCCTTACCCCTTTTAAAAATAACAAAACTTAAGGAAAGGGCTACATTAGTGGTCACAGTGATCCACAGTCTCTTCTCCTCTGACCACAAGCCATATTTCATTTATCAATTTGAGATCAGTGATTAGACTAGTCTTGCCATGGCCGCAGTTGGCTGTTTGTGGGATGAACATGGCTGTTGTCCACGCTGACAGTTTTGCTTTTTTCTAGTCCATCCAGACAGTGGTTTAAAACTGTGTTACCTCAATCCAATGGGAAGAGGAGAGTAGAATGCCTTCCACGTACAGTGGTACCTTGGTTCTCAAGCTTAATCCGTTGCGGAAGTCCATTCCAAAACCAAAGCGTTCCAAAACCAAGGTGCACTTTCCCATAGAAAGTAAAGCAATCCGTTCCAGACGATTAACAACAACCTCTCAAACAGCCATTTAACATGAATTTTACTATCTAACAAGACCATTGATCCATAAAATGAAAGCAATAAACAGTGTAGTGCAGACACACAATCAATCAGTCAGTCAATCAATCAATCAATCAATCAGTAGTTGAACTGGGTTCCACAAAGTCACAAAAAAAGAGCCACAAAAATGCAAAATAGCAAAAACAGACAGACCTCAGCGTAACACCAAAATTGGAAGTGTGGCACTCAAATTGGAAGCGTAACACTCAAAATGGAGCACGTTCGGGTTCTGAAAAAAGTTCTCAAACCGGAAAGCTTACTTCCAGGTTTACAGTGTTTGGGTTCCAAGTTGTTTGAGTACCAAGGCACCACTGTATTGATAAATGTATGGGCACTGGGGGTAGAAATTGCCTAGGAAGGAAATACGCCTGGCAACCTCCTTCCTGACAATGAACCACAAAGCCCCAGCAATTTCTGAGTTTTGGTCTGTCCAATTTCAGGACCCAGTGAAAGATGGAGAGGCAAAGATCAAAGCAGACTACGCCCAGCTCTTTGAAGACATGCAGAATGCGTTCCGCAGTTTGGAAGACTAGAGTCACGACTCTTCTGGAGCCCCAACTGAGTGTGTTCCTCATCTCCGTCTTCTTGCTTTTCCATGGATAGAAGATGCACACTTCACTGAAGATTTCCTTTTATCTTTGAAAACATTCCCATTTAGTTTGATAGCTGTGTGTTTGTGTGTGTAAATCTGATCTTAAGAGCGTAAAACAGGTTTTGTAAAGGTCCCTTTGAGGTTGGAAGTCTCCTTTACCAGATTTGACCTCTTAGCCGGCAGTTTCCCTTTCTTTGGAAGAGAACCAGGGGAGCTCAAGAGTTTTTCTGGGAGAGAGGAAAAAACACATATGCTGCTGTATATGTATAGATGGCATTGGGGCACTTGAACCCTTTTTCCTGGATTACTGCTATTCAGTTGAGGCAATTCGGATGCATCAGAGATAGGATTTATTTATTGTACTTTAATGTTGCTGCTGCTGCTGCTGCTACCCTGGAAAAAATCAAATCTATAGTTAAAATTACTTAGCTACAATATTATTTCACTATTTTCCTGTTTCATCCAGTGTGTTGAAAATTTGCAGGCTTGTGGGGCAAAGAGGAGTGCCCAGCAGCAATCTTTCTGCTCATCTTATCCGAGGAAGCACAATTTTCCTTAAATACGAATTACATTTATTTCTCACAACAATGGTTGCTTCCAGCTAGTAATGGGTTCCACTCCCTTCCTAGATCATCTCCACCCCCAAATACAGAAATTAAGTCACATCTCTGTGTGCTGCAGCTTAATATATATTTTTGCCTATATGCAGTGGGACAAGGCAGAAACTTAATCATTGTTTTTCATTGGGACAAGGCAGCAGTCCTCTCCTCTGCCTCCTTGCCTGCGTTATTCTTTGCATTTACCGCAACAATTAAAGCAAAATTGGAAGCCACACATTTTTTACTTTGGATTTTTGTTTTTATTTCAATCACTGGAATAGCGGAACAGTAGTTCTTAACATTATAGGGTAGGGATGGGGGTAGAGAGGGGAAGGTCTGGGGGAAAACTGGAAAAATTGGGGGGGTCATTTCCCCCCCCAAAGCCGTTTTTCCGGGGGGGGGACGACAGCCTGGGGGGAATGGGGGGTGGACCTAGTCCCCCCTCAATTTTTCTGATTTTTCCCAGGCTTTCCCGTCTCTAGATGGGGAGCCTTTGGCTGTCTGAATTTTACTGGACTCCAGCTCCCATCAGTCTCAGGTCGCATGGCTGGTGGTTAGGAATGATAGGAGTTGTAGGCAGACAGCAGCTGGAGCCTATAGGTTTCCCCATCCCTGTGGTGGAGTAAGAGAATATAGAATTTGTCATTTTACAGAGCTGATGATTTTGGGACGTTTGCTCTGCTAGTCTTGTCTTCCAGGACACGTGAGCAGTACTGCTCAGTTACCTTCTCGTGTGCCGGGTAGTATTTTCTCACCTTGGAGAAGTTAGCTACTTTTCCTGGTGCTCATGTTCTGATTACAGTTTCAGTAATGAAGAAGAACCTTAGTTTTCACTGAATAAACATCTAGTGCCATCGTGTCACTGCTGCAAAAACACGGGTTCCTAGCAAAAAAGACCTAATGCCCCTTCTGGGTCAGTTTCCTATTCTAAACAGCAGAAAACCCACTTAACAGAGTTGCAGAATGGTTATAATTGCAGGTGACACTTGTACAAGTTAAATGCTCCATCTCTCTCTCCACCCAAAAATAAAATAACATTGCCAGGAAGTTTCTAGGTTCCTAACCCCCAGGCGTATCTTGTCTTTAAGTTAAATGCCAGTTAAAACCTAACTGCATATTGACATTATTGTTGGTTCTGCATTGAGTGTCAGTTTCCTCAAGCGTGGCGTATGAATGATTTGTGCAAAACCCACTTTTGCTGAAAACCTAATTGACTGTACTGTGCTGTAGCATTTCATGCCTATGAAACCGATAACTACTTTAAGAGGATGCTGTAAAATTTTACGAACTATATCTGAAATAAAGATGTCTATTTATTGTGCTGTACCTGCCTAAAACTGGCCAGTTCAGTTTCATATATATTTTGTCTCCTTGTTTTGTGTCTGTTTTTCAGTGTTAGAAAAATAACTTGCTGTGCTGCTGCAAATTCTTGGTTCACCAAAAAATGGAGGAATGAGACAAGGTGGGGAGGGGAGGGGAAGCCTGTATAGTAAGTACATTATCTGTTGCTAGAAACTGTGTACATTGTTGAAGTAACTGAGAATAAAAAATGGATTTAGAATATACTTGACCTGTCCTTCCTTATGTAGCAAAAATGTTCACTGATTTGTTTTTCAGCTAGAGGGCTCAGCTTCCACTTAGCGACTAGTGGAGGTCCAGAGGCTTTTAAAAAAGCCTGTTTAAGCCTGAGAGCACCTCAGTCCCCATGTTTTTGACATGACCCTTAAGATTGTGCAGAAATCCTCTTAATTTGATGAATCAAGACCTCAAGAATGTGAAGGAAGTGTTTCGAGGGGCTCTCAGCTATGGAATTCCCCTCGTCCCAAAACTCATCAGAGTCTCGGAATGTATATCAAACCTACCACTCAGCAAAAATAAAATCTAGCATGTTATGCATTCATAGTAGCTAGAACGGTCAGTGCCAGAATTTGCAAAAAATTGGCTAGAATACACGAAAGGTGGTGAAAATTAATAGTCATATCTGCATGACAGAAAAACAAGCTAGATGTTTAAAATGAGTGTTAGTATTATTTTTGCGACAGCAATTAGGAATATCTTTAAAAAGCCACAAAATAGATTTGTTCAGGTTTATTACATTTACTGCATTTTATATGAGAAACGTAAATGACGTGTCTCCAAATGATGGGTTGCATGGAAGAAGCAGAAATGTCATAATTGCTCTTCCACAGCAGGATAAGACCCGAGATGTACAGCCGTTTGTTACAAGCCTCACGTTCATGTCGCCTCCTGGACATCCAGACATATCAAGTTCCACCGCTGCCTCGTCTGACTTAGGAACTCCAAGCCATTGGAGAAAAACCTCCTCAACTGTCCTAAGCCTTGGGAAAAAAACAAAAACACAGTTTCACTTTAAACCATGAAGTCTCAACATTCCACGTAAGATTTGGGGTGTTGAAACCAAACAACCATGTAGCCATTGTACAATTCCATTGTATTATTTTTTTCATTTGATTTACTTTTAAAACATTATTTGAGCTACCTAAAAAATCAAGATATTTTCTTGGGAAAGTTGGTTAGGACAACACTAAGCTCAGACTATAAGCTGGAAAAAGATACCTAGACACGTACAATTTTCTTTCTAAATTTAAGAAGCTGACATCCTGTTAGAGTTCATTGCCTTTACAACATGCCACAATCTCCAGATTCTTGGTCCTTAAAGTATAAATCACCAGAGGTCTATAGGACCATGGATGACAAACCCTTCCAACCCATCATAAACCCACAAAAAAAACCCACAGGTATATTAATCAAATTGCCAAACCTGCTTTTTTTTGTTTGTTTATTTTAAAATGTGCAGGCCAACAGCCAACTTGCCCTTTTCCTCTGATTCCTAATACGTAAATATTTTTCAACCAATTCAATAAAAACTATGTTATGTGAAAAAAGTAAAGGACACCTGGACAATTAAATCCAGTCAAAGGCGACTGGGGTTGTGGTGCTCATCTCGCTTTCAGGCCAAGGGAGATGCCGTTGTCCACAGACAGCTTTCCAGGTCATGTGGCCAGCAGGACTAAACCGCTTCTGGCACAATGGAACACGCTGACGGAAACGCTGAGAGTGCACAGAAACACCGTTTACCTTCCCACCACAGCGGTACCTATTTATCTACTTGCACTGGCGTGCTTTCAAACTGCTAGGTTGGCAGGAGCTGGGACCGAGCAACGGGAGCTCCGTCGCGGGGATTCAAACCGCCGACCTTCTGATTGGCAAGCCCAAGAGGCTCAGTGGTTTAGACCACAACGCCACTCATCCAACCAGTCCATGACATCTCAGCTCCGATAAGATTGAGGACACATATCTACATACCTGCCTCGTGATCTCCCGAGGGCTTTCTATCTGGTCTGAAAGTCAACAGGACAGGCCGACAGACAACTGGGCTTCTGCATAAGCTTCTCAAGTACCAGGTGAACAGGTCTTCACGCTCCTCCGTTTGCTATCAAAAACAGAAGATTATTGGCAGTGGACTGAGCAAGTGAAATACACAGAGAAGATCACCAGGGAGAATTCGTAATTCAGATACGGAGTTAGCAGTTCAACAAGAGGAGAATAAGCCACTCACCCCAGGAGCCGTATTAACTTCACTGTGCTGAATGCCAATACTGCCCGTGTTCTTAACATGGTTCTGTACAACATCCCACTCCTTGGCACTCAAAGCCAGCACTTTCTGCACCTGCTGGTTCTTGCACACCACCACAAATTCGCTTGTTCCATCTTCTACTATGATTCTGAAGGTTTGAAGGAGTAAGGAGATCACAAAATTATTCTGACTCGGAATGGTGGTCTGTCTGTGTCAGGGAATGGCCTGAAGCACAGGACTGGGGAGTGCATTCTCAGGCAGATCAGCTTAGCTCCGAAGAGGAGCCGGAGGGGCAAGATTCACCCACACACACACCCTTGTCTTCAGCGAGAGACACAGACGCAGAGCAGCTTAGACAGGTGTTGCGTAACTACGAGGTAATAGCAAGGGAAAGAGAAGGGAGGGAGCAGCTAGCTGAGACGTCGTTAGTGTGGGGGAACCTCCTTCCCCACAACTAAAACAGGGGTCAGCAACCTTTTTCAGCCGTGAGCCGGTCCACTGTCCCTCAGACCATGTGGGGGGCCGGACTATATTTCTGGGGGGGGAATGAACGAATTCCTGTGCCCCACAAATAACCCAGAGATGCATTTTAAATAAAATCACACATTCTACTCATGTAAAAACACGCTGATTCCTGGACCGTCTGCGGGCCGGATTGAGAAGGCGATTGGGCCAGATCCGGCCCCCCGGGCCTTAGCTTGCCTACCCCTGAACTAGGAGGTCTGTCCATATTTGAGAACAAAGGACGCAAAGAGGAGGAGGGACTTTCCGTTGGCGCCCAGGATGTTGCGGGAGACAGAAGTGGGAGGATTTAGAGTAGCTAACTGCTCTCCTTGTGGAAAGATGTGGATTTTTGCTCGCAACCTGATGCTTGAATAAAAGAACTATAAATTATAAACGGCTTGTTATTTCTTGTTTGTGAAGTTACCGAAGGGAGAGGAGGACTCTCCATGCCTGACAGTCTACTCAACTGGCTTACAGTCCAGTCTAGTAGGAACCTCCCCTAGACCACCTAGACGACTCTGGCATTTGGCCCGTGGGGACTTTTTGGCCAAGCCACACCCGCCTACCCTATACCTGGTGCCATATACCATGTCAGATATGGGGCAGGTAAAAACTTGGCTGAAGGGGCTGGAAGGGACTGAGCAAAACCAGACAAACTTTTGAGACTTGCACAGGCTGCACAGACATTGCATTCAAATCCTGACTCTGGCTAAACAGAACCTTCAAAGCCACATCAAAGGAAGATTGTGGAAGGCAAATTCACCTCAAATCTAATCCACAGTACTCACCTGGCACGGGCTTTGCACACTCCTGTACGCGACAGGCAAGGTGGGTTATACCGGCTGCATCTTCCCTGGATGAGAAAGGAAAAGATGGCGAACTCAGGTCACTTCTCACTGAGGGGGTAAACTGGTAAACAAGTAAATGTCCTTCGGGATAGAGGTGCGGGGTTCCTACAACTGAATGCTTACTCCTCACAAAAATGCGAATAGATAGACATAACATTTTACAAGGACAGGAGGGAACACCACGGACAGAATACCATATTTTTCGCTCCATAAGACGCACCTGACCATAAGACGCACCTAGTTTTTAGAGGAGGAAAACAAGAAAAAATATTCTGAATGAAACAGTGGGTGCATGATTTTTTTGGTGCAGGCTGTAGCCATGGACATGCTATGTGATCTGATGGTGAATTTGGGGTGACCCAATGTAAAAATCCTGAGGATCTATGAGCTTTTGCCTCCCCCCTTCCAGGCAGCCTCCGCTAGTGTCCCTTATCTCTCTCCCGATCCCACCGATCAGTTGTTTCCTTTCAACACTTCCTTCCCTCTTGCTTGCCTTAGTGTCTTTTCCTTAGCTAGAGCAGTTTTTTGCTCCTCCTTTTCTTCTAATTTCTCCCCTTATTGCTTTAGTCTTCCTGTTTCCCCCCTTTGCAAGTTTGCCGTCTTTACCTCCCCCCTCCCAGGCAGCCTCCTTTATCTCTAGTGTCCCTTATCTCCTTCCCGATGGGCAAACAATCAGCGGCTTTGTTTCAACACCCCCTTCCCTCTTTCAAAAAAAAAAAAAAGCATGATCTGCTTTTTGCCCCTGGGCAATTCGGCTCCAGGGACCACACATTCGCTCCATAAGACGCACAGACATTTCCCCTTACTTTTTAGGAAGAAGAAAGTGTGTCTTATGGAGCGAAAAATACGGCAACTGTCACACACAGGAGGAAGAAGGATATACAGTGGTACCTCGGTTTTCGAACCTAATCCGTTCCGGAAGACCGTTCGAATTCTGAAACGTTCAAAAACCGAAAACTCAAAAGCTGACAGTTAAGCCTCAGGATCCTGCGCTTGGCGGAAACTCGTGGCATGTTCGAATTCCGAGGCGTGTTCAAAAATCAAAGCATTTACTTCTGGGTTTACGGCGTTTGTAAACCAAAATGTCCGTCAATGGAGACATTCGAAAACCGAGGTGCCACTGTAGTTTGAATGCTTCACCTCTGGGTTTATAAATCATTTAATGTGTCAAGACAAGTGGATGTCGTTAATATTGCAGTTGTAGTATAAGGGGTTGCTATTTTGACTGGAATGTAATGGAGATGAATAAGATGTTGGAAAGCAGAAACAAAGCAAATCATCAAGCCATCAATTCTAGCACGCAGGAGGCCACCTAAATTATATAATTTGGCATCTGAATGATTGGGATTAGTAATTGTATAATTTGGCACTGTTATAATGAGGCTAACATTGGGTTATTGTCATTGAAATCTAATAAAAATTATTGTTATTAAAAAATATGCCCCCCTTTGCACAGAAAAATACCAGGAGAAAGGTTCTAGTTAGAGGATAGGAGTTTGTTGGGCACCTCTGTGAAGATGCAGTTGCAAAGGGAGCAGCTCCAGTGCAGGGACAAAGACAGGACACACGTCACGTGACAGGCAACCTGCGCCTGGCCCAGACCAGAAGGCTCAGGCGTGATCCTGGACAAATGCAGCACGGAAGGAGCAGAGGCGGCACCCAGCTGCCTAAAATTAAAAAGACCAAAAGGATAGACAAGCAGAAAGGTTTCAGTTATGAGATATCAAAGTTTCAAAAAGATCTTCTAGAAAGCAATACTAAAATACTGTCGAAAATGTATAATTTGCTCCTGGAATGGCATAAAAAAGATGAACAGGTTAAATTGGTTATGGTGCATTGGGCAAAGGACTTTATAATACAGGTGGCAGATTGGGAGAGGCTTTGGGAAACAGATTTGAAATTCACAGCATCCTGTACGCTAAATATGAAAATGATGTACCGGTGGATATTTGAGCCCTATTAAATTAACTAAAATGTATAGAACAAGTTCAAATTTCTGCTGCAAGTGTAAAGAAAAGGAAGGCACCTTTTACCATATGTGGTGGACATGTAAGGTAACAAAACCATTTTGGGAAATGGTATATAACGAATTGAAAAAAGATGTTTAAAATAACTTTTGTTAAAAAACCTGAAGCTTTCCTATTAGGGCTTATAGGTACTGAGATCCCAAGTGTTGGATTGAAATCACGACAGACGAATGGTGGGTGTCAAAGGAGAGGCGTCTGCCCGGGACAAGTCCCGGGAACTCTCTTTTATTGAATATTACAAACATTGCCACAGGTGTGCTTGTGGCTGATTGGCTGATACAAACACAAAGCATCTTGTTGCTGATTGGTTAACATAGGTACAAGGTGGGAATAACATATTACATTAATCAGTGATAGTTCAAAAGACTGGGAACGGAGCTGGAACTAGACTGGCATGAAACCTCCTAATTAAATTATAACTAAAGATTGATATTGAGAGAACATAACATGAAGGAATACAACAATCACGTTCCGTAAATGTGGTCAGCAATGCATTAAGAACAGGTCAGGATACACTGTTTCATGAACTCAATGGGAACTGTTCAGAACATTCTCAGACTCTTGTGCAGAAGCAGAGAAAAGATTATGAGTGAGACTTCCCAGAATGCAAGAGTTATGTGCAGTAAGAGAACTGCAGAAAGAGAACTTCACAGTGAGAGAACTGCAGAAAGAAAAACTTCCCTTCACATTTGTAACCCAAGGTACCACTGTATTCCTGACGTCTCCCATCCCCTACATGGGTCCTTATTACAATATTTAAAATGACATATCAGTCCGTTCTCCAAATTTTCCATTTTTCCAAATTATCCATAGTTTTCGTTACTTTACAAGTGTATCTCAAAGTCCAGCTAAAGTTTTAACTTGCTTACAATGGTCTCCTAGATATATTATAAAATTTCCCCATTCTTTTTTAAAGTCCTTATCTTCTTGATTCCTGAGTTTCCCAGTTAGTTTTGCCATCTCAGCGTAGTCCTGCAACTTGGTTTGCCATTCTTCCCTAGTTGGGATCATTTCTTCTTTCCATCTTTGGGCTAGCAACACCTGTGCAGCTGTTGTCGCACACATAAAACGTCTTTTCTGTTCCCTTGGTGAAGGGAAGTTTTTCTTTCTGCAGTTCTCTCACTGTGAAGTTCTCTTTCTGCAGTTCTCTTACTGCACATAACTCTTGCATTCTGGGAAGTCTCACTCATAATCTTTTCTCTGCTTCTGCACAAGAGTCTGAGAATGTTCTGAACAGTTCCCATTGAGTTCATGAAACAGTGTATCCTGACCTGTTCTTAATGCATTGCTGACCACATTTACGGAACGTGATTGTTGTATTCCTTCATGTTATGTTCTCTCAATATCAATCTTTAGTTATAATTTAATTAGGAGGTTTCATGCCTGTCTAGTTCCAGCTCCATTTCTCAGCCTTTGATCTATCACTGATTAATGTAATATGTAATGCCCGCCTTGTACCTATGTTAACCAATCAGCAACAAGATGCTTTGTGTTTGTATCAGCCAATCAGCCACAAGCACACCTGTGGCAATGTTTGTAATATTCAATAAAAGAGTTCCCGGACTTGTCCCGGCAGACGCCTCTCCTTTGACACCCACCATTCGTCTGTCGTGATTTCAACCCAACATCTGGTGACCCCTGACGTGCCAGATCCCTTACGCAGCCAAACCTCATACTTCACCCGACTGGAAAAGTCTCAGCGCGCTACTTCGTGAGTATGGGAGGGGACTTGACTAAGCTCCAGAAAGAGCATGCTAAAGAGTTGCTTTATTTAGTTAGGCAGCGGGAGGTGGGTGTTAATATTTCCTTAAAAGAAATTGAACAATTGCTATGTGAGATTTCTTGCCAATTTCCCTCCTATCCTGAAAAAGGATCTTTGGATGTAGAGACTTGGCAAAAGATCGGAAAGACCCTTTTTGCAGAACCTAGGGCTCCGATTCATTGTCTGCTCACTTGGCAGAAATGTGCTGATGCCGTCGCTAAATTACCACAGGCGTCTCGCCCGCCACCAGCACTTTTCGCCATCGCAGACAATCCCCCCCCTTACCCGAAACTTTTACCTCCTTCTCCTTTGCAGCCCAGCCTATCCCTCCCTGCGTCTCACCCTCCTCAGCCTGCATCCTCCCCCCCCATCCCTCCGCCTCAGCCTGATTCCTCCCCCCCCCATCCCTCCTCCTCCTGCCACAGCCCCTGTTTGCTCTATAGGAGCTGTGCGTGCTGCGCTCTCTCTGGCAAGGCAAAAAGGGCTCCTGTCCTTAGAGGAGGAGGCTGAGTGGCCAGGTGAAATGCCGTCTGCTTTCCCTATCTCTTATTCAAACCCTGGAACTGCTCAACAGCAGATTTATTATGAATCGCTTCCTTATTCTATAATGAGGGAATTAAGGAAAGCCATTGCTGATTCTGGTCTGAAGTCCTCTTATGTGACAGGGATGCTAGAAGGCATAGCAACTGGTTACATTATGCTACCTCAGGACTGGAAAGACCTGATGCGCATGCTTTTGTCCCCTGCTCAGTATGTGGTGTTTGAGAGTGAATTTAAACATAGCGCTTCAGCCCTGTCTGATCCTCAACATACTGCCAATGAACTTTATGGTGCTGGTCAGTTTGCTGATATAACTGCCCAAGCAACACTGACACCTGTACATTTTGTTCGCACCGCGACTCTGTGTACAACGCGCCTTTCGGAAAGTCCCTGTTTCTGGGCAACCGCTGAGCTCCTTTGTAAATATTAAGCAACAGCATTCGGAGCCATACCATCAGTTTATAGATAGATTGAAAGAATCAGTCACTAGGCAGATTGATAACACCACTGCTCAAAATGAATTGATGAAAAAATTGGCCTTTGAAAACGCAAACACTGATTGCAAGAAAGCTTTGCAGTCAATCATACATCGCCCTAAATATGAACTGGCCGATATGATTCAAGCTTGTACGGATGTCGGTAGCCAGAGCCATGCGATGTCCTTGCTTGCCGGCGCAATCCAAGCAACCACTAAGCCTACTGGTAACTGCTTTAATTGCAAGCGCCCAGGCCATTTTGCCAAGCACTGCAGAGCCCCTGGCGGGGGGGCAAACAAGGATGGTGCTGCCTCTAAGGCTAAACCCTCTGATTTTGCCATTGATTTGATAAATCAAGAGACCAAAGACTCTGTTCTACCTGGTGAAATTGTGCTTATGCCCACTCAATTGGCAGGTCCCCTGCCTCCTAAAGTCGCAGGTTTAATTTTACCCAAATTTTCTGCGGCAAAGGAAGGCATCCAGGTTATTCCTGGAGTTCTGGATCCTGACTATGTAGGCACAATAATGGTTCAACTCTGGAGCCATATGCCCATGCAATCAAAAAGGGTGAGTCTTGGGCGCATTTGGTGGTGCTCCCTTCTCATCCTACTGCTTCTATTATGGATACTAATTTGCACTGAGCTCTCTTCTTTCCCTCCACAGCTGTTAGCTGTAGTCCAGAGGATTGGTGAGAAGAAACTTCTTCGTAAGTATAAAATCAATGGTATTGTGCTGGAAGGCTTGATTGACACAGGCGCAGACGTTTCTGTAATTTCTAGTAGTTGCTGGGACCCCACGTGGCCCCTTGAGTCTGCCTCTGCTGTCTGGGGTGTGGGTGGCCCCCAAACCTCTTCCAAAAGCGTACAGTGGCTGCCTGTTTCTCTGCCTGATAGTTCTGAAACCATTGCTTACATCCAGCCCTGTGTGCTGAAAATCCACCTCAATCTGTGGGGAAGAGACTTACTACAGCAATTACAAGCTACCATTCAATTTAATGAGTAAGCTTGCACTTCCCCTCAACTGGAAATCTTCTGGTCGTGTCCTGGCTATACGTTTAATTACATTCCAGCAATACATCAGCCATGGCACACCTTGCTATTTAAGCCGTTTGTCCATCATTTTACCCAAGAAGCATCATTTATCCCGCTCTCAATATCACTGCAATATTGAATTGACTAATGATTGTGATACTTTTGTCTCTCTTCTCAGTAGGTCTGAATATATCTCTTTAGTTGTTTCTCTCTTAGGAGTCCCTGGATTGTCTGTACGGAATCGTATGAACATTAATTCTCTAGCCTGTTCTGAAGCAAAAAGCCCTGAATTTTACTTCACAAGCCCTTCACCTTTTGAATAAAGAACAGAGTGAACTATATAATGGACTTTTACGAAATCGTGCTGCTATCATTATTTGCTGATGCTTCATCATTATGGCTGTGAACAAGTGAATGACATGTGTTGTTTCAATATTACTGACAATTCAAGAGCTATTCAAAGTCAAATCTCTCATTTGCAAAATCTTACACATCACATTAAACAGGACATTGGTTTTCCTGGCCTCTGGGATTACACATTAAACAGGACATTGGTTTTCCTGGCCTCTGGGATTCTTTCACCCAGTGGCTTACCGCTTGGTTGCCAAACCTTACTTGTCTTCGTGGTCTTTTTCAATATGCTATTGTCATAATTTGTATTCTTATTTAATTTGTATTTTTATTTTACTATGCTGTTTCCTTCAATGCGTTCCCAGCCTCATGAGTCTTTTCTCTCGGCTTCTCTCCCCCCCTCCACCACCCAGTAAACTGCTTGCTGCTTACATTGCGAAATGGCAACACCAACAGTAAACCTTAGGGAGATGTGGGCAGATTTATTTTGGGCATGCGCTGGCAAACCACGTATCCTGAAGTACTTTTGTCCCATCGACCCTGGCAGGCTTATTTCGGGCATTCGCTGGCACACCACTAATCCCGAAGTATTTTTGCCTGATCCACCTGAAATGCCTCGCAAACAAGAAAAGAAAGGGGAGATGAAGGGAAGTTTTTCTTTCTGCAGTTCTCTCACTGTGAAGTTCTCTTTCTGCAGTTCTCTTACTGCACATAACTCTTGCATTCTGGGAAGTCTCGCTCATAATCTTTTCTCTGCTTCTGCACAAGAGTCTGAGAATGTTCTGAACAGTTCCCATTGAGTTCATGAAACAGTGTATCCTGACCTGTTCTTAATGCATTGCTGACCACATTTACGGAACGTGATTGTTGTATTCCTTCATGTTATGTTCTCTCAATATCAATCTTTAGTTATAATTTAATTAGGAGGTTTCATGCCTGTCTAGTTCCAGCTCCGTTCCCAGTCTTTTGAACTATCACTGATTAATGTAATATGTAATGCCCGCCTTGTACCTATGTTAACCAATCAGCAACAAGATGCTTTGTGTTTGTATCAGCCAATCAGCCACAAGCACACCTGTGGCAATGTTTGTAATATTCAATAAAAGAGAGTTCCCGGGACTTGTCCCGGGCAGACGTCTCTCCTTTGACACCCACCATTCGTCTGTCGTGATTTCAACCCAACACAAATGCTTCGGGTTACAAACACTTTGGGTTACAGACTCCACTAACCCAGAAGTAGTACCTCGAGTTAAGAACTTTGCTTCAGCATGAGAACAGAAATCACGCCATGGCGGCGTGGTGACAGGGGGAAGCCCCATTAGCTAAAGTGGTACCTCGGGTTAAGAACAGTTTCAGGTTAAGAATGGACCTCCGGAACGAATTAAGTTCTTAACCCGAGGTACCACTGTACAGAGAATCTCATGAAATGATTATATAAGCTGTTTGACTGTAAACTTGTCCTGGTAAAAGCAAATAAAAACGATTTTTTTTAAAGAAAAATGAAAAAAATGAAAGACATTTGCCAAACACAGTAGGGAGTTGAGTGAGAGGGCAGAGCTGTGAAGAGTTTTGTACTCACAGGGAAGAAAGGTCGTGGGGTGCAGCAGCCAGAACAGACACGCAGCTGGACATAATGTATGTACAATAGACGTTTTTGAATCTGTAATACAGAGGTTTTGGTTTTTCGAGGAAGCAGCCTGTCTGTTATCCTTAAAGAAATATATCAATGCCACGGGACAGAAATGGGATTCCCAAAGAACTGGAGCTCAGAGTAGGTGCTAATTCCACCCCCCACCCCCCCAGTACAGCACACCACTGCCACATCCGGGCTTGACTCAGTACTGTTTGTAACTGCGCCAGCCTTAAAACGTCCGTGTTGAGCCCTCAGAATTTCATATAACTTAACAGTGCAACATATAATCAGTTGTGTCCCCAACGGACTTGACATCCACAGATACAGAGGTGCTGTATCTAGTAATGAGAGCATGGCAAGGTTGGGGGGTGGTAGGGCCGTAGGGAGGTGATCTTGCGCCCCTGGCAGAACTGTCCAGATTGCGCCACGGACAAATTAGCTCTTCTTTCCGCCTCTCCTCCAACCCCACCCTCCACCCATTCAAGACCCTCTATTTAAAACCTTTTCCTATGCGGAAATAATATTTTTATTTACAGTGGTACCTCGGGTTACAAACACCTTGGGTTACAAACACTTCGGGTTACAGACTCCGCTAACCCAGAAGTATTACCTCGGGTTAAGAGCATTACCTCAGGATGAGAACACAAATCGCGCACAAGCAGCGCAGCAGCAGCGGGAAGCCCCATTAGCTAAAGTGGTACCTCAGGTTAAGAATGGACCTCCGGAACGAATTATACCTGAAGGAGCGTCTCCACCCCCATTGTTCAGCCCGGACACTGAGATCCAGCGCTGAGGGCCTTCTGGCGGTTTCCTCCCTGCGATAAGTGATGTTACAGGGAACCAGGCAGAGGGCCTTCTCGGTAGTGGCGCCCACCCTTCAGATGTGAAGGAAATAAGCAGCTATTCTATCTTTAAAAGACATCTGAAGGCAGCCCTGTTTAGGGAAGTTTTAATATTTAATGCTGTATTGTTTTTAACACTTGATTGGGAGCTGCCCAGAGTGGCTGGGGAGACTCAGCCAGATGGGCAGGGTATAAATAATATATTATTATCATTATTATTATTATTATTATTATTATTTAAGTACGTAATCAGAGGTACCACTGTACAGACATATTTATGGACATATGTTTTAGCCGATTTTGCACACACACCCCTTGCCTGTGCCCCTGGCGGGAGCATTTCTCAACACCCCGTAGCTACAGCCCTGGGTGGTGGTCAGCGCAAACAAACCAACCAGCCCAGAGTAGGCGCCTAAGCCCATTTCAACGCCTTTTGGATCCACATACCTGATGGAAACCTTGCGCTGCAAGTTCTGAAAGAGAATTCTGGCGCCAGGAAGCAGACCCCACAGGTAGGGCAAGAATGCCGTTTCAATGTACACATCCAGCACTTCTGAGGCACCAGCTGTAGGTGATACACGTAGCTTCACGGTGTAATCCCGGGTTAAGAGGTTACCTAAGTGTAAGGAAGACAGGCAACACTTTGATCTCATCCAGTAAATACCCTAAGTTAGGAAAGACAGAGCTACAGACTTGGCACAAGAGCAGCTCTGCAGAATCATTCTGCCTGACCCAGACGCACCGATCAGGTCCATGTGTCTTATTTATGTGCTCAGCCATGGACCAGAAATGCTCCTTCTATAGTACATTCAAGGTTCTCACCCATCTGCTGCATCAAAACCTCTCCAGGCGACTTCTTTCCAACGTAAGATTGAACCAAAGTCCTCTGCACTATTAGGCCAGAGAAAGAGACCAGGGAGCCTGTGAAACTAATGAGTGGGAACAGGTTTAAGAATTTTACCAGGTTCTCAAATACTTGGAGAGAGCACGGCCAAATTCTCTCCCCAAAATTTTATTTGATTTTCCATATTAAAATTTACATTCACCTAAAGAACATACTATATAAAAACAAGATTCTAAAGAATCTCCTGGACTTCCCTCCTCCCTTTAGTGGGTCTTATTGCTAATCTTGTCCTTCTGCATCTTTTATAATAACCCATATTTTTGTATCTCCATTATATCCATAATTTGTCGTTACATTACAAGCGTTATTGCAATAGCACTAAGAATTTTAACTGTTTACAATGGGTTTTAAGGTAAATTATAAATTTTCTCCATTCCTTATTAATGTTTTGGCCCTCCTGATTTCTGATTCTTCCGGTCATTTTTGCCATTTCGGCATAGTCTATCAACTTAATCTGCCATTCTTCTCTAGTAGGGACTTTATCTTCTTTCCATCTCTGGGAACGGCCAGATTCTCAACCCAATATGTTTGTACTCTTAAAGTGACCATAGAACATTGGTCCTGAAAGACCTACTTTGACTCCCAGTACGTTTCCGAGTGTTGGTGCTGACCTTTCAAGCCCTAAAGGGCCTCGGCCCAGTATACCTGAAGGAGCGTCTCCACCCACATTGTTCAGCCCAGACACTGAGGTCCAGCGCTGAGGGCCTTCTGGCGGTTCCCTTACTGCGAGAAGTGAGGTTACAGGGAACCAGGCAGAGGGCCTTCTCGGTGGTGGCGCCTGCCCTGTGGAACGCCCTCCCAGCAGATGTCAAAGCAATAAACAACTACCGTATTTTTCGCCCTATAGGACGCACTTTTTCCCCTCCAAAAATGAAGGGGAAATGTGTGTGCGTCCTCTGGGGCGAATGCAGGCTTTCGCTGAAGCCTGGAGAGCGAGAGGGGTCGGTGCGCACCGACCCCTCTGCTCTCCAGGCTTCGCTGACCTCTTCGCAAGCAGCGTGAGCGCTCCCACTGCTTGCGGAGAGTTGCCTGCATGCTGAAGCCTGCGCGCGCCGAGCTCAGCGCGTCCAGGCTTCGCGGACCTCTCAGCAAGCAGCGGGAGCCAGCGCTGGACTCCCACGGCTTGCAGAGAGCTGCCTGTTTGGGGGGGCTGGGACGGGGGAAGCTCAGGCTTACCCCGCCCCAGCCCCACGCCTGGAGGGGAAATAATTTTTTTCCCTTTATTTCCCCCCCAAAAAACTAGGTGCGCCTTATGGGACGGTGCGTCCTATAGGGTGAAAAATACGGTATCTGACTTTTAGAAGACATCTGAAGGCAGCCCTGTTTAGGGAAGTTTTTAATGTTTAATGTTTTATCTTGTTTTTAATATTCTGTTGGGAGCCACCTAGAGTGGCTGGGGAAACTCAGCCACAGATGGGCGGGGAATAAATTATTATTATTATTATTATTATTATTATTAAAGCACCTGGAGTGTCAGCATGTCTCAATAGGAGAGATGCTTCAACGGGAAAAAATTATGGCTCCTGAGGGGGCATCATGTTGAGCAAGAGCAGGATTTATTGATTAAATTCCTATCCTGCCTTTCTTCCCAAAGTAGTCCAGGGTAGCAAACACCGAAGTGGTATCTACTTGGTACATCTATGGTCAAAACTGGGGCGGGGAAAACGGAAGCAAAACTAGAGGCAGCAAATCAACGCCATTAGAAGGGCAAGTTCTTTGACAAGAGAAGAAAGAGGAATAAATCTGAAGGCAAAGGCCGACGAAAGGAGGCAACTGACAGACGGGCACAAGACAAAGGCAAGGACTGCCAAACTGTACCCTTCATTAACATCCAGGGAGAAGACAGAGATTGCAGCAGATGGAGCTAAGCATCAGATATTCCTCATCCCACACACAAAAAAACAGCGCAGGCTGAGTCAGTAACCACTTCCCTAATAGCATCATCACTGTGGAAACTTCCCAGTTCCAAAGGAACAATTTCCAGACATGAACCTGAAGGCAGAAGAGGTGCAGATTCAAGCAAAGGTGTGTGGCAGAGGTATGGGATTGAAGGGGTCAGGACATTGTTGTAAACAAAAATTGCCCTTTTCCCTTATGGGATATCCAAGAGCCCATATAGAGTCCTTACATAGGTTCCCTATTGGTAGGAGAAGATAACAGAGGCCAACCAGAGAATATTGAGAAGCAAAGCAGCTCGTAAGCTTGATCTTTGTGATCTGTTGCAACAGGGTGCTCCCCTCACCCGCAGGAGAGAGGAGGGACCCAGAAAAATGGCGTGCAAGGCCTTATAAAGACTTTTGAAATTGCCACCCTGTAGATCAAGACCACCCCCAGAAACAGCATACATACATCACAGAAGGGGTGTAACCTAAGACCACCCCTCAGATACATCATACCTACATCACAAAAAAGGTGGTCTAAACAGAAATTTGAATGTTGTTTTTCTCCTGTCATTGTTTATCTCCTGTCTGGCAGGTTACTTGACTGGATTTCCTGGGGAGCCTGGCCAGTCTTTTGTAATGATAAATACTTAGCCCCTGGGCCAGGTCACAGCTCACACCCTATTCATATCTTAAATGTGCCCTTAAGACAGGATTTGTGAGGAAAGAGACAATGGGGAGGTTTCCCACTTTGACCTTGCAGAGAAAACATTTGCTCAGTTTAGGAATCAAAATGGTTCCAGGTCGGTCTTCCTGTGCTGATCTATGTATGTGCTTGGTTAGTACGCTTATGAACATTACCATATTAAGACCTCAAAATTCCTATCACAACATGACACAGCCGCATGGTGAATATCAAGCAACGTGTGTGTTAACTGGCATCTCTGGAGCTTAATCTTACCATGATCCCTTTTGGTCTTGTTTAAAAGCATCCATACATTAATCCATACATTACGGAGGCGGCACTCGTGTATGGAGCTCAAGAGAGCGCCACTTCCCTGATCCTCCTGCCCATGCGCATGCAAATTACTCTTCAGATTAAGACGAGGTCTGTGTGCACCTCATGTCCTCAGCTAGCTCTCTCTCGCATCTCAATACAAGGCACTGGTACTCAAAAAACAGCTTCTCTCATATCCACAGCCAAAGATGTTGGCATTAAAAGCCAGAATATCATTACATTTTCTTTTTAGCGGAGAGTCAGCAGCAATACAAAAATTCCCCATTGCAGGAACTAGTTGACTGGGCCGTGTTGTTCCCTGCGAATCTTTTTTTTTTTTAATGTTTCCCCACAGATTCTTTTATCAGCTTTGGTAAAGCCACTTCCGGCTTGCCCAGGAGGTGGGGTTGCGGGCTTCACGCCCACCCCACGTGAGCGGGGGCTGGTTTCAGCCCCCGCGAGAACAGGGGAATCCCGGCCGGGTGTGCCCCCCCAGCCAGCCAATCAGCTGGCTGGGGGGGCGTGGCCTGGGCTATTTAGGGCCGGCACGGAGGGGGCTCGCCCTCTCTCTGCCGGCTAGCCCTCTGGTGTCTTTATTTATCCTGGTGGGGGGGCGGGAACTCGCCACGCAAATAGGAACAGAGGGAAGGCTAGATTACCTGGAGCTGAGAATCTCCGCAATGGAAAACAGCTTTCGATCCATCTGCGGCACTGTCGAAACCAGCTGAAAAACAACATTCTTTTATAAAAACACAATGCAATGTCAAACACTTAAAACTTCCTGACACACGGTTGCCTTCAGATGTCTTCTAGAAGTTGCATAGTTCTTTATCTCCTTGACATCTGGTGGGAGGGTGTTCCACAAGGCAATTACCATGAAGGCCTTCCGCTTGGTTCCCTGTTACTTCACTTCTCACAGCGAGGCAACACACACAGGCCTACCTGAGAAATACAGCCCACATGGTGCAGGAGGGCTCCATCTGGAACAGGGAGAAACAAGGAACGTCTCAGCGGATTCAGGTTTCCTTGTGCTGGTGAGCAGCACAGTTGATCAAAGACACCCAAGTCCTGCAAAAGCAATAGCACCAAAGATACAGTCACTCAGAGCTTTTCTTGCTGTGACAGTACTCACTAAAGAGAACTGTCACCTCTTTTTCTTGAGGCACATGGCAGCCATTTTATGCCGACAGCCATGGCACTTTTACCTAAAAAAAGCACTGGATGTGGTACAGAATAGAAAAATATTGTGCAACAGAATACAGTGGACGATCGGGTTGCGAACGTGATCCGTGCGGGAGGCACATTCGCAACCCACAGCGTTCGCAACCCGCGTCTGGGCACGCATGGGTTGCGATTCGGCACTTCTGTGCATGCGCAAAGTGCAATTTAGCGCTTCTGCACATGCGCAACCGCTGAAACCCAGAAGTAACCCGTTCCGGTACTTTGGGTTTCAGCCGTCCGTAACCTGAAAAAATGCAACCTGAAGCAGCTGTAACCCGAGGTATGACTGTACAGTGGTACCCTGGGTTACATACGCTTCAGGTTACATACACTTCAGGTTACAGACTCCGCTAACCCAGAAATATTACCTCGGGTTAAGAACTTTGCTTCAGGATGAGAACAGAAATCGTGTTCCGGTGGCGTGGCAGCAGCAGGAGGCCCCATTAGCTAAAGTGGTCCTCAGGTTAAGAACAGGTTCAGGTTAAGAACGGACCTCCAGAACGAATTAAGTACATAACCAGAGGTACCACTGTACTGGTAGTTGGAAGGACCCCTAAAGGTCCTATATTCCAACCCCCTGCAATGCAGGAACATGAACTTGGCATTTATATGCCACCCAATCAGTTATATCCTCTGGGTAGAGGGGAGAGGAGACCCACATCCGTCCCCAAGCCTAGAAGTATGTGAAGAATGGACAAGAAAAGGTAATAGATCCTTTGGGGAAAGTAGCAAATCAAGTGAAAGTGTTTCTGTTAAGGCACAGGTAAATACTGACTCAGAAAGAACAGGGTCACAAACAAGAGCAAATCTATGAACTACAGACTGACAATTTAGCAGAGCAAACAAGGAAGAGACGCCAGATTGTTGCAGCATAAACAAGCCTCCAGCAAAGGACAAGCATTTTGATCACAGGAAATCAAAGAACCCCAGAAATGACTGGGAGGTCTCTTGTGAGGTTTCCAGGAATGGGTTGGAGCCGGAGCCGTTTTTCTTCCTTACCGTGCACTGGGGGATGGTGAGCTGGTACAGGTGATCCGGGTGCAGGAAGGGAAACCACCGGAGCGATTTCCTCAGGAACAGGAGCAACAGCTGAAGTGAGGGAATTTTTTAATAAAGGAAAAAAAGAGAGGCCGGTAAGAGAAGAAAGCCAATTTTAAATGTAAAGGCAAAACACATTAAGAAGCAACAGAATTGGCTTCCCTGCAGCACAGGTGATCATTTGAGAGAACATGAGAATTACTGTATTTTTCGCTCCATAGGGCGCACCGGACCATAGGACGCACCTAGTTTTTAGGGGGGGAAATCAAGAAAAAAAATCTTATTTCCCCCCCCCCCCACCCCAAAGAGCAGCGTACAGGCTGCGCAACGTCTCCCTTCCGGAGGGGTTGCGCACGGCTATGGCACAAGCCAAGGCAGCGAGTGGGAGAGGGGCTAATAGCCATAGCCCCGTGCAGCCTCTCCCTGCCAGAGGGGCTGCGCGGGGCTATCCCTGAATCCTGGAGAGCGAGAGGGGTCAGTGCGCACCGACGCCTCTCGCTCTCCAGGCTTCAGCGAAAGCCGTGTGCTCTTTAAAGGGGCCGCGCGGCTTCTCCTGGCTTTTCTGGGAGGTGGGAGAAGGGACTGATGCAGCCAGTCAGTCCCTTCTCCCTCCTGTGGAAAAGCCCGCAAGAGCGCTCTTGGGAGCTTTTCCCGCCTGCCTCCCCCCTGCATTCGCTCCATAGGACACACACACATTTTCCCTTGCATTTTAGGAGGGAAAAAGTGTGTCTTATGGAGCGAAAAATACGGTAAAACCAGCTGCAGAACGCTGGAAATGCAATATACATCAGTAGAGGAACAATGCAGGAAGCAGCACTTATTTCAAAAGTCAACCCAGCTACCTCCACTCCAACCCCGGAGAGGATTCTGAAAACATCCCTTGCCCCCTCGCCTGTCTTACTTTCTGCTGGGCTTCACTGGTCTCTTGCAGAGCGAAAGTGGTAAACTCTTGCCGGCACCCGGTTTCTCCAAGATTCTTGCACAGTTCAGGGCTGCCCATCCATACCACTGTGGCTTGAAAGCAGAGTTGCGCTGAGCGGCCGCCTTTGCCCCCGTCTCCGGAAGTCGGCAGATAGTTGCGCCAGACGAGCCCCTCTTTCTGCGTCACGAGGAACAGGCGGGACACGCAGGCCGCTTCCACAGCACTGCCCTGGGAAGGCTCTGCGGTGCTGGCGCCCGACTCTGCCCTTCCTGCGCCGGATATTCTCCCCTCTTGCGATCTTGGCTCAGCGGCTTTGGAGCCATCGCCTTCTGCGTGAGAAGAGGTCCTTTCATTCACTCGGCGACCCTCGGAGGCTCTCTTTTCGGGAGTATAAAGGATCTCCACATCCTCAAAACAAAACTGTACGCAAGGCCTTGGAGGAGAGCAGAGAAGAGGGGTGAGTACAGCTCAAGCCCATTATTTACAAAAATAAATACAATGGGACCTTGGTTTTCAAACTTAATCCATTCCAGAAGTCTGTTCCAAAACCAAAGCGTTCCAAAACCAAGGTGCGCTTTCCCATAGAAAGTAATGCAAAATTGCTTAATCTGTTCCAGATTTTTAAAAACAGCAATTTAACATGAAGTTCACTATCTAACGAGACCATGGATCCATAAAATGACAGCAATAAACAATGTACTGCAGTCACACAATCAATCATTTAGTAGCTGAACTGGGTTCCACACAGTCACAAAAATGAAACAAAAAGAGCCACAAAAACAAAAAACCCCAACATAAATAGCAAAAACAGACAGACCTCATCGTAACACTCAAAATGGAAGTGTGGCACTCAAAAAGGAAGTATAACTCTCAAAACGGAGCACGTTCTGCTTCCGAAAAAGGTTCGCAAACCGGAACACTTACTTCTGGGTTTGCAGTGTTTGGGTTCCAAGTTGTTTGAGTACCAAGGCGTTTGAGAACCAAGGTACCACTGTAAACATAGCTGTGAGTATATGCCCACTTCCCAGGAGGTAATTTTTTCTTTGTTTGCATTTCTTATGCTGTGAAGCTGCTATAAATGCCCTATGGGCAGAAGAGCAGCAAACTCCAAGACTGTGCCATTATTTACCAAAAGGACACTACAGTCGTACCTCGGAAGCTGAATGGCTTGGCTCCTGAACAAATCGGCTCCTGAACGATCAAAAGCTGGAAGTTAGTGCTCCAGTTTCTGAATGATTTTCGGAAGCCAAACGTCCGGCGCAACTTCCGATTGGCTGCAGGACACTCCTACAGAAAACCAGAAGCTACGCTTTGGTTTTTGAACAGTTCCGGGAATCGAATGGACTCCCAGAATGAATTCTGTTTGAAAGCCAAGGAACCACTGTATCTGTCAGGGGCAGAGGAGGAATGGTAGAGACTACGTCCCCTCCCTGACCCTTCCAGGGAGGAGGAAGTGGAAGACAGTTTAGATTTACAACAGGGGTTTACGGGAGGTCACAGCTCAGAGGCAGATGAGGGGGAAAGTTGGGAAATAATGGGAAAGGAGGAGGAGGAAGCCGCAGAGGGGCGACAGCCGAAGGACACTGTGTCTTTAGAAAGTATTCCAGACCCTCCATCTCCCAAAACCCAGCAAGCCTTGAAAGTAGGAGAGCAAGGAGCTCAAAGAAAGAGGACACATAGCAGCTCCCGTAGAAGTGATGAATGGGGAAGTGGGAGAGATGGGGGGGGTGGAGATTCACTCGGGATAATGCCATTATCCAAGAGGCTGGGTTCTATAGCTTCTCTCTCTAGTTACTGAATTAAAAAAAGATGGTAAGAAACCTTCCTTGTCTTTATACTTTCTGGGCAACCAGCCAGGAGCCACTGGCAGAATCCTAACACTATCCGTGCATGAGAAAAGGGCTATCCACAGCCTTGGGGGAAGCAGAAGGTTTACTGAGTTACTCACTCACCCCACAGAGTGTTTGTTGTGGGGGAGGAAGGGAAAGGAGAATGTTCGCCGCTTGGAGACTCCTTAGGGCAATGATAAAGCGGGATATCAAATCCAAACTCTTCTTCTCTTCTTCCTCCTCCACCGCTTGAGGAGAACCTTCTATATTAGAACCTTCCACCTGTGTGCTTTGTACCACTCTGAGGCCCTGCCATGGTCTCAATCTTTCGGGGGCTCAGAGAAAGGGGGAGACTTGCCTTAATAATAATAATTATTAGCTTTGCCCCCCTTTCCCTTCCCATATATTTGGGGGAGTCTAGTCTAGACTATTTCCTCCCCTCCCCTATGCATTTGGGCTAATATTTTAATGTTTCAGTATTTTAATGTTGTATTTTAATCTTGTTCTTAAGTTGTATTGATTCAACTTGTTATTATTATTTCTTGTTAGCCGCCCTGAGCCCGGCCTTGGCTGGGGAAGGCGGGGTATAAATAAAAACTTTATTTATTTATTTATTTATTTATTTATTATTACGGTCGGAGACCAGCTTGTGGAGACTTGCCTTGTTTTCTTCTCCTTTATGTGCTCTTGTGACCCCAGCTGCTGCCAGGAAGGGAAATCACTTCGAAGGAATTGCTCGATTACAAACTGAAATATTTCTACCTGCAGGAGGCACCCTGCAGTAAACAAACAAGAACAACAGAAATAGACACCACACCAACAGTTAAGCAAAGCTGGCTAAATAAAAAGTCTTAACTGTGAAGCAGATGGAGGTGCTTGCCGAAGGCTTGGTCCTCAAATCTAAAGCAAGTCATTCTACTCTCTGTGCCAAATCTCTTCTTCTCAAAACACAAACTCATCCTTATCTGACCCAGTACATTCCAGGGGCAGAGACTGAGAAATCTGGCTTAGCTTTGAGAATCCGCCTTTGAGCACAAAGTAGTCCGGACACCAGGGCATTTCCATCTGTAGTCACTTGAGACAAAGTTAGCAATCTGTTTATGAAGGTAAAATAGGGATGAGGGGGACTCCAATTATAGTGGTACCTCGGGTTAAGTACTTCATTCGTTCCGGAGGTCCGTTCTTAACCTGAAACCTGAAACCGGAGGTCCGTTCTTAACCTGAAGCACCACTTTAGCTAATGGGGCCTCCTGCTGCTGCACGATTTCTGTTCTTATCCTGAAGCAAAGTTCTTAACCCGAGGTACTATTTCTGGGTTGGCGGAGTCTGTAACCTGAAGCGTATGTAACCCGAGGTGCCACTGTATGGGAAGGGGCAGGCAGGCTGGAGGGCAAGATAAAATAAGATCTTTCTCCAAGCTAGAGCCCTCAGCAGCATCAGAAATTTAGCAAGAATTGGAAAGCCCCTTTTCCCGCTGCCCCACAAACCACAGCAGCAGCAGGTTATACATTGCAGAGTTCTCCTGGCGACTCCCTTACAACTGAAAATATCAACTTACACTCCAATATTTGGTGAGGGATGATACTCCCAAAACTACCAAGATTGTTTCAGGGTACTTAGCCGAGATCTTTAAAGCTAAATCTAAAGTTACCTGATTTATTCAGTGGTGGTTATTTAGTCTTTTATATACTGTATGTGCTTGGATTATCAATCTATTTGGATGACTTTGTATGATTTTATGATTTTACTGTTTTAACGTATGCCAATAAAGGCTAGTTACAAGTTACAATATGTTTGTCCCTAATGTTGCTCAGGCCTTCTCCAGATATAGAACCCAAAGCAAGATTAAACCACAGATAATCAAGAGCCCTTTTAGAATTAAAGGCAACATTATTTCACCCCTTTCTGAAGTCTGAGGAATTGCAAATATTTGTTTCCGTGCTTCTTAATTTATACAAAGCTGGTTTAAAAAAAATGCATTTTCTTGACTTGGTTGATGAAGATTGCATGGCTAAGAACAGGCTATTTGGTTTCCTTGTCAGGTGTCAGACCTTTTTATCGTGATGTGTAACAATCTATTTTGGCAATTTTGTTCAAATGTAAAAGCTGTCTTAGTATTGTATTTTGGAAATTTGTTTAGAATACTATACTATGTTCTTACTATGTGCTAATCTATCTTCCCAGGGTTTTTGTTTAAAGGTCCAATACAATGGTTTCTTTTGAAGAAAGCTATCCTCTTAAAATCAAAGCTGTGTAATAATTTTCTAAGTCCTAAGAGCCAGCATCATATTGTTGGTTTTTAAGAGCACTCAAATCACAGAATCAATATAGGATGGACACACCTACTAAAGACGTATCAGCAAATGGCCGGCCATCTTTGTGGAATATTATACAAGGGACTGCTTTGCTTCTGTCTTGTAACTTGAGGGAGCCACTGCTGGAAGAGTCCAGCCACCCAAGCAACACCTACCCACCCAAAAAAGAGAAAAGGAAAGGAAAGGGTAAAGAACACGGACGAGTCATAATGATTAAATGATGCTACTCCCACACATTTTCCAGGGATCTCTTTGTAATGAAATAATAAGCATTTGTATAACACGATGGGAGTGTGCAAAGCCCTTAAAATCACAGGATTGCAGATTGTAGAGTTGGAAGGGACCCCTGAGGGTGTCACGCTTCAGGGAATTGGCTTCCTCCCCCATGGCTGTTAGTGAGCAGATCAAATGAAAGGGAATTATTACCAGTTAGTCTCTTTAATAAACACAGCAAAGGACAAAAGAAAGCATCTACCCAGAATGGTGGTGCTCCCAATTAAGGCTTACACCCCTTCCGTCTCTATTGATCTACGTCACTCCTACATCTTGTAATCTGAGCTTGTACCCTCTGCGCTTTCTGTTCTGAGAGTTTCTGAGCTCTTCTCAACCTGGGGGAGGGTGCTGGAGGAATACTGTCCAACGACTATAAATCTGTAAACCCCTCTTTTAATAATTATTATTATTATTTATCATTTATACCCCGCCCATCTGGCTGGGCTTCCCCAGCCACTCTAGGCGGCTTCCAACAAAATATTAAAATACCATAATACATTAAACATTAAAAGCTTCCCTAAACAGGGTTGCCTTCAGATGTCTTCTAAAAGTCTGGTAGTTGTTTATCTCCTTGACATCTGGTGGGAGGGTGTTCCACAGGGCAGGCGCCACTACCGAGAAGGCCCTCTGCCTGGTTCCCTGTAACTGGCTTCTTGCAGTGAGGGAACCACCAGAAGGCCCTCGGCACTGGACCTGTGTCTGGGTAGAACGATGGGGGTGGAGACGCTCCTTCCAGTGTTTCTTCTCCTAGCCGCTCCCCATCCAGTTATTCCCAACTTCCGCCGTCTGAACTAAGCCCCTCTGCAAACCACTGTTCCAAATCTATATTGTCCTCCTGCTCCTGGGAAGATTCAGGAGCAGAGGGAGGGGATGGCTCCCACCATTTCTCCTCAGTGCAGCCTTCCTCAGCACGGTCCCTGACAGAGGGTCATCCAGTTCAACCCCCAGCAAGTTCAGGAACGTTGCTGCTTTTAGGATGCTGAATTTAGCACTTACCATCCGAGGCTGAAAGCTCTCAGCAGAGAAACTGGAGTAGGACCAGGCCAATCTGCGATTCAGCTCCTCGGCGATTACGTTGCAGAGCTCGGGGGCTGAGTTCAGTTGTTGCAGGGGACTGAGGCTTTCCCAGCCCTTCTTCTCAGCCATGGCAGACAGCAGAGAGAAAGGCGGAATCTGACATGGCGGCTCCAAAATCTGATACTAGGAAAGGATTGAGAGCGTCAAATTATCCTCTATCTCCAGGAAGAGACGGAAGCACTCGGGGCTACAATCAGGAGAAAGAAAAGGTAAAGGACCCCTGGACGGTTAAGTCCAGTCAAAGGGGACTATGGGGTTGTGGCGCTCATCTCGCTTTCAGGCCAAGGGAGCCGGCATTTGTCCACAGACAGCTTTCCGGGTCATGTGGCCAGCAGGACTAAACCGCTTCTGGTGCAACGGGACACCGTGACGGAAACCAGAGCGCACAGAAACACTGTTTACCTTCCCGCCAGAGCGGTACCTATCTATCTACTTGCACTGGCGTGCTTTCAAACTGCTAGGTTGGCAGGAGCTGGGACAGAGCAACGGAAGCTCGCTCCGTTGCGGGGATTCGAACCGCTGACCTTCCGATCGGTTTAGACATCCTCTCAACATTACTAGCAAGTCCTCCATTCATGGAGCTAAAGGTAAAGGACCCCTGGACAGTTAAGTCCAGAAGAATTAGACCATGGGGTGTGATGCTCACTCTGTCACGGGGATTCGAACCACCGACCTTCCGATTGGCAAGCCCAAGAGGCCCAGTGGTTTAGATCACAGCACCACCCGCGTCCCTGCACAGTCAGGAGTAGAGTTACCTGCTGCAGGGGGCAGTGGTGCTCTTCCGCCAGAATCTCTTGATGGATATTTCTCTCTTCTTTTCCGAGCGGCACCAGAACATTCAGAATAGGAACAATAAACTTCTCTGCTGCTGCCTGGGCTTGGTGGGTAAGGCAGTGCAAGGACTGCTGGTGCGGAAGGATACAAAACCTAGGAGGAATTATGGATGCATTAGCGCCTGCCAGGTTCAAGCAACCCTCAAATAAAAACTCCAGGAAGGGGGAAATGCAAACAACAGGTGGAGATAGTAGGAAGGAAGCACAGAACAAGCCGAGACAACAGTAAGGGAAAAGGATATGGGATGTGAATGTACACATCCAAGAAAAGGTCAGTCTAAGATATTCCCACACAATGGGACATTTTATACCTTCTGTGATCGAAGTCCTTTGTTACCCTCCCACTTTGGTCTCAAGTTCTTCATTACTATGTTATTAACTGCCATCTTCTACAGTATGTAAAATTACCAGGGGTTGGGTCAGAGTTTTAATCTGTTATAAGCTTTTAAGACAGTGAGAGGCAAATACAACTTATTTTTAAAACGATCTAATTTGGTCCAGAATAATACATGGAATTGAAAAGGAACAGGACAGCTCTGAAATGTCTCAGGCTGCTTCCCAAAGCTGCAGATGCAAATCAAATCTTGTGGACTGTGCACACCTCTCTCTCTCTCTCTCTCTCTCTCTCTCTCACACACACACACACACACACACACAAAATATTTTACAGGAAGAAAATGAAGGAGTCTTGTCATCACCCAAATGCCTACATCTAAGTTTTTTACAGCACAAATACTGGCATCAATGGGATTTTGTGCTAATGCTCTGGGTCCACAAGGCATAAAAGGGCAAGAATTATTTGCTGTTTAATGCCTACCATTCTGGAAATTTTCTCCACACTTGACACACCGTGAATGTATATAAACAGTTGCTTTGCCCGTTTCCCAGTGATGTAGTTCAAAAAAGGTTCTTGCTGTGATCGCTGCGTCTTGCCTGGTGGGGACCCACCTACACTTCACTCACCTCTGCTCAAAGGTCTCTAGCAAGCTGACCAGCCAGATATAGAGCGGCAGGCTCAAATTGAAACGCAAAAGCAGCTGAATATAAAAATTCCCAAATAAGGCTACAGGCTGGTATAACGTGCTGCACGGCGAAAAGCTCTTCAGCACAACCACGCTGCGCAGGCAAGCTCCAAGGACGGAAGGCGAGGCAGCCAAGGGCTTCTGCACAAGGTGGACGTCTTGGAGCTGTAAGACAAGCGGACAGATCAGCATCAAGGAAACAGTGAGTTCTGAAAGCTACAGTGGTACCTCGGGTTAAGTACTTAATTCGTTCTGGAGGTCCGTTCTTAACCTGAAACTGTTCTTAACCTGAAGCACCACTTTAGCTAATGGGGCCTCCCACTGCACGATTTCTGTTCTCATCCTGAAGCAAAGTTCTTAACCTGAAGCACTATTTCTGGGTTAGCGGAGTCTGTAACCTGAAGCGTCTGTAACCCGAGGTACCACTGTACTGCAGTTTCCATAAAAAAGACCAAATGATTTCACCCAATATCCCACCAGTCAAACATTACAGTGGTACCTCGGGTTACATACGCTTCAGGTTACAGACTCCACTAACCCAGAAATAGTACCTCAGGTTAAGAACTTTGCTTCAGGATGAGAACAGAAATCGGGCTCTGGCAGCTCTTGGTTCTTGCTCTTGGCTGTGCTGCCTTTGAGGGGTGGGCAATGGCTAGGCCAGACTCCATCATTAGAGCTGGGCGATATATTTATAAATTGTCTGAAACTTGTATGGCTTTCAGCCCATGATACCGGTTTCAGACAATTTGAGAAGGCTCAAATTGCCTGCAGAGAGCAACAGCGCAGACAGGCAGGCGGAGCCTAAGAATGTTCCTGTCAGCGCCTTTGAGGAAGCTCCCTGCCCCTTTGTTTTTGGTTTTTTTATAAATAAATTTTATTTAACAGAATTGTTACAAAATATAAGCAAAACAAATGCAAATGCAAATACACACATATACACTTCAAATAAGCACATACAGTGGTACCTCGGGTTACATATGCTTCAGGTTACAGACTCCGCTAACCCAGAAATAGTACCTCAGGTTAAGAACTTTGCTTCAGGATGAGAACAAGAATCGGGCAGCAGCAGCAGGAGGCCCCATTAGCTAAAGTGGTGCTTCAGGTTAAGAACAGTTTCAGGTTAAGTATGGACCTCCGGAACGAATAAAGTACTTAACCCGAGGTACCACTGTATACATGAAAAAGGAACAAAAGAGGAAAAAAGAAGAAGAAAAAAAGTTGGAAGAATTTCTTCCTAATTTATTCTACAAATATCTCAATATGAAAATATTAATACAATTTCATTGACTTCCATCACTTACACTGCACTTCCTATATACATTTTAAGCAAGATTGCTTAAAATCTTGCTCCCTGCCCCTTTGGCTCGTGTGAGCCCCAGCAGCATAGGGGCTTGCTTCCCACCCCCAGCTGAGTTCAACAAAGCCCTGGTCCCTTCCCAGCTCATGTGAGCTAGAGCAGCATGGGGGCTTGCGCAGCAGGGTTGAGCGATGTGTCTCAGCTGCTTTTTCCTTTTCTAAGGTTGGGAGGAAGAAGCAGTTGAGATATATGCCAGAGTCAGACATTGCGATATATCAGCATATCGTAGTATTTAGCTGTGATATATTCATGATGTTGAAAACCAGATATCACCCAACCCTTGTTGTTTAGTCATTTAGTCGTGTCTGACTCTTCGTGACCCCCTGGACCAGAGCACGCCAGGCACTCCTGTCTTCCACTGCCTCCCGCAGTTTGGTCAAACTCATGCTGGTGGCTTCGAGAACACTGTCCAACCATCTCGTCCTCTGTCGTCCCCTTCTCCTTGTGCCCTCCATCTTTCCCAACATCAGGGTCTTTTCCAGGAAGTCTTCACTTCTCATGAGGTGGCCAAAGTCTTGGAGCCCCAGCTTCAGGATCTGTCCTTCCAGTGAGCACTTAGGGCTGATTTCCTTCAGAACGGAGAGGTTGGATCTTCTTGCAGTCCATGGAACTCTCAAGAGTCTCCTCCAGCACCAGAATTCAAAAGCATCAATTCTTCGGCGATCAGCCTTCTTTATGGTCCAGCTCTCACTTCCATACATCACTACTGGGAAAACCATAGCTTTAACTATACGGACCTTTGTTGTCAAGGTGATGTCTCCAAGTCAGTGTTTCCCAACCTTGGGTCTTCAACTGTTTTTGGACTACAACTCCCATCATCCCTAGCTAGCAAGACCAGTGGTCAGGGATGATGGGAATTGTAGTCCGAAAACCGCTGGAGACCCAAGGTTGGGAAACACTGCTCTAGGTGATGTCACCCAACCCTACTTCTTCTTAAAGCGCCAACTCTAGGACCTTAGTCTCACCTCTACACCTGCTCCTGGTCGGAGCCCACGGCCATAATTCAACATCTGCTGATAAGCAAGGCACAGAGTGAACTTGTTGTCCAGTTCATAGAGCCCAGCTTGGGCATTTAGTACCTGGGTGATAGTGCCCTGGAAAAGGAACAGAGAAAGGAAACATTACTAACGATGTGCCCTGTTCTGGAGAAATCCAAAGACACCTTCTTGAATCCCATGGTAGAGGAACAATTTCAGGGTGAGGTTCTCTCTGTGCAGGAGATACTGCTTGCTTACTGCATAGGAGATCATCTGGGACTTCCGAGCTGGAACCACCGTCTTTGCTTCCTCCTCCAACTCCAAAGAGCTGCTCAGCTGCTCACAGGCCTTGGTGGAAACAGACACAGTTGGACTTCCTTCTGAAGTACTGTCCAAAGATTGCTCCTTCACTCGTTCCGTACAGTAAGGTAGAAGGTGTGAGGAGGAGCTGGTGATGAATACCCTCAATCCAGAAGCTTTAAGGCAAGCTGTTTTAAGAGCAGTGAGGACATACCGCTGCCCAAGCTGTAGCACGTGATGCCAAACCAACTGGGAAGATCTCTAGGACAGAAAAACCAGAAGGTGAGTCAGAATTCAGCACACTCTCCAGAAATATATTCTTCCAACAACAGCCTTATCCACCAGCCTCAAAACTAGCTGCGATGCATCTCAGCTGGTATTTATGGGTCACGGCAGTTACACAGCACCTCTAAGATGACTGCACCAGTGTTAGAAACTGAGATATGGAAGCCAGGAGCTAAATGGCACCTTAAACCTAGGTTATGGGCGCAACAACAAAATGTCTAGGTGCACTTTTTTATAACAAGAATACAAAGCTGAAAATGAATGAGCTGCAGCTAAAATATTATGTTCACTTTTCACATGGTCTAGTCCTTCCCCTGCCCACCCCCCTAATATTCTTAAGAAGGCCTCTTCTCCAGTCTTGAGAGCGTAGCTGGAAGTGGGGAGGCAAAAAAAGGTCCTCCTTTCCTTCTACTCTGCAGCTTTAGTCTGAAATCTTTGTCACAGTACTGTGCCCAGAGCTCAGAAACTGCTTGCACTAATGAATTTCATTGTCGCAAAATGCGCCTGGAACAATGGGAGATTTGAACCCTGGACTATGCTACCTAGTACAGTTGTACCTTGGAAGTCAAATGGAATCCATTCCAGAAGTCTGTTCGACTTCCAAAATGTTCGGAAACCAAAGCGCGGCTTCTGATTGGCTGCAGGAAGCTCCTGCAGCCAATCGGAAGCTGTGGAAGCCCCGTTGGACCTTCGGCTTCCAAAAATAGTTCACAAACTGGAACAGTCACTTCTGGGTTTGCGACGTTCAGGAGCCAAAACGTTTGAGGACTAAGCTGTTCGAAAACCAGGGTACGACTGTAACTTTACATTGTGAATGTGACCTCCTACATAATGAATATATTGCAATATGGACTCTTAGTGTAGAGGCAATACAGTGGTACCTCGGGTTAAGAACTTAATTCGTTCCGGAGGTCCATTCTTAACCTGAAACTGTTCTTAACCTGAAGCACCACTTTGGCTAATGGGGCCACCTGCTGCCACCGCCCCGCTGGAGCACGATTTCTGTTCTCATCGTAAAGCAAAGTTCTTAACCCAAGGTAATATTTCTGGGTTAGCGGAGGCTGTAACCTGAAGCGTATGTAACCTGACGCGTATGTAACCCGAGGTACAACTGTATTTTGAAACGTGGAAAAGAAATATTGCTCTGACTCAGCTTGGCTGAGCTACAGTACAGATGTAACAGTGAATTTTCTGGGACAGCTTACCTGCACAAATACCGGAATACACGTAGCTGAACTAAAGCACTTCAGGAAGATGAAAAAGAAGGTATTTTGGTGGATGTAGAGAATAGTGCTCAGCCTACACAGTTCACCTGCCACATTCAGCTTTGCGATCTCCTTATATTGTGGCCTAAAAAAAAAAGGAGATCATACCAAGGTGGGTCTACCTATATAAACAGAAAACTGCAACAGCAGCAACAAATCTGGCTAGACCATCCTTGTCTAGGTTACGTTCTGCCAAAGGCAGGAAAATAATTTACGTTACAAGCTTGAATGACTTGTCTTTACTTAAGCCAAGTAATTCACCACTCCAACAGAAGCTTGTGGAACATCATATTCCGAGTCATACCTCGGAAGTCAAATGGAATCCATTCCGGAAGTCTGTTCGACTTCCAAAACATTCGGAAACCAAAGCGCGGCTTCTGATCAGCTGCAGGAAACTCCGTCGGACATTCAGCTTTCAAAAATAGGTCGCAAACCGGAACAGTCACTTCCAGGTTTGCGGCATTCGGGACCCAAAACGTCCAAGTACCAAGGCATTTGGGATCCAAGTTACGACTGTATTCATTTTCTCAGACAGCTTGCTCCCTTGGTGGAAGACAACAACCGGTCTAACAATCATGGCTGCTGGGAGTATTTGACAGGCAACACTGAACCTTTACCTGGCATTGAGCAGCTGTGCAGCTTGTCTCGGGTAGAAAACAGGGAGGATATCAAGAGTTTTCTCTGGACCAGGCATCACTTGGATTGGGTCTTGCATGATCTCCAAATACCCAGCTGTGCTCTTGCCTGCTTTGGGGATATATATCCAGCTGGGAAACAGCAACAGACACCCTAGCCACTCAAGCTTAAAACGCAGGAGCTGAACCGAAGAGAGAAAGAGACTCTATTAGGAACACATTTTCTATGAAATTGGTACTTTGAATAGGTAAAGGTAAAGGACCCCTGGATGGTTAAGTCCAGTCAAAGGCGACTATGGGGTTGCGGCGCTCATTTCACTTTCAGGCTGAGGGAGCCGGCGTTTGTCCACAGACAGCTTTCCGGGTCATGTGGTCAGCATGATTAAACCGCTTCTGGCGCAATGGGACACCGCGACAAAAGCCAAAGCGCACGGAAACGGCGTTTACCTTTCCGCCGCAGCAGTACCTATTTATCTACTTGCTCTGGTGTGCTTTCAAACTGCTAGGTTGGCAGGAGTTGGGACAGTGCAACGGGAGCTCACCCCGTCGTGGGGATTTGAACCGCCGACCTTCAGATCGGCAAGCCCAAAAGGCTCAGTGGCTTAGACCCCAGCGCCACCCGCATCTCTGTTTGTTAGAAACAGTGTTAGAAAGCAAAAGAGAAGGCCGTCCTCAAGCCGTACCGTGCAGGGCAACTCGCCAGTGTTGTCTCGCACATACAAACTACCATCCACCAACTTCTCTTTCTCCCCAAGTCTTTCATCCGTCAAGTAGCCCACGAGTATCAAGTGTGTCCGCTGCAACCTTCTCTGGTTAGACAAGACGCCTTCACCTTGGCGAACCCATTCCCTGAATTCATCGGAGCTCCAGGTTAGATGACTGCAGCAAGGCATCCGCTGTTGAGACTGGAGGTCAGAGACAGAAATAAGGCTGGAAGGGAAATAATGATTGATTTAGGAAACAAAATTTTGATTTTCCACCTAGAATTCCGCAAGATGTCTAGACGTAAGAATCAATATTCATCCATTAAAAAATACATACATTAAAAAAAATAGTTGGCTCAGCTTTGGGGGGGGGATCAGCCAAAGGAATAGGTCTCAATACTTTTTAAGCTGCCTCATTGTGCTCATTTCATTTTCATTTCACCTTTAATATGTATACCACCTTTCTATATTACTAAACACAAGGCAGTTTACAACCACAAAATATACAACAAAGTGCACACACCTTAGAATAATCTGGTGAAATACAAAATCATAATAAAAACATAACTTTAAAATAAACAAAGTAACATTCAATCATGTATTAGAATTTAATAATACACAATAAAATTAACTCTTGAAATACCAGCATATAATAATAAAACAGAAACTTATTAAAAATTACAATGATTACTAAAATACCCTTCAGAAAACTGATTTCAAAATTTCACAAGAGGACACAAAGTTAGTTAACAATATGTGAAATATACCTTTTACCATCTTATATTTGTGCACCTGGCTCTTCCTGCCTAAGTGCACAACCTGACATTTGTGATCTTTCTGAGATTCCTGCATCGCAGGGGGTTCAGCTACATGACCCGGTGGTCCCTTTGTTGTAAACAAAAATTGCCCTTTTCCCTTATGGGGTATCCAAGAGCCCATATAGCCCATATAGAGTTCCTCCTCTCTCCTGCGGATGAGGGGAGCACCCTGTTGCAACAGATCAATAAAGATCAAGCTTACTAGCTGCTTTGCTTCTCAATATTCTCTGGTTGGCCTCTGTTATCTTCTCCTACCAATAGGGAACCTATGTTGTTGTTTAGTCGTGTCCGCCTCTTTGTGACCCCCTGGACCAGAGCACGCCAGGCACTCCTGTCTTCCGTTGCCTCCCACAGTTTGGTCAAACTCATGCTGGTCACTTCGAGAACACTGTCCCACCATCTCGTCCTCTGTCGTCCCCTTCTCTTTGCGCCCTCCATCTTTCCCAACATCAGGGTCTTTTCCAGGGAGTCTTCTCTTCTCATGAGCTGGCCAAAGTCTTGGAGCCTCAGCTTCAGGATCTGTCCTTCCAGTGAGCACTCAGGACTGATTTCCTTCAGAATGGATCGGTTTGATCTTCTTGCAGTCCATGGGACTCTCAAGAGTCTCCTCCAGCACCAGAATTCAAAAGCATCCATTCTTCAGCGATCAGCCTTCTTTATGGTCCAGCTCTCACTTCCATACATCACTACTGGGAAAACCAGAGCTTTAACTATACGGACCTTTGTTGGCAAGGTGATGTCTCTGCTTTTTAAGATGCTGTCTAGGTTTGTCATTGCTTTTCTCCCAAGAAAACCATATGTATCTAACACACACACACACACACACACACACACACACACACACAAATATATATTCTCCAGCTCCGACATTCCCCATGCACCTGGCTCCCTCACCTGTAGCCCTGCAATTGCAAGAGGTCCTTTTGGCTCCCGCGCATCAGGCAGCGCAGCGCGGCGCCCGCCGCTTCCTCGTCGCTCCCGCTGATTCCGCGCAGCGCCTGCAGCCACTGCCGCTCCAGGGCCGGGAGGGAGGCTCCGGGCAGCCCCCGGCCCGCTTCCCCGGCAGCCGAGCCCGGCGGATCCATGGCTCCAAGGCGCGCAAAATTTGTCTCCGGAAGAGGAGGAGAGAGCCGGGCGCGCCGCCAGCATCGCAGGCAGCAGCCTCTCGCGCGTCCCCGGAGCTCAGACGCGGAAGCGCCACTTCCTGCTTCTTCCCCCGAGGAGGGAGCTGCGCTTGGAAAGCAAGGCAGAAATTCAAATAGTGCACTTTTTGCAATGCATTTGGGATCCACTTCCCAGTTCTCTTCCCCCACCAAACAGAGACAAACAGAGAAGAGGCGAGGCGTGTCCTTCCGTGAGAAAGCGGAGACTAGTTTTTCCAGCTTCCCTGTGCTAGCAAGTTGTTGTTGTTGAGTCGTTTAGTCGTGTCCGACTCTTCGTGATCCCCTGGACCAGAGCACGCCAGGCCCTCCTGTCTTCCACTGCCTTCCTCATGCTGGTAGCTTCGAGAACATACCATATAGCAATATATTCAACACAAAAAACAACTACAATTTGTTGTTGACAAAGGACAGCTGGACATACAAAGGGCACCAATACATTCAGTAGCTTAGAGCCTCATCAGACCTAAATCCAGCCCTGGTTGCAGGTTCAATCCCCATACAGGACAGGTGCATATTCCTATATTGCACAGGGTTAGACTAGATGATCCTCAGGTCCCTTCCAACTCTGTTGTTGTTTAGTCATTTAGTCATGTCCAACTCTTCATGACCCCCTGGACCAGAGCACGCCAGGCACTCCTGTCTTTCACTGCCTCCCTCATGCTGGTAGCTTCGAGAACACTGTCCCACCATCTTGTCCTCTGTCGTCCCCTTCTCCTTGCGCCCTCCATCTTTCCCAACATCAGGGTCTTTTCCAGGGAGTCTTCTCTTCTCACGAGGTGGCCAAAGTCTTGGAGCCTCAGCTTCAGGATCTGTCCTTCCAGTGAGCACTCAGGGCTGATTTCCTTCAGAATGGAGAGGCTTGATCTTCTTGCAGTCTATGGGACTCTCAAGAGTCTCCTCCAGCACCAGAATTCAAAAGCATCCATTCTTTGGCGATCAGCCTTCTTGATGGCTCAGCTCTCACTTCCATACATCACTACTGGGAAAACCATGGCTTTAACTATACGGACCTTTGTTGGCAAGGTGATGTCTCTGCTTTTTAAGATGCTGTCTAGGTTTGTCATTGCCTTTCTCCCAAGAAGCAGGCGTCTTTTAATTTTGTGACTGCTGTCACCATCTGCAGTGATCACAGAGCCCAAGAAAGTAAAACCTCTCACTGCCTCCATTTCTTCCCCTTCTATTTGCCAGGAGGTGATGAGCCCAGTGGCCAGGATCTTCGTTTTTTTTATGTTGATCATAGTCTATGCTTTTATTGTTGTTGTTGTTACTCCTACTATAATTACTTTTCCCCTTTTTCTTTTAAAATATTTTTTATCGGTTTTACAAAATAAATCTCACATTTACCACATTTGAATTTTAAAATCAAACGAGATTCTTCCGAATCTTATGATTTCCCTCCTACCCTCCAGGGGTCCTTTGTATATCTAAATCAAATGCATATTATCGTTCCTCCACATTATGGCCCTCCAAAGTATCCAAAGTCTTTGTGACATTGCAGGAGTTACTAAAAGCCTGCCAAAGAACTCACGGGATTACAGTACAGTGATCTTTTAAGTACACTGTGCAGTTTGTCCCATTCCCTATTGAAGTTTTGATCTTCCTGATTTCTGATTTTCCCTGTCAGTCTTGCCATCTCTGCATACTCTAATAGTTTCATCTTCCAGTTCGCTTTTGTCAGCCTCCCCTCTTTCCATCGCTGGGCCCTACTATGATTTCTATACCGCCTTTCACCTGAGCATCACGAGGTGGTTGACAATATAAAAACACCAAAATGCGTAATACACAAGTTGCATCTTTCTGGACTTTTGCTAGACAAAAGTAGCTTTCACAATTCCTACACTTGCCAAGCCGGGCACATTTGGTGGTCTACTAGGACTATGTCATGAAGTAGATATGTGAAGAGAGCCAGGAAGAACAGAACTTAAGAACGACGTGCTAAATTTATGGAGGAGGTGGGGAGAGTCAGAAGGAACTTTTGCCAGTACAGCGGTACCTCAGGTTAAGTACTTATTTCGTTCCGGAGGTCCATTCTTAAACTGAAACTGTTCTTAACCTGAAGCACCACTTTAACTAATGGGGCCTCCCGCTGCTGCCGCTGCACGATTTCTGTTCTCATCCTGAAGCAAAGTTCTTAACCCAAGGTAATATTTCTGGGTTAATGGCGTCTGTAACCTGAAGCGTATGTAACCCGAGGTACCACTGTATCCCATGTGTGCAGATCAATGCAGAAAGTAGCCATACAATTTTTTAATGTACTCTCCTAACATGGTTGTGGCCAAGGAGGGGGCAGTTGCCACCACTAAATCAAGAAAATAAATAAAAAATACTGTAACTAAAAGTAGAAATTCTAGAAAGACTTTGAGAGATTTTTCTGAGCACTTTGGGGTTAAAAGAAAGTACAGTGGAACCTTGGTTTTCGAATGTAATCCATTCCGGAAGACCATTCAACTGTTGAAACTTTTGAAAACTGAGACGCAATTGGTGGTCGACAAAATCCATTGAGAAAATAAAAAAACGCGCAGCAGAAGCCGTTCGACTTCTGAGGCACGTTCAATTACTTCCAGGTTTTTGGCACTTGAAAACCAAAACCTTTGGCTTCTGAGACAGTTGAAAACTGAGGTTCCACTGTAATTTAAAACAAGTGTTGTTGAGATATTTCATTCCAAATCTGCTAGACGGAGCCACACAGAGGGTGTTGATAGGTGGGCCTCCTGGCCCCCCATAAATCCAGCTACCTGCCCCCCACCCAGTATAAATCCTGCCTACTCCCATGTCCACTTGTGGAGTTTCTGGGTTCACCGCCTTCTTCATATGACAAAGCAGAATCCTTTCAAGGCACTGTGGAGGTGGGAAAAGGCTAACTGTGTCCTGTGGGGGGGAATTCAAGTCTCCACCCTTTCCATCATATTTTTTTTGGCTTCCTGTGTTATAAAGAACTTCGTTTTCCAGACAAGCAAATTTCACTCTCTTTGCCTGCAGAGGTCCTGTGAGAGGTGACAGAGTGAGGGTCCTGCCTGGAGGTGTAAGGGACAAGTTGGGCAAAAACTATGGCTCTTTTGGAGGTGGTCCCAGTTTTAGTGGCGATGGTAAGTGAGAAACCCGAAGGAAACGGGTCGTCGAGGCTGGGAGAAAAGAGCTAAGTCCAGTGCTTTTTCTCTTTAAAAAATGTTTAGAGGTACTCTCATTTTGACTCAAGAAAATCTCCATTTTATAGTTCAAATCGGGGAAAATACAGTAAATGGACAAAAGTACAAAGATTCACAAAATGTTTAGAGGTATGTGTACCCCTGCGTACCCCCAAGGGAAAAAAGCACTGGCTAAGTCAGTATTTTTTGTGCAAACAGAAAGGCTCTGTAAACGTTCGCCTTCTGGCTTGTGTGGCGGATTCCCGAAACTGAGCCATTCTTGATGAAAAGTAGTTTGCCTCTATATGCTGGGTTTTGTCCCCCCCCCCTTTGCAGATCAACTTGAACCTCGTTCAAACAGACACAGGGGAACCCCTCATCCCTGATGCTAAACCTATCCCTGCATCAGTTGTGGATAAGGATGCCCTCATCCACTCCAGTGGTATACAAAAGAGAGAGCTGAAATGCTCAGAAGGATACTATCGTCACCCGGATGAAACCCACTGCTGCCTTAAATGCCCCAGAGGTATGACAGAATGTAAAACAGAGTAATAACTGTTAGTTGTGATTTCCTGTTTCCGTGTACCCCGATTCTTAGAAACGTAAATAATCCAGTTTGGGGAAAACGTACTCCTCTGGAGTACAGTCGCACCTCGGAAGTCAAATGGAATCCGTTCCGGAAGTCCGTTCGACTTCCAAAATCTTCGGAAACCAAAGCGCGGCTTCCTGCAGCCAATCAGAAGCCGCGGAAGCCCCATTGGACGTTTGGCTTCCAAAAATAGTTCGCAAACCAGAACACTCACTTCCGGGTTTGCAGTGTTTGAGAGCCAAAACCTTCAAGAACTAAGCTGTTTGAAAACCAAGGTACGACTGTATATGAAAATATGGGATACACTTGTAATGAATGAGTTCTTGCAGCCCTTTTATCCTATCTCAGCAGAAAAGTAAATAGATCTTACCTAAAGACTAGATAAATATAAAATTCCATATATAATTAGGCTTCGTTCATGCTTTCCCTTGGGTTGTCGAATGTTTTGGAAGTCGAACAGTCTTCCGGAACGGATTGCAATCAACAACCGAGGTTTGACTGTACGGAAACTTTCATTCTATGCTCAGCCTTGCATTTCTTGTCTCACTAAATGACTTTTTCCTACTTCCTCTTGGATAATTATTTTGCAGGAACTTACATTGCACAACACTGTTTAAACGCGGAGGAGACATCTAAGTGCTCAGTATGCCCTGAGGGTTCCTTCATGCCTGAAGATCATTTCTCTGAAAGGTGTCTCGGATGCCTTCAGTGCCGTAGAAGTAAGTCTTTTCTCTAGTGTGTGTTCATGTCTGTGTTTTGGATAGGAGTAAGCAAAAAGGCCCCTGCATTTGGAATGTTGCATATGTGTATTGACTGTAGATTACCTGTTTCTCGAGCATTAATGGCCCATGTAGAATTAAACAACTCTTCCTCTCTTTCCTCTTAGCCTTTGGACAAATAGAAGTCTCCAAATGCACCAGTGAGAATGACACAGTTTGCGGTTGTGGCAGTGATCAATATCAAAGTAGCCGCAGTCTTGACTTTATGTGCAAGAGCTGCAGTGAGTGTCCTGATGGAAGAATCCAGCAACCTTGTGAGTGCAATTAGGACAGAATCAATGAGTTAAAAACGTTACTACCTCCCACAAATTAATTAATTCATACTAGGAACAGGCTCTCTCACCCCTACAGCAAATGCAAAGCATTTGTCTTTGTTGCAAGCTGTGTGTGCTGGCAAAATTGAATTCCTTCAACTCTCCTTGTCCTATGATAGCCATTCCCCTTATTTTTAACCCTTCCTCTCCTCTCCAGCTTTATGTATTAATTTTAACGTGATATGTCCTTAAGCTCAGCACCCTTAAGGCAGTATTAAATTTGAATGTTGGTGATGGGGATGCATTTATATAGTGCCCAAGCTTCCCAGAGTACAAACAAAAAGACAGTGGTGGTCAGTGATATTTTGAGGTGGTAGGGCTGCAGTTTTTAACCTCACCAGGAAAGTGTGCTATTGTAGAGTACCGTTGCCTCCTTACTGAAACACATCCATTATTTTCTGTACATCTGTGGACAGGGGAAGTGCTAGGGATGAAAATTAAAGTTGCTACCAACTCTGGGCCCAACTAAGGGGGAACCATCACTGAGTTCCCAACAATCCTTCCCCATACATTGAGGCTTCAGCAGACGTCTGTTTTAGTCGGATCACCACTGATAACCCACAGAGAGAGAGACAGATATCCAATACAGGTTTTCATTTTGCTTAGCAGAAAACCAACAAGTAAGCATTCACACCCTTTCACAGCAAAAGCTCATGGACTTAACAAACTCGGAAGCAAAGTAAGGGAGTCTCCACTGGTGAAGGAGCAGATTCAAGGAATGGTGCTGAGCTCCACTTGTATGCCTTCTTACCTCACTTCTAATGACTATTAATCTCTCTTATTATAACTCTCAACTTAATGGGTTACTCTTTAAAAGGCAAAAACACCCTGAAGACATTAAAATAACTTCTATACCTTAAAATCTAACCTATTAACTCTCTTAAGAGTCTTCTTAAGCAGAGAATGTTCTCTTAAACATGCTATGTCCTTGTTCTGAACACACACCAAAGATTCCTCCAGCACTTATTCTGACTACAGGATGTACTCTTAGCTTGGTACATAAAACTGACATCTAGAAACTTACACAATGCCCCCTTAATGCCACATATGAAGAGCAGCACATTGTCTACCCCTGGCCTAGAATTTTGAGTTCTCCTGCTGGCATTTAATTCAAGCTTCTCAAACTTTATATATGAACGACGCAGACTCTAACAAATAAGTGAAACATCCCAAACCAGAGTATATAAAATGTAGGTTTAATCAACATAAACATTCCTTTGTTCCTACACAATCCTGGTGCTAATATAGCACTAGCGCTTATGTTGAATTTTTAAATGATATTTAAAGTTCCAACTTCCATGTAAGATATTCCAAATATGGCTTTCAGACAAGACTGACTCCATATCTCTCACTTAGAACCCCGCCACATGACATACACTTTTGAACTCAATAACACCTGCTCATCCAATGCCAAAGAAACTAAACAACACACAGAAACCTTTAAAAAGTGAGGAACTTGCGCTTCTAAATGCATGCGCTTTTCTTCCCCAAACAAATCCATGTTCGTTATCTGAAACACTTCTTCTCTCAACTGAAAGAACAAAATATTTCAACCAATAAGGCAAGAGTAATTGTTTCATTTGAGCCATGGCACATAAGAGCATAACAGAAAAACATATTTGCAATTCATGGTTTTCCCACTGGTTTTCGGGGGTTGGGTAGCTGCTCTTTAGCGCTCAGTGAGCAATTTCCGATTGACTTCTCTAAGATCCGGGACAAAGCGGAATTGAAAAAACCAAACACCTGGAGAGCACCACATTTTGTTCCCCTGGGCTAGAATTTTGAGCTCCCTGCTGCATTTCATTGTGGTTTTTTGGGGGTGGGTTTTTTTTAAGGGACACAATACCTTTTTTCCCCCAGACAAGCTCCAAAATATTTAGTTGTGGTATATATATAATTTTATCTGGGGAGATTTTAGGAGGACTTAACAGTAATCAAAATTAGCTATTTTGTCTACAAAGTTTTGATTTAGAAAGCCTAATAAATTGAAGCAAAAATTATATCAGGAGCTAGTAATTATTCTGCAGTTCCATAATCTTACTTTAATATTAGGAATGCAATAAATTGTCTATTATAACATTATGAACAAACAGATGAGCCATAACATAACATGAGGAATTTTTAACAAATTCCAAAATCCAAAGTTGAAAGAAGCTAAAATCTTCATTCAGCTGTAATTTAAAAAAAAAAAACTTTCAGTATAGATTGAACATTAGAAAATAATAATTTTCAATTATATGTGTCATAAATATAGGGGTTGCTCGTGCGTAAGTTGCCGCCACTCCTGGCTAGGTTGCCTTGTTAAACCTTTTCTGTCTGGACAGCCCTTCACTTCGTGGCTGTTTCAGTCGCTAGCAGAATCCGTCAGTGGGCGTTTCTTAAACCTTTTCCAGCATAAAAGCTGTTTGACGCCAAGTCTCCTCCTACTCTCCCTGCGCGGAAGTCTTCTGCGAGGGAGGGTGTGGGTAGCGGAGGACCCGTGCTCTCCCCGCTGGTCTCCGGCGAGGAGTCCTGGAGCCCCCTCGCCGATTCCCCCATCTGCCCCCCTTTATCTCTCGTGTTACGCTGATTTCCTTCGCCAGCTGATGAGCTGCCTCTCTCCCTGCTGGGCCCTTCTCCAGCATCGCTTGGGAGCCTTGCCTCCGCCTCTAGCTCCGATGTCAGTTCCCTGACAATACGCAACCATGTCTATGCATGTTTACTCAGAGGTAACCCCTACTTTACTCAATGGAGTTCACCTTCAAGTAAACATCCATAGAATTGCAGTCTTATCTTGCTTTTTAAATGCAAAATGCCGCATCTTTTCCCTTTGATATGTACAGTAACTATTTGGTGCTTGTTTTCAATGATTGAAGTGGTTGAACAGCTCCCTCCTGTGTCACTGTCGGAACAGATTCCTTTTCTTCTAACCATTCTGTTAATTCACCCATTCTCTTTTCGCCCTGCAGAGGGCACAGTTAAATGTGTTGACACAGGAGATCTGTGATCAGGACCTCCTGCAATTTCTTCCTAATGTAACCAGAACACTGGCCCTGATTCAGATCAGGAGCATAGTGCTGGGGAAAGATGCTGGCTCCTTCTCATGCCCTCTGAGTCTTCTTCTCCAGAGCTGTTTTCTTGATTAAAATCCCATCTCTGAAGCTCCTGTTTTCCCCAAGAGGAAAAAATAGGCAGGTATTGTCTGAGAACCTGTTATGTCTCCACCTGTAAATTGGCCCCACAGTTATCAATGGGAAAACCACTGCATATGGGAAATGTTGATCAGATTTTGCCACCCTACTGCTGTTGCTGAATTGCCTTTAAAGCCACAAGTGATCCTGAATGTGGAACTTCTGCATCACATTTAACTTGTCCCCAGATAATAAACACTGCTTAGGTGCTACTGTGTTTGAGTGAGATCCAAATCACTGAAATGAAATATCTCCTTCTCTCACTTATCTTTTCTTTCTAGGTACCAAATTCAGTGACACAGTATGTGAGAGTGCCTCCATGGATTTTTTCTCCCAAAAACAAATGCTACCCATGCAGCAGGTGGGGGAAACCTTGTTATCTGTCTTACCTGCATAAAAGGTGGGAGTACATCTTTGTAGAAAAACAGTATCCTAATGGTTTAGCCCAGGGTTCAGCAAATGTTTTCAGCAGGGGGCCGGTCCACTGTCCCTCAGACCTTGTGGGGGGCCGGACTATATTTTTTTTGGGGGGGGAATGAACCAATCCCTATGCCCCATAAATAACCCTTAGATGCATTTTAAATAAAAGCACACATTCTACTCATGTAAAAACACTAGGCAGGCCCCACAAATAACCCAGAGATGCATTTAAATAAAAGAGCACATTCTACTCATGTAAAAACATGCTGATTCCCGGACCGTCTACGGGCCGGATTTAGAAGGCAATTGGGCCGGATCCGGCCCCCGGGCCTTAGTTTGCCTACCCATGGTTTAGCCCTTACTAAGAGCTTATCCACACTTCCTCTTGTCCTGCTGCCCCCCACCGAACTGTTTTTAGCACTCAATTGGACGAATCTTTACTCCCTTTGGGGGGGAAAGGTGGGTATAAACAAAATAAAACAATACGAATAATACTTCAGATGATGATAGGATTCTCAATCCCATGTTCATAAAGCAATACAGTAGTATTAAACCAGGCATACTTCTGGCTGGCACTTGGAGAGCTTTTGAGAGCCTTTGCAGGGGAGAATCGCCGAGCAGATGCAAAAGCTTCAGCATCTTTTCCTCCTGCCTGCCAACCTTCCATGCTAGGTAAAAGGAGCAAATATAGAAGCCAAATTTGGTAGCTTTACCCAAGGCAGAACTTTGTTAAACCAACCAAAATGTCACAAAATAGTGTGCAAGATCCTGACTTCCCCAAAACACTCCTTTCTCTGAGTAGAGATTCAAGGGGGCAATGAAATAGGAGGAACTATAAAGGAGCTATAACGCAGTATTTATTTCCTGTGCAACTAAGGCCTACTTTTTCCTTTTCAGTTGCAGTCAGCCAGATTGCCAGACAGACTGCGACATCGGGCTCAGAAAAAAAAATTATTCAAGTGAGTTCTGGAATAATAGGATGGGAAACCTCAGGCATGGGGGGTACAGATCTCCAGGTCTCTCTTATTTGCCCTTGACTTGCTTCTCTTATATCCAGAGCAGGAGATGATTTGGGGGGGGTAAAGCCCAGAATATCATTACATTTTCTTTTTAGTGGAGAATCAGTAGCCAATAGGAAAATTCCCCATTGCAGGAACTGGTTTACTGGACAGTGTTATTCACCATTAATTATTTTTGAATGTTTCCCCACAGATTCCCTTATCGGCCTCTTAGTAAATAGGAACCGAGGAAAGGCTGTATACCTGGAGCTATGGATCTCTGCAATGGAGAAGAGTTTTCACCCCATTTGTGGCATTGTTGAAACCAGCTGTAAAACATTTCATTTTAAAAATAGAAATATTTAAAATAAAACATTTCACCTTCTGGCCTCCTGTCGAATTTCTGCTCCCCCCATCTAGTTTTGGCCACTGCACAACCAGATTCCTTGATCAGAGAGTATTAGCAGCAAGCTGCTCCTTGCCATTACTAAGTCTCCCTGCTTTATCCATTCTTTCTTCACTGTTTTCTGGAATGAAGTAAAAACACGGTTGCTGCCATGGATGTAGCCAGGATTTTTGTTAGGGGAGGCAAGACATTGTTGGGGGGGAAAGGACTTTTGGGGGGCAGAACTGACATGATTGGTCAGTTGGTTGTGTATTTCTATTGTTTTACTTGATCTGGTAGGGGGGACAGCTGGTCCCCTTGGCTATGCCCATGGTTGCTGCAGGAGCGGCTTGGGTCAGCAATGGCAGAAACTCAGAACTACAAAGACACACACAGGCATACCTGAGAAATACAGCCCCCATGGTGCTTCAGGATAGCAGGATCGGGAACAGACAGAAACAGAGAACTTCCCAGTGCATTCAAGAGGTTTCTTGGTGCTGGTGAGCAGCACAGGTGATCAAACAAACTCAAGTCATGCAAAAATAATAGCAGCAGAGATGCAACCAGTGCATTTTTTGTTACAGTACTCACCAGCAGGGAGTACTGATGTATATGGTAAAGGGGATGTGGGTGGCGCTGTGGTCTAAATCACTGAGCCTCTTGGGCTTGCTGATCAGAAGGTCGGCGGTTCGAATCCCTGCAACGGAATGAGCTCCTGTTGCCCTGTCCCAGCTCCTGCCAACCTAGCAGTTCAAAACCACGCCAGTGCAAGTAGATAAATAGGTACCGCTGTGGCAGGAAGGTAAACAGCGTTTCCATGCACTCTGGCTTCCGTCACGATGTCCCATTGTGCCAGAAGGGGTTTAATCATGCTGACCACATGACCCGGAAAGCTGTCTGTGGAGAAACGCTGGCTACCTCGGCCTGAAAGCGAGATGAGCGCCACAACTCCATAGTCACCTTTGACTGGACTTAACCGTCCAGGGGTCCTTTTACCTTTTTTACTGGTGCATACACAGTATGGAGGTCAAGGAGGATTAACAGGGTTGCATCTCCCCTATATCTCCTGACAGAGGTCATCATATAAGGTGACCAGGGTAATTTTTGTGTCAAAGCCTGAATGATTTGACCAGGACACGGGAGTGACGTCAATATCCCCCAACTTTCAGATCACCCTCTTCCCGGCCTGGTTGAAAATACAAGATTCAGAATGCAGTCTGCAATATGTGTTGGGCTGATGACATGTGGCAGACATGAAGTCCTGAGCCACCTCAGCATGGATATTGAAGCCCACCAGAACCAGCAGCCTGAGAGTCCTCAAGCCTGCCTATGAGACCAGCTCAGGTAGGGTGACTGCTGGGCAAGGAGGCAGGTGGCAAACCAGCAGAATCCCTAATATTTACTCTCCATTCAGCTGGTCAGAAAATCTGGAGTAAGAAAGAAAATCTCTCTAGACTACAACAACGCCCCCCCCCCAGTCCACAAGTCTGTCCTGATGCTTTGTCGAATACACAGGTGGGCACAACTGGGTGAGATGAGCTTCTCTCTGTTCACCCACCCAGGTCTCTGCGATACAGACCAGATTGGCCTTCTCATAAACACATTGTTGTTGTTTAGTCGTGTCTGCCTCTTCGTGACCCCCTGGACCAGAGCACGCCAGGCCCTCCTGTCTTCCACTGCCTCCCTCATGCTGGTCACTTCGAGAACACTATCCAACCATCCCGTCCTCTGTCGTCCCCTTCTCCTTGTGCCCTCCATCTTTCCCAACATCAGGGTCTTTTCCAGGGAGTCTTCTCTTCTCACGAGGTGGCCAAAGTCTTGGAGCCTCAGCTTCAGGATCTGTCCTTCCAGTGAGCACTCAGGGCTGATTTCCTTCAGAATGGATCGGTTGGATCTTCTTGCAGTCCATGGGACTCTCAAGAGTCTCCTCCAGCACCAGAATTCAAAAGCATCCATTCTTCGGCGATCAGCCTTCTTTATGGTCCAGCTCTCACTTCCATACATCACTACTGGGAAAACCAGAGCTTGAACTATACGGACCTTTGTTGGCAAGGTGATGTCTCTGCTTTTTATGAGGTTTGTCATTGCCATAAGCACATAAATAAGAGCAATGTCTTAAGAGTTATTTGGGGCATGAAAAATAGCTTGTGTGGTCAGACTATAGAACCATTGCAATGCTGCAGGGAGCACCATTTGGCTTTAAATGCAAGTCCTTAATAGGTGGTTTTATATCTGAAAAAACAATAAGTTCTCTGTTTATTACTAGTTTCTTAGCTCAAATGCAAGAAGCTTTCAAGGCTCCATGCCATGAACTGTCAGATGGCTTGGAAAGGGGAGCCGATACCCTACCAGATAGGAATGGCAAACCAAGCTGTTAGACTATGCTGACATGGCAAAGCTGACCGGAAAGCTCTGGAACCAAGAAGATAAAAATTTCAAGAAATATTGGGAGGAAATTATAATTTACTTAGGAGACCATTGTAAACAGATTAAGACATTAGCAGAATTTTAATCTGACTTGTAACGTAACAAATACTATGGACAACGTGGATAGATATAAAATATAGATTATGAAATAATACACAGTTGGAAACATTGACAATAGGACTCATGGAGGGGATGGGGGGGGAGTCTCGAGATGCAAGGAAAACTCTATATATGGATACGTATTTGCAGTGCTTTTTTCTTTAAAAATGTTTGGGGGTCCTCTCCTTTTCCTACTCATATTGAAATACTGCCCCTCAGTGAGGCCAAACTTAGATTCACAAAATGTTGAGGGGCATGCGTTCCCCTGTGTCCCCCCAGAAAAAAGCACTGCGTATTTGGTTTTGTTATACATTTTTATCTGTAAAATCGAATAAAAATGATTTTTAAAAAAGGAAAGGAGAGCTGATGGATTTATCCAGTGCTTTTTTAATTTAAAAAGTTTGGGGGTCCTCTCCTTTCCCTACTCATATTGAAATACTGCCCCTCAGTGAGGCCAAACCTAGATTCACAAAATGTTTATAGGAGTATACAGGAAAAAGCACTGCATATTTGGTTTTGTTATATATTTATATCTGTAAAATCGAATAAAAATGGTTTTTTTAAAAAGGAAAGGAGAGCTGATGGATTTATCCAGTGCTTTTTTTCCTTAAAAAAAAGAAGTTTGGGGGTCCTCTCCTTTTCCTACTCCTATTGAAACACTGCCCCTCAATGAGGCCAAACTTAGATTCGCAACATGTTGAGGGCTTTGCGTATCCCTGCGTTCTATCCCTGGATTTATCAGCGCCATTGCCCCGTCGAAGCAGCCTTTTGTGAGGGAAGCCAAAGTGGAGCCGGGGAGGAAAAGCCGCCTCGGGAACTTCGTCCTCCGTCTTTCCTGGCGGCCTCGGTGCCCTTCGCGGGTTAACAAGCGCCTTGCCGGGGTGACTAATGGAGCCGGGAAAGGCTGAGCGCGGCCTGGGGGTGGGAATCGAAGTCTCCTCCCTTTCCCTCGCCGTCTCCGGCCTTCCTGCGCTTTAGGGAACTTGGATTACCAGGCAAGCAGGTTTCGCTCTCTCTCTCGGCCCGAGAGAGGCCTGGTCTGAGGAGACGGAGCCGGCCTTGGCCGCAGATGCTTTGAGCGGGGCCCAAGGCCATGGCCCCGCTGGGGCTCTTCCCAGTCTTAGTGGCCGCGGTAAGTGAGGGACTCGGGGGCAGAAACGGGGCAGAAAAGAGCCAAGTCCCGGGGTTTCGTGTGACCAGAAAAGGCACCGGAAGCGCTGAATTCCGGGAAGCCTCGCAGATCAGAAGAGATGGGCAGCCGTGATCCTGAGGCAAAGGCAGCCGTCGCCTCAGATTTTGGCTCGAAAGGGGAGTTTTCTGACTCCCTCCGCCGCTTTTCCTCTGGAGGTTCAGGAGTCTCTTGCCTTCCTGAAAAACCTCTTCAGCCCTCGGCCCCATTTGCGGGGTGCGGCCTCTCTCTCCATCTAGGGCAGGGAGGAGGTTGGTTTGGTTTTGCTTCCTTGCTTTGCCCCACACGGAATAATAATAATAATATATTTATACCCCGTCCATCTGGCTGGGTTTTCTCAGCCACTCTGGTCGGCTTCCAACGGAATATTAAAATACAATAGCCTATTAAACATTAAAAGCTTCCCTAAACAGGGCTGCCTTCGGATGTCTTCTAAATGTCAGGTAGTTATTTTTCTCTTTGACATCTGGTGGGAGGGTGTTCCACAGGACGGGTGCCACCACCAAGAAGGCCCTCTGCCTGGTTCCCTGTAACTTGGCTTCTCGCAGGGAGGGAACCGCCAGAAGGCCCTCAGCACTGGACCTCAGCGTCCGGGCAAAACGGAGGTGGAGACGCCCCTGCAGGTATACTGGACTGACACCATTTAGGATTTTAAAGGTTAGCACCAAGACTTTGAATTGTGCTCGGAAACGTGCTGGGAGCCAGTGTAGGTCTTTCAGGACTGGTGTTATGTGGTCTCGGCTGCCGCATTCTGGATTAGTTGTAGTTTCCGGGTCACCTTCAAAGGGAGCCCCACGGAACTGCCTAGCGAGCAGCTGCTGGCAGCCTTTGAAACTCCCCTCTTTCCAGGCGCATTTTGCGACAGGGAATCTCATTGAAACGCGCAGTTTCCGAGCTCTGGGCGCAGGATTTCGGATTAAAACTGCAGAGTGGAAGGAAAGGAGGAGCTTTTTCTGCCTCCCCATTTCCAGCTGCTCTCTGAAGACTGGAGAAGAGACCCTCTTGAGAATACAGTGGTACCTTGGGTTAAGAACTTAATTCATTCCAGAGGTCCGTTCTTAACCTGAAACTGTTCTTACCCTGAAGCACCACTTTAGCTAATGGGGCCTCCTGCTGCCGCCGCACCGCCGGAGCACAATTTCTGTTCTCACCCTGAAGCAAAGTTCTTAACCTGAAGCACTATTTCTGGGTTAGCGGATTCTGTAACCTGAAGCGTATGTAACCCGAGGTACCACTGTATTAACGGGGTGGGCAGGGGAAGAACTAAGCCCAGGGTTGCCAGTGTGGGTCAGATGCCCCACAGGGGGGCAATTTGATTTTTAAGGGAGGCAGTTCGAGAATGAATTGTTGTTGTTTAGTCGTGTCCTCCTCTTCGTGACCCCCTGGACCAGAGCACGCCAGGCACTCCTGTCTGCCACTGCCTTCTGCAGTTTGGTCAAACTGATGTTCGTAGCTTCAATAACACTGTCCAACCGCCCTCTGTCGTCCCCTTCTCCTTGTGCCCTCCATCTTTCCCAACATCAGGGTCTTTTCCAGGGAGTCTTCTCTTCTCATGAGGTGGCCAAAGTCTTGGAGCCTCAGCTTCAGGATCTGTCCTTCCAGTGAGCACTCAGGACTGATTTCCTTCAGAATGGAGAGGTTGGATCTTCTTGCAGTCCATGGGACTCTCAAGAGTCTCCTCCAGCACCAGAATTCAAAAGCATCCATTCTTCGGTGATCAGCCTTCTTGATGGTCCAGCTCTCTGGGAAAACCAGAGCTTTAATTATACGGACCTTTGTTGGCAAGGCGATGTCTCTGCTTTTTAAGATGCTGTCTAGGTTTGTCATCGCTTTTCTCCCAAGAAGCAGGCGTCTTTTAATTGAGTTAGACCAAGTTAATGGCCTTTTATGCTTCCTCCACGTGAACAAGAGTTTGCATTTTGAATACGGTCGTACCAAATCGGCTCCCGGAAGTGAGCGTTCCGGTTATTGAATTATTTTCAGAAGCCGAATGTCTGGTGCAGCTTACATGGCTTCTGATTGGAAGCTCCTGCAGCCATCAGAAGCTGCATTTTGGTTTCCGAATGTTTTGGAAGTCGAACGGACTTCTGGAAAGGATTCCGTTTGACTTCCAAGGTATGAGTGTAATAAGAATTATATGTCACAGGGGAAAGCATCAGGGTTTTAGAGATGCTCAGGTGGGGCATTCCTCCCCCCCCCCAAGATTGGGAGCCACTGGACTAAACCATGTGAAAAATGAACATAATATTTTAGCTGCGGTTCATTCATTTTCAGCTTTGTATTCTTGTTATAAAAAAAGCGCAGCCAGAGATTCTGTTGTTGCACCCGTAACCTAGGCTTAAGGTACCATCTAGCTCCTAGCTTTCATATCTCAGTTTCTAACACTGGCTGCTAGGCATGCTGTCTCTTCCCTTCCCCTAACTTTGCACTTTTCTCCTTCTTCAGAATCCAATTATGACAGCTCAGGGCTGGCACCAGCATCTGCTATATTCTTTGCCGAGAGAACTTGATTGCACAGCTTCAGGTTACATACGCTTCAGGTTACACACTCCGCTAACCCAGAAATAGTGCTTCAGGTTAAGAACTTTGCTTCAGGATAAGAACAGAAATCGGGCTCCGGCGGCGTGGAGGCAGCGGGAGGCCCCATTAGTTAAAGTGGTGCTTCAGGTTAAGAATGGACCTCCGGAACGAATTAAGTACTTAACCCGAGGTACCACTGTAGTGATAAAATACCAATACTTCAGCCAGATGGGCGGGGTATAAATAATAAATTATTATTATTATTATTCAGAACCAAACTCATGTTGAGGCATGGCATGTAACTCTGATTAGGAAGTGAACTCCGTTGATTCAACAGCAGACAGAAGTTTAAGAACTGATCAATTCCTGGATAGGAGGTCAGGATACGATTTCCAGAATTACAGAATAGTCATAGGAAACCATGTTCCAGGCCCGGGCAGTGTAGGTTATGTCAGAATCAGGTCAATAATTCACATGGGGTCCACTGCTACAGAGCCCTGAGAGCATTTCCAAGTGTCTCACATAATAGCCTTGGTAGACCTCCTGGAATTTTCATTTATCTACTGTTGTTTTGGGACGTGGGTGGCGCTGTGGGTAAAACCTCAGCGCCTAGGACTTGCCGATCGCATGGTCGGCGGTTCAAATCCCCGCGGCGGGCTGATCTCCCATCGTTCGGTCCCAGCTGCTGCCCACCTAGCAGTTCGAAAGCACCCTTAAGTGCAAGTAGATAAACAGGTACCGCTATATAGCGGGAAGGTAAACGGCGTTTCCGTGTGCTGCTCTGGTGCCAGTTCACCGGAGCAGCTTCATCATGCTGGCCACGTGACCCGGAAGTGTCTGCGGACAGTGCTGGCTCCCGGCCTATAGAGTGAGATGAGCGCACAACTCTAGAGTCTGGCAAGACTGGCCCGTACGGGCAGGGGTACCTTTACCTTTACCTTACTGTTGTTTTAGGACATTCTTGTTTTGTTTTGTTTTGCTTTGTTTTGTTTTGTTTTGTTTTGTTTTTAAACCCAGCACTAACCGAAACCTGGCATTATGGTTGCATCAGAACGCTCAATGCAGTTTACAAAATAGGGTTAAAATTAGGGAAATTAAGTGTTTGAGAAGCCTTACAGTCGCTTCAGAATTTGCATTGCTGTGGTTAGTTTCTTCGTGTGCCACCTCCATGAGAGGTCCAGAGGGTGAGAACGTGAGAACAGGCCTTTTCTGTGGTGGCTCCCTGTTTGTGGCACCAAGGAGGCTCACCTGGTGCTTTTGTTACATAGCTTTAGGCGCCAGGTGAAAACGTTTCCCTTCAACGAAGCTTTTGGCTGATTAACAATACAGTGGTACCTCGGGTTATGTACTTAATTCGTTCCGGAGGTCCGTTCTTAACCTGAAGCACTACTTTAGCTAATGGGGCCTCCTGCTGCCGCCGCGCTGCCAGAGCACGATTTCTGTTCTCATCCTGAAGCAAAGTTCTTAACCCGAGATAATATTTCTGGGTTAGCGGAGTCTGTAACCTGAAGCGTCTGTAACCTGAGGTACCACTGTATGTATATCCTTTTAAATGAGTTTGTGGAAGGGAGGTTATTGGTTCATTTTGGTTTTTCTTTTATTATGTATTTTGTGTTTTCATTTTGCAATTTTAATGTTGTGAACTGCCCAGTGATCTTCAGAGGAAGGACAGTATGCATTAATAAATAACAACAATAGTAATAATAGCAGTAGTCATAACAATGATAATAGACAGCGTAGTGTTGAGTGGTATTGCTTCGCTTCAGACCCTGTTTCTTACAACACAGAGAATAGCCAGAATACAGTGGTACCTCGGGTTACAGACGCTTCAGGTTACATATGCTTCAGGTTACAGACTCTGCTAACCCAGAAATAGCACCTCAGGTTAAGAACTTTGCTTTAGGATGCGAACAGAAATCGCACAGTAGCGGTGTGGCGGCAGTGGGAGGCCCCATTAGCTAAAGTGGTGCTTCAGGTTAAGAACAGTTTCAGGTTAAGAACAGACCTCCAGAACAAATTAAGTTCTTAACCCGAGGTACCACTGCATAGTTCCTGTCTCACACCCAGCCGCTCCCTACATCTTGACTGCTCATTGGCAGTAGTAACAACATCTCATAGTGGTCATTTACACATTGAGGGAATCTGGGAGGTAAATGGACCTGCTGTCTGCCTGGAAAAACGAATATCATGTGCTGGTGGCATCAAATTAGTTGGGGTTTGTTCCGAACTGTTAAATGAGGGTAGGGACCCCCTAAGTAACCTCCATGCAGATCATTCTTTTAGTATTTATCCCTATTGGGGTGTGGGTGGAAAGACTGCCTTTTAGTGTTAAAGAACAGGCAAGCTGTATCTCTGATCTTAACACTGTGGTTGTGTTATCTCACTAAGGTTGTGAGATAAAAGGTTCCTCTGTCTGCTTTTTAGAGACCACTTTCTGAAGCAGGCAAAGCACTTGATTTCTCAATCTGATCTACTTCCCAATCAGAGCTGGGTAGGAAGGAGCTGGCACACTTCTTGCAGCTTCTCAGGTCTTCTTCTTCTTCGAGCCCTGGCAGCATATACATCAATAATATAATAAAAACAAAACATATTCTTTTAAAAAACCATTGATTTTTATCCACCCTGATGCATCTATATTTTGGTCACAGACCTGTCAGCAAACGTCTGTATTCAGGGTGTATTAAAAAATAGTATATAAATGGGACAGCTCAAAGTGCTAATTGTTGGCAATGTTACTAACTACGGAAGAATCCTTATGTTTCTGTTCCTTGGATTCAGAATCCAAGCAACACTTAGCATTGTGACCAATCTGCATTATATTGCTCGCCCTTGCTCTAATGTTTAGTTGAGGTTGCGCATGTACATGGAACAGCCATTACCAATCTGAATAATGTTTTCCTAATCACCTGAGAGAGATATTGTACTTTACAATCCATTATGCAGGGGTGAAACTAGGTTTTCTTTCACCCCGGGTCAAAGACTCAGTTCGGCACACACACCGCATGCACATTTGCACACACACACAGAGGCTGGGAGCCTCAGTGGTGCCCCTCTGGGCAGTGGCGTACCATGGGGGGTGCAGGGGGGGCCGGCCGCACCGGGCGCAACATCTGGGGGTTAGGGTTAGGGGGCGCAAATCCACGGGTTAGGGGGCACAAATTACTTGCCTTGCCCCGGGTGCTGACAACCCACTCTACGCCACTGCCTCTGGGGGCTTCACTCGTGGCAAAAAAAACCATTTCCCCCCCCCTATAGCTACAGCACTGCAATATGTTAAATAATACCGTATTTTTCTGTGTATAACTCGCACCCATGTATAAGACGCCCCCTATTTTGGGGAATTCCAGATTAAGAAAATGGGGGAGATTGCCCAGAGTTGTTGAGCTTTTTTGTTGGGGGGGGGGACTGGCAAAATTCGCTCACCTGCGCTGCCACTCGCACACGTTGCAATAGCCACTTATGGTCTGTCCCTTCATCAGCAGAAGACGCCAATCGCCCGCCCAATTGACGCGGCAGCAGCCAATCAACACCAGCCCTTGCTGCAGCCACCAATAACACACCCAATAGCCGCAGACAATCTCTGGCCTGCAGCAGCTGCCAATCACACATCCCCCCTATGCACTATCTGTGTATAAGACGACCCCAATTTTTTTACCTTATTTTTTAATATAAAAACCCCCTCGTCTTATACACAGAAAATTATGGTATTTCGTGAAGGCTGAAGTTGAGCCTTTTTTTAAAATGAAAAGCAGTTTGCTTATTTATACCGTTCTTTTTCTTTGCAGGTCAACTTGAACCTCATTCAGACAGAAAGTGGGGGAGCATTGGGGGTAAGCCTGAACCCTGTTACGAAACCTATCCCTGCAGCAGTTGTGGACAAGGATGCCTTCCTGCACTCCAGCAGTAAACAAAAGAGGGAGGTGGACTGCAAAATAGGACACTATCTTCACCCAAATAAAACCCACTGCTGCCTTAGATGCCACAAAGGTATGACAGAGTGTAAAACAGAGTAATAACGATGAGTTGTGATTTCCTATTTTTGTGTACCCCTGATTTGGTCAAGAATCCAGTTTTTGAAAAATGCACTTTTTTATTTCCCCCCACTTCAACTCAAATATAATTGCATAGCAGTGAAAAGCAATAGCTTCGCTGGAGTATACCAAAGTATGGTAGACACTTGTAATGAGTGAGTTCTTGCAGCTGGTTGGGAACTGCTAGGGGAGACAGAAGGAAGGTAGCCTTTTTTTGGCAACAGTTGTGCCCTTTTATCCTATCTCACCAGAAAACTAGATAAATCTAACCTAAAAACTAGATAAAGCTGAGATTCCATATACAATTAGTCTTGGTTTGTGCTTTCCGTTGGGCATTTGGATTGCTGTTGGGGCCAGGGTTGGGGGAGTCCCTGGCTATTTGAAATTCAGACAATGTCTGACCTATGCTCTTACCAAGGTAAAAGGTAGTGGTGGTGCTTACCCCACCATAGCATTCTCTTAAATCCATCCTCCTCAGCAACTGTTGGCTGTATTTTGATATCAGTAACCAAAGCTTGCTCCAGTAACTTTTAGACCTCAGACTGATGCAGGAGGAAAGGAGGAACTGATACTTGGACGTTAGTTGCAATTCTTCCTCCTTTAGCCGCTCAGCGAATGGGTGAATACATTACTAATTTGCATGATTTATTCAAATATTTCAATACAAATGGCTAGCTGTCCTTTTACCGCACCTGCTTGGCACACATACCTCTTTTCACACCTGCAAACCACTTTCCTGTGTTCATTGTATATGTTTTCAGAACACAGACAACTGTGAGTGATTGAGCTCAAATCTGCTAGGGGAACAGTTTCTCCTTGTGTCCCTCAGTTTATTCTTCTGGAGGGCAAACGGTTGTACAGCTGGCTAGAAAGTAGAATGTTTTCCAAATTTAGCAGAGCGCAGTATGAGTAACTTCCGTCAAGACTGTAAAGCAACTTTGCAAGGTGTTCTAGAAACAACAGACATGAAATCAGAGATTTTCTAGAAATTTAGTTTTATTGAGAAAGTATTATGAATACTCCGTAGCTAACTGTGAAGGCTGTGGCAGAGAGAGGACAGAACGAGAAGTAATGCTGGAATGAAGCTGTACAATGGATTGCTTTGGCTTCCGGACTGTGGGGAAGGATGGAATTGTTTTGGGAACAGAAAAGCTGCAGGGGGAGAGACAGTGGAAATTATTCATTTCCTTCCTTTCTGCATAAGGGTAGGAAGAAAATGGTAGCTTTCTTTCTTATCCTCTCTCAGAGCAGAAGGGGCAGGGATCCTTAGCATCAGTGTAAATCCGAAAAGAATTGTAGAATCATAGAACTGTAGAGCTGGATGGGATACAAGGGTCATCTAGTCCATGGGTAGGCAAACTAAGGCCCAGGGACTGGATCCGGCCCAATCGCCTTCTAAATCCAGCCCACGGACGGTCCAGAAATCAGCGTGTTTTTACATGAGTAGAATGTGTCCCTTTTATTTAAAATGCATCTCTGGGTTATTTATGGGGCATAGGAATTCGTTCTCCCCCCCCCCAAAAAAAATATAGTCCACCCCCCGCACAAGCTCTGAGGGACAGTGGACCGGCTTCCTGCTGGAAAAGTTTGCTGACCCCTGTAGTCCAACCCTCTGCAATGCAGGAATCTCAGCTAAAGCATCCATGACAGATGGCCATCCAACCTCTGCTTAAAAACCTCCAAGGATGGAAAGTCTATCCAAAGGGAGTCCGTTCCACTGTCTAATGGCTCTTGCTGTTAGAAGAAGGTTCTTAAGAGTTGTGGTTGCCAGGGTTTGTGGATGCCAGATTCCCCACAATTCCTGGGTCTGATAGGTGTTAGTATTTAATCAATTCTTGGAGTGTTAAAAAGGCTGCCAGACACAGGATTTAGCCAAGTGTTAAAATGCAGGCCAACCAGCTTTCTGCATTCAGGAAATGGCCTGGGAGATCAGTCCTTAACCAAAGGCAAAGGGAAGGTAATGGGCCATTAGAAATGGCAGAAAGAGGGGACTGAAAATGAGAGGGGGTCTCCCTCAGCTCTGAGATACTTAGCAGAGTCCAAGCAGACTAGAGTTTAGGATTGCAGTTGTGGTGATGTTATTTAGGGATAAGAGATTCCCGTCTGAAAAAAGTCTGCAAGCTGCAGACAGGCAGAGCCATGGCTGGTGTCAGTTTGAATCCCAGGCTGCAGGGAGATTCAAGATTCTCTTGGAGTGTAATGCTGGGAGACCCTCTATTGCAAGCTCTGCTTGTATATATGTGGCGTGGGTGGCACTGTGGTCTAAACCACTGAGCTTGCCCATCGGAAGGTTGGCGGTTTGAATCCCCGTGACAGAGTGAGTTCCCGTTCCTCTGTCCCAACTCCTGCCAACCTAGCAGTTCAAAAGCACGCCAGTGCAAGTAGATAAATAGATACCACTGTGGAGGGAGGGTAAATGGCATTTCTGTGCTCTCTGGCTTACGTCATGGTGTTCCTTGCACCAGAAGTGGTTTGGTCATGCTGACCACATGACCTGGAAAGTCGCCTAGGATTAGACTTAACGGTCCAGGGGTCCTTTACCTTTACATCCCAGTCTCTGCTGTGCCTCATTTCCAAAGCATTTCCCTGGGTAAAGTGTGCCTGGAACTCCCTGCAATCTCGCACCGCTGCAGAGATTGGAAGTGGCACGTCAAAAATTAAGACCATATTCCTACTGAAGTCAGTGGGACATACTTCTGAGTTTGAATCCCAGGCTACAGCTGTGGGAGAAGACTCTTTCGGAGTGTGTTGTTGTTGTTCAGTCATTTAGTTGTGTCCGACTCTTCATGACCCCCTGGACCAGAGCACGCCAGGCACTCCTGCCTTCCACTGCCTCCCGCAGTTTGTTCAAACTCATGCTGGTAGCTTCGAGAACACTGTCCCACCATCTCGTCAGTGTGGTGTAGTGGTTAAGAGCGGTAGTCACGTAATCTGGGGAACCAGGTTCGCGTCTCCGCTCCTCCACCTGCAGCTGCTGGGTGACCTTGGGCCAGTCACACTTCTCTGAAGTCTCTCAGCCCCACTCACCTCACAGAGTGTTTGTTGTGGGGGAGGAAGGGAAAAGGAGATTGTTAGCCGCTTTGAGACTCCTGAAGGGGAGTGAAAGGCGGGATATCAAATCCAAACTCTTCTTCTTCTTCTCTTCTCGTCCTCTGTCGTCCCCTTCTCCTTGTGCCCTCCATCTTTCCGAACATCAGGGACTTTTCCAGGGAGTCTTCTCTTCTCATGAGGTGGCCAAAGTATTGGAGCCTCAGCTTCACCTCTTGGAGTGTAATGTCGGTTAAAATGCAAGCTGCAACTCCAAGCAATGGTTTTAGACAGCAGCCTAAGCCACCCTGTAGGGCTGGGTTGGGGAGTGAGTGATAAAAAGTAGGGCTGGATTGAACCTGGGACATTTTGTATATAAATCACATGCTGTTGTACCATTGAGCTACTGAAACTTTCATTTTATGCTCAGCCTTGCATTCCTTTTCTCACTGAATGACTTTTTCCTGCTTCCTCTTGGATAATTCTTTTGCAGGAACTTTCGTTGCACAACACTGTTTAGACCCTGAAAAGGCAACCAAGTGCTCAGTATGCTCTGAGGGTTCCTTCATTGATGAAGATAATAGCTCTGAGCAGTGTCGCGGATGCCGACGCTGCCGTCCAAGTAAGTCGTTTCTCTGTGTGTGTTCAAAATTTAAATAATAAAAATAAAAAAGTGGCAGTGAAAGGCCCCTGCGTTGGGAATGTTGAATATGTGTATTGACTTTAGTTTACTTGTTTCTTGAGCATTAATGGCCCACATAGAATTAACCAACACTTCCTCTCTTTCTGCTTAGCCTTTGGACAAATAGAGATATCCAAATGTACCAGTGAGCACGACACAGTTTGCGGTTGCGGCAGTGATCAATATCAAAGTAGCCACAGTGATGAATTCATGTGCAAGAATTGCAGTGCTTGTCTCAATGGAAGAATCAAGCTGGCTTGTGAGTGCAGTAGGACAGAATCAATGTCTTAAAAAAATGACTTCATGAATAAATTCATTTACTCATACTAGGAACAGAGACTCTCGCCCCTACAGCAAAGCTGTGCATCTGTCTTTGGTGCAAGCTGTGTGTGCTGGCAAACTTGAATTCCTTCAACTCTCCTTGTCCTATAATACTGGTTTTCCTTATTTTTACCCCTCCCTCTCTTCTCCAGCTTTATGTATTTCTTTTAATGTGATATGTCCTTAAGCCCAGCACCCTTAAAGCAGTATTAAATTTGAATGCTGGTGCTCTGTATACAGTCCTTAAAATTTCACCTGTTAACTTTCTGAAGATGCTTCTTAAGCAGAGAATGTTCTCTTAAACATGCTTTGTCCTTGTTCTTAACCTCAGCATACACCTGCAAGCACATCAAATTATCCTTCTGCACTTATTCTGACTGCAGGATGTACCTACTCCTAGCTTGGAGAGCACCACTTTGTCTACCCCTGGCCTAGAATTTTGAGCTCCCCTGCTGCGTTTACCGTATTGGCCCAAATATAAGCCGCCCTTTCCCCCAGAATTCCGACCGTGAAAAGTTAAAGTGCAGCTTAAATTTGTGACTTTACAAAAACTGGCTTTTACGATATCGCACCTGAAACAAACATACGGTAAAACGGAACAAAAACAATGCGTTATTGACAATTTGCAAGCTCGAGACTGTTCATTTGCCATTTATGGGTGTGAGCGACTGTGGAATTGTAGCAACTGAATTGTTATTTGCGATTTTAGCAACTGTACAGTAACTTTTGCGGGCTTTAATCAAAGGCTTAAATTGGCTCGGAGTTACAATTCTACTAACAGCAGCGATTTTCAGCCTGTATCCGAATTTTAAGGGAGTGGTTTATATTCAGGTATTGTTTTTTTTTCTTCCCCTCCCTTGAATTTTGAAGCTGCGGCTTATATTCGAGCCAATACTGTAATTGTGAAATTAAATTGTGAACAGATTCTTTCTCTTAGAACCATTCTGTTAATTCACCCATTCTCTTTTCGCCCTGCAGAGGGCACAGTTAAATGTGTTGACACAGGAGATCTGTGATCAGGACCTCCTGCAATTTCTTCCTAATGTAACCACACCACTGGCCCTGATTCAGACCAGGAGCATAGTGCTGGGGAAAGATGCTGGCTCCTTCTCATGCCCTCTGATTCTTCTTCTCCAGAGCTGTTTTCTTGATTAAAATCCCATCTCTGAAGCTATTGTTTTCCCCAAGAGGAAAAATAGGCAGGTATTGTCTGAGAACCTGTTATGTCTCCACCTGTAAATTGGCCCCACAGTTATCAATGGGAAAACCACTGCATATGGGAAATGTTGATCAGATTTTGGCACCCTACTGCTGTTGCTGAATTGCCTTTAAAGCCACAAGTGATCCTGAATGTGGAACTTCTGCATCACATCTAACTTGTCCCCAGATAATAAACACCACTTAGGTGCTACTGTGTTTGAGTGAGATCCAAATCACTGAAATGAAATATCTCCTTCTCTCACTTATCTTTTCTTTCTAGGTACCAAATTCCGTGACACAATATGTGAGTGTCGCTCGGGATACTTTCTCCAGAAAGATGAAAACAAGTGCTACCCATGCAGCAGGTGGGGAAAATCTTGTTATCTGCATTTTCTCAGACACACAGAAAGTAAAGGCAGCCGTGTTGGCCCATAAGGAAAAAACAAAAAAATCCAAAGTCTGTATAATGCCACACCTTTATTACACCAACTGAAATGTCACAGAATAGTATGCAAGATCCTAACCTCCCCAGAAAATAGGAGGAACTTTAGTGCTATACAGTGGTACCTTGGTTCTCAAACTTAATCCGTTCCAGAAGTCCGTTCCAAAACCAAAGCGTTCCAAAACCAAGGCACGCTTTCCCATGGAGAGCAATGCAAAATGGATTACCGTATTTTTCGCTCTATAAAACACACCAGACAACAAGACGCACCTAGTTTTTGGAGGAGGAAAGCAAGAAAAAAAATATTCTGAATCTCAGAAGCCAGAACAGCAAGAGGGATCGCTGCGCAGTGAAAGCAGCAATCCCTCTTGCTGTTCTGGCTTCTGGGATAGCTGCGCAGCCTGCATTCGCTCCAGAAGACGCACACACATTTCCCCTTACTTTTTAGGAGGGAAAAAGTGAGTCTTATAGAGCAAAAAATACGGTAATCTGTTCCAGACTTTTAAAAACAACCCCTAAAACAGCCAATTAACATGAATTTTACTAACGAAAGCATGGATCCATAAATGAAAGCAATAAACGATGTACTGCAGTCACACAATCAATCAGTAGCTGAACTGGGTTCCACACAGTCACAAAAAAAGAGCCACAAAAACAAAAATGCAAAATAAATAGCAAAAACAGACAGACCCCAGTGTAACACTCAAATCGGAAGCGCAGCACTCGAAACAGAAGTGTGGCACTCAAATCGGAAGCGTAACACTCAAAGCGAAGCATGTTCGGCTTCCGAAAAAAGTTCGCAAACCGGAACACTTACTTCCGGGTTTGCAGTGTTTGGGTTCCAAGTTGTTTGAGTACCAAGGCGTTTGAGAACCAAGATACCACTGTAAGGTAGTATTTGTCTCCTGTGCAACTGAGACCCACTTTTTCCTATTTCAGCTGCAATGAGAAAGAAGAATGCAAGATGGACTGCGACTTTTTCGTTAAAGTGATAAAGCCAGAAAATAACCCACGTAAGTTCTGGAATAATACTTGGACAACACTCCAGGTATCTCTCTTTAGCCCTTGATACAATCCACAGCAACAACTTTTACCAGCCCTGCTTCACACCTCAATTGTTCTTGCATGGCTGGCAGAGGCACCAACTTCCAAGGGAGAAGGGGGGGGTGACGTCACGTGATGTGTGATGTCAGGAAGAGCCGGACTCCTGGGTGTAGCTGTTGCCTCCCCTAGATCAAGTAAAACAATACAAATACTTAACTAACGGACCAACCACGTCGCTTCTGCCCTGCTTAACAAAAGTTCTGCCCCCTCTAACAAAAATCCTGGCTATGCCCATCGCTGGGGTGGAACTGAATGCAGAAGGTCACGGCTCCTCCTCCTCCTGTGGGATTTGCTTCCTTATTCCTTCCCCTCCAATTCAGCAGAAGGAGAAGAAGCCAGTCACTGAAGTGCTTGGTTCCGCCCTTGGCCTCTTCCTCTCACTTTGAACATGGGGAGGGGGGTCCCAAAGGGCTTGGCCCCTAGGAGAAGGCACACCTGATGACTGGAGAGTGTCCTTGAACTTTGACATCATTTACTTGCGTGGATGGAGGATAGAGAGGGCGTGTCTAGAAAGAAACCGACAGAACAAACGTAAAATGTACATTTGTTACTCCACCCATTTACGCCTCTGGCGCCATCCACTGTTAGCATGTGACCCCCCCAGATGCTTGCGCTTGGACTACTGCAATGCGCTCTACCTGGGGCTACTTTTGAAGGTGACCCAGAAACTGCAATTAATCCAGAATTCGGCAGCTAGACTGGTGACTGGGAGTGGCCGCAGAGACCATATAACACCGGTCCTGAAAGACCTACATTAACTCCCAGTACGTTTCCGAGCACAATTCAAAGTGCTGGTGCTGACCTTTAAAGCCCTAAACGGCCTCAGCCCTGTATATCTGAAAGAACGTCTCCACCCCCATCGTTCAGCCTGGACACTGAGGTCCAGCTCCAAGGGCCTTCTGGCGGTTCCCTCACTGCCAGAAGTGAGGTTACAGGGAACCAGGCAGAGGGTCTTCTCAGTAATGATGCCCGCCCTGTGGAACACCCTCCCATCAGATGTCAAAGAAATAAACAACTATCTGACTTTTAGAAGACATCTGAAGGCAGCCCTGTTTAGGGAAGTTTTCAATGTTTTATGTTACTTTTTTATTTATATTTTGTTGGAAGCCACCCAGAGTGGCTGGGGAAACCCAGCCAGATGGGCGGAGTATGTATGTATGTATGTATGTATGTATGTATAAATAAATATCATTATCATTATGCAGACCTCAGGCTGAAAAAGGTCCCCCATTCCTGCTCTCTAATACCTGACATTGACTTCACTTTCCAATCATTGATCTCCACGCCACATTTGCCTCTGTGCTCTAGCTATCCTATCCATCTCTTCGCACCTGTTTTCCTATCCTTCCAGACCCTATCATCTATATTATGCTTATTTTTCCTTACAGACCAAGCACTTCTCCTCACTATAATAGTCATTTTAATCGTAACTGTCGGTGTATTGCTGTTGGTGAACATACTTCGCAAACGATCCTGTCAGAAGAGGTTCAGCTCCACTTTCTGTCCATTTGGTGAGTATAGCACTTGCCTGTTGGAGGATCCAGATTAGGAGAAGTCTGTGGCTTCAAAGCTGAGCAAGGGGAGACTTGCAAAGGGCTTTAAGGAAGCACAAACAGGAGCAGCGTGTGCAGGGTGGCGTGCTGCCTTAAAGCCCTTTCTAAAAACTCTGTGAGGCAACTGCTCCCCTTATCCTTCAAATATTGGAGAGAGCAGGTGGGTGGGGAGTATGTGGGGAACTTGCAGATGCTTTAAGACAGTCCCAGCGCTCATGCTTGATCCCCCAGAGGCTCAGATGGATGGCCGGGGTGGTGGTGCGCTGTCTTATAGCAAAATCTTTTTGAAGCAGCCTCTTCCCCTTCTTTAAGTGAATGGTCAGCAGAATGACTCCACCGTGCCCTAGAGCTGCCCAACTTCTTGCTCTAGTGTTTAAAGGAGAAGAGGGGGGCTGCTTTAAGGAGCGTGGGTTCCCCCCCCAAAGGACTTTCCCTTTGCAAATGTGCTTTTCAAAGCAGCTCTGCTTCTCCTTTGAGTAGGCAGTTCCCACATAAGCACACAGCTTAGACCTGTGGCCGCCACTGTGCCAGCCATGGACACAGTGACACCTTTGAGAACTACCTTCTAGGCCCCTGTGGTGATCTTGCCCCTTTAAGACTGATTTATAGGAATAGGTTAGAATTTAAGAAATAGTGAGCATACATACAGCTGTCTCCCATTAAGGCTTCAAGGCCGGTGTCACAAGGTAATTGGGTGGAAGAGGTGAACACCCATGGTCTAAGTTCCCATAAAACCTGGGTTGGTGGGAGCTCTCGCCAGTCAGCCAGGCATCTATTTGGGCTTTGACAGCATCTTGTTCCTACTGAGATTTAGCTGGATAAGTTAGTGTTTGTTATTTTCTTCCCTTCTGAGCTATTTTTAATCTCTGCAATTATTTGCAGTTTCTCTCATAGAGTTTTGTTTCAGTAAAGTCAGTGTGTGATATTATGAAATTTGGTCTGGTCTGAGTTTCTGAACCCTTAAATTTTGACCATGCTTTTTGGCGCAAGGGTCATCCACCGCAGCCCCTGCTGCTCATTGATGCAATTTTCATAATTTCATAAGATGATGAGAACGGGTACCTTTTTCTCCTTTAAAAATACATGTAGTGGATAAATTAGTTGAGAGAGAGACAGACAGACAGGTTCTTTCTCATTTTCTCTTTCAGTTCTAAGTGCTTCTCAAGGCTCAGATTGACAGCTGAGCAGGTATCCAGAAAGTAGGAGGGGAAGGGGAACAATCTGGTAGACTGGATGGAGGAAAACAGAATAAGGGGGTTGAGAGGGGACAAGAGAAGGAATGCAGGGTGCCACGGAAATTGGGAGAGAAAGAGAATGGAGTGTCAGAGAGAAAAAATTCACAAGTGGTCGCCAGTGAAACAGATCTTCTTGTAATTGTAAAATTTTTCCATGGGTTCCCTTCCCTCCCACTTCCATCACCATCAAATCACAGATCAAGTGCTCTCCAGCCCTGATATGGCACAAAAGCATGAATCCAAAGTACATTTGGAACCTCATAATGTTTTTAAAACTACCATCAAATCATAGGCCACTTCTGTTTGTTGGTGGTCTTCGTGCTATGTAAAAAAAGCTATGAAGATCCATGAGAATCTGTGCCTTGTATCAGTAATAATAAAAATAATTTATTATTTATACCCCTCCCATATGGCTGGGTTTCCCCAGCCAATCTGGGCGGCTCCCAACAGAATTAAAAGCACAATAAACTATCAAACATTAAAAACTCACCTAACAGGGCTGCCTTCAGATGTCTTCTAAAAGTCAGATAGTTGTTTATTTCCGTGACATCTGATGGGAGGGCATTCCACAGGGCAGGCGCCACTACCGAGAAGGCCCTCTGCCTGGTTCCCTGTGTTCTTGTGGTGCTGGCAAGCACAGGATCTGCCATCTTTACTGTGCAGGCTACCCAAGTAAGCTTTAATTTGATGTGCTTTTGGTGGGGCTCCAGGTAAAATCCTGCAAAATCAAGAAGATCCAACATTTACCCAGACCCCATGGAAGAACAAAGAGGGGCGAGCTGGGGAAGAGAAGCCATCAGAGGGATATCAATGGCACCATTTCAAAATTCCAAAAAGTTTGGCATATGACCCAACAGGCTGCAATGCCTCCAGTATCTCTGTAGCCTAGTTATGCGTACTCCAAGTCCTTTAGTGAAGTGAATATAAGCAGAACTCTGGTCTTCAACACAACCCTGGCTGTTAAATGCATCCAGTAGCTAGTAGCTGCCACCATTTGTGTTTGCTAAAGAATCATCTAGCTGTCTATTAGCTTGACAATAACAATAAAGCTAATTTTCTCTTTTGATGGCTGTAAAATAATTTATTCTGGGGTTTTTTTCAGCTTCAAATCTGCAGCCAACAAGTGAACCTTCCCCAGAGGTAAGTTGTTGCAAAGGTTTCTAAAATTCCTCTAAACCTCAGGATTGTTTGCAGTTTATGCCTAGCTTTCTTATTTTCTAAGTTCAGCCAACTGCATGCTTGACGTTTCTCTTGTTCCTTAGGTGGTAGAGAAAGGAAAATGCACATTTCTGGAACAAAACCAGACAGACAATCTTTTGCCACTGAAAGCCACACCAGCTGACCTCCCAGATTGTGTAAGAGTGGCAGGAGAAACACAAATTTCGGATCGTGAGTGCATTTTAATTTCAGAAATAAAACGTGGGCAGCGGGCGGGGGGAAGAATATGTGAGTTATGTGTGCATTGCTCCTATAAAGGTGTGTAGGGGTGTGTTTGTGTGTGAGAGAAAGAGAGGGAGAACTATTGCCTGCATCAAAAACCCAAGAAGGTGCTAAAATCCTGAATTTGAATGTTACAAAGAAATCCAGAAAAGCGGAATGCCAGTTGCTGAGAACCTTGTGGGGAAAGCACTGCTGTACTTAAGTCTTTTTGTGGGCTTCCCATGAACATCCGGTTGACCACTCTGAGAACAGAATGCATGAATAGAAGAACCCTTGCCTGATCCATCAGAGCCCTTGTTTTCTTAAGTGCAGCTATCTGGTTATATGGGACATTGCAGATTGCTCATGTTTCACTACAGTGGTACCTTGGTTCTCAAACTTAATCAGTTCCAGAAGTCTGTTCCGAAACCAAAGCGTTCCAAAACCAGGGCACGCTTTCCCATGGAAAGTGATGCAAAACGGATTAATCCATTCCAGACTTTTAAAAACAACTCCTCAAACAGCAATTTAACATGAATTTTACTATCTAACGAGACCATGGATCCATAAATGAAAGCAATAAACAATGTATTGCAGTCACACGGTCAATCAATCAGTAGCTGAACTGGGTTCCACGCAGTTACAAAAACCAAACAAAATAAATAGCAAAAACAGACAGACCTCAGCGTAACACTCAAAATGGAAGTGTGGCACTCAAAAAGGAAGTGTAACTCTCAAAACGGAGCACGTTCGGCTTCCGAAAAAGGTTCGCAAACCGGAACACTTACTTCCGGGTTTGCAGTGTTTGGGTTCCAAGTTGTTTGAGTACCAAGGCGTTTGAGAACCAAGTTACCATTGTATTTCACGTTGGTAATACAATCAATGTGCTATTAAGGAAACATGGCTGTCTCAGAGAGCAGTTTTTCAAAAATAGGGAGACTGGAAATAATTTTTGTTACTGACAATTTATACTACACTAGGGTTTCCTAAACGTGGGTGTTTTTGGACTACAACTCCCATCATCCTTAGCTAGCAGGACCAGTGATCAGGGACGATGGGAATTGTAGTTCCAAAAAACAGCTGGAGGCCCAAGTTTGGGAAACCCTGACACAGACCAAATACTGGGAGGTGCGCAGAGCATAACTCTCACAGCATCACTTGATTTCTTCTTTGTTCCTTTTACCCCTAGGTCCTGAAGTTTTGTACGCTGTGGTGGATCAAGTACCGCTGACCCGGTGGAACGAATTTGTGCGGCGCCTGGGACTGAATGAAATTTCCATAGAGAGGATTTATGCAGAGCATCGGCACATTCGAGAAGCACAATATGTCATGCTGAGACAATGGAGGCAGCAAGCAGGCCATGGGGCCACTGTAGAGCGCATTTGTTATGTTCTCAACCAAATGGAGATGAGTGGCTGTAGTGAGACTATTCAGGAGGTTCTGTCCAACCTGCCTTAGATGTACTGCATCAGTACTCACACCAAGCACAATCACCTCTTGATGACTTGTAACATCATGGTGGATTGTGTGTTTGAATGTGCCATTGTGCCATAAACAGAACTTGTAGGTGTATTACCTCCAGCACAAATGTTTTTTTCAATGGAGTAAGCGCACTGTGTTCCATTCATAAGCAATCGAGAAATATGTGTCTGAAACAGGTTCTTCTTCCCATCCCTGCCAAGTCTAGGCCCTCCTTTCAGAGGGCTTATCCACTCTTCCTTTTGTCCTACTGCTTCCCTCACCCAGGGGAAACTGCTCTTTAGCTTGTAACTGGAGCAAATGGCAATCTGGTTTTCCGCAGTTCTTATCTATCTCTTAAAGAGTGGGTTTTCTTGGAAAGGAGCGGGGCAAACGGCAAACCACTTGGACCCATGCTTTCTAGGCATGGCACAAGCAGAAGTGTGTGCAAGCCCAGTTAGATTTTGGCCTCTTCACTTGCTTGTCATCTACTTTATTATTCTTTTTTGTAGAGACTGAAAAGCGACTTAATCAAGTATGTTTCTGAGCACAGTTCAAAGTGTTGGTGCTGACATTTAAAGCCCTAAATGGCCTCGGCCCAGTAGACCTGAAGGAGCGTCTCCACCCCCATCGTTCAGCCTGGACACGGAGGTCCAGCGCCGAGGGCCTCACTGTGAGAAGTGAAGCTACGTGGAACCAGGCAGGGGGCCTTCTTGATAGTGCGCCTGCCCTGTGGAACACCCTCCCTTCAGATGTCAAAGAAATAAACAACTACCTGACTTTTAGAAGACGTCTGAAGGCAGCCCTGTTTAGGGAAGTTTTTAATGTTTGGTGTTTTATCGTGTTTTTAATATTCTCTTGGGAGCCGCCCAGAGTGGCTGGGGAAACCCAGCCAGGTGGGCGGGGTATAAATAATATTTTTTTAAATCAAATGTTCTACTTTATAGGATTGTGAGAATGTCTCTTAAATGAATACTCCCGGCCTTTTCTGATCCAGGACTCTTTCAATCCCAACCAGTTTGAATGTGTGTTGGGGTTTTTAAAAAAAACAAATGTATATATCCATTTTCATATATTTGTGCTGTTTCTCTTTCTGCCTCCCACGAGGTCTTCAGGGCATGCGTACACTACAGACATCTTGGTTAACTGTGGTTCCTTTTGTGTATGGAGCATTGGGAATTGTCGTTTGGAGCACTAACAGACAATTTTAGCTCGTGTAAATTGGCAGGAAGACATTAGAATCAAAGAATCGTAGAGTTGGAAGGGACCCAAGGGTCATCTAGTCCAACCCCCTGCAATGCAGGAATCTCAGCTAAAGCATCCAGGACAGATGGTCATCCAAGCTTTGCTTAAAAATCTCCAAGGAAGGAGAGTACACAACCTCCCAAGGGAGACTGTTCCACTGACTAATAGCTCTTCTGTCAGAAAGTTTTTCCTTAGGTTTAGTCAGAATCTCCTTTCTTCCAACTTTAAGCCATTGGTTTGAGTCCTACCCTCCAAAGCAGGAGAAAACAAGCTTGTTCCCTCTTCCATGTGACGTGTGACTATCATATCTTCTTTCAGTCTCCTCTTTTCCAAGCTAAACATACCCAGCTCCTTCAACCGTTCCTCATAAGGCTCAGCCTTTATAGAACTAGCATAAACAAGTAGCCATAATCTTGCTCTAAATCTTTGCTTGTCTTTACCACCATCATATTCTTTCTCTCTTCCTTTAAAAAAAAATTAAAAATCCAATATTGTGGGGACATTTGTGCAACCCACCAATGGATTCTAAATCACTAGCTGAAAACAATTTTAGGCTACAATCCTATGCACCTTTGGATAAGTTCCAATGAACATAGTGGGATTTACTTTTGAGTAAATGTGCACAAATTTGCACTGGCAGTTGGCAAAAATTGCACTCTCCTGTACAGCGTAAAGTTAATGAAAGTTAGGAGGAAATATTTCAATCAGAAATTCAGTAGAGGTGCTCCGGCATAAATAGTATTTGTTGGTTGATTGGCGTCTGTCTGTTTCAAGAGACAATGGAGTGTGCCTCTGGGGGTGAAGCCTGGGCAGTGTGCATGGAGGGTCTGGGAATGGCAGTTTTATCTGTATATATTTGCCATTTGGGTTAAGTAATGCAGTTAAGTATTTTGTATATACTTTTGTTGTATCTTTGTGTGACCCTTTTTATAACTGAGCGACCAAGTCTCTGACAAAATACAGCCATACGAATGCGCTTTCTTTTATATTTTCTTGAACACGTTTGTTCATTCTACACTATAGATATAAATGCCTAAATTTGTAATACAAATAAAAACCTGAAAGCAAAAGAGAAGCTGTTTTTCCTTTCTTTTTCCCAACAAAAGCCCATGAGCAAAGAGAGACAAATGCCTTTACTCAGCATCCCCTTTCATTTAAATCACACCTTTTCCAGTATTCCAAGTTGTGTGTTTGTTTCTTATTCTTATTATTGTGTGTTTGTGTCTCTCTGGCGATCCCTCGTAGCCGAGTAAGATTGTCTTCCATAAACACAGTGTTAAGAATGAGTCCGTAAGTGACTGTGGAGGCCAATTCTGGATCCACACGTCCTTCCACAGTGGGGACATAGGTTTCCGGGAGGGAGTTGATCACGGTGTGGATTTGCCAAGCGTGCCTTCCTCTTAGCACGTTTCTCCCTTGCGTCCTGAGTTCGAGCGTCTTCAAAGCCCAGGACACCTTTGGTAAAGGCTGTTCTCCAACTGGAGCACTCGCAGGCCAGTGTTTCCCAGTTGTCAGTGTGTATAATACATTTTTTTAGATTTGCCTTGAGACAGTCTTTAAACCTCTTTTGTTGACCATCAGCATTAGGCTTAAGAGTGCTGGAGGAGACATACAGTGGTACCTCAGGTTAAGTACTTAGTTCCGGAGATCTGTTCTTAACCTGAACCTGTTCTTAACCTGAAGCACCACTTTAGCTAATGGGGCCTCCTGCTGCTGCTGCGCCGCCGGAGCCCGATTTCTGTTCTTATCCTGAAGCAAAGTTCTTAACCTGAAGCACTGTTTCTGGGTTAGCGGAGTCTGCAACCTGAAGCGTCTGTAACCCGAGGTACCACTGTAGTTGTGTTAGGCAGTCCAAACTCCATCCTGCATCCATGATTACAGAGGTGCATCTGAAGCTGGTTTGGATGTGCAGTTTGAGACAGCAAAAGCCCATCAAATCTCAGATGGTAGAGAAAGCCTAACCTTTCATTATACTGAGAGCCAGTGGTGTGGTGCAGTGGTTAGAGCGGTGGACTCGTAATCTGGGGAACCGGGTTCGAGTCTCTGCTCCTCCACCTGCAGCTGCTGGGTGACCTTGGACCCATCACACTTCTCTGAAGTCTCTCAGCCCCACTCACCTCACAGAGTGTTTGTTGTGGGGAGGAAGGGAAAGGAGAATGTCAGCCACTTTGAGACTCCTGAAGGGGAGTGATAAAGCAGGGTATCAAATCCAAACTCCTCCTCTCCTCAGATTCCTTCCCAGGCCAAAGCCAGCGCCCATTTGCACAAAGTAGCCCTCCTGCCCTTCCATTCGTTTGCATGCTAACTGGCAGCACTTTCAAATACTGTTTGCACCCGATCCCATCATCCTCCGCTCGGTTCCCCAACATACGATGTTGGACTAAAATAACAATCATTTGTTATTTATACCCCGTTTGTGCTGCTTCGCATTCTATGCCTCGTGGGCTAAGCCCATTTCACGGAACTGCGGACCCAGAGAGTCTTCTCTCAACGCCCGCTTTTTCCTTCACACTCGGGTCCCCAGATGGTGTTGGACTACAACTCCCATCATGCCTAGCTACCGGGACTAGCGGCGGGGGATGACGGGAGTTGTAGTCCAACATCCTCTGGTGACCCGAGTGTGAGGAGAAAGCGGGCGTAGAGATGGGACTGGATGACTTTCCGTTCCGTGAAATGGGCTTAGCCCACGAGGCAAAGAAGAGGAAGCGGCACAAGCGCCTGCATTCGGCGCGGCCCTTTGCTGTCTCTCCGTCTTTGGGAGTTGCTTAGGGAGACGCAAACGTTGCCCGTGAGGCCAAACGCCGAGGTTTCCCGCCGCTTCCTGACAGGAATTGGGCCGCCGTGTGTCAGGCTGAGGGGAAGCGAGGCGGAGCCTCTTTGAATCCCCGCGCGGGAAAATGGCGGCGGCGGCGGCGGCGGCGCTGGCTTAGCAGAAGCCGGTGCGGGGCGGGAAGATGGCGGCGCCCTCGTCTTCCCCTTCGCCCCGCCGAGGGGCTCTGAGCGGCGTCGTGCTGAGCCCCCCGCCCGGCCTGGGCTGCCCCAGCCTCGGCCCTCCAGGTAAAGCTTGGAAGTGGCTCCTGGGCGCCGGCTTGGCGAGTCAGCTGCTCTTCTTTGAGGGGGGCGATAGTTCACCCGGAGCGTGGCCAGGGTTTTTGGGGGGATAGGCCTTTTGTTAGGGGGAGCAGAACCTCCGTTTCCTATGTATTTTTATTTATTTAGGGGGGCAGCTACCCTCGCTGCCCCTTCCCCTTGGATTCAACCATTGCAATGGGGTTTCTTTCCTAACCCCACACCTTAAAGAAACACAGAGCGGTTCCCCAACCCATAGTCTTATTGAGCTGTGGCAGTTGGGAAGGGGACCCCAAAGGGTCATCTAGCCCAACCCGCTGTGGTGCAGGAATGGTGACTAAAGAGCCCCTGGCAAGGTGGCCGTCCAAGCTCTGTTTTGTTGTTGTTGAGTCGTTTAGTGGCGTCCTCCTCTTTGTGACCCCCTGGACCAGAGCATGCCAGGCACTCCTGTCTTCCACTGCCTCCCACAGTTTGGTCAAACTCATGTTCATAGCTTCGGGAACACTGTCCCATCATCTCACCCTCCGTCATCCCCTTCTCCTTGCGCCCTCCATCTTTCCCAACATCAGGGTCTTTTCCAGGGAGTCTTCTCTTCTCATGAGGTGGCCAAAGCCTTGGAGCCTCAGCTTCAGGATCTGTCCTTCCAGTGAGCACTCAGGGCTGATTTCCTTCAGAATGGATCGGTTTGATCTCCTTGCAGTCCATGGGACTCTCAAGAGTCTCCTCCAGCACCAGAATTCAAAAGCATCCATTCTTCGGCGATCAGCCTTCTTGATGGTCCAGCTCTCACTTCCATACATCACTCCTGGGAAAACCAGGTGATGTCTCTGCTTTTTAAGATGCTGTCTAGGTTTGCCATTGCCTTTCTCCCAAGAAGCCGTCGTCTTTTAATTTCGTGGCTGCTGTCAACATCTGCAGTGATCATGGAGCCCAAGAAAGCTCTGTTTAGAAACCTCCAATGAAGGAGAGTCCCCCACCTGTCCACACTTTATTTTTTGCCCTACCCAGCATCAGATTTTTTTTGGGGGGGAGCAGGCAGCTTTCTCACGCAGGGCGCTGAGTCGAGGGGACGCAACACTGAAAAGATCCATTTGGGGGTGTCAAATTTGGGCCTTGCTCCTGGCACCCTATTACCGATAATCAATTTCCGCCCCTGGCCCCACACTTTCCCAGTCCGTGTCCAAGCACTGGTTTGGGGGGGGGGGGTTGGCTTGCCGCTTTCCTGGGGGAGCCTGTTCTTTAATGCTGAATTGGAACAAATGGCAATTTGTGTTTTCCACAGTAAAGAGTGGGTTTTCTTGAGGAAACACACTACACAAAAGGAAGTCTGGATGAGCCCAGAGTCCTTTCCACTGTGAAACAGCTCCCTGAAGTTCTTACTGATGTTTAGTTGAAATCTCCTTTCTTGCAGTTTGAATCCATTGGTTCAGGTCTTACCCTCTGGAACAGGAAAAAAACAAGCTTGCTCCATCTTCCATATGACAGCCCTTTAGATATTTGACAATGGCTATTATATCATCTCTCATGTACACATTTGGTTGTTCATAGAAATATCACAGATATGTATATATTATCTTCAAGGGCTGTTGGGCTCAGCTATTACAGCGTTTCTCTGTACTGTTGTTGTGTGTTTGCACATTCGTCTGAGAACTAAGGATAACACTGCACATCTGTTGAATTGCAAGACAGTTTATGTCACAATTAAGCTGCTTCCACAAGACTCTTAGATATGTGTGAGCCATGTAAATGTCCAGACCTCCACCCTGAGGGGAAAAATCCTAATCTGATGCTGGATTTTCACCCCAGGACAAGATCAGCATGTGGGTGTTCCTGATGAGCAAGCTGACAAACTGCTGCTAGCAAACTGGGGGCTCCCCAAAGCGGTCCTGGATAAATACCATGGTTTGGGAGTAGTTCGTATGTTCCAGTGGCAAGCCGAGTGCCTGATGGTTGGACAAGTTCTGGAGGGGGAAAACTTGGTTTACTCAGGTATGCTAATAGTTGATGCTCATTCAGCAAATCTCACTTGCTGCAAGTAGCTGATATAGCATTTCCCTGTTTGACTGTGTTTGTGGTGAACCTCTTTCCTTTTGACAATGCGATTAACTTCTGAGTTTAATGGGGGACCCTCCTTAATACATAAATAACAATGAATTTCTGATTTGTCTTATGTGTAATTTGATTAGATCTAAAAACTGATTTTAATAACTGCTAGCTGCATATTTTTAAAGGGTGAATTGCCATTGCTTCTTTCTCTTGGTACCTTTTGATGCTACTTGAGAACATTTTTCTGAAGCCCGCATCATTGTTTCTCATTTGATAGCTAAAGAGAGAAAGAATGTGACTTGTACATGTCCTAGTAATAATAAAAGCATATTCATGCTAAGTGCTCTTGCAGTAGCACTAAACATAAAATATGTAAGGAATTTTCAGTAACGCACAATTCTGTAGGGCAGGATCAGCAATCCACAAACTTTGCCTGCCTGTTCTTGACTTTCTACTCCACCTCCGTGTGAGGTTATGAGCAATGCCTTGTTTCTTTTTCAAGCTCCAAGTTTAATTGGGAAGTAAGGTGGGGATCTTCCCTGTGATTCCAGGTTGGAATTTGTTTCTAGATGTTGAATGTCTTCCTTTCAATGACTTTCAGCTCCTACAAGTGCAGGGAAAACTCTAGTTGCTGAATTACTTATGCTGAAGAGAGTGCTGGAATCTCGCAAAAAAGCTTTGTTCATTTTACCCTTTATCTCTGTGGCCAAAGAAAAGAAATATTACCTGCAAGTAAGTAGAAGATATTTAAAGTAGGGTACTAGATCAGAAGTCATATTGCAGAATCTTAAGTGCTGGGAAGAAAAGCAGGCACATTTTTGACAGAATTTTTGGGGCAGAATGATCATCTTATTTGAGTGGAGGTAACCAGAACTGTGTGCAGCATTCCAAGCTGGTTGCATCATAGATTTGTGTAAAGGTATTATGACATTGGCAGTCCCTTTCCCAGTGATTCCAAGTATGGGATTTGCCTTTTTCACAGCTTCTGCACACAGGGCTATCTTCATTGAGCTAGCCACTATGACCCCGAGGTCTCATTTTTCATCAGGCTTGAATATAAGAAGAGCCTGGAGGATCAGGTAAATGGCCCAACTAGTCAAGTATCCTGTTCTCACAGTGGTCAATCAGATGCCTGCCTTAGGTGAGGGGTTGTCTAGTGATGAGTTGGTTTCAAAGTACAATGTGGGGTTGACTGCTTTACACAGTGCATGCCAAAATTCTAAACATGTGAAAATATGTACATTGTCTCTTTGGCAAATAGGCAGTGTTCCAAGACGTAGGTGTTCAAGTGGAGGGGTACATAGGGAGTATTTCCCCTGCTGTCCGTTTCTCTGCCCTGGATGTTGCTGTCTGCACTATTGAGAGAGCTAATGGTCTGATCAACAGACTCATAGAGGAGAAAATACTGGACTCACTGGGTAAGCTGTAACAGCATTTGTCATTATCAAGAAACAGTGAGAAAAGTGGTCTCCCAGTTGGACATATCAGTCTTCTTCTTTTTGCACAATATATACCGTATATATTTTCTGTGTATAAGACGCTCCCATGTATAAGACAACCCCTATTTTTTAAAACACAAAATTAAGAAATCGGGCCAGAGCCAGACCCTGATCCCGAACCGCCAGACCCCGAACCTGAACCCAAACCCTGGCTGCCCACACTAGAGTTCGAACCTGAGCCCAGGCCTCCCACAACAGCCCAAACTCAAACTTGCACCCCTGTGCATTAACCATTCGTGTATAAGATGACCCCCAATTTTTGACTAAAATTTTAAAGCAAGAAACATTGTCTTATACGTGGGAAAATATGGTATATAATTTCTATAGCAGTTTGGTCTGCATTCCACTGGCTTGATTAGAAAAATTGTAGGTATATCTACAGATATTTGTCAATTCATTCAATAGCAGTCTTAAGTCGGAGTACTATTGTTAGTAAATTTCCTAATTTTTTTATCTATACCGGCATTTTTAAAAGAAATATGTCTGAACTGTTTTGAAAGTAAATAACTTTTTTAAAGGAAGAACCCATAATTAAATTTGATATTTGTGCTAGTTTTAAGATTTCTGAGTCACCTTGGGTGCCCTTTGTTGGAGTAAAAGCGACTCTTAAATGCTTTTATAAATCAATAAAATAGCATGGGAGCTTAAAATTTAGAGGGTTGGTTTAACTATTTGGCTGGATGGCATCCTTTCTAAGTTTAAGTGTTGTTATGATATTTGCATCCATCCATTTATTAGGAATAGACTCTGTTTCTCTACAGTATGAAAACAGCTCAGCTAACTGCCCTTTTAAATGCTTCCTAAAATTCAGTAGTACTGTATAGCTGTCTGGGCCTTGCACTTTATTCAAATTTATTCAAGTTTAAAAATGCAACAAAGTATCTTATTCCTTTATTTGTTACGTTCTGCAGCAGCCTAGAATGTGCTTTGGTGAAGGGTGGTATAGAAATTTAAAATAACAATAGGTAAGTTGATCTCTGTAGCCTCTCCCTTTCTGTTCCGTAGGAATAGTAGTTGTAGATGAGCTGCACATGCTGGGGGATCCTCAGAGAGGGTATCTGCTAGAACTCCTGCTGACAAAGGTTCAGTTTTTGACCAGAAAAACAAAGAACAAGTGAGTAGACTAGAAAGTCGTTGTTTTTTAAGATCACAAAAATCTAGTTTTTTGAACAGGATATGTATTTGGATTATGTCTGTTAAGACACATGAGGCTCCTTTGACAATGAAAGAGCACAATGCTCTGGATATGTCACTGCCTTCAGGGCAGAGAACCTCTCAGTTTTGTCTCCCCTCTTCTACATGCAGGCATCACTTGCATGCATCCAATTCTGTTGAAGGAGCAGCTCCATTTAGAATTCCTTTTGCTAAGCCACAAACATACTTTACACCCATTCTGAGAGCTGTTTATTATGGGAATCTCTTAAACAGGAATGACTATCTCTTTACTTTTCTTGAAGTGCTTGTTACCATCATAGGCGCTGCTCTGAACCTGGACATTTGTAATAAAAGGCTGACAGTTGCAGGGAATATAGTTAATTGATAACTATGATAGGCACATTAAGAGTCCTACCTGATTCAAGATTATACATACAGTGGTACCTCGGTTTACAAACGCAATCCGTTCCGGAAGTCCATTCTTAAACCGAGGTGCGCTTTCCCTAATGTGGCTTCCCGCCACCAGTGCCCTTCCACCGTTCGGATTCCATTCTTAGACTGAGGTAAAGTTCACAAACCAGGACACTACTTCCAGTTTTGCGGAGTTTGTAAACCAAATAGTTCTTAAACAGGGCCGACGTACCACTGTATTCATATTTGCGTGGTTAATACAGCCTTGACCAAAACATTACCCACATGTGAAGGAGCAGAGCAGCCAAACTTAGCACAAAAAGAGTTGCCAAGTCAAACTTTACAATGAGCAAAACTTCACAAATTGATTGAAAATGTCAGTTCAATCATTTGAAATCCTCTGCAGGTGATGCATGCAGTATTTTTGCTTAACAATGCTTCTCCTACAGTTCCACAGCAAGAGAACACTCTTTTAGAGTCTTTCTTTCATCAGGTCCATTTGGAGCATTAGTAACAGGGCATGTATAGTTGCAGTAAAATGTAGTCAAGTTGTGGTACAATAGCAGAATTTTCCCTCTTAGGTCTCATTTCATATTCCTGTTCATTGCAGATGCTTAAGATAAAAACAGTACTTTAAGAGCAATAATAAATACTCTATTTTCCAAGTAAAATAGTTATAGTGTCCGTTGAAATGACCATCTACCTCAAGGACCACCTCTCCCCATATGAACCGACTCGGACACCGCACTCATCATCTGAGGCTCTTCTTCATGCCCCTCTACAAAATGCCTAGAGGGCGCAATGGAAGAACAGGCCTTTTCTGCAGTGGCCCCCCATTTGTGCTCACCTGGTGCCTTCATTGCATATCTTTAGACGCCTGGCAAAAACTTTTCTCTGTAACAGGCCTTTGACCTTTAGCTATTTGTAGCCTTTTAGAAATGGACAGGATGTTTTAAATTTATTTCTCTTTCCTCTTTATAAAGGCTCAGTTTGGCGTGTATGGTGGAGCATTGCTTGGTTAAACATTAGAAAACTCTTCTGACTCTTGATTGAGGGAAGCAGCTTCTAGGGTGCCTATATAAGAACACAAGAGGAAGCTTGCAGGATCAGACTAAAGGTCCATTTAATCCAGTATTCTGTTTCTAGTATTCACTAGCCAGGTGCTTGCTGGAAACTTGAAAGCAGATTATGAAGGCAACAGTGTCACCTAAGCAACTGGTATCCATTTAGTTCCCAGGGCTTACCTTGGTCTCCCATCTGTGAACTTGCCTAGTCATCTTCTAAAGCCATTAGCCATTCCCACATCTTGTGGCAGCAAATCCTGTGAGATGATTTTCCAATGGAATAACTGCTAAGAATTCAGTTTTCTTTTCTTTTTTCTTGTAGACAATTAAACATGTCTGGACCACTCTCAAATGGAATACAAATTGTAGGCATGAGCGCTACCCTTCCTAACCTGGGTCTTCTGGCCTCCTGGCTAAATGCAAAGCTATACCACACAGATTTCCGACCGGTGCCCCTTGTAGAGCAAGTGAAAATTGGCAGCCAAATTTATGACTCCTCCATTAAAGCTGTGAGAGAAATCCAGTCTGTGCCGCATATAAAGGTAACTGGATATTGCTAAGGATACGTCAACTTAATTTAATGCTGCTTGGCTGCCTACATTTAAAATGAAACCCTTAAGTGTATAATAGGTGTGTAATGTGTCAAAGCATGTTGTATCACATGGTAGGTAGATGGGCAATCTTTTCCTATCTCCAGGTTTTGACCAATAATTTAGCAAGTTCTGGACTTCTGTCTAATGGTATAATCCAAAAGCATGTGTTCAGTGCACCTTACCTCACAGTAGGCATGTTTGGGATTGTAACAGACCTATGTTGCACAGTTGCAGGGCAGGCAAACAAAAATGGTGGAATTTAACATCATGCTCTTCAGCTTACCAGACAGAAACAGCTTGCCAGTCTTCCCTCCCCTCTCCTCCCCTTCATGTGCTGTTCTGGGGGTTCTTCTGACCTCTCCCAGAGCCAATTTCAAGGGGGTGGGCTGAAGAGAAGGGGGGAAGCCTTGCTGTGCAAGCACAAATTCTTAAGTGGGACTTCTGATGGTGCTGGTTAGGTGAATCCTTCCCCAAAGTCCCACTCAATCACACCACATGGTGGATGACTTGGGTACTTGTTTAGAACAGGACATAATTTTCAATCCTGGCCATATAGAGCTGAGCTTTTGAGTTTCTGAATTGAAGAAGGGATTGGGAAAAGGCTTCAAGCGCATTACCTCCATAGTGATATATGAAATTTGCTTGTTAAAGAAATGTTTCTATTTAGAACGATGAGGACCATGTGGTGACTCTGTGTTATGAGACTGTTCAGAATGGCCATTCCGTCCTTATTTTCTGCCCATCTAAGAACTGGTGTGAGAAATTGTCAGACATCATTGCCCGGGAATTCTACAATCTCCAGCACAAGTGTGAGTCAAAATTAAGGGGCTGAGGAAGGGCTGGGGCTTGAAGAGTACACACAACATGACAATATGCTTTCCCTCCTATGTAAAGACCTTCAAAAGATGTCCACCCTTTCACCAGTAGCCCTGGACACAGAAGGGATAGAGGAGTTGATAGGTCAGCTAAAGCATACGCCTTCTGGTTTGGACTCCGTGCTTCAGAGGACTATAAAATGGGGTGTAGCTTTTCACCATGCAGGTATGCCTTTGGGGTGTGTTCATCTTGTATTATTTTATTTGTCTACATCAGTCTGAGTGTGTAAACGTCTGGCCTGCCATGACTTTTCTGACTGCTAGGCACATGCATGTCCATGCTTCATGTCTGTAGCTTTAAGTGAAATAGCCATTATGAATCAAACACTACAGAGCACTACCCAAAGAGTGCTTACTAATGATTCCTCATCATCCTGGAAAAAAGGGACAAGTGGAGTGCCGCAGGATTCTGTCCTGGGTCCACTGTTATTCAACATCTTTCTAAATGACTCGGCTGAAGGAATTGAGGGGATGCTTATCAAATTTGCAGATGACATCAAACTGGGAGGGGTAGCTAATACTGTAAGAGACAGAATCGGGATTCAAGATGATCTTAAGATGATTGGAGAACTGGGCCAAAAATAACAAAATGAATTTCAACAGAGAACATGTAAGGTTCTACACTTAGGCAGGAAGAACCAACTGCACAAATATAAGATGGGGGGCTTGCAAGTAGTACATGTGAAAAGGATCTGTGGGTCTTAGTAGACCACAAGCTTAACATGAGTCAACAGTGTGATTCATCAGCAAAAAGGTCTAATGTTATTCTAGGCTACATCAACAGAAGTATAGTGTCCAGATCAAGGGAAGTAATAGAGTCCTACTCTATTCAGCCTTGGTCAGAAACACACCAGGTGTACTGTGTCCAGGTCTGGGCACCACAATTTAAGAAGGATATTGGCAAACCTGAAAGCGCTCAACCTGAAGCAACTTCAACCCGAGGTATGACTGTATATGTATACAAGTGGAATTACTTTAATGCTATAAAACAATATTTGGATTTGAACTTTATTCCAAAATCTTGATTTCCCAGGATTAAATTGCCTCAATAACTATCTGCCACCATTGCTTAATATGTCAGTATTTAATAGTGTATATTAATCTTAGGTCTTACATTTGATGAACGAGACATCATTGAAACCGCTTTTCGTCAAGGAGTGCTTCGAGTCCTGGTAGCAACCTCTACACTTTCTTCTGGGGTGAATCTGCCTGCACGCCGGGTAATCATCCGAACTCCTGTGTTTGGAGGCAGATCATTGGATGTCTTGACATACAAACAGATGGCTGGGAGAGCTGGAAGGAAGGGAGTAGACACCATAGGTAAGTGCAGTTGTTCTAGCTGTGACTAACAATAGTTCCTTGACTGTTTAAAGACCAGCAAAATTATTGTGGCCTGGGTTTTCTTGGGCTAATGCCCGCTTGATTAGGGGCATCCAGAAAGTGGACCAGAAAGTTGCTATAGGTTTTAGAGAGTGGGCAGTTTTCCATATAGTAGGCCAAAAAGCTAGGAAAATGAGTGAGAGAACAGGTGTAACATAGTTCCATATTAAGAAGAGGCAGTCCCCATGCAATCCAGGTTCAAAGAAAATAAATAGGTGCAAGCCATACAGCTTAATTGCATGTTTTGATCTAAAATGCAGTTTTCATCAGAGAAGATCTACAGTGTAGAACATTCCTAACATTGTAATTAGCATGGTTCATGCTAATTCATGCTAAATGGCAGAGTGGAGGCCAACCTGACCCCATCCATTGGCCAGTGAAGAAGCAGCTGCTTGCTTTCAGTGCTTGTTTCCCTTTTCTCTCCCTCCTCCTTATCTTTTAATATGTGTACAGTTCTTAGGGGGGGAAATATGTGCTCTATAAGTGTTAAGCACAGAAAAAGGCACCAAAAAACGAGGGTGTGTCTGTGTGTGACCCAGATACCCGTAAAGGTTGGGAGGAAGAGGCCTGGCCCCTCTACCTGCCACTGCTGTCGGATGCTATGATGCAGTAAAAGAGAGAAACTGACACTTTGGTTGTTCAGTTCGTGGCGTGCTTGAGAATGTTTGGGTTTGGTGAAATGATAGTTGGTCAGTTGGTTGAATAGCTGACAATATTTGCCCAGCCTCCAAGCCCTGATCTTGTGCACAGCTGTATGCAGAGGAAGAGGAATTCAAGATCCAGTCAGAATCAATGTGTGTTCTGTTCTTGCTTATAGGAAAGGGGACAGAATGTACCCAGCCAATGGTCCCTAGTGATATATCTGCAAAGATTTTGCCATTCCCCCATCTGCTTTGCCATTTGAATCACTGATGTGTGCCCTCTATAGTGAATGATTTTTCTGTAAGAAGAAAGTAAGCAGGCTATAGTCAGGGCAGAAGAACAAAATATGTACCTTTGTTCCTAACCCTGGTGATCCCTGCTTTCAGTTTAAATGCTCTTGAGCCACTTGACCTACCTGTTCTTGGTTCTAACGAACATTGATTTGATTACTAATGAAACTGCTTATTAATTAAAATGACTCTTGTATGCACTGGTTATTAAATAATGCATTTTCCCTCTCTCGGTTGAAATTGGTGTGTTTTGGTAGGCGAGAGCATTCTGGTGTGCAAGACCACAGAGAAATCCAAAGGCATTGCTCTTCTCCAGGGCTGTCTCAAGCCAGTGCGGAGCTGCTTGCTGAGCCAAGAGGGAGAAGACATTACTTCAAGCATGATACGGGCAATCCTGGAGGTATGTAACGCTCATGCTAAGGCAATAAAACTTTGCTCCCAAGGCATATATCAATATTTATTACCTGCAGGCTTTTGGGTTGTAGTCGTTTGAGGGGTGAATGCATCTGTAGAAATACTTCATTTTTTAATATCCAATTCAACATTAAGTTCAGCCTGCTCCACCTATGCAGCTAGGTGAAGGAGCTGCCAGGTGTATTTAAGGAAATGGATCCTGTGAGTACTCTTAGATCTCTTAGATCTAATTTCTGTGATCCTTCACACTCAAAGTAGGCTGGGGGCTGTGTTGCTTCAATCAAGCATACATGGCAGCATATAATTGGGTGAACAGAGGTTTACTTCTTGTTTATCTGTCAAGTTTATATCCTGCCTTTCCACTGAATTAGGCTTAAGATAGCAATAATGCAAATTCAGTAAAATATAATTAAGCATAAAATACAAAGTAAAAAAGCAGGCAAAACTTCTAGGAAACAAGCAGGTAAAACTAATCACAACATATTTACAATTCGGCATGTTGTATTTGCCTGCCCATGAGAAGGTTGTCAGAGCTGGGGGCAGAATTCACCCCTGGGTCAACTGACTTGAAGAAACATAGTTTTCACTGGGGAGTGTTTTGGGACAAGCTGTCCCTCTGCAATAGGGGAAGGCTGCCCTTAAGCCAGAATGAAACCAGGCTGCGGTTGCTCAGCACCAAAAAGGTGGCAGATGCAGCTTTGAAACTCATTTGGAGGGTGAGGAGCAGCTAAGTCGGCAGTAACTGAGGAGCATTAATTTTGGAGGTGAGGATGAAAAGGTTTTTGACTACCCAAATGGGGTTGGGGTGGAAGAAATAGGGAACGGACATGATAGCCAGTCGAAGGAGCCAAATGGCTGTATGGGGAAATGCACATGTCGGACAGAAACATTTGGAAAGGAGCAACGTGTTTAGGTGTTTATATGATAATTTTAGAAGCCTCTGAGCAAAGATGAGTGAATTGGAATACTTGATTTTAAAGGGAAACCTATATTAAAAGGTAAAGGGACCCCTGACGGTTAGGTCCAGTCGCAGACAACTCTGGGGTTGTGGCGCTCATCTTGCCTTATTGGCCGAGGGAGCCGGCGTACAGCTTCTGGGTCATGTGGCCAGCATGACTAAGCCACTTCTGGCGAACCAGAGCAGCGCACAGAAACGCCGTTTACCTTCCTGCTGGAGCGGTACCGATTTATCTACTTGCACTTTGACGTGCTTTTGAACTGCTAGGTTGGCAGGAGCTGGGACCAAGCAACGGGAGCTCATCCTGTCACGGGGATTCGAACCGCGACCTTCTGATCAGCAAGCCCTAGGCTCTGTGGTTTAGACCACAGCGCCACCTGCGTCCCTGCTAAACCTGTATTGGGCATAACATAAATCTGATGAAATGGAGGAGAACCAGTGGGATGAAATCCTCTCTAGATCCAAAGTATGGGAAGGACAGGGAAGGGTGTCCTGGGAGCAGTATCACTGTATATCAATTTACCGAAGGGTGACAGTGTGGCATATCTTCAGACTCTGAAGCAGCGTGATCAAAATATATAAAACTGCTGAAAAGCGTCATGCATCAAAAATGGCAAGGTTATGCCATAATTTAATTTTATTACTGCATTTATATGCTGCCTCTCCACCAAGACAAAGAAGCGATGCAAAGTATTCTCAGGTCAACTTTAGGAGCTGAAGACCATCTGCTCCCTGGCCTGAGTTTCTTCTCTGATACTCTTCCCCGATGTGGGGCTCAAACCCAGACGCTGAGATTAAGAGTCTTATGCTGTACCTGCAATTGGTGTTCAGAGGTATACTGCTCCTAAACACAGGATCTCTAGAATGACGAATACTTGTTTGCTTGGCCTTTCCTCCATATATATATGTCTGATCCTCTCTTAAAGCCATCTGAGCCCAGGCATCTTTATTGTATCCTTATTGTAGTCAATTATGTAAGCGCTGAAGGCACTTTTTCTGTTACTATTCATTCTGGAGTGGTATGTAGTTGCAAAATTCTGGAAATCTATACATGCGTACGCAAATACCTCTGTGCCCAGGGGTATCCTTGTGAGAGACTGAGTGCCCTTGACATGCTCACTGAGAAATTTTAGAAGTGCAGTGTGTCCTTTCCATCTAAAAGGGTCTCCTTTCAGATTTAATTGCTGTATCGTTTTAGCAAGTACTGTATGCTGATTAAATTCTTATTCTGACAGATCATAGTAAATGGAGTAGCTAGCTCTCCAGAAGACATCCAGAGTTATGCTTCCTGTACACTCTTTGGTGCAAGTCTGAAAGACTTCCCGGACAATGGGACAGAGCAGGAGAGAAATTGCCATGGTTCTATAGATGCTTGTGTGAAGTGGCTGCTTAAGAATGAATTTATCCTGATTTCGGTGTCTGATACAGGCAAAGGTAAAATGCACATTTGCATTTGGATTGCATGTTAAAGCAAAAAATGAAACATGCAGATTTGGAGCAGCAAACATTTGTACCATTTATGTGCAACCTTGAGCATAGCTTCTCTAACCTGTTTTGATGCTGTCTCTATGCTCAGCTTCTTCCACAAATTGATTCAATCTTGTTCTTTAATTTCTGTGCCTCAGTCACCCTCCCACGCCCTTTTAAGCCCTAACAAATCTTCCCAATCGATGTTTTACAAAGTAGGCTACAATTTGGAAACTGTGCCCTTTGTACTGACCCTGGGGGCAGCAAGGAGTAAAGACTCAAAGGAAGTCAATTGTTTAGTAGCTTGTTCCATAAATTCAAGGCATTTTAATCATGCACTTGGTACCACCTGGATACCATGTAGCTGCAACATCAACCAAGATTGTAATTATTGCTCTGCAGTAGGTCTACCACCTACCAGAAAAAAGTCTCAAAGACAGTAAAGTCACTTTGATCTCCAAAGGGGCCGATATTGGTGCCATTAGAATAAATGGTCATGGTCTAGTCATAGTGGAATTGGAAGCTTTAGGAAGAAAAACACATACCCATGTGGTGCTTTAACTCTCTGCTTTAGTCACCACCAAGTGGTGCAGAAAAACTGAAAGAAATTTTAACTAATTATTTCACTGAATATGATGCTTCTGAGGACTTGATGGGAGGTGATGAAAGCTGTGATGCATGGGACTTGCATCAAGGAACTGAGATAAAAAAGAGACAAGGGACAGAAACTTCGGAGCAGGAGAGAGATAAATTACTGACAAAATATAGTAAATGAGGTTTCAATAGGGTTTATAAGCAACTAGAAGAGAAAGGAATTGAAATTATTAGAAGCTAAGAGAATCATGGCTAAATTTTAATATACAAATAGGGCCTTTGGTGTCAAGTAGTCTAAGGGACGCGGGTGGTGCTGTGGGTTAAACCACAGAGCCTAGGGCTTGCCGATCAGAAGGTCAGCGGTTCGAATCCCTGCGACGGGGTGAGCGCCCGTTGCTCAGTCCCTGCTCCTGCCAACCTATCAGTTCAAAAGCATGCCAAAAAGTGCAAGTAGATAAATAGGTACCGCTCCGGCGGGAAGGTAAATGGCGTTTCCGTGTGCTGCTCTGGTTCGCCAGAAGCGGCTTAGTCATGCTGGCCACATGACTCGGAAGCTGTACGCCGGCTCCCTTGGCCAATAAAGCGAGATGAGCACCGCAACCCCAGAGTCAGCCACGACTGGACCTAATGGTCAGGGGTCCCTTTGCCTTTACTTAGTCTAACATAATCTGTTAGGGCTTCTTCTTTGCTGTTTAGGGTGCAAGGCAACATTTCCCAGTGCCCACTCACAAAACTGGGACAGTTTTGAGACGTTTAAAACCCGTGGAAGGTTGTTGGGTTTTTTTATTCAGGGGAGATCAGAGCCAAGAGACTATGCAGCCTTTCTGTAGCTCATCAGGCCGCACACCCTAGTTCAGGTTTTCTTTTCTTTTTTGCTGTGTAGAAAATTGCATAGAAGGAGCTATTACAACTCCAAGGGCATTTAGTCAGGTTTAATTTGAATCTCAGGGATTATCTTTTTTCCTTCCCACTTCCTCATCTGGTTTGCTGGATATGATTCATTTATTAATTTTACAGTGTTCAGTCCTTGGAATCAGTTTTAAAAAAATAGGCTAGCCAGCAATAGCAAAGGCTTTCCGCCGACTTTATTCTGAGATCCAGTAAGAATATACACTACAGATTTAGATGTGGTTGGGGTAAGGCATCTTCATATGGCTATGTGTAATACTATCAAATTATACTTCTTACATTCGTCTCAGTTCAGAAATGAATCTGTCATTGATCCTACCGTCTCAGGTTCCTAGTCTGCAAAGATATGAGAATTCCCTCCCCGCCAGCCACTAAAAAAATTCAAGAAACAGGATAATTAAAGACAAATTCTTGAGGATTAGCTGTGTTAGTTCATTGCAGCAAAGCCTCAAAGCATTTTGCAAATGAACAGTAAAACACTTGTACTTTTCTGCAGTGGCTCCCCATTTGTGGAATGCTCTTCCCAGGGCGTTCCCCCTGGCACCTTCATTATACACCTTTAGTAAAAGGCAAATGACCCCTGATAGTTAAGTCCAGTCGCAGACGACTCTGGGGTTGCAGCACTCATCTCACTTTACAGACCGAGGGAGCTGGTGTTAGTCCGCAGACAGTTTTCCGGGTCATGTGGCCAACATGACTCAGCTGCTTCTGGCAAAACCACAGGAGTGCACGGAAACACCGTTTACCTTCCCGCCGGAGCGGTACCTATTTATCTGCTTGCACTTTTTGGCATGCTTTCGAACTGCTAGGTTGGCAGGAGCTGGGATCGAGCAACGGGAGCTCACCCAGTCGCGGGGATTCGATCCGCCGAACTTCGGATCAGCAAGCCCAAGAGGCTCAGTGGTTTAGACCACAGTGCCACCCACGTCCTTATTATACACCTTTAGCCAGGCAAAAACATTATCCTTCAACCAGGCCTTTGGTTGGCTAACATCCTAAATCCTTTTAAATGTGTTGGGTGGGGAGGGGGGTTATTGGTATATTTTGTTTTTGTTCTTGTTTTAAATATGTATTTTGTGGTTTTATCTTGTATTTTTATGCTGTGAACCACCCTGAGATCTACAGACGAAGAGCAATATACAAATTTAATTAATAATAATAACAATAATAGATGTATCTTTTCTCTTGGCAGAAATATATTGCCCAACACATCTTGGCTCTGCTACCTTGTTTTCTTCCTTTTCACCCGTAGCAGTACTAGAAATTTTTGCTGATCTCCAGAGAGCAATGAAGAGCTTTGTCTTAGAGAATGATCTGCACAGTCTTTATTTGGTATGATTTTGTTCAGACTTTTTCAGCTACTTGAGGTATACAGTCTGAGATTCCAGCAGAGGGGGAATCCTTCCTGACACCAGTGGCTTATAATTTATGCCTTATCCCAGCAGATGAAGTTATGTCTTAAACATAATCAGAAGAAATTATATTTGCATCAGCCACTAGCCATAGCAATAAAATAAAATGTACTGAAGATAGAGGTAAAAACTTAACATTTTGGGGGTTAACATCTATAATCAAATAATAAATCTTATTCTGATTGGCCCTGCAAACATATTAAACTGCTGCCTTGAATTTTTAAAGTTTTTTTCCACTGCAGGTATACTTTTTCAGCTTGGTTAAAGCTAATCCCATACTCTCTTTTTTATCAATTCAAAGCTAAAGATACCCAGCTCCCTCAATTGCTCCAGTGCTACACCACACTGTTGATTCATGTTAAGCTTTCCCCACCTCTTTTGGTGGTGCGAAAATAGTATGTAAAGGAAGTAGGATTCAAAACCTGTTTCTTCTTGTTTTGGTTCTTCTTTTTTTAGGTCACCCCTGTTTATGAAGACTGGGCCAAAATAGACTGGTATCGATTCTTTTGCATGTGGGAGAAGTTGCCTGCCTCAATGAAAAGAGTTGCCGAGCTGGTTGGAATTGAAGAAAGCTTTTTGGCTTGCTCTGTGAAGGGCAAAATAATTACTAGAACAGAGAGGCAGCGTAGGCAAATGGCCATTCACAAAAGGTAATGGCTGAACAACTTACAATGTTACACTATGGTGTATATGACATCACAAAGTGATGGTGACATTATTGCAAAATACTCCACCTTTGCAACCGGCATTCAGCAGTTTTCTGCTCTAAGTATAATGTTGAAGTTACTGGATTTGCAAGTAGCGTGTGTTTAGAAACAAGTTTCTTCTAAAACGTTTCCGTGGAGCCTATCTATAGTACAAAATAAAGGGAGTAATAACTTTTGAAACAGGCATTGTGATTGATAATACCCAACACACATTCAACTGATACACATTCAACTGATACAGTTCAAGAAGGACACTGACAAACTGGAACGTGTCCAGAGGAGGGCAACCAAAATGGTCAAAGGCCTGGAAACGATGCCTTATGAGGAACGGCTAAGGGAGCTGGGCATGTTTAGCCTGGAGAAGAGGAGGTTAAGGGGTGATATGATAGCCATGTTCAAATATATAAAAGGATGTCACATAGAGGAGGGAGAAAGGTTGTTTTCTGCTGCTCCAGAGAAGCGGACAAGGAGCAATGGATCCAAACTGCAAGAAAGAAGATTCCACCTAAACATTAGGAAGAACTTCCTGACAGTAAGAGCTGTTTGACAGTGGAATTTGCTGCCAAGGAGTGTGGTGGAGTCTCCTTCTTTGGAGGTCTTTAAGCAGAGGCTTGACAACCATATGTCAGGAGTGCTCTGATGGTGTTTCCTGCTTGGCAGGGGGTTGGACTCGATGGCCCTTGTGGTCTCTTGCAACTCTATGATTCTATGATTCATTTATTTATTCCTAAGGAGCAGTTTTGAAGAATCTCTTGCAAATAAGCAATTTCCAGTGCTTGCAGGCAATTACTGTGTTCCTCATGCTGTCTGTGTTCTTTGCCAGGTTTGCATCTTCATTCAGCAGCGTGTGGTCATATAATCTAAGAGGGAATTCAAAATTGTGGGTGATACAAAGGCATCCCAGCCTGAAACTTAGGTTTCCCAGTATGCCATTTGAGTTTCCTCTTTCTGCTAGTAAGGCACACACAATCCATCTTCTTGTACCTTGGACAAGGGCCCTGCATGGATGTGCCTCTTCCCCATGGAACAGCTGTCTTATTTCAGAACTTGCAGTTACCTCCACTTACATTTTACCACTCTCAACCAGCAGCACAATGGCAGGATCATCTCTAATTTTATGAATTACTTTTGCACTCGCACCCTCTTCAGTAGAAGACATTGCATTATACACAGACACCCCCAGTTTCTCATTCAGGCTTTAAGTAGACCCAGGGCTCCTTAGCTTCACCAACTGCCTTAAGATGGTAGTCCTTTTGCCATATACAGTGGTACCTCAGGTTAAGTACTTAATTCGTTCTGGAGGTCCGTTCTTAACCTGAAACTGTTCTTAACCTGAAGCACCAGTTTAGCTAATGGGGCCTCCCGCTGCCGCTGCGCCGCCGGAGCATGATTTCTGTTCTCATCCTGAAGCAAAGTTCTTAACCCGAGGTACTATTTCTGAGTTAGCAGAGTCTGTAACTGAAGCGTATGTAACCTGAAGCTTATGTAACCTGAGGTACCACTGTATATAACATAAATGTGCCTGAGTTTGTGACAATCATAAGTTGCAAGGCAGTAATTACCATTGCAAACCCCTCCTGGTGTTCTCTTGCTTCCTTTCCTTGTGCCCCCAACTTCTTCTGCAGGAATGTTAGCTACCTTGCCAATTCCCCCCAGGCACCATCTGTTTCCAGAATTCCTGCCAAATCCTTCCATCACCTTGACAACACTCACTGTTACGGGCCTAACATAACTGCAACCCAAGATAGAGATCTAGCTGGCTGCAATTTCTGCAGGACACTTGTTAATCTGCAGGGCACATTTAAGTTGGTGTACCGCAACCCCTTCTAATTTTTGTTTGGACCAGACTGCAACATGGACAATTATAGATGGTCTTTTCTGATTGTTGCTGCTGTTCTAGTCATAAAGTGGCAATCGGGCCTGTGTGTGTAGCTTTCTGTAGCCTTTCTTCCAGCTGAGAGAACAGTAGTACTGTTAAAGTTAAAAGAAAGTGAAGAATGCTTGCAGTTGGTGGAGGGCATTTGGGGTGGAATGGGAAAATCAGTCACACGTCTCTTGAAGCAAGACTAGAACCCACTTAAGAGAGGTTCAACAGAGATTGTCCTGCTTGGCACATATGTGCTTATTCAACTCCTGCTATTAGGATGTTTGGATAGATTGTAGGGAGCTTATTCCTCAGATTCGTTTCTGCCACCTGCTTAGGGATATATGAAGCCTCTTCCACCTTCCTGCCCCATGATCTTTGATATCATTGCTTTTAGGAATTATTATGCCTCTGTGTCTGCACGTACATCATATGCTATCCTTGGTTTAGTGGGATGCACATCCAAATCCAAACGTGCATTTCTGTTTTAAACTCTCAGCTAGCTTGCACATCCAGCCCCCCCAAGCTGATTTTCTTCCCAGTGGAAGGTAAGTTGAAGAAAGTCAGACAGAAAATGAATGTCCACACCAGTAGAGATGCAACCTTCTCGATTACTGCATCTGCTTCTAATTTTTTCCTTTCTGTGTTCTTACCATAAAGCAATATTCATGCCCCTTTTGCAGCACACCAACTTATCTTAATTTTTACTGATGTAGATTTTTTACAAGCCTGGCTCTCTTGGACTTAATAAATGAGGTTCCTATAAATGATGTTGCTAAGAAATATGGCAGCAATCGTGGACAACTTCAGTCTTTACAACAGTCTGCTGCTACTTATGCAGGTGAGGCAATACTGATACATAATTTAATTTGATTTTATAAGTAATAAATTATTGTTGCTATTATTATTATTATTATTATTATACAAATTGGTGTTTGCAGGAGACTCCTTTGGGAGGAATGGCAGGATAATAAATCCAGTAACCTTTGCTGTATCTTATACAATATATTTCAGTCTTCCAACATGTGCAGATTTGGCCAATAACTGTGTGTGTGTGTGTGTGTGTGTGTGTGTGTACACACACACACAATGGTACCTCTGGATACGAATGGGATCCGTTCCGGAGCCCCGTTCGCATCCAGAAGCAAATGCAACCTGTGTCTGCTCATGTGCGGTCACGATTCGCCGCTTCCGCACATGCACATGACGTCATTTTGACTGTCTGCGCATGTGTGAGCGGCGAAACCCGGAAGTAATGCGTTCCGTTACTTCCGGGTCGCCGTGGAGCGCAACCCGAAAGTGCTCAGCCTGAAGCAACTTCAACCCGAGGTATGACTGTATATATATCTCCTAAAGGAATATTTGGCACTGTCAGAGTGAACATATGAAGACACCCCTGTAGCAGCTATCTTAAATGATCTCTTGAAAGTGATTTTGTAATAATTTGCACCATTTATACATACACTGTTTGATAACGACTTAATTTTTTTTAAAGAAAAAGTTTTAACATGCTGAATTTTGTAACAATTCTTATATATTTCAGGGATGATTACCATTTTCTGTAACCGTCTGGGGTGGCACAATATGGAACAATTGCTCTCCCAGTTTCAGAGTCGTCTCACGTTTGGAATCCAGAGAGAGCTCTGTGATCTTGTCCGGATATCTCTGTTAAATGCACAGTGTGCTAGAGCTCTCTATAAGGCTGGTTTTGTCACGGTCGCTGATGTCGCCAAAGGGAATATTGCAGAGGTGGAAAATGCCTTCAGGAATGCAGCACCTTTCAGAAGGTTAAAAGTATTTCTAGTATGACAGAAAGCTATCCCTTTGATACAGTTTTAGCTAGTATAAGTTTGGGAAATGGATCTGATTCTCACTCTTGGATGTCAGTTTACTAGAGTTTAGTTATGTTAAAGGTAAAGGTAAAGGTACCCCTGCCCGTATGGGCCAGTCTTGACAGACTCTAGGGTTGTGCGCTCATCTCACTCTAGAGGCCGGGAGCCAGCGCTGTCCGCAGACACTTCCGGGTCACGTGGCCAGCATGACAAGCTGCATCTGGCGAGCCAGCACAGCACACGGAACGCCGTTTACCTTCCCGCTGGTAAGCGGTCCCTATTTATCTACTTGCACCCCGGGGGTGCTTTCAAACTGCTAGGTTGGCAGGTGCTGGGACCGAACGACGGGAGCGCACCCCGCCGCGGGGATTCGAACCACCGACCATGCGATCGGCAAGTCCTAGGCACTGAGGTTTTACCCACAGCGCCACCCGTTAGTTATGTTACACTCCAATAATTTTATTTTAGCTTTCTTATGCTCCCCAGTGCCAGTGTGGTATGTCTGAGATGGCTATTGGTGTAAAATACTACACATAAATGTTTGTCATGCTTTATCTAGGTAATATTTAGGATTCTATGTAAGACTCATAATATGGTGGTGTTTCAATCCTACTCTTAAGGAATGTGTTCCCATGTCAGCATGCCTGTGTGCTGTCTTCCAGGTTCCCCACCTGCTTGGAGTAAGGCAAGTGGTGTCAGAAGAGAGGGCCTTTTTGGTAGCATAATTGCCTCCCCAAGGCGCCTGTGTTTTATTTATTTTTATTTATTCAGTTCTAACTTCAGCTGTTTCTGTACTTTCATTACTGTGTCACTGTTCATTTATACTTGTTAATAATTTCCCCCCTTTCTATACTGCCCTGGAAACACATATGAAGAGCAATATACATTTCCCCTAAATTATGATATATATCACCTTAGGATGTGCAGTTCTTTAAAACTGACCTCTTCTCAGTAGGAGATTTCTGCTGTTTTCATCCTCCTCCCTCATGCTCTTCTGCACCTTCTAAGGAGAGCAGCATCTTAGAGAAATCCTGAAGGGAAAACTATATTCCTCCCCGTCCTTTCTTTTCTTTGGTTTTGCACCCCTCTTCTTATTACTTAGCTTTTCCCTAGAACTCAAGTGTCCAGCGACTGATCTCTGAATGCACCTAACCTCTGATGCAAGCTAAGTTGTCACCTCTGCTTCCCAACTCACTTTGTTCACTTCCTTATCGGCGTGCAGACTAAAATAAAAATTGACTTTTTGTTGTGGGTGCATGTTAGGTGACATGTTAAGCAGAGGCTGGATAGTCATCTGTCATGGCTGCTTTAGCTGAGATTCCTGCATTTTAGGGGGTTGGACTAGAAAACCCTTGAGGTCCCTTCCAACTCTACAATGCTATGATTCTATGACAGCAAAAGTGCTATGGTAGGAATTCTTCACAAATTTTTAAAATTTGAAAGCATGATTTCCAGGTAATATTGTCTTGTTTCTTCTGCTTCAGTCGTAGGGCAGTGGATGAAGATGAACAGGCTGTTGAGGAGCACCAAATTACACCCCTTATATGGATGTCTGGACTGAAGGGTTTGACTGAGATTGAAGCAGCTAATCTTGTTGTGGAGGAGGCTAAAACTCTCTTAAAGGAGGACTTGGCTGCTTTGGGGGTGCAGTGGAACCCCAATGCCTCTCTCTTATCAGATTCCTCTTCCACATTTTCCCTAACAGGACAAGTTGAGGAAGAGGAAAAACATAGACTGTGTGGGAAACAGATATCAAGAAATAGCCAAAGTATAATTTCATCAGACAAAAGTATCAGTTCTCAATCTGATAGTGCAAAATGGGTTAGACAAAAAAACAAGAGGTTGTTAGATGCTAGTTTAGTAATTGGCAGACTTGAAAAGACTCTGGTAGATGAAACTAAGGGAGAGACAAGAAATGATGACGTATGCTGTAGTGCAAGCAAACGGCTAAATCTGAGAAAAGATGGGGAAAGTATGAGAGATACCTCTGTGAAGCAAAAGTTGGATTCCATGATAAGTACTGAACGGAGGACAAAGCCAGGCTTGAAAGCTACTTCAAAAAAACATCATGTTGCAGCTAGATTTAAGAAAAAGGCTGGAATTAATTTAAATCAAAGTAGGGAACAGAGCACAGTTGCAAAATGGAGTAGGCCTTGGAGTCAAGAATCAAGTTTCAACAATCATTTTCCGTCCTCCAGCGACAGCTGTGAGTCAAACCAGAAACATCACCAAACTGTAACTAAAGGATCATTAGGCTACCAGGAAGGAATTGACAAAATATCCCTACAGGCAAATGAAATATACCAAGATAGTGGGAAAACTGTGCACAAATTCCTTATAGAACCTATACATGCTAGTGAATCCAAATATGAGTTAACACTGAATAATCACATTAAAACACCCGCTTTGAATTCAGTAGAGGGAGATGCAGCTCCTGTTAAAGATAAAATGGAAATGCAAGATGTTATGGACGATCTGGTGATATCTGATAAGAAATTGAATCTGATAAGAAATTGCAGCAAATTGGAGCTCAGTAAAAACGGTGCTAGAAGCATAATTACTGAAAATAAAATGGACAGAGGTAGAAATGTTTTTAATGAAGCAGCAAGTGGCGCTATCACAACAACAGGAAATCAGCAAACAGCAGAGAGTTCTCGAAAAGCAGACAAAAATGACCCTGGAAGATTCAACCCCACCCTGGAAAATGCAAGTACAGTTATGGGTAAAGTGCATAATCACCCTGATAATGTTCTGAAGCCTTCTGAATGCATCAAAAGCTGTTCTCCTGATCTGTATTTTGTCTTCAAAGAATTTGAAGAAAGCTTCCAGTTAGATACGCAAACTGAGAGGATATTGCAACAGGAGGTGGCAGCTACAGTAGCTGATAAACAAAAAGACTTAGTAGCAGATTCAGCACTGAAAATAAAGTGTGCTAGTACTTCAGAAACTAATGCTGCATATATAATGGATAAGCTAGCGTGCAGAAAAGCAGAACCGTTACCTGTTAAAAAAACTGATGTAGCAGGAAACACAGCTTTATTGCATTGTAAAGCAAAAGGCGCTCACAAAAAGCCTATGAAATACCCAGAAATACCATTTTGCCTTGAAAGAAACAGTTTTTCTGTTATGGACTCCCAGTTAGAAAGCTTCTTACGAGACTATCGGACTCCAAATCTGGCAGAAGAGCAGGAAACTATTGTTCTTTCAAAGGCTTCCTTTGCTCCTAATCAGTGCCCACCTGCTGTCGATGCAAATGCCAAGGGCTGTCCTTTGCCTGAAATAAATTTGAATAGCAGTGACAGTTTGTTGTTTGATGAAGACTTTAACCATATTAATGACCCTCAGGATGTTCACATTGGTGAAGCTGTTGCCATGGGAGAACTTCCACTGCAGCAAATTATCCCTGCTCCTTTCAAATCCACTTTAGAAGCTGATCTTCCAGGTGTACAGAATGTGGGGCCAGGCAACGGTGTATCAAATACCACTATAAACCAGCAGCGACTGACAGAGTATCATGAGGATGACTCTCTAATGTTCTCAGATGCTGATTCTTTCCACATAGCAGAAGTGAGAGATGGTGAGTCCGTGCCTTGTTTTCACAGAAACGTTCTCAACAAGCTGAAAAATGTGAAAGAGGCAGATGATGATGTCAGACCTGAGATTACTGGAAAAGATGCAAATGCTAACCAAGTGGGAAAGTGTGATTTTTTATTTGATTTAAGTCCAGGAATGAAAGAAGTCTTAGATGAATGGCCAAGCCCCACTGGAAATAAACCTGAAATGGATACAAGAAGCAATTTGAGAGTAGTGCTATCTGAGAAAAATCAGGATTCTGCCCTATCCTGTGGTCAGTGCAAATTTCACAAAGATTTTAAGAGCATGGATGATCAGAGTAAGACCTGTGGCTCTTTACTAATCAACAGAAAAGGTAGTTCCATTTCTTGGACAGATGGGAACAAGGAACCTCTTTCTCCAGCAGAGTTCATGGAGCTTCCTTCACAGGAACAATGCTTTGTGACACATGCTGAAGCCAGAAATATGAACCCCACAGACAAAGCTCCTTGTCTTCAGCTCCTGCAGAACGCTTCACTTGATTCACCCCCGCAAACAAAACCAGAAAATGGCAGACATGCTGAGTTTCCATCTGAGGATGACTCTATTATAATTGAAGGTTTTTCACTGCAGTTATCTCAAGATCTACCATCCTGCAGTGCTGAAAATTTTGCTATAATTGATGTAGCGAATGATAAGGCTCTTTTCCAAACCTTCATTAAAGAATGGAGCACGAAAAAGAGATTTGCTATCTCGGTGGCTTGTGAAAGAGCAAAAGGCCCCCTTTCCCACAGATCAGCTATTGGTGCCAAGTTCAAGCAAGGTGAGTTTTCCCCCTGTGCTCCTTCCATTATTTTAGAAATGTATATTCTAGACATTTTACTCTGGACTTAGTAAAGTGGCAAGTGGCCCTATATCTGAAAGATAATCTACAGATTGATCTGAATCTGGGAAGGAAACAGAGTTTATATTCTAATGTATATTCAGTGGTTCCAAGTAGGAAGAAGGCATATGCCTAGTTTTAGTAGCAAAAAGTCACTTGGAGATACCAAAGACGACAAATACGGATTCTTCGCTGGTTAATGAGAAATTGCATATAATGTTTCCTCTCCACAGTTTCTTATGCCATTTAGTGACAAAGGTTCGGCTATCATGGTTCATGGATTTATAGGTTATAGAAAGCACTGAGTTTGTTACATTGAAATCGAATCATACAATACAGTATACAGTCGTACCTTGGTTTTTGAGCAGCTTAGTTCTTGAAAGTTTTGACTCCTGAATGCCGCAAACCTGGATATGACTGTTCCAGTTTGCAAACTATTTTCGGGGCTTCCGAAGCTTTCTGAAGCCAATCACTAGCTGTGCTTTGGTTTCCGAATGTTTTGGAAGTTGAATGGACTTCCAGAACAGATTCCGTTCTACTTCCAAGGTACAACTATATATATATATCTGTCATTTAACATGTGGCCCAAAGAACCATGACTGTTGCACTGACTTCAAGCTCTACTTTTCTGCTGGGAATGGCTAGTAGGGAGCTTGAAGTCAGTGCCTATCAGCTGATCAATAACTACTACAAGTCTTCCTTGACAGTGCAACATTTGGAACACACTTCAAGACTCCCAGTTGTCAGCCTTGTTTCCACAAGCCCTCACATGATATCACAGATGATGTCAGGTTTGGGGCAGGTGGGTTTGGGAGAAACTGCCCTGCAAGCTACATTGGGACCCTAATCAGGTCTGCAGGCCAAAGGTTCACCTACTGTTATCATAAAGATAATTTAAAAAGCAGGAATGGAAAGTATGCTTTGCGCACAATTTGCAGGAACTTCAGGGGGTCTAACAGATTTTAATCTTTGTGTGTTCATAGGGAACGTGCACCAGGAGATTCAATATGAAGGTGATGGATTTCCTGTTACAGCCTGTGAAGACCTGCTGGTAGTTGGATTAGCTGTGTGTTGGGGTGGAAAGGATGCTTATTACATTTCATTGCAACAGAAATCTCAAGAACAGACTGGTAAGCAAGTGTTTTCTAAAGGAATGCACTTTAGAGAAGCCTATGCGTAGCATCTTGCTGCCTTCCCAAATCCATGTTAATGAAATTATAAAGTATTGTTTTATCCATAAGAGTGGCAGTTATGGTTTATCTGGACAGAGAACAATCACAGAATACTGACGAAAGGTGCAGCTTTTCTGAGGGATGGCAGAGCTTGGATTGCTTGGGGGTAAAAAATCTCACATAGGATTCCAGCAGGAAAAGATTTAACTGAGTTTGGGATGCAGCCTTGTGTAAGGTGCAAGTGGGGAAGCTGATGGCTGGGAGTTCAGATCCATGGGAAGAAGTAACATACTTCTGAGAAAAGACCAAACGGCACAGGTGGGAATGGTAGAGAACTGGGGAAAGATGGAAGAATAAGGCGTGAGGTTTAAAGCCTATGAATAAGGATGGTGGTGCTGTGCTCTTAATGCGAATGGAAGGTATAATGGGAGCTGGAGACTGCGAGTAAGAGAGCCAAGAGGCAAGGGTGATTTTTATACTGCCCTGTACAAGGAAAAACAATGTATGTATAGGCATACACTCTTCCCCCCTCTTTCCCCCCATGGGTCCTTGTCATAATACTTAAATAAGATGGTTTCTCTGTTGTTTTAGAAATCAGTGCCAGTTTGGAACCGCCTCCCCTGGATCAGAACTTGGCTGCAGCAGAGAGGTTGCAGCATCTTCAATTACACCTGCAGGATTCCACAAGAGCGTTTTCGCTTGCTGTGTATGATTTCATTCATCACTACAAGATCCTCCTGAAGGCCTGTGGCATCTCTTTGGCAGGATGCTATGAGGACCCAAAGGTTTTATAGCTAACCCTTTTTCTGTCTTCTCAATCAATCAATCTTTATTATGGTCCAGAGACCCAACAAATCGATACAAAGCAATGCACAATTCAGACAGCCTACCTATATCTGTAAAGTAGGAGTGATGTTTAAAATCAATGTTTAAATCCCCCAGCAATTGCCAGAAATAGAACTTATAAGTTCCTGTCTTTGGGGAGGGGCGCACATACATATACCCAAATCTTGTTGCATTCTTGGGGGGGACGGAGAACGCTTTTTGAGTTAAGTGTGCTTTGCACTTCCCTCATTCTAGGTGGCGTGCTGGCTGTTGGATCCTGAGTCTAAAGAACGCTCCCTTCACAACATGGTCACCAATTTCCTTCCTCAGGAATTGTTCTTGCTGGACAAACTTGGAGCAGGCCAAGGGTGTCAGAGTCTGGGGCTCAGCGCCAGCGCAGATCATTCTGGACGATACAGAGCAGCTGTGGAGTCTGTTCTTGTCTTTCATATTATGGAGCATCTCAATACTCTGTTGCATAAAGATAACTTGCAAGGTGAGAAGGCTAAGAGCTTACCCCATGGGTGGTATTTAACTAAGTTTTACTCAGAGTAGAGCTATTAATATTAATGCACCTAACTTAGCCATGTTCATTAATGTCAATTCACTTAGTTAAATACCACCCTATGAATTAAGTTTAAAGTACGCTAGTCTCCAGTTGAATTTCAGACACATGTTAGAAAATCTAAAAACCTTATACGCTGTAGTGTGAAATTGTTTGTTTTTTGCTATGATTAAACATGTTTGGAAAGTGACAGAATACCAGTACTTTTTACTAATGAGAAACAGATTTTCACACGTGACAATGAACTCTCGCCCCCCCCCCCAATTTTCTTTTTGCAACACAGTCCTTTTTTGTAATTGTGATGCCCTGAACCTTGGGTGCAAGAAGTGTGACTTTGGCAATACAAACAATGAATGATTATGATTCAATAGGTACATTTTCATAGACTTTTAGAATTGTAGAGTTGGAAGGGACCACAAGGGCCATCTTGTCCAACCCCCTTCAATGCAGGAATCTTTTCCCAGGGTGGAGCTCGAACCCATGTCCCTGAGATTAAGAGTCTCATGCTCTACTGACATTTCGTTTGTTGCCAGTATGAAACCTTCTCAGGCGTGATAGGCCTCTAACTCTAGCTGTCTTGCTTTCAATTCCTTGACCCACAAATTCTTATTCACTCTGCACTCTGCAGATACTCTTTGTGCAACCTATTATTAAGAGCTACTGAGAATGTTAGTGGGGTGGAGTGGAGGGGTAATTGGTGCAGGCACCATCATCTTTTATTATTATTATTATGAATTCAAGTAATTCTCTTCCGTCATTGTGTGTTTTGTGACACTGAACGAATGTTGTCTTTTGCCTCATTTGTCACTGTGTACCACAGATACTTTTCGTAAAGTGGAGATGCCAAATCAATATTGCCTGGCCTTGCTGGAGCTCAACGGTATCGGATTTAGCACAGTTGAGTGTGAGACGCAGAAACATGTCATGGAAGCGAAACTCAACGAGATTGAGAATCGGATATATCAGCTGGCAGGTCACAGTTTCTCCTTGACCTGTCCTGATGACATTGCTGAGGTACTGAACACATGGCCCCTTTCAATAGAGTGAGCCCTGTCCTTATTGTGATCAGTGGGAGAAAACTGATAAAACAAATCCACCAGTGAAATTTTGAGTGGGTTAAAGTTGCCGTCCTTCAATTGGCCAGAGTGCTGGTTCCTTCTGATGAGAGGCTGTTCTCAACACATCGTGGGTGGAATTCAATGTTTTGCTAAGGCAATAATTGCATCAGTGCAAGCATTCCTGGAATGATGTTCCATCTCTCCCCGCCCCAGCCTCGTTGTCCTGTTCCAGGGGTTCTCCTGATCTCCCTATGCCAGTTGGGGGGCGGGGATGTGCTGAGGGAAGAGGGTGGAGGGAACGCCCCGTTGCACTAGTAGGACTTCTTCATCTGAGTCCAGAGAGAGACTAGAGAGACACACAGACTCTAAACTTCCAATAAAAAATTAAATCAGCAGCTGCCATTATTTGCGTCATTTTAGTTAAAGTGTTCTTAATATTTTCTGCAGAAAATGAAGGGTCAGATTCTGTTTAACTGCTCATTCTTACTTAACTAACTTCTCCTTAATTACCTCATTATTATTATTATTATTAATTTAATTTATATACTGCCCTATACCCAAAGGTCTCGGGGCAGTTCACAGAACAAAATCAGAATATAAAACCACAAAATACACAATCAAAATAAAAACAACAACCCAATACCCCCTCAAAGCCCCACATGTTAAAAGGGCATAGGATGTCAATCAAATAAACCAAAGGCCTGGTTAAAAAGGAACGTTTTTGCCTGGTGCCTAAAGGTGTTTGGTTACAAAGTTGGTTTTTTAAAAATCCAATATTGGTAAAATGGGAGTTTGTGGCCTCGCAGAGGTTGTTGGCTAATGGATTGGCTACAATCTCAGTTAATTGTAGCGTAAGAAGTAGGCATGGAAAGGAGAAGTTGTCTAAGCCCCAAGAAAATGGCAAGATTCCATTGACTGAATTTATTACCTCTTTCAGGTGCTGTTTTTGGAGCAGAAGTTGCCATTCAATGGAGAATCAAAAGTGCAAAGGGGCAAGAAAACATTAGGTTACACTGGAAGGAAAATAGCAAATGGAAAAATTGCCAAATTAGGCAAGCAATTCAGTACAACCAAGGTATATTGTTTGTGTGCAACCCCTGGAGAAGCATCCTTTCTAGCCTATGTGTGATTGTGGGAAGCTAATCATTCATAAAAACCCACTGGTGGTACCTCGGGTTAAGAACTTACCGTATTTTTCGTTCTATAGGACGCACCGGCCCATAGGACGCACCTCGTTTTTTTGGGGGGGGGGGAAATGAATAAAAAAAATTATTCTTCCCCCCCCCCAGCTGCCGCCCCAAGCCTCGCGTGCTTCGGGCTGCAGGCTACCGCCCCAAGCCTCGCGCGCCGGCGGGACCTCCCACCGGGCGCGCGAGGCTTGCAGACACTCGCCCGAAGCACGGGAGTCCTCCGGAGGGCTCCCGTGCTTCGGGCGACAGGCTGCCGCCCCAAGCCTTGCGCGCTCGGCGGGACCTCCTGCCGGGCGCGCTAGGCTTGCAGACACTCGCCCGAAGCACGGGGAGCCCTCCGGAGGGCTCCCCATGCTTCGGGCGACAAGCTGCAGCCCCAAGCCTTGCGCGCTCGGCGAGATCTCCTGCCGGGCGCGCAAGGCTTGCGGACACTCGCCGGGGCTGCAGGCTGCTGCCTGCAAGCCTTGTGAGCCCGCGGGAACTCCCACCGGGCTTGCAAGGCTTGCGGATAGCTTCCTGAAGCCTGGAGAGCGAGAGGGTCGGTGCGCACCGATGCCTCTCGCTCTCCAGGCTTCAGCGAGCTCTGCATTCGCTCCATAGGACGCACACACATTTCCCCTTCATTTTTGGAGGGGAAAAAGTGCGTCCTATGGAGCGAAAAATACGGTAATTCGTTCTGGAGGTCTGTTCTTAACCTGAAACTGTTCTTAACCTGAAGCACCACTTTAGTTAATGGGGCCTCCTGCTGCTGCCGCGTCGCCGGAACACGATTTCTGTTCTCAACCTGAAGCAAAGTTCTTAACCCGAGGTACTATTTCTGGGTTAGCGGAGTCTGTAACCTGAAGCATCTGTAACCCGAGGTACCACTGTATGTTTCACAATTGCTAGTTTTGCATAAGTGATGTCCACACAAAAATCAAGTTGCCTACTTCAATTTCAGCGCATTACTGTTGTGTTACCTGACTCAGTATTATCAATTCCATGCATTACTTAAAGGCCTCAGATGTTTTCGCCCGTGAGCTGTACTAACTGCAGCTCACCGTAGCAACCATGCCTAACTGGTCTTCATAGAATCCTAGAATTGTAGGGTTGGAAATGACCGCAAAGGTCACCTAGCCCAACCCCAATCTGCTTGATCCTTTCAAAAATGTTTACTAAGCCAGTGCCTATGACGCATTATTGTGGCAGCGAATTCCATTCAACATTGCACTAAGGCAATTGTTCAGCCAGGAAAAGCATTTTTGGCTTCCTGCCTTGGGATGAGAAGACAAGTTTGCTTAGGGCTTTCTGTAAGCCTTAAGGGGGAAAGGTCCAAGAAGAGAAAAGGCAGTAAACAATAAGAGAGAGGGGCTCGTTGACCTTTCCCATCATCTCCCAACCCACTCCCTATGTGCTAGGAGGTCTCTTTTCTCCAAGCGTCACAATGGCTCTGCTTTGTCATCTTCTGTCCCGTCTACGGCAGAGTCAAAGCAGAAAAGAAAGGAGGTCCTTGGTACAGGACTCCCGGTACCATGCTTGCCTGGCTGTACCCTCATATAGCCCAGAATATTTTTCAAGGGTTGTTCCCTATGTTACAAAGAATCAGTGTGAAAGACAGCAAACTGACTTGTGCCACGGTTAATTTCCATAGGATGTTCTGGAGAAACTGAGGGCCTTGCACCCATTGCCAGGCCTGATTTTAGAATGGAGGAAGATCACCAATGCCATGACCAAAGTGGTGTTTCCACTGCAGAGGGAGAAGCGTTTAAACCCTGTGCTGCGCATGGAACGGATCTATCCTGTTTCTCAGACTCACAGTGCTACAGGTAGCAGGTGCTTTTTACATCGGAAGGTATCTCCTTGGTGGTTTATCAACGTATGACTGAAAAAGAACCAGGAAGGCTAGCGCATGGTCCAAAGGAATCATGGAAGCTTTGCGGTTTTGTCTGACGGCACTTGTTGCGGGAAAGATCACTCATTGATTGAGTGTCCCTAGAGCAGGAATGTGGAACTGGTTCAAGCTGCGGGACCACATCCAGAACTGGCCCAACCTCCACAGGCTATTTTGGCAGCTTGGAAGGACTGCCCACCTGGCAAATCCCAGAAGCATGCAGAGGTTTCTTCCCCATCTTTGCGCTGTGGTGCTTCATGTTAATATTGGAGATCAGATACCTCTGTGCCTGATGTCAGGTGGCTAACAGGCATGTATGGTTTATTCAGATGGCCTTGTGGGCCAAATTCAGAGGGCTGGTGGACCTATTTGGGTCTGCAGACTGGAGCTTCACCACCATTGTCCTGTGGTTACATTTTTTTTTAATTACTGAAATGCCCTCCTGCTACTTTGAGGCCTCCTTGCCTGACTGCTGAACTCACTCTGCTCTTAACTAAGCCTCTTTTTCTGAGCTGTCCTACTAGCTAGATCTGTATTGTGTGGAACTGTATATTAGTGCAGTTTTCTTTTTACCCTTTCTCCAAAATTTCCTTGTTTACTGTAGCCCCTGAAGCTTGCTGTCTTGGGTAAAATTGAAAGCTCGGTTTCTACAGGCTTACGGAGGATGTAGCCCCTGAGCTATATAGGATTTAGCTCCTTGAACACAGTTCCATTGCTGTGCCCTTGTTGGTCAAATCTGATGCTTAAAAAAATTATTGAAATGGGTGTTACTTATCCCCCAGTCACTTGGCTGCTTAACTTGCCAGTTGGCTTGATGCTTTGTCACCTCATGGAGTGAGCTTCTTCACTGAACTCTTTTTAAATTTGCATCATATGTGTTCCATGTAAACACTAGAATTTTGAAATGTACTAATTGAGCACCATCTTTTAAAGAGTACTTTGTTCTGCAAAACTGGAAGCTTGTTGGTCCACTCTGCTTTGTCTTCTGCTTTTGCAGTTCAGCATTTAGTGCTTTAGTTTTAGCTTCAGTATTCCTTCAGGCGTCTGCTGTGTTGCAACATACTGCCTGTCTTTTCACCTTCGCACCACGTTTGCTTTTAGGCCGTATAAGCTTCAGGGAACCAAATATACAGAATGTGCCAAAAGACTTTGAAATTGAAATGCCAACCATGGTTGAAGAGAGCCCACCTTCCCAGAAGGAACACAATGCGTTCAGTTTACTCAGAAGCAGGTAAAGTTTTCTCATCTATTTTTTTTTATATCAGCTGTCAGATTTTTTCTGATACATTCCTGAAAAGACCAGAATGTATCAAAGTTAGGGTGCCTTTTTTCCACCATGAAACTGAAGGTGGCTTGCATTGAGTTCCCAGAACGTCTTCCATCAAAGCATTAATTACACTGGCTTGACATTAGCAAGGTGGCTGCATCTTGTCCCCTTTGAACATGTCTTGGCTCTATAGTTAATACAGGAGCTGCTGGCAGGAAACATAAGGAATAATCTGTAAACTGATGTGGTTGTGGAGTTTGCTTAACTGCCTGCATTTGCACATTGCCACACTTGCATTTATAAACAAAAAATGACAATTTTTGGTGCATTGTTTTGTTCTTTCCCATAGTATATTATTTTATTTATTAAATTTGTATACCACCCTTCATCCGATGATCACTGGGTGCTTTACAGCATAAAAATACAAAATGAAAACACAAAATAAGTAACAAAAACAAACCAATACCCCCCCCCACAAATACATTTAAAAATCTGTTGATTTGTCAAATCAGCTATTGGCCAGGTTACAGAGGGGCATTTTCGCCTGGCGCCAAAAGACATGTAATGAAGGCGCCAGGGGAGCCTCCCTGGAGGGAGCATTCCTCAGAAAAGGCCTGTTCTCATGTTGCCGCCCTCCAGAACTCTTGTGGAAGGGGCATACAAATAAGGTATGGCTATAGCATCTAATTATTCAAAAACCTAATCTTTAGGTAAATATACAGGAAAAGCCAACTGGGTTGAGGTTTGTACAAGTACTCTCTAAAACGAAGGCCATCAAGGTAGATATTTTCCCACTTAGAATCGCTGTGATATGTACACCTTGCAAAGTGTCACCAAAACCTCACGTCCTGAAACTGCAGGATGTACATGAAATTCATGTGCCTACTGCCAAGGCCAGAGATGGCACATCACAATAAGTACATAAGTACTGTAACATCTTATTGGAACCCTATTGGGAATGAAAAGAAGTTTGTGTGTGTGGAGTGTTGTATAAAAATGAAGATGAGAAAAAACTTTGAAGTATCTGAATAGATGCATTTTTAAATAATTATTTGCTTGGCTCTAAATGTCCAACCTTACAAGCCAGACCTATCAAGCAACAAAACCCACCCTCTAGAAATTACTGCTTGACTAGCCTATTGCATGCAAACCAGAGTAACAGTCAGCCATAAATATGATGTTATTTTGTATTTACCTGCTACAGATATTAGATTTAACCCTGCTGTTTGGTTTAACATTGTGTGTCTTACAGAAGTCAATTAGATGCCAGTTATTTATTTTACAGATGGAGAAAGCATTCTGTGCTACCACATGGACAAAGGAGTCTTGCTGAACCCAGTGGGGGGAAAGTACCATTTTCTGTTAGCATGAGGCATGCCTTTGTGCCTTTTCCAGGTAACACCTTGAGAATTGCCTCATTATAGAGCTAAAAAGTAGAAGAGGGATATGCAGAATTGAGCAATTATATTGTGCTGACACAATGAGCCTATTCAGACCCAATGGCAACCAAGGTTTGATGTTACATGAACAAGCCTGAGAAAACTTGGCAGCAGCATGTACTGCTGCCTCTTCTTATGCGCCACTCCGTCATTGTTTGAAGGAAATCATAGTTTATTAGCTTTTTCTGAAATGGGCAAACTATGGTTGGTACTTTTCATCAAACCAAGATCGCAAACCAGAGCTTATTGTCCTGGTTTGCATGGGGTTGCCATATTTCAAAAAGTAAAAACCAGGACACCCCAAAGGTTGTTGATTGACTTGCCTAAGATCCGGGACAAAGCGCCGCCTTACAGAAATTCCCCCTGGACGTCAATTCCACCTTTGAAATCCTGGTAATGTCTGGGAAAACCCAGACGTATGGCGACCCTAGGTTTGCAGACAAAAACATACCATAGTTTGCACATTCAGATGAAGTGGCATGGTATTGTAGCGACAAGGCTCCTTAGTCGTCATGTTTTGGCATTGCATCTGAAGAAGCTCAGTGTTTTCAAAGAAAGTATGCAAAATGGTTCTTTACAGACCTAATAAGAAACCATGGTTTCCTGCTTTGTGAATGAGTTGGACCGACCTTGGGCTCCTGCACTTGCCCTTCCTTTCTCATATTTCAAGGGTGCAAGTAAGAAATCAGGAGCATTTGCTTCCATTTCCAAACAAATCAGAATCCCATGTTTGAGGATCTCTTGAATGAACAATAATTTCAAAGAAGGAACCTGTTTTACTACCTGAAATAAATGTCCACTTTAGGAATTATTCTGTTTTATTGGCTGCAGGAGGGTTGATCTTGGCAGCTGATTATTCCCAGCTTGAGCTGAGGATCCTGGCTCACTTGTGCAGTGATCGGCGGCTTCTCCAGGTCTTAAATGAAGGTTCTGATGTGTTCAAAAGCATTGCTGCCGAGTGGAAGATGATTGACTCTGAAGCAGTTGGGGATGATTTAAGGCAACAAGCCAAGCAGGTAACTTACGGAAACATCTAGAATTCTTGGAACATTTTCATATAATTGAATGATAGTGGGTTTTGAAATAAGTTGTACAGGCTGAGGGATGGATTCAACTAAATAGCAAATGAGCAAACTCTGGCATATTGAATGTTTTAAATTTGTGTCCTTTGTTGCTTTGTGAAGATTGTGCCTTATTCTAATAAACAAACCTCATTTATAAGTAATCCAACAGTTTTTCTCGCACTTTAGTCCCCTTGGTTGTAGAGTATACTCTAGAATTAAAATTAAAATTGCATTATTTTTCTAGATTTGTTATGGAATAATATATGGAATAGGAGCGAAATCTTTAGGAGAGCAGATGGGTGTTGAGGAAAAAGATGCCTCCTGCTACATTGACTCCTTCAAATCAAGATACTCAGGTAAATATTGCTAGCATCTGATTGTCTGGGCTTTTTGGCATAATTAACTGATTAAAAATATCCAGCATATAGTGAGTTGTGTAAATCTCTTTGCCTATGCTTTTTGTAACCTTTTTGGTGTTGGTTTAAAAGGGAGTTCAAGCTACTGAGCCAAGAGCTTACCTTACATAAACCCTTAAGAGTTGTGGCAACTTGGAGTTCTGTGTATTATCCAAAATGCAAAATGAAACGCTATGAATGTACCATGTTTTAACTTGCAGTGGTCTGTAGACTGCAGAATTGGATAGCAGAAGAAAATAAAACACTGGCGTGTGACTGAGCAAAGTTTCGGGGTCATTGAATCCCCTTGATGGAGTGAGCTCCCGTTGCTTTGTCCCAGCTCCTGCCAACCTAGCAGTTCGAAAGCACACCAGTGCAAGTTGATAAATAGGTACCACTGTGGCAGGAAGGTAAATGGTGTTTCTGTGCGCTCTAGCTTCTGTCACGGTGTTCCATTGCGCCAGAAGTGGTTTAGTCCTGCTGGCTGAATGACCTGGAAAGCTGTCTGTGGATAAACGCTGGCTCCCTCGGCCTGAAAGCGAGATGAGCGCCACAACCCTTTGCCTCTGCCTGGATTAATTGTCCAGGGCTCCTTTACTGCATGTATGCTGCCTTAAACTTCATGATGGAAGGAAGATGGGATAGAAATGTAATAAACAAAACAGCAAAGAAGGCTGTACATCCACTGTTGATTTGCACGTTTCCACAATCTTGCAGCTGAAATGTAAAATAGAACAACATAATAAATCAGGAAGAGTTTCCTTGTATCTTCTTTTCCTTTCTTAAGCTGATGGGAAAGGGAAGTTCTGAACATATAGACACCCAAGCATGGAAGTGCCTGTATGAAATGTCAGCATATACACAGAATTAACTAGAGCAGTGTTGAATATTTTGATTGAACTGGAAGTTGCACAACACTGTTTCTTTTTTTAAATAGGTATTCAGAAATTCCTGAGAGAAACAGTCAGGAAGTGCAGCAGAGATGGGTTTGTGCAGACAATCATGGGGCGGCGTAGATACCTGCCAGCAATTAAGGACTCAAATCCTTACAGAAAGGCTCAGGTATGCAAAGAAGTGTTTTTTTCAGCTGCTAAAATCTAGCTGAGCAGGGAGATCCATTGAGCTAGCTGAGTTTTACTCTCCCCCCAGTGATATTGACTTTGGTCATATATTACTGTGCCCATTCAATCTAAGATGAGCCAGCTTAAATTTAGTTTGCACATTTCTTGTGCCTGTTGGATCTCCTTTTTACTGGAGATTTCAAGGACCAAGGTGCCCTCAACTGTCTTACTGAAACTGCAAGCAATACCAGAAGAATATAGCAGTTTTCCATAGCTGCTCCTAACATTTCCTTCTGAAACTTCAGAATCCACTGCTCTGTTTTTAACTAGTTGTGCATTGCAACTGAGCAGGGATTGGAGGGTCTGTGCGAAGCTGAAGGTTACTTTTGGGATTCTTGCTTTCTGCAAGGCTTTCCTTCCCATCTGTTCTCTCCCTGCTTTTGACCCATTCACTCAGGCTTGAGATGTGGAAGGAAGACTAGACAGTTGCAATTTCCTCAAAACTTCTGTACCTTCTATTCCTCCTTTTAGGGGTTCAGGCTGTCCACTTCAGAAACTCTGCACTGAAAAGATTTGTTGTTGTTGGGGAGGGGAAGTTAGCTTCTTCTTCTAAGTCATTTTGTAACTTTAGGCAGAGAGGCAAGCTGTGAATACTGTTGTCCAGGGCTCTGCAGCGGATATTGTCAAAACAGCCACAGTGAATATTCAGGCTCAGCTGGAATCTTTCCCTTCAGCAGTAAAATCTTATGGACACTTGGAGAGCTCATTCCAAAAAAGACAAACGGGTATGTTTTCTCCTCTGGCTTTGTATTTGGTAGCAAATGCTCCCCATCTAAAAATGTTACTGGGTGGGGGATAAATAGTCAGTGTTCTCTTCTGAGAGCCTCCTCTTCGTATGAAACAGCTGGATTTGGGCTGCATGTATGCCCGTAAAATTATTTCAAATTCCCAAGTCACCATGATTTCCCAGTGCTCATTTACATTTTCCTGATCCCTTGAGCAAGGTTTTGAGGACTTTGAAGAAATTGAGGTATGAGGAACTCGTGGGTTAGACCCTACTTTTTTCTTTTTCCTTTCTCATCCTGTGATGAGGCTGCATTTTAATATTTTAATGTTTGAATATTTCAATCTTGTTTTTAAGTTGTATTCATTCAACTTGTTTTTATTATTGCTTGTTAGCCGCCCTGAGCCCGGCCTTGGCTGGGGAGGGCGGGGTATAAATAAAAATTAATTACTTCTTCATCAGATAAAAGACTCTAATGCTCACGTGGCTTGTTGTATTAGAGGCGATGACATTAGCCAAGAAAAATGGATTTTTCTTAAATTACAGCAGCAAGGGCACTCATTCATGATTTATTTCATTTATGATTCTATGCAAGGGACAGCATCAACTTTGAAAACAGCTTTCTAATGTTAGAAAGTGCTGTAGGTAAAACAAGTAGAATTTTACCTTTTATTTTTATCTAGCATTGTGGAAAAAAACAAAGAAAGAAATAAACTTTGCAGAACAGACATTTATTTAGGGGCTGCAATAACGTTTGACGCCTGCAAGAGTGAATATTTTGAGAATAGGTAATACTTTTTCATCATGTTCAAATATACTTGAAAACGGCAGTAAAATGATAACCAAATGACTCCTGAAAAGCTTCATGATATATATGATAAATGTTGGAAATGTAGCAGCTTTATCCATGTAGTGGCTGTGTAACAAAGCAAAGGACTTTTGGTTTCAAAATACAGAAAACAATGAAACTACAATTAAATCTTGATGCTGCTTTGTTCTTGTTAATTAATGCAAGTACCTGTACAATAAGAAGAACTAATATTCTATATGATTGTTGCAGTCTAAGAATATATTTATTTTCCCCACCCATCTGACTGGGTTTATGCTAGTCGTTGGGAAAACGACTCAAATCCCACTTGGAATGGGAACAAAAAATGTACAATACACAGTTATGGCCAAATTTACAAGCTATTTTAAGACTGAAAGGTGGAGGCAGAATTAAACAGAATGAATTGAACACTGGCATTACAAACACATGATTTTCCCAGATGCAAAGATATTTGATACAAAATATAACAAATTATGAATAATATACTTTCCGTTTTTCTTAATTTTTAGAAACATTCTTATATAAAACTAAATATTATTTAAAAACTTAGAAGAGGAATGAGATATTATCCAATACAGGAACAGAAATACTAAGGAAATAGAAATGCTAGAGCAATAAAGAAGTAAAGCCATCACAATTATATATTTTTCTTCAAATTCTTTTTTATTCAGTTTTACACTATACATTTGAATTCAAACATTAGTCATAACCATCAACATTTAGGATTCCCCGAATCCTTAGACTTCCCTCCCCCCCTCCGTGGTTTCCAATATCAAGCTATTTCCACTGCATCTTATATTTTATCTCTCTCTCTTAAAACAATCCATTTTTACCTTCATTTTTAGTACATCAACAAGCGTTACTCAAATCCTGCCCAAGTTTTTAGTTGTTTACAGGCCATAACAATTATATAGCAATACAGAACAAATACAAATAATGTCTTTAGGTACTTGTGAATTTGTATAGCTCTTACCATAAGCATTATTGAAGTCATTGTTTAGGTTTCATTCTGCCTAGGAAAACCAGAGAGGATGGAAAAGAGGAAGATGATACATTCCGTACCTGGAGGTTTCTTCATTCTCCAGCTGCATGATGAGCTTCTGTATGAGGTTGCAGAAGACAGCCTGATTCAGGTAGGAGGAATTGGTTTTACTGAAAACTGGGGAGTGCATCCCTCTAATAGAATGTGGCTGGTGTGTTTGTTCACAGGGTGGATAAAAATCAAAATATATTTTTCCCATTTAAATCAGATTTTTAAAATAAAACATTTTGGAGGAAAAATCTTTCTATTTAAATTACATTATAGTCCAAAGGCTATTCATCAGGAAATAAGGATTTGTTTTAAGCTTTTCATGTGTGCTAAAACTCAGTTAATTGTTTAACCGCATCAATTAACAAACATGGAGACATATGCTATAATGTTATTGTTTTAGTTAAATAATTTGTTATTAAGGAAATGATTGTCTCCTTCTAGTAAAGTACAGCAGAAAAGTTGTCCTAACATAAACAGTTAACTTATTAAACCTCACAATAATTTCATAATGACCTGTCTATGTATTTCTAATAGTATAACCAAATCAGTAATTTTTGATATAACTACTCTGAAAATTAATTATTCCAAAAATGAAACCTTCCTCTGGTTGTAAATATGAAGATTGTACCAGCAAGAATGTCTTTCTGTAAAAAAGTGATTTAAATCAATTTGATTTAAATCAAATCCACCCTGTTTGTTCACCAGTGTTGGCTTCAATAAACTATAGAAGTACGATGGAAATATGGGTGCCATTCAGAGTTGTTGCTGAACCAAATCTGCAGTATCTCCCTGTGTTTATATGTGCATCTCCTCTTCTCACTTTGTTGTGTTTGCAACAAATGATTTGTGAATTGGCTTTTTACTCTGCCGTAACATGTGATTTACCTATACCTTGTAACTGTTTTCTGTGAGTGTACGAAGCTATATTTGTTGAAAGGGAGACACAAACTTGAGGGCGTCTTGTGAGCTTTTCCTGGGAGAGTTCTGGCTTCCAGAAATTTGCATTCAGCTTCTCTGAATTTCAGCATAATTCTGACCCGCTTTTAGAGGCGTTTCCAGCTATGATACCAGTTGGAAATTCAACACGTCTGATCAACTGGACTAAATAAACTGCGGCCCTTTCTGCCTTATTGTCCCACTGATTCTTCTAAGTGCCTTGTCCTTTAGGTGGCACAGATTGTTAAACATGAAATGGAACACGCTGTAAAACTCTCAGTGAAGCTGTCGGTAAAAGTCAAAGTTGGGCCCAGCTGGGGAGACCTGCAAGAGCTGGAGTTGTGAACAGGTAATATAGAAGTTTGGACTGCGCTGCCTGACGCTGCAGCGAAATGCAAGACGTCTCTGATGAGTCTGGACAACGGGATCCATTTCTTTCAACGACAATTTTGAATTCTCCTAAGAATCTTTAAATCACACTTCCCCAACCTGGTGCTCTCCGTAGTCCAATACAGCTAGAGGGCGACAGGTTGGGGAAGGCAGCTCTAAATGACATGTCGCATAACTAGAAATCACAATGAAATGCTGAAAGCAAAGTATTTAAATGAATTCCTAGTAATATATTTATTTATTTGAAGACCTACAATTTTTCTCTTTCTTAACTGACTTGAGAGAAGCATTCTGAGCTTTGACATTAGCTTTTATAGCTGGGATCCTCTGGAAAATTTGATTCCCCGGCTGCTTGTGTCAGTTCATTTCCCCCGCCCTCACCCCCCAAACATTTCACAATGTGCGCAACTGAATATATAATATTTAGGGTAGCTATAGCTCAGATTTCTGTGATACTTGCATCTTTTAAAAAAAGGATGACATTATCCTGGGAATTCATACATGCATATGACTCACTGCATTTTACACCATATGCACAGAAGACAGTGGAATACATTAGCAGCCTTTCCAAAGTGTGCACAATTCAAAAGCAGTAAAATTGTGAAATAGCCCATTGCCAGATCAAAGAGGGGGTCGTTTGATGTTATTGTAATGAATATTCACCAGGTCTGTCCATTCACTTCCTTGGTTTGCTTTGAGAAAACGAACTTTCTCTGATTATCCTGTCTCTAAAGCAGGTAGCCGTATCCTGCGATTCTGGCTCCTGTCATGGGTTTTCTGCTAGCATTTTAACCAATGAATTGTTTGCCTTGTAAACTATGATATTATTTCATTGCTGTGTAAATAATAAACAGATTTTTTATAGCACTTTCCTTCGCTGGAGCGTTTACTTGAGAAAAAGAATAGCACTGTGCTTTGACAGGTAGGCCACCTGATATATCATTAAATGCCTGCGGATTGTTTTTTTTTTTAAAAGTTACACTGATTTTTGTATTTGCGGTACTTATAATTTTATTTTATTTTTTTATAAATAATTTTTATGCGGTACTTATAATTTTATGTGTGCATGTGAGTTTTAGATGTGTTTTATCAATACTTTCTTATGTGTACTGCTCACGGGGTCCTCGCTGTGGGATGACATTCACCCAGTGCTACACCAGCTGCACTTGCTACCGGTGGAGTATAGGATCAGGTTTAAGGTGCTGGCTTTAACCTTTAAAGCCCTATGCGGCCTAGGAGCCACGTACCTATAGGACTGCCTCTCCTGGTCTGTCCCACAGAGGAACTTAAGGTCTGCAAATAATAACATCCTGAAGATCTCGGGCCCCAGGGAGATTAGACTGGCCTCAACCAGAGCTAGGGCCTTTTCGGCCGTGGCCCCCGATCTGGTGGAACGCTCTGTCACAAGAGACCAGGGCCCTGCGGGATTTGACATCTTTCTGCAGGGCCTGCAAGACAGAGCTGTTCCACCTGGCCTTTGGTTGGGGTTCGGTCTGATTCTTTTCTTTCTGTATAAGAACAAACATTGAAGAGGCCTCCTTACAGGTCCTTTAAAAGACCAGTGGTAACAGTCGGCCCTGGAGAATATTAACCACTCTCAATTTTGCCCGTGGACTGCCATCTGTCCAGATTTTAATTTGCTCTGAACTAATTTTAAGAAAGGGACACGGGTGTTGCTGTGGGTTAAACCACAAAGCCTAGGGCTTGCTGATCAGAAGGTCGGCGGTTCAAGTCCCTGTTGCTCAGTCCCTGCTCCTGCCCACCTAGCAGTTCGAAAGCACGTCAGAGTGCAAGTAGATAAATAGGTACTGCTGTGGCGGGAAGGTAAACGGCGTTTCCGTGTGCTGCTCTGGTTTCGCCAGAAGCGGCTTAGTCATGCTGACCACATGACCCGGAAGCTGTACTCCGGCTCCCTCGGCCAGTAAAGCGAGATGAGCGGCGCAACCCCAGAGTCGTCCGCGACTGGACCTAATGGTCAGGGGTCCCTTTACCTTTACCTAATTTTAAGATGTATTTTAATTAACTGATTGCCTGTTTTTATGTTCTTTGTATACTGTGTTAGTTTTATGATGTTAGCCGCCCTGAGCCCGGCCGGGGAGGGCGGGGTACAAATAAAAATTTATTATTATTATCATCATTAGAAAGCTCATGATTAACTAAAAAAGACAAGGTTCCACTTTGTTTGCATGAGTGCATCATATACAATTTATGCAACCTTAAAAGCCCCATGTGGCAGACTTTGGGTTTCCATATTTTAGTGGCATCTTGTTCGACACTGAAATTCACTCCCTCTTGCACTCAGATCTACAGCATTGCTGTGGAGCCCAGTATGACTGAACCAGTTGCACTACCCTAAAACCGCGTCTGATACAAACTTGGTGGTTGATTGGCAAACTAAAGAGGTTTCATACTAAAGAGTGGGCCAAGCCAGCAGAATGGACAAACACCCGTGGTTTTGGACTTTCACCCCCAAACTGGACTCTGATGGCTGGTCCAAACTCTATGGAGAGATCTCTCCCTCAGGAGAGATCCCCCCAGCTGAAAAGCCCAATATCCCAAAGGCCCCCAGCAGAAAACAGACCCTGACCGTGATGCCAGTCAGTGATCGCCTAGCCTTGCTCTTAAAAAAACCTCACCCAGCTGCTCTGGAACATTGCTGAGACAACTGGGATGTGTGGCTTCTGCTGCCCATAGAATCAGAGTTGGGCTCCTGAGGGTTATCTAGTCCAACCCCCTGAAATGCTGGAACCTGGTCCTGAATCCTCGCCTCAGACTCCCTCCAGGGCACCTTCCAATTTCCCGTTTATTGGGTCATCAGTCTCCCTCAGTGTTTGGCATGCTTACAGATCACAGGGTTGATTTCTTGGCCTAAACTGCTTCATTGCTATATTTTCCAACGCTAACAGTGAAAAGGAAAGCAGCTCGTATTTATACAATCCTGCTGCGATTTCCAATCGCCAGCAAAGGTTCTCCTTTTTCTCACAGCTACACGATGCCCTATTGGGCTTTGACTAACGTCGACCGCTGCATAAAAAAAGCACCATAGTTTGGCCACGGAAGTTTAATCTTACTTTATTTTTCTACTAATGAAATGCACAAGTGTTTTCAAACTAAGATTGTCTACAGAAAAGGAATGTCAAATGAGAGGAATGCAGGGCATTGTCTGTTGAGAGCAACATGCTTGAGATGTACTGACTTCTTTGCTTTAAAAAGAAAGTGTTGCTGCTTATTTCTTTTGTGGAACTTAGAAGGAAATCCCTTTTCTTCAATCACAGCATGCTTTGCTTTTGCGCCTTTTGTTGTATGAGAAGTCAATTAGTCATGCAAAGTTTTAAGTTTAAATGCATTAACAATCTATTTTGTACAGGACATTTTAAACTATCGACAGTCCTCCCCACAGTTCAAACCTAATTCCAGTGAAATCATTACCTGTTAAAGATGATTGTTCCGGTGGGAGTTGGGAGGAAGAGACTCAGTGTAGACTTGATTACAAAGACCCACCACGTCTAGGTCTCTGAAAAAGTTCTCGCTTGATCATCTAGTGTGAAAGGGATTCCAAGGAGCTGCTTCTGCCCAACGACTGGATTTTTAGAATAAGGCCTCAAGGTCCTTTGACTCCTGTTCTCAGTACACAGAAGTCTTGCTTTGTGGTTAAAAGTCAAAACTGGTACCATTTTTTGTCCTTGTATTTCAACATTACCTGCAGGAGTGAAAAAGCAATATTATTCGAGAGACACAAATGAAGAAGTCATAGTTCAACACTGATTCCCAATATTTTGTAGCAGAGTACACCTCTTCCGGGGACGCGGGTGGCACTGTGGGTTAAACCACAGAGCCTAGGGCTTGCCAATCAGAAGGTCAGCGGTTTGAATCCCCGCAATGGGGTGAGCTCCTGTTGCTCCTGCCAACCTAGCAGTTCGGAAGCACGTCAAAGTGCAAGTAGATCAATAGGTACTGCTCCGGTGGGAATGTAAATGGTGTTTCCGTGCGCTGCTCTATTTCGCCAGAAGCGGCTTAGTCCTGCTGGCAACATGACCCGGAAGCTGTACGCCGGCTCCCTCGGCCAGTAAAGCGAGATGAGCGCCGCAACCCCAGAGTCGGCCACGACTCGACCTAATGGTCAGGGGTCCCTTTACACTGTTGGGATATGAGTACTGCGCAGCTGCGAGCAAGCAGTTTGATGTTTACATCACATGATGGGTCTAACCAGGGGACAGGATGTTCCAGGGATTTCTCAGGGATTTGTTCTCAGTGTAATATGAGACCTTCCTCTTGCTTGTGTGAAGGAAGTCTGATGCCGCTGCTCGGAGGAGACTGAGTGAGCAGACATGTTTTTTGTACAGTTGTACAGTCAGGAATAAAGTAGAGATGAAACAGACTTTCTGACTGATTTTCTTTCTCCTGCTGCTATGCAAAGGGGAAGGGGGTGTGCACCTTTCCTCTGGGAGGTGTCGCCTATCAAGATCTCCCTGGTCTGCCGGGATGCCAGCCAGGGTAGGTCACCGGCAAACAGGCCCCAACAAGCCTGGGAGAGGAGCCAGCCTTTCCCAAGGGGGCCAGTTTCCAACATACACCTCTTCTGCCCACAAGCGGTGTTAACATTCGGTAGCTGAAAATGAATTGAGGCGAGCGATGTGACACTGGCTATTACTGGCCAATACGCGCTCCATCTACCCCACTGATGTCTAGATGAGAAGCCTCATGTCATCAAATTCTACTCAGTATTGATCCAGAGCAGATTCCAATGTATAGTTAGCAGAGTAAAAACTTAAACACGTTGCAGGATTCCAAAAAATAGGCCAGAGGCAATTAATATTTCATCTAGCAGAGCTTTACAGCTACTGAAGGCAAATGAGCACAATGGTCACAAATCCAATACAATGAGGACTGGCACTGTCCATAAGAAATCCAGTTGCAGCAGACTTGCTGTAATTTTTGCTCCATAAGACGCACCTGACCATAAGGCGCACCTAGTTTTTAGAAGGGGAATGCAAGGGGGAAAATACTTTTAAAGGGAGCGCTGAGCAGAGCCTGTATGCATCCCGGGCTCTGCTCAGCACTCCCTTTCACGAGCCGCATGGAGCATGTGTGCGGCGCTTGCAGGCTTTTCCCTTCACTGACGGGCTGCCCTTCTCCCTCTTTGGGGGAGAAAGCCCCCAAGAGCCGCACACATGCTCCACGCGCCTCGTGAAAGGAATGCGGCTCTTGGGGGCTTTTCCGGGAGGTGGGGGAAGCGACTGAGGGGCTGCCCTCTGTCCCTTCCCACACCTCCCACAAAAGCCAGCAAGAGCCGCACGCTCTTTAAAGAGCGCGCGGCTCCTGCGGGCTTTTCTACGAGGAGGGAGAAGGGACTGATGCGGCCAGTCCGTCCCTTCTCCCTCCTGGGGAAAACCCACAAGAGCCGCGCAGAGCCTGCCTCCCACCTGCATTCGCTCCATAAGATGCGCACACATTTCCCCTTGCTTTTTAGGAGGGAAAAGGTGTGTCTTATGGAGCGAAAAATACAGTAACTTAAACTTACAATAGCGTATAATAAGTCTAAACCTTAACACTAAGCATACTGTGTACGGAACACCACCCCAGAAGGCAAAGAGACAGAGAACTCAGGCTCCTTCTGGCCCTACGTTTAGTCAGCATGATATTGACAATAAGAGATAAGAGAACCAGTTTAAGCCAGCTGTACTCAGCTTCTCGGAAGGAATAACCCAAACATCATGAAGTTTCTTTCACACAGAGAAGCTTCCAGAACCCTCTTGAATTAAGTAGAACAGGAAAGGTCTCTGCACATCAGATCCATAATGTCTGCGCCAAGAAATGCAAACTGACGCCTCCTTCCTCATTCGAGGACCACCGCTCACCTCATGTGCATGTTTGGAGAAAGCTTCTGCACTGGCCATCATTCTCGCCGTCCTCTCATCCAGTTCCCCCAGTTTCTGCCCCCTCTCATCCAGAGCAATGCGCGCCCGAGCCAACTCTCCGATTGCGCTGCCTGCGGCTCCTTTCACTCCTTCGACGCCACCTGAGCCGGGGATGTGCTGAGCAAGACTGCGAGATGCTTTTCCTGCCGTAGCCTCGCCAACTACAAAGAGAATTCCGAACTGAATCAGAGGGTTTGCTTTTTATACTATCTCCCCCCCTTTGTTGATGCTGTTTTGTTAAAAAAAAGAGGGGGGGGAGAGAAGATTTCCCTTCCAGATATCTATTCAATAGAGCCAACATGTTATTTCATGCCCTCTTGCTGAAATGCTGTACTGACAGTTCAACAGCTTGGTGCTGTCGTGCAAAAGCAGCTCAATCTTCTGAAGGGATAATTATTCCATTTTATTAATCAGTTATTGTGGCGTTTGCCTCCTAGGTGGGTCATAAGGAAAGGGTTAAAATGAGTGTGATGTGATTGGCCAGTGGAAACTGATAGGAGGAGTTAGGGTTAGAGGGAGAGTTGTGTGAAAGTCAGTTGAGAGTTGGAGAAGGAGGAGGGAGAATAGTCTGTGGGTTGGACGAGTTGTGTGGT